AATGGCCGCCTCAGCTACTTCGTCGCCGCACCAAAGATGAACTTGAGTGGTTTTAGAACCCCCTGCTACATCGAAAACATGCACGCATAGATACATGCTTTGTTCAAAGAGTATATACCCTTGGTTAGCTGGAAGATCCTTCCGCTTCCCATCGCCAGTGATCTCCCATATTTGCTTCGATATTGTGCTGATTTTGGGATATACATCCGGTCGTGACATTAATACCGACTGAGGGTCGACTTCAACTTTATCACTTGCTTTTGGCATAGCGTCGAAGAAACTTGAAAAGACATTAACTGCTTCCGATGACTCGGGGAATGGCGATATTTTAGAGCCAATCAAGGTTGACTTTTGTCTAGCAAGCGTGGGGCTAGAATGTTTCGGAGGTACAGGAGGGGAGTCAATACGTTCTGGTGGGAAGGGAGGAAGACTCTTTTGGCCTAGAGAATTTGCTGCTGGGGGTGAAATCGCAGCAGGTTTGGGAGGTGGACTTGGCTTTCCCTCAGACTTGAAACTGTCACTGGAAGTGGTTCTTCGTGGAGTTGGGGTAGGGGGAAGAGAGTCGACCTCCACGTATTTTTTCGAAGAAAGTAATTCCAACTTGGGCTCAGTCCCGTCGTTTTCTGAATCGGTTCTTTGAGGACCATTGCCAGTAGGAGTAAACTTTCTAAGATCAGGAGACTTCGAGGATACCAGTGGTTTATCTTTGGTTTGTTTCAGTTCACTTGGTGTGAAGAGTACATTAGCCACGTCCGACTCCCCCCTGCTCGACGGGAACCCTCTGAGTAATGATCTCACATCTTCTTTGGTAGGTGAAGCATCCAGGCCGAATTTATCACCACTAGAGTTGGCATCAGGCAATCGCCACGATGTCGTTACTTCGACTTTTGAGGGTGTTTTATCTTCATTCTGCTGTGCTTTCGGTTCAGGCTTTGCAGACTGTGGTAGCCTTCTTTTCGGTCCCTTTGCTCGACCTTTTGTGGTGTGCGTCAACTTCCCTGGTGTAGATGGCTCAGACGACCCAGAATGTAAGGATGTTGGCAGTGATGGTTTATCATTCGAACCGCTAGATGACCCGTTGCTAGAAGGAGGTCCGCGGGATAAGAGGCCTGCTAAAGCAGGGTTCAACCTATCAGCAAGTTTCCCCGTACCAGAACGTGCACGTGGGGCGCTGGGTTTCCCTTGACTAGCACTATGATCGTACGTGGACGCAAAACTTGACACTTTTGAGGACCGGTCAGGACTGACCCGGCCGCTATTCGATTCCGTCGTCGTCGAATGTGGCAGCGAAAAATCAGTCTTCTGATCTAGTTTTGCGGTGGTAACATCGAATTTTCCAGATGATAAATTTGGTGAGCGCTTGCCTAGCTCAGGTTTTCCACCTTCTAGGCTGTTTTCCGAAGGTTTTGAGGTAGGGGATTGGAAGCCCGGGGTAGCAGCAGGGACGACATTACTGGCACGGCCTTGAATGTCCGACCCAACGGCTCCGGCCAGCTTTACTTCTCTTGAAGGACTTCCAGCTTTGGGCTGTTCGGCTGGATTCAAGAGTGTGCCGTTCCCCGAAAAGTTAGGAATAATACTTCCACTTCTGGACTTTGTCATGGCTCTCCGCCTTGCAATGGCCTCCGGGATCTCAGGCGACGGTTTGTCCGGGGAAGGAGACCTGCTATCTCCAATAGTTGGGCGTCGGATCGAACCTCCACCAGCTTTCATTGCCTCTTTCTGTTTAAGAATACTTTCCTTGAATTCGTCCACTTTATCAGACCTTTTCGGTCCTCCTGTTGCGTTCAGGCCGGCTTTGCCTCGTAGAATGTTATCTTTCAATACGTCGGGTGCGACATAGTTTTTCGTTTCGGTCCTCCTTAGCTTTCCAAAAACATTCTTGAACTCCGGCTCATCTTTGTTGGAAGCTTCGTCTGCTATTTCGCGACGGCGCAAGTTCGCTCTGAAGTCATTTAAGGGAGGTGTGGAAGGCTTCAGTTTCGGTGAAATCCCTTCGGTTGACAGTTTCCCTAGGGATCCTATCCCCTTTTGAGGGCCTCCAGGTGACGCTACCGCTGGACTATCGCTACTTTGTTTGGGAGAACCGATAGCCCCTGACTTCAGGCCATCAAGCTGCTGAGGGTTTTCAGGAGCCTGTGATTCACTCGCCGTTGAGTCAATGCGTAGTCTTCCATTGTCGGATTCTAGAGCGTTACGTGGCCTTGGGTGGCTAGATTTCGCTGTGTTTAGGGCATCCTGATTTTCAGATTCTCTGGAAGATTGGAATAAGGCACCTTTCGATTCTGTTGGAGGTTGGTTCTCATTTTGCGCTGAGAATTTTAGAGATCCCGGTCTTCCCAAATCGACACTAGCTTTGTTTTGCCTGAGTCTGTTACTTAACCCTTTCTTCCATTCAGGTTCCTCTTGAAACTGCGGTTTAGGCTTGGGAGAATCTGGTTTGTTTAGCGCACTCTCCAACCAAGTGGCTTTCGTGGGACTCCATCGCCGCGAATCCATTGTTTTTGATGGGCTGGCAGGCAAGTCCGACGGCTTGTCTCCCGCATTGCTAATCGAACCGGATCGCGACAATGGCTGGGAAGGAAGTGACGGTTTCACGAAAGCATCATTGGGTGATTTCGATCGTTCCAGATCCCCCCTCCCTTGCTGGCGAATAGTTGTTGCTTCGCTGTGGCTCGAGCCAGGGCGTGAACTTGGAAGATGAGGCACTTCATCGCTTGCTTCTTTAGGTAGAGTTGTGGGTGTTTGGGAGACTGGCTTGGAGGCTACACTGCCCCGCCCCTGTTGGTGGCTCCATCTCTTTGAAACGCTATCAGACCGCTTCATCATAGCACTTTGCACAAACCCACCCAATCCTTTCGTTGGAGAAGAGGGTCGATCCGCAGCAATCCGACCTTGAGACGGGGACATTGCCAGACGGTCTGTTGCGTGAGGATCATTTGCAGTGAAAGACGCACGCGACTCTACTCTCTGAGTGCTGGACAGCGGAACCGGGGACCCTAATCCACCAGTCGTAGAGACAGAAGAAATGCTGGAGTACCTGTTTCCCAGGCTGCTAGTGCCATATACAGAACTGCCCCTGGACGGAGACCCTGAACGGTCACTGGTATAATCGTTGTTTATTACCTTCTCAGAGTCTACCTTCGACTCTCTGCTAAAACCAGGCAACCTCGTGTTCCCGCTCATCATAGAAACATCCGACATAGAACTGTCTTGGGCGCGTCTATATGCAGGAGATCCAGTTCCGCGCTCAGCTGTCTGTCGAAACCAGGTAGGGTCCTTTGAAGCCAGCGACTGGGCAATGTGAGATCGAGACGGAGTTTGATCCGCGTCCGGTGTGGAAGTAGACCCCAAACGCGTTTCGACAGTAGATTTAGGCGAATGGAAGGATGGGAACGGCACCGTACCAGTATCGATATCTCGAGAGCCAGGCCGTTGCTGCCAAGTCAACCCTCGCGAGGAAGGCCGTGATGATGTTGATAGTCTGGCAAAGTTACGCGCCAGATCGTCTGTTTTGGCCGCATCAGAATCCCCCATTTCCCTCGCTGCGAGTGTAGTATCGGAAGTTTCTTTTTGTGGGGATGGGAGAAGTGTTAACGGGGGTTCAATTGACTGTGCGCGTATGGGAGAGGAGTGAGACACGCTTGCTGCCAAAGGGGAAGTATTGTAGGGGCCGGGGGAGTCTTTGGTTGGGGATATGGATCGGGCACGCTCTGCGTTGACATAGAAACATAAGCTGTTAGCCAGGAAATCATAAAATGTCGGGTTATTGATTGTCTTTTTTTGTCGGTGTCCCCTCAGCAGAGAGGGGAATTCCAATTCCCGAGTAAATAAATAAAGCCGCAAAACCGGGGCGCTGGCGGCAAGGGAAATAGGGATAATGCAAACTATACCAGCTCTTCTAGCCTGTCTTTCTTTCCGGCCTTGTATGATCTCTTCTTCTAGCTTTCTAGCGCGCTCTTCGTCTTCCTTGTCGCGCTTGTTGCCCAGCTCACGGATGCGGTCAAGAAAGTCGCTGACATCCTCAGAACCACCCGCCTCGGTCCCGCGCTCCATGGCTCACGCTGCCTACCTGCAAACCGACAAAGGGAGGGGGGAAACCAAGAACCGTCTTGCACCATATACGGACAGCGAGGCATCAGAAAATAACAGGATTCCGTCCCGAGGTCTTGATCCTGAGTCTTTTTGGGGAAATTTATGGTCGTGGGCCAAGGAAGATAGTCCGCCTCATTCTTGTTCGTCCATGCTGCTCGGTCAACTGTCTTACATAATGCGGCTAAATAGTTAGTTAACTAACTTAACTAACTAGTTCACTTTCCAATGGACCGAGAGGAGGGTTAAAACTGGTGGAACAAGAATAAATGGTGTTTACAGCTCCAAAGCTGGTTAATTATTATGTAGAAGAAATACTACTGGGACAAGCTGTTCGGATGATTAGAATATATATACACTTTCCCCCTCGCAAACCCATGGTCCTGCCTGAATCGTGCCGACCAAAAGACCAGCCAGGAACCAGATCACAGATAAGTTAACTACAAAATTCAAGAGGTCTGTAACGAGCTAGCAGCGCGTTGTCCATGTCGGACTTCAGGGATAGCAGCCAATTCTGGGCAACTGGTTTTGAAACGGCTCTCATGCGTTCGCTAGTTTGATTCTGGTGTGATTATAATTGTCAACTTGCTGAGCTTTGGAAACGTGATGGTTGTTCATTTAAAGTTCTCCTCCGTTCGCGCTTTTTTTAAGCTTCGGTAGGGAGGGGCTCTCGGAGAGAAGGATGTCATAAATATAGGAAACGGAAGAACGAAAACGGCGGGAGGGCTGAAAAGTTTTGACGTGCGAAGTAAAGCGCTCTGCAACATGTTGCATCAATTTCTCCCCTCGATCTGAGCAGGTGAGGCTTTGAAGCCGAGCATCCAAGCGGGCGGCTCTAGAAGGCTGTACTGTGTAATATAATATAAGTGTCTCATCTCCCGAAAAAATGGTATCCAAAAAAAGATAAATGGATCAGTAAAGGAAAAGTCTGTCCTTCGCATCTTGCACTACCCATTCGAGCCCCTCGTTCAGGTTACTGCCTGTCATTGCACTGCATGGGAATATTGTCCACTTGTGAGTCTTGATCGCATCAAGCTGTAGCGCCTATCCTCCCGTAGAAACACATCTCAGCAAATTCATATTATCAATGTAAGTTAGACGACACAGGAAAGGATCCAGGTCACACATACCTCTCGAATATCATCTTTGCCCATGCCCCCTTCGACATCGATCTTGTTCAGAAAGACAAGCAAGCTAGCGCCCATAAGTCGCTTTTTGAATCTTTCGTCAGCTCCACCAATCAAATGTGTGTTCTGGATAAAAATTTTCGAACTTACCTCCTCTTGCAGAAGCCCAGCAAGTTCCTCTCTGCAGTCGTCGATTCGGAGGCGATCCGTGGCATCAACCACCCAGATCAAAGCGTCGGTTTTTTCGAAATAATTTCTCCAGTACGACCTCAATGTCTTTTGCCCTCCAACATCCCCTACATGGGAAAAAATATGCCAGTTTTAGAGTTTCCATTTTTTTTCATCTTGTTTTTTTTCCCTTTTGGCTTGCTCGTAAGTTCAGGATGAAAACTTACATATGTTTAACTTGTACCTATTTTCGATAGAACAGATGGCCAGTCAGTCCACTTGGAGTTTATTCAAGTAACCTGCTCAACATGACAAACCACTATACCTACCCTTGGAAATCAATAGATTTGATGATAAAGCCCAGCGTTGGGCTAACAGTGGTGATATCCTCATTCATAATCCTCTTGACAATGGTTGTTTTGCCTGCATTATCAAGCCCTCTTCTGTCAATCAGCGGCAAAGCTTCACAACCATGGCATAACCAAAGGGAAAATGGACTTACAGCATCAGGATTCTCATTTCCTTGTCCTTCAGCCTTGCCTTTCGCAATATAGAAAGCATATTGGCATGCTTTTTGCAGGTGTCTCTGTCTAGCGTTTGGATGTTGCAAGAGTCAAAGGGATTTTTCACGGAGGTAAATATTGTGAGATTTCTCTCATAGAATTAAATACTTAATTATTTCCCGCCCAAACCCAACCCCCAAACCAACCTGAACTCCAGAAACGTATATCTCTATCTCAACGTCTCATTTTCAAAATAGAGACATATAATCCAGCCTAATATTTAGCTAGGTTTATTTATGTTCAATTGATGGCCTGTATCTTTGTTTGGATTTGTCTAGCATATTTCGTATTTCGCCATCTCCAGAGTGATGCGTTTGCTCTCTATGTCCTGCAGTGACACAGTCTACTCTTTCACAGTTTCAACCAGGCACCACCAGCCATCGGAAATACTCATTCTTCCATTGAGTTGATATTGTCACTTCAAAGATATTCCCCAGTGTCTTTCTTTCTATTGATACACACAGCTACACGATCTTCCAACTTCTACATTGGATTCATCAAAACATCCATCATCCTTTATCACTTCTTTCGCCGCTCAGGTAAATCACTGCATAGCCACTCTCTTGCTTTACAACACTGCATCCGCTCTATCTAACTCAAAGAGTATCAATAGGGAGTGATTGTTAGCCATTTGAGGCTGATGACAGTTAGTGCAAGGCCCTCAGGGAGTAGAGGGTTTTGCCATCTGATTCCAGGGCCCTTGGGATAAAGCAACCTGCCCAAGTGGATATCGTACTCTTCCTCGAGTAACCTACATAAGCACCCAGACTTAGGAAGACGCGGCAACACATCAACAATGGAGGGACTCAGGATGTCAAATCACAGGGATCACCTATCATCCGCTGATGAATGGAGTGAAATGTTGACTTCATTCAAAACATTACAGGCCACTTCACAGTCAAGGTATCAGGCAATACGATTATCTCTCAATGAGGCTCCTCGGGCTTTGTCCTCCAAGAAGGACTACACTGTTTTACAAACACCAACACATCAAGAAAGTTCCAATGTCGCCATTGCCAACCCTCCCGATATTAAGACCCAAAACACTCCGGAGGCCTCTGCTGGGCTGCAAACACCTACCTCAAAGAGATTAGATACATCTAGCCTAGCAAAGTCAAATATCGGAATTGCCAACTCTGTCATAGCAGTCATACCCTTAAAAGTTGCGGCTGAGCATGCCCAGGAAACTATTCCCAAGAAGGAAGACGTGACAAGCTCCGGGCATTTCTCCAGTCGACGCCAGTCACTTGTTCCGAAAATCCATCCTGCCTCTGACTCTGATATCATTACTGAAGTGAAGAGAGGTGAGGCGAATTCATAAAGAGTAGGGAAAGTGTTCGGCATACTAACAAACTATGCTCTAGCCATCGCTACTCCCAAGAAGCGGGATCAGGATATGGTAGTTCTATCCCCTTCTCCCACAGGTATTTGCCCCATCGCCATTACATATCCTCAGTATGCTAGCATAACTCAAACGCAATTGGAAATTTACTAAAACAACGAAATGGTTTCAGACGGTTCCGATAAAGTCCTGCTTCCACAGTACAAAAAGAAATACACAGCAGGATCACCTCTGGCCCGAGGTACCCCAGCTACTCCATCAAATAGGCAACAGCCTGCACTACCTGTCCAAAATCCACACGAAATTTCCAATCAGAGGAGCTCGACCACGACCAACTGCCCTGACACCAGTCCCACGAATATAGCCAGCGGAACTGGCTTCCTTAGTGCTAGACGTGCTATACAGAAAATACCGACATCTCATGGACCCCCAAAACCTCCTCAGCTTGCGAACATGAGGCGCAGGAAACCCAAAGTGATTTTGAATGCACCCAACGAGACTTCAATAGGTCCTCTAAAGAAAACTGAAATCGACGACAAACTGGAGCGCCTTCAGAGAGAAGGAAAACAGAAGATTGGTCAGCAGCTCCGTGGCATTGACCTCCACGCAGCTGAAGGGCCTTCGCCCCTTGACCGTGCGCGCCAGGGAGAGGGAAATGATCCAACATCACCTGTCGCCAAGGAAATTTCCCTTGCTCTTGCTAAGCGAGATATTGCAGCATTATCACCCTCTTTACATGATTCTCGGTCAGGTAAGAATTCATCCGGCGATACAGGGCTAGATAATGGTGATTCGTCCGATAAAGCTGCATATCGTACCCCTTTCTCTGAACGTAATTCAGATTATTCAGAGCAAAGGAATAACCATCACTCCATGTCGGGGGGTGATAATCTTTCTATGTCAGTAGTCGACTGGCATCACCGCCCTTGGGACAGTCACTCAGGTCCGAAATATACCCATAGGTTTAAAAATTGGTTGAAGACAGTTGGAGAATTGGATCGCGTCTGGGTTGATACAAACAGCCTAGAGTTCAACGATGCAAACTATCATTCCAGTGGTGGACGTGGCACGTTTCACTCACCGGTAAAGTCACCTATCACATACCTTGATCCGGCCGACCCACAAAGTGCTGCGCATGCGCACGAGACGGCTAGTGGCTATATTCATAATTGGAATTCTCAGCTGAAACGGGAACGACAAGAAGCTAAATGGAAGAAAAATCAGATGGCTATGCAAATGCAGCTCAGTCAGCAATGCCGCCAACCCCTTGCGATAGAAATGAATCCGCACACGCCAAAGTTAAATCTGTACTTGCGACCTATAGAAACGAAGGATATCCCAGGGTTACTTAAGCTGTTCAATTCGTACATTCAAAACACTGTCCGCTGCGTCGACCTAGAGCCACTCTCTTTGGAAAGTTTGGAGGAGCGCATTGCAGAATGCGAGCGAGAGAAATTCCCAGCCCTCGTCGCTGTTGAGCAGAAACCACGCCTAGGTCACGCCCTGAGTGGCGAGGAGGAAGAAATATTCGGTTGCATTCTTGCATGCGACTTCACAGGCCCAGCGACCATCCATCGCTACACTGCAGAGCTGGAACTATTCGTTGACCCCAAATACTGTCGCCTACGCGTTGGAAGTTGCCTCGTTGATAAATTACTGGAAATCTGCGATCCTGACTACTACCCCAACCAGGGATATCATTTTGACTGCGCTGCAGCACAGGCTGACGTGTACCGTGCAGGTAAAAATCGGCAAGTGGCCAGATTAATATTCATTTTACACCACGTTGCGGACAATGATGGCGATTACCAATGGACCAAGGAGTGGCTAGTGAGTAAATTCGGGTTTGAGGAACAGGCCCTATTGAAAGGCACTGGGCTTAAAGAGGGGAAATTGTGAGAGAGCCCATTTTCCACGAGAGTACTTAATATTTGACTTACATGGCTGGACATAAACGGTTCAGCTCCATACGGACACGCAGCATGCTAATCTTTCCCCTTTTTTTGCCTTTTCTTTGGGAATTTTCTAGGTTAAATTCGAGCTATCTGGTTCGCAGTATCAGGTTTATGCCCGAGGAGGCCTAGGTCCCGAATTGTAACCTTCACTAAAAAGCAAATCACTACGCTCACGGCTAAAACGATTCGATGAAACTTCATTCTCGCGGTCTTCTTTTAACTATCGTCTACGCTCTTACAGTTCATGTCTCGTACTCCTATATGGCTCGTGGGTCCTGACCTCTGTTTGGATCCCATCGCGCTTGCCAGCCTACTGCGAAACATACTTGTGTGGTTTTATGTTACTTGAACATTTGCGATTTGGAAGTATATTTGTGTTATTACTCTATTCACATCTCTTTAACCCGTCCCTGTCCCTGTCCTGTTTCTTCACATTCCAAAAGAGTTCAGTTGAAGCAGCGGGGAGTTGGAAGGCGGAGAAGGAAAATGTAGCCCGCCTGCTCAGTATTACAAGGCTGGAACCAGGATAAAAACATGTGATTACTTAGGAAAGAGAACTCAAAAATTAGCGTCTTGTTTCATCTTTTTTAAACTTCATGTTGAATCTTTCAAATGTCATTGGCGCTTAGCAATGTTTGCATTCAATCGTGTTAGCACCCCCACATATTCCAAGGTTTCCTATCACTAAAACTTTATTCCGCCCTATGGGAGCCGAGTCCTGACTCCTAAGTACACGTCTTCTTCATGCCAAGAATACTCAGAAGAGAAGTGGGGCGGAGGAGGGGGAGTTGGGGGGCCTGGACGCCCGGTAGGGGTCGGGCTGGGGGCAAAGAACCGGAATCATAACTGGATATAACTAGAATGGTAAAAGAAAGAAAATGGGCATAGAAAAAGTATCTATGTTCTAATTTATTCTATTCTTAACGAGTGACTCAAATATGCAATCTATCTGTGTCCTATGCTATTCAATCCATCCATAAATTCTGAGAAAAAGAGAAAAGAAAAGAACAGCAAGCCTCCTTGATATCCTCTCTCCCGTACACTAGAGCCATCTAATCCCCTTCTATATTTAAGAGGTAGAACAGTCGCAGCTGCAGCTGAGAGGCAGGCTGCCTGTAGCTCCGATACCCGAGGCAACACCTGAGAGCTTGATCCCTGAGCCTGAAGCGAGAGCGGAAGGCGAGGGCGAAGGAGAGGGCGAAGGAGAGGGCGAAGGAGAGGGCGAAGGAGAGGGCGAAGGAGAGGGCAAAAGTGTAGAGGCGACATCGGGGTCGACTTGCTGGGCCAGAGCAGGCACAGCTGGGGTAGATGAAGCAGATGAACTGGCAGAGGGAGTTTCACTCGATGGTGAAGGGGCGCTGGGAGGCGCATCACCCCCACTCGAACCTTCACCGGGGTTTGGGAATTTAACTTCGTCGCCCTCGACAGTGGTCTTGCCGTTGCCGACGTTTGCAATGTAGATCTCTGGCAGTTTATCAAAGGCGGCTCTATCGCCGCTGCCGCCTTCGATGAGAACCGGGGCACAGTTCATGTACATTTCTCTGTTACCGATTTTGTTGAACCATGTCCATGCGAGGAGAGCTTCTCCACTTGGTGCGTTGGAGGGGATCTTGAAGCCATATTGCTTGTTCAGCGGGCAGCCACCAACGATCGACTCAATGACCCTGAAGGTATTGCCCTGGTCGTAGCTGAGGGAGATCTGGCAGGATCCGCCACCGTGAGCGGCGGTACCCTCGAGCTTGATATCTCCAGACCCGCCAGTCTTGTATATGGCAGAAGGCTTGCTGGCACTATCATGATGATATCCCTTGCAGGGGAAGTCAGAGCCTAGAAGTGAATATGTTAATTGTGCGAAAGGTGTAGATAGACCTCTTTGAAGTAGAAGATGAGTTATGGAAGTTGGGCATGGCATGTGCAACTAACCATCTGCAAGAAGGGGGGAGGTCATGCTGTAATCAACATTCCCGCTGGAGCCATGGCGACTGCGGAAAGGGGCCGGATAGCTCATTTCAATATGAGCAAATGCAGATCCAGCTGCGACAACAAGAGTGAGAAGGCTAAGGGAATGCATATTTGCAAGAAGGAAGGTATAAAGTAAATGCGAGAAAAGTATGTGCCTAAGAAAGAAAGGATTGTATGTGCAGCAAAAAGAGAATGAAGAACCAGCTTCCAAGTCTCAAAGAATGAGAGAAAAGAATGTAATGGATGAATTGGTACAGAGAACGGTGATATGAAAAGGATTCAACATTCCAGGGGGATGAAGGTCCCTATTTATGTCTTTTCTGAATCCCTGATAGTCAGCTGAAATATCCACTGACAAAAAAAAAGTGGAAAGAGAGAGAAGCGGAGAAAAAGTCAGAACGAAGGACACAGTAAAGGAATACAGGCTCCTTCCCACAAATCGTCTCCAAAAATCTCCCGGATGCAATTTTCTCACGACCATCTTGAATTCTAGAAGCCCATTACTCTGTTCCTGGGTTTTACCGATAGGTCGCTTTCCCCTGAACGGGCCCGCTTCCTGGTTGAATATCTAGGATGAGTATAGGTTTTAGCTCGTACCTACCAGCTTCTCGGGTCAGGGGAAAGTCCAGACACAGCAAAGCTTTGAACTAATACTTATTTGCCCGAATATCATGGAACGGTCAGCGATGAGGGATAAACTGCCGGAAGCGGGTCGCCCTCCGCTATGCGGGCGTAACGATGGGAACCCAGGGTATCGGGGTCCGTCGAGAAAACTAAATTTCGTCTGATGCTTGCGAAGGCCTTCATCAAGGGGTACTGGCCAATAGTTCTCCATTTCCTGTCACATTAACCTCTTCTGGCGGGGACAGAAGAGAAAATACGCTTTGTCTGATACTTTGCGAAGGGACCCCGCTAGGGGGAGGTTGGCCAGTGGGTCAATCTTCCCCGTCACATAGACCGTCTGATGAGGCCATTTGAAAAAATAAGCTTCATATGGCGTTTCACCGAAGGAACTACATTAAAGGATATCATCAACCAATGGGCTTTTTGCCCTACCACATTAACACTAGGAGGCGCTGTTTCAACCGCCCTGCAATCGGGTTTATAGTGCCCGGATCTCTACCGTGGTCTAGGCCTGCGAAGCAGCCTTGTCGCCACAACGCCTAGCGAAAGCATGTCCTAACCTCACTTTTCGTCACCCTAACAGGGATTCAAAAGTGAGAAAGCCGTCTCCAGGCGCAGCGCCTCGTCGGGAATTGGTGCCGTGATAACGACGAGGTCGATAAGTTACGCCTTGTGGGCAGTTTATGTCCTGCTAAAATCGTTTAACTTGGTGATTATGTTCTTGTCCCTTGTTAGAAGGCAAGGGGGAAAACGAAGGGAATGGCACCCGGGAAAACACAGTATTCCATCCACCCTTCAGTTTCCTTCGCTCGAGGCAAGTTAAACGGGAGGCCAGAGGTGAAAACCAGACGGGAATGTAGTATGGAAGTGCGGAAACGTGGCTGGTCGTGCGAATTCGGAACTGCTCAGCCAAATCCCGTCTTCAGAGTTTATAGCAAACTTGGTAGCAGCTAAAAGAAGGCCAACCCCAAGAGAACTTGGTCAGAAGAATTAATACATTGCCCTGACTCCCTGTCATTTTGCTTTTGCCTTATTTACCATGGCGGAAAGTCGCTTGATGACATTAACGCAGGCTTGATTCAATATTAAAACGGCTATGGTCTTATTGGAAATATCCATGCCTGCGCACGTCATCCAGATTTTTCCCATTTGATTCCTACAAGCATAATAATAAGTGAGATACTCCTCAAGAAGAGAGGGGGATGTACTGTACCTCGCCCTGGGTTCCAGGATACCAGGCTCCTGATGAGTCAGACTTTACACATACGTTAGAGTCTGAAAATTTTTTGGGAAGAATTTTGGTCTTTTGCGGCCGGATTGGCCACTCTAGTTGTAGATAATTATGTCTTAGATCAATGCCCTGTTTTCGTCGTTGCAAGTCGTTTCACGATGTTGACGTTGGAAAGGGACCAGAAGTTTTGTCACGTGAATTGGGCTGATATTCTGCTGCGCCACACCGCCTTGAACTGGGGAATTTTTCAGCAAGAAGCAAAACACTTTGAGTGATGGATCTTGCGCCGTTGCTACCTTCGTTCAAGCTCCCTTTCCACTTATCAATTTTGTTCCCTTTTAGTTTTTTTGCTATTAATTCCCTCTTGAACTACGGCAATTGAACGCCGACCTTTCAAAGCGGATTCAATGGCACCAATTCCTAGTAAAAAAAGTTCTGGTGATGATTTTATCTTAACTCTATCAGATGGCGAGAATTCGACCCTGCCCAATGGGGATGTCGACTTGGACGAAGCTGGAGATGATGAACTGGTTACCGCGAAACCATCGAAATCAAAATTGAAAGCTTTGGGCACCAAACGGAAAAGGGATGATGAAGTTGTGGCCAATGGAACTCAGAAAAAAAGGTCAAAAAAAGCCCAGAAAGAAGATAGGAAAATACAGCGACCGGGTCATGGTGCGGAGCTTAAGTCGAACTCCGACACTGAACAGGACGCAAACGAGAACGACGATGGGGCCCTGGACCCCGATTTTGAATTCGATGTTGGAGGTGCGGCACACGCCGATCTCGTGGAGGACTTCGATGGCTGGGGACTCGATGAGCGATATGGGATTAAAACTGATGGGAAGGGAAATAAAAAGGCGGTGGATATTGATGATATAATTTCCCGCAGGCGACAGAAGATGAAGCAAAAGTTGGAAAAGCAGAAGACGAAGGAACGGAAGAAAGCCGAAGAAGAGACTGGCGATGAGTTTACTGGGATTGATTCGCCGGATGAAGATGAACCAGCCAATGCTGTGGACTTCGAGGAGGATGAGCTTCTGGCTCCTGATGGATTTGGTATGGGAGCCGCAAGTGAATCAGAGGAGGAAGAAGGTGACCAATCCGCTTTGGTTGAGTCCTCCGACTCTGAAAACTCTGAGGGAGCAGCTGAACCGGATTCCGAGGAAGTGGATTTCGATCACGACTCTGTTGCTTCTCCAGTGCCACATCCTGACGATATTGCCTCAGACGATGACTCTGGCGACGAAAGTGAAGATGCTGCTGAAATCGAAAAGCAGAAGGCCTTCTTTGCCCCTGAAGAGAAAGCATTAACAAACGGCATCCTAGAGCCTGCAAAATCTTTCCAAGCATTTTCACTCTCGAGGCCAATCCTACGAGGTCTCACGTCTGTTGGTTTCACTACCCCTACTCCTATTCAACAGAAAACGATACCAGTTGCACTCCTAGGAAAAGACGTTGTCGGTGGTGCAGTCACGGGGTCCGGTAAAACGGGTGCATTTATCATCCCTATTTTGGAACGTTTACTCTACCGACCCAGAAAGGTCCCGACCAGTCGCGTTGCAATTCTGATGCCCACTCGAGAACTTGCTGTTCAATGTTACAATGTGGCTACAAAACTTGCAACATTCACGGATATCACCTTCTGTCAGTTAGTTGGAGGTTTCAGTCTTAGGGAGCAAGAGAACATCCTGAAAAAGAGACCCGACGTCATTATTGCTACCCCTGGCCGATTTATTGATCATATGAGGAACTCTGCAAGTTTCACAGTCGATACCTTGGAAATCCTTGTTCTCGACGAGGCAGATCGAATGCTGGAAGATGGATTCGCCGACGAGTTGAATGAAATTTTGACTACCATTCCCAAATCCCGACAGACAATGCTCTTCTCCGCTACCATGACAAATAATGTTGACAAACTCATCCGAGTCGGCCTTAACAGACCTGTACGGTTGATGGTGGATGCGAAGAAGCAAACTGTGGGCACCTTGGTACAGGAATTCGTCAGATTACGGCCGGGCAGAGAAGACAAACGGTTAGGCTATCTCATGGTTCTCTGTAAAACCATTTATAAGGACCGTGTTATTATATTTTTCCGGGCCAAAAAGGAAGCGCATCGTGTGCGCATAATTTTCGGGCTCATGGGCCTTAAAGCTGCGGAACTACATGGAAGCATGAGCCAGGAACAGGTATTTTCTTTTTGCTTCTTTTCTTTTTCTTCTTTTAATCTCCTGCTGCCAATTTGCAATATTCCATGGAAACAGAATCTGACTAGTCAATAGCGTATCAAAAGCGTTGAAAGTTTCCGTGATGGCAAGGTTTCCTTCCTTCTCGCCACAGATGTCGCCTCCAGAGGTCTTGATATCAAAGGTGTAGAGACTGTTATTAACTACGAAGCACCACAATCACACGAAATTTACCTTCACCGTGTGGGACGTACGGCGCGTGCAGGACGTTCTGGGCGTGCATGTACGCTTGCTGCAGAGCCAGACCGAAAAGTTGTCAAAGCTGCCGTGAAAACTGGTCGAGCACAGGGAGCCAAGATCGTAAGCCGACCTATTGACTCAGCAGAAGCGGACAAGTGGGCCGCTAAGGTAGAGGAGATGCAGGAAGAGGTCAAAGAGATTCTGAAGGAGGAGAAGGAGGAGAAACAGCTAGCTCAGGCTGAAATGGAAGTCACCCGCGGCAGCAATCTGATCAACCACGAGAAGGAGATCATGTCCAGGCCCAAACGTACTTGGTTTGAAACCGAGAAGGAAAAACTGCAAGCTAAGCAGCGCTCTCTTGAAGAGTTGAATGGGCCGAGTAAGAAGAAGAAAGGCAAGCTTAGCGGAAAGGATAAAAAGAAACTTGACGACACCCGCGAAAGGAAAGAAGGGAAAGTGTGGAAGAAAGGCAAAGCTGAGCGTGAGGCCCCGGCTAAGGGTCCAGCGAAGCTTAAAGATGGACAAAAGGGCAAGAGAAAGGCCAAACCAAAGGCTAGAGGGAAACCCCCCAGGCGATGAGCTGTAAACCAATGAGCCGTTTTGATCGCGGGCAACATCAATGTTAGCTACTTGCATTAGCTTTGTACTGTACATGTACATTACATGTACACTTGTTGATTTTCAAATATCGTCTTACATCATACAATACTATTTCGCTTTACTACGGCTTAATCTCCTGGTTGATTTCCAATCTTTCTGACATTGCCCTATATAACATCAATAATTGACATATTGTATTGGCCTCTGCTGGCTGCCCTGTCCAGGGCGAAGTGATTTCCTGAAAGCATCAATTAGGGCAGAAGCGGTCACGTGGAAGGATTCCGTGCTGACTCATCGGCATCTCCCCGCAATCCGATTTCGGCTGCAGAAAATTTGCGGTGAACGCCACTGACTCATTGCGGCGAAGGGAATATAATAACAATCTCTGAGTCTTCATTATCTACTTAAAAGACCATTCTTTCTAATAGTTGCCCGTTGATTGCTTGGGTTTCGTTGGTATAAGTCCCTTGTTAGGCGTTATTATTATATCCCTCTTCTATCCACACCCGCAGCTTAATCAGTAACACCCCTCACCACCCCTCCTCCCCCGCCCAGCTTAACCAGGAACAACGCAGTTTAATCATTCACGATGCCAATGTAGGGTTATACCCCCCTCCTATTATAGCGCATGCTGAACTTGAAAGCTAACACTGCCCAATTAGGCTTAAGGACCCCTCGAAAAAATATAGGCGCTTCAAGCCCTTGGATCTTCCCAATCGGCAATGGCCTTCAAAGACGCTGGACAAGCCCCCCCGGTGGTTGGCTACTGACCTCAGAGATGGCAACCAGAGCTTGGTCGACCCCATGGTTCGTATGAAATTGAGATGCTCCTCGGCTCAAAAGCTTATTCTTTTCTTTTCGTCCATCAAATAACTAGACTAACCAGTGTATTGGACGGCTTTCAGGATGGGGACCAAAAGCTTCGGTATTTCAGAATGCTTGTAGAGATTGGATACAAGGAAATTGAGATCTCATTTCCATCAGCTTCGCAAACAGATTATGATTTCACTCGACGTCTTATCGAGAACCCCGATGAGGTACCAGACGATGTTTGGCTACAAGTTCTTTGCCCTTGCCGGGAAGACTTCATTCGACGGACAGTTGATTCCCTCAAAGGGGCCAAAAAGGCCATCCTTCATCTCTACCTTGCAACAAGCGAATGCTTCCGCAGAATAGTATTCGGCATGTCGAAACAAGAGAGCTTGGAGATGGCTGTACGATGCACGAAGTACGCTCGTTCGATCACAAAGGACGACCCTTCAACTGCAGGAACCGAGTGGCTTTTCGAGTTTTCACCTGAAACCTTTTCAGATACGGATCCTGATTTCGTCCTCGAAGTTTGTGAGGCAGTGAAAGCCGCTTGGGAGCCAACAGAAGAAGCGCCACTCATCTTTAACCTTCCTGCTACCGTCGAAATGTCCACCCCCAACGTTTATGCGGATCAAATTGAGTACTTCTCGACACGCATCTCCGAGAGAGAGAAAGTCTGCGTATCTCTACATCCGCATAATGACCGCGGATGCGCAATTGCAGCAGCAGAGTTGGCACAGATGGCTGGTGCTCAGCGGGTTGAAGGCACCTTGTTCGGAAATGGAGAACGAACCGGAAACGTCGATTTAGTCACTCTGGCCCTCAACCTCTATACACAGGGAATCTCCCCAGGGGTGGATTTCTCAGATATCAACTCCATTATAAAGGTAGTGGAGGAAAGCAACAAAATCCCAGTGAATGAAAGATGGCCTTATGGTGGACAATTGGTCGTTTGCGCCTTCAGCGGCAGTCATCAAGATGCTATCAAGAAGGGCTTCCAGCTTCGTGAAAAGACCAACGCAACGGGCGAGGATAGGTGGCAAATACCCTACCTCCCCATTGACCCAGAAGATATCGGTCGCAACTACGAAGCCATCATCCGTGTCAACTCACAGAGTGGCAAAGGTGGCGTTGCCTGGGTTATCCTCCGCAGTCTTGAACTGGATCTTCCCCGCGGGCTACAAGTTGCATTCAGCAAAGTCATTCAGAAGCAAGCCGACAAGCTTGGCCGTGAGCTCCTGCCCAAAGAAATCGTCTCCCTTTTTGAAGAGGCCTACCATCTCAAGCAAAACGCCCGTTTCTCCCTGGTAGACTACAACATCACCACCGACCGTTCACAGTCCCCCGCACCTCCAGAGCCCGGTAAAGCACTCAACACCAAGAACCTCAAGCGACGCTTTGCTGGCATTATTGAAATCGACGGTATGCAACACGCCATCGTCGGCGTCGGCACCGGTGCCATTTCTTCCCTCGCGAACGCCCTAAAATCCCTAGGCATTGACCTCGACGTTGTCGACTACAAGGAACACGCTATCGGGGCCCATAAAAACACCAAAGCCGCAACATACATCGAGTGCACGTCCTCATGTAGTCCAGACAAGGTCTGGGGTGTTGGTATCCACCAGGACGTTGTCCAGGCGAGTTTGACTGCGCTTCTGAGCGCTGCTAGCTCCGTAAGCCCACTACCCCAATTTCGTTAACATTCTTAATCCCCATTCCCGCCGATCCAGTCAACCCCAACTAACAACGTAATTGCTTTTGTTTTTCTTGCTGATACAGTTCCTCACGTCTCGGGCATCTACCCCCGCGCCATTCCGCCCCGCCAATGTAAAACCACTTACAGAAGCAGATCTTGAAGCTCTGGAGCAGATGCAAGGCCATACCGGACCAGCCCGAGCTTTGGTACCCGACAACGCTAATGTTGGCGTAGCACTTGCGCAGCAAAAGGTGGATATCGAGAAACTGGAAGCCCAGGCGAATAACCTGGGTTCTGTAAAGCAAGGATAACCATCTTCTTCTTCTTTTATTTTTTCTTTAAGAAGAAGAAGAGAAACTTATTTATACGCAAGAAAGGCAGGCATAAGATAGAGAGAAGGGCCTTCAAGCATCATGATAATAAGTAGGGTAGGGCGAAAATTTTGTTCGTCATATTGGGAATCACACTCATAAAAATTTTTATATCCTGTTCGGTCAAATCGTCTACGGATATATTTTTTTTTTCTTGATTTTTTCTGGTTACGTCTAAAAAGCAAGCTTTGGAAATTGCTTGATTCACGGAGATAAAAGCATGCAATGCGATATGGATAAGAATAGGCCCCAACGGGATTTAAGGGTCGACGAATTTTTACGATTTAATTTTTTAATAATTCATTCTTTTCTCCCTTTTTTTTTTTGAACTTTGACTCATAATCTGTACTTCAAAAACATTTTGATACTTCTAGAAATTTATACCCGCACCACAGCGATCTACCTCTCCTATCGTTATGCCCAGCCTGCTAGTGATCGCATGACCATATCCAGCGGCTAGACGCGGAGGATCTATAAGAAAGAAAAAAAGCTTTGTATTGCAATCCCATGCGCGGATTAGATTTCTCCGGCCGGTAGCCATAGTAAAACTTGCAAGATCCTATAGTCATTAGATAAATAGGGAATCATAGATGAAGAAGACCCCTCGACCCTACACCAATTAAAATAAAAATAAAAATCATAGTCTAATAGCAAAAAAAGAGGCCAACAAGCATGAAAATGCCAAACTACCTCAGAACGATGCGCATGGGATGTATGTACAGCACAGCAATTCATCATATAGAGATAGTTGGGGTCAAGGAACTTTAACGCAGGGATATATTGGGGAGTATATTTAAAAAACACAAAAACAACGGGGTCATATACATGGGGAAAACTCAAATTAATACTTCTTCCCTCCAAAAAGGCAACGCGTTTCACGCCCGAACAACATTTTAAAATGATAAATAGCGGCATACATAGCCTGTAAAAACAACCAAAGAAGCAAAATGTGGCCAAAAGCGTTTCATTATCACCCTTTCCATAATCGATGTTGAAGAGAAACTGTGATATGCACAAGACTTAATTATCGCCTCTCCTGATTCTGGCTCTGATTCTGATACAATATCGCCTCCTCTGGCCAATCATTTCCCAAGTAGTCCTGCCGCCGATATTGGTCGGTGTCACATTGATTTTGGCCTTGCCGCTGTCCATGGCCCTGGTTTTGAGGAAGGTCATAACCATGCGTAGAACCTGCCATTTGCGGTTGATGGTGGAGATAGCTATATCTCGCCTGCTGGCTGGGAAGTGAATCTCTGCTATCGGGATGCGGGTTGGGATTGCTATGGTTATTTTCGGGGGGGATGATGTCCAAGGACGGGATGGGGCCTTGAGGATGCTGCTGCGAGTGCTGGTGGTGGTTTTGACCTGCGCTTTGACCTGGAGTGCCACTTGATAAGTAGGCGTCGATATCAAAATGGTCGTAACTTGTGCGTGGATCATCGTCCCCATTATTATCATTCTGGTAATGGACATCTCCTGCGGCTAATGGACCAGCAACAGGAAGGCTGGTGTACTTATTATTATTATTATTATTATCCTGGTCGTCGGGCTCTTCCGGGTTCACAATGGCCAGACGAGTGGGCCTTTCAGCAGGTTCATCATCATCGTACTCATAATCATCAAAGAAGTCTTTCGATTTATCGTCGAAAGGGAAGTCGTAGTTCAAGGGGTTGTAGGAGTTGCGGGCAGTGTTCAGGTTATCATCATTTTCGCGAAACGAGGCTGCGCGGGGCTCAGGACTAGCTGCGGTTGCGGGCAGAGTGAAGGATTCAGCAGGCTCTGCTGGGACTGGACGTTCAACAGCGGAGGCGGACTCTACTTGGCGTGGCGGAGCAGTGACTTCAGGTTCTTGATGCGGGGTTGGATGTCGACTTCCGGTTTCGGCGGTGCTGGGAACTCTAGGGGCTGTCCGGGTACGTTCAGGCAGGTCTATGAGGTGGCTGTCGAACCCTTCACCGTCGCGAATATTGAACTGCGCAATGGTTTGCATCTTTCGAGTCACCCAAGAAGCTAGAATCTTGCCTCTTTGCTTCTCACCCAGGCGGGATCGAGGGAAATCACCCCGTGGCACAAATGCAATAATATCTGCCACAACCTGATGCTCATTAAGAATTGCATTCAGGATCACGGGGACTAAAGAAGCTAAGTATGCTTTTCGGGTAACTTCAATGAGAGCTACCACGAGATTGCCAGCTTGGAATACGGCGCTTTGGGGCAGTTAGCAGACGAAAACCTAATAAATACATCAAAGGGAGAAAAAAAATAAAAATAAAAAATAACACCCACCTTCCACCAGGGACGACGTTACGATGACATTTTTCAATTGTCGACTCAATGTCCACGGGGAAATGGTTGAGACCATTGATTTCAAAAGTCTCCCCAATGCCTCCCAAAATAAACAGAACTTGCATCTCCACCGGTTGGCCGCCAGGACCGATTGGCCGCGTGACAGTATGCAAGAATCCCAAATCGCCAGTGCGAACATAGACAGCTGAAGGGTCTCCATCAACCACACGACCTCTAAACCTCTCCAAGTCAAACTCCTGCTTCGTCCCGTAGAATGATTTTGCGCACGCTTCAGACTGGACCCAGATTTCGCCATACTCACCCACGTGGGCAAGGCAAGAAGTATCGGGGTTGACAATGGCGATTTGCGTGCTCACAGGTACCATCCCTGAATCTTGCACTAGCAAAGCATTTGGCTCAGAGTCCGGGTCAACAGGATAGATTAGGCCCTGACGAAGGTACTTGGTATCCAGCCACAGCTCGATAGGCTCTATACACATGTAAGAGCGGGACACAATCATAGGATTAAGAACATGCGAGTAGATTGTGTTGATAGCGGTCCGGTCGAGCCCTGCAGCGGCAAAATGCAAACGAATTTTTTGATCTGTGGGGTGTCGGAATTAGCCTCTCGAACTACTGTAAGACAGGGGGGGGTGGACGTACAAATATCCGCCCTGGGTCTGCCGTCAGATGCAATCATCAAATTCTTCAATTCATGCAACTGGAACCCCTTCGCGGCCATGCTGCCCATGGCGTAATCCAACATTTGACTCGTTGCATAAGTGTCTTTGATCTTGTACCTTGCCAATGCAAGGAAAAGGGAGATTGGATTAGTGGCATAATCAACGGGGGAGAAGAGGTAAGTCGGAGCACCTATCCATTACACCATCAGTTTAACTCCTTATTGGTATTATTGCGATAAGAACGAAAAAGTAAGCTCAAACGTAGGAGGAAAACTTACCGACATAAACCCCCATCAAACAGGTGTGTATGAAGCCGAGACCTATCGTACTACGGACACTACCTAACACTGGGCGAGAGCTCGTCATTTGGCAAGTTTCCTTCTGCACCTTACACATTCCCATAATTGTATCATGTCCAATATGGACGGACATTCTCCTTTGATCAGGGGTCCAATACGTCCAAACCATCGCCGGCTTGCCAGACTGGAGCCACTCCTGTTTCATGGTCAATCCAAGGTGGCGGCAGCCGTGTGATTGCTTCGGTGGCCTCCCCGTATTGTACGTGGAAGGAAGATTGATGCGAAGGACATTGGCTGACTGTTTTATATGTTGAGAAATTGCCTTTTGCTTCAACAAATCGTTTACATCGCTATTGACAAGAATTGCCCGGACGTGAAAGTCGGCGACTAGATGAAGGAATGCTGGAGCATCTTCTGAGAGGCGGTTCTGGTCGATAGGCGCCATTGGTAGGGCAACCACGCCAAGACAGAAACAGGCATGGACGGCGTAAACAAACTCCTCAGAGTGCGTATACATGAGAATGACATGGTCACCAGGCTTGAGTTTAACCTTATTCTTCAGATACATAGCAACCCCTGCAACCTTCGTATCGAATTTCTTCCATGTAATTCCCTTGCCCTCTCTACCACGCCCGTCAATAGAACAATAAGAAAGTTCCTCCGCTTGTTGTGCAACCCGCCACTGCAGCAGGTCAACAATACTGTTGAAATTGTTCAATGGGGTAGAAGTCCGGTCGTCCATCACGACATCTCGGTAGTCAACGCCTGAGTATTGTTTGTCCTGCATCACAAGGGCACCTTGTCGAGCAGCCGACGACGTGGGCGACCATATTCCGCCTACAGGATCAACCCCGATGGGAAGGTTCAAAACAGACCTTTCGACGCCGAACTTCACATGGACGCACGGCAGTGAACCGTTGTCAAATTCTTTGCGGCATAACATATTTCCAATTTCCTGTCGTCCGTTCTTCGTGACTCGTGGCAGCGTGTTCGGGGCAGTGATCATGATGCAGAATACCCGAAGGTGATGCTCTTGGTACAGGACCTCTGCACACCGTTCAGCAAGCGAATCCAAGAGGGCTATGTCTAGTTGTCTCGGCGGCCCTCCAGAGGTGGTCGGTGCGGTTGAAGCAGCGTAAGATTCTAAAAGGACGACAGGTAAATGCTCATCATTAACAAACACATCGAACGCCGAGCAGTCGTGGATTTTAGGTACATTCTTCATGATGCTGATAATCAGGTGTTGGACGAAGAAATAGCGGTGCTCTGTAGCCTCTGTTCCGTGCTCAACCCACTCGACCTTTTGGCGCAATCGGTCTTCGTACAGGCCGAGAACAAATATTTTGCCTTCGATAATACATCCCAAAAGCCCAGTGCGAAGAAATTCGGGCTCCACAACCATGGGAGTAGGGCTACCACCCTGGAATCGATAGGGTCGAGCATGGAATATCGCCTCAGTATGTTTCGGTAGCGCCCAAAAGCCGCCCGAAAGTGAAGGTGAGTCGACCCAGATCTCGCCAATGATGTTCGGAGTGCAAAGTAATCCAGTCTCCGGATCAACGATAGCCAACGTGGCATCGGGAAGAGGGTATCCAAAAGCACCAACTCGAACAGTATTAGGCATGGTTTCAGCCTGCTTCCGCGCTTCCTCCCCCATCGCCAACACGACAACTTCGTTATTCTTAAGAGCCTCCTTGTCAAGTAGAACCTCATCCAAATCAGCTCTAGCACTTTTAGACTCCTTTTGGGTCGGAACAGCAGTTCCACCAATCAAACTGCTTCCAAACCCGGGCTTAGACGTTTCAGTCTTCTCCTCCTTCTTTGTTTCATTTGATTCAGCTGGTCCTGCAGGGTCCATCTCGTGCGTAAGAGGACATCCCATTCGCTCCTCACCACCAAGCCAATCGCGAACGCTTATAACCATGCCACCATGTTCGGGCAGGCAGAGCATTGGAGCAACTAACTCTCTGGCACGCGGATTGCGAAGAGGACGCAGCCATCTGTCGGCCAAAATCTCATGGAATTCAGGGTCGACGGTGAGAGCATCGATCAGACAGAGCTTTAGGCTGGAGAAATTCGGCTCAGTGCCCTTCTTGAAATTCCTAGTTGCCATTGGATCTTGCTGGTAATTGTAAGCAGCACGTTTCAAGCCTGGGTAATCGGCTGCCATAAGTGTAGCCCTGTATTTGGTGATTAAACTAGCGTAGAGACCAGGTGTCTCGACAGCCCGAGCTTCTAGCCAGACAGTGGTATGCCCACCGTACACCGTAAGAAGAACACCCAGGATCATACCTATGCTCTGTCTGGGATCAAGATAACTGATTAAGGTTTCACCATGCGGTTTGGCCTGGCGTGTGCCATCAGGAGATGCAGATGCCACTATCGCACTAAGGCAAGTCATCTGGTGCATTATTGTTCGGTGGCTCATCACAACTCCGCGCAAATCGCCAGTAGGAGCTCTTGAGAACTCGATATAGGCTAAGTCAGGAACAACAAGGGCAGGAGTATCATCTTTCTTCTTTGGATGGTAACTTCCAAACTCATTAGTCTTCCACCATTCCACTCCTCTGGGCCAAGTGAGCTTCTGGGTTGTGATATCTCTCTGGAAGTTTTTAAGGTTGTTCTCAGTAGTCAAAGCGAGATGAGCCTGGGTAGATGTGAGGATAACGTTGAGGTTAGCGTAATCTTCAAGATTGTTGATCGGGACAGCCACCACCCCTGCAATAAAACAACCCAGAATCGCAACGGCAAACTCAATCACCTCAGCGTCTCGGTATATGAGCGCCACCCGATCTCCTCGATACAAGCTGCTTTTGTCACGTATGACTTGCGCAACTTTCTCCGCCCGACTCCCCAGCTTTTCCCATGTAATTGACGCGATTTCCTTTCCGCGCTGATCCAGTACCCAGTAAGCTGGCTGTTTTGGATGAGTCCGTGCACGATGCCGCACGACTGCGGGTAAATTATCGAACTGCGACATAGAAACATTAGGATTGTGAGGATCATGGACTTCACAGGTCACATCTCGGGGTTCGAGGGGCAACAGGTGATCGACGACTGGCCCATGCGACATGTCGACTGCATTCATGAATGGTGGCGCCATATTGGCGGTTGGAGAAAAAGGTTCGGTTTGGGTCTGGCTTGAGTATCGGTGGTAGCCGCCGCCGTAGCTGTCTCTGTGATCCTCACTTTGTTGGCCCGCGAAGTCCGAGAAAAACGCCTGCTGTGAGTCGAGCATGGTAGACTGTCGCGTAGGCCCTCCGCTACTACCTGGCGGGCCGTACACACTAGCATGCGGATCGCCATAGTCGGGCTGATCGGTTGGGTTAAATGCGTAATTGTGGCTTCGTAGGGTGCCTGATCGGGAGGAGTCGTTATTCCCCGGCTGGCCGGGACCTTTAGGGAGGAAAAGAGAATCATAGGACGCCGACGACGGCTGCCTCTCAGATCGGAACGAAAAACCCAGTTCTCTTTCCTGGATTTGCGCCAACTGGTTCCCGCTTTGCATCGAATGGGAAGCACTCCCAATAGAATCTCTTGCACTCATGCTGTCCGTGGCTATGCGTTCCTGCTCTCTACCAATAAAATTGGCAGGCAGGGAGTCCGAATGGCGGCGTTCATCTGACAGAGTCGAACTGGCAGGACGACTGCCTTGCGACGACGATGGAGGGGAGTATATACCAAGTTGAGAGACCCGATGGCCAGCAACTGTTGGACTCCCGATTCTCAAGCCTCTATCTGCGCGCTTGCTGTTATTCGAGGATAGGTAGTGGGATAGAATTAGGGTGCGACGCTTTTCGTATCTTCATAAAACGTCAACTAGATGCTACAAACCAAAAAGCTTTGACAAACCAACCCCCCCTCCCTTCTTCATCTTCCTTTTGTTCTCACTTGTCTTTTAACTTCTCCTCCTTGTTTGTCGTCTTTGAAACCAAATGCCATAGAGCGACCGGCGTCTAACCGGCGTCTAACCGGCTAGGACCATGCGCACCACTGACCCCGGGGGCAGGAAGAGACAAGAGGGAATAGGCAGAAAGAATGGAAGCGACGGAAATTTTGCTTACCCTTTTTGAGTGATCTCACCGTCCTACAAGGAACCCGGGATGTTTATCAGTCACTGTCATGGGAACCAGAACTTGCAGGATGTCACGGTAGTACTCACCTCCAACTCCTGGTCCAGCTGCCGCAGCGCGATCTGCAACTCCGCGTTCTCCTCAGCCATAATCGCGGCGAGTTGGCGGCTAGGGAACAGTCAGAGTAACGAAACCTCCCAGAGAACTGACTGATGGAGCATTAGCAGGAGCAGAATTTCAGGACATCGGAGGACCGGCCTGCCCAGGTCGATGAGAAACACAGCCGGTTGTTGTGCGCACGACTTGGGGGAAGATAGGGTTGGTGAAACTCGTGTGTCAGGGACAAAGCGGTCGGAGTTTGTCTCAAGCCCGCTCCTCGAGGCTGAAACACGCGGCGGCTGACGCACAAACGTTTTTGCGGGGTTGAAGCAAGATAGGCCGCTTTGTTTCGCGGAATGGCTGAGCTTAACTGATATTTCCTCAGTAGGTAACTAGTGTAGTGGGATGTTCTGGGCATCAGTTTTGAGGCATCATTCCTCATTTACTTTGACGATAACCAAACCCATGAATATATCTATATGTAGAACTTGGGTTCCTTTATCTAACAAGAAAAGCCAGAGAAATAATCAGGTGGTATGACTTTCGAATTACAGAGAACAGGTGCACAGCCACATTTGTAAAGCCAATTTTGCACAGTTTGTCAAGATGATAACTAATCCGACCTACCATTGGTTGCGCACGAAACTTCCCTCCTGACTTGCCATCGGCGCTACCTTCGTATCTCAACAGCCAAGGACTTAACCACCGATGAAGGTGCACGGAGTACAGAATAGACTGTGTATCTCATCGTCGATCGATGGAGTGAGTACGGAGTAGTCTGGGGGGTCGTGGCTGGAGTGGTGTGACATAGCATAGGTGCGTATTCCTTTGCACTCAAAATCCACCATGACTTGCTGATTTCAGCGTGTTGCCGCAGTTGCCCGTGATGCTACTTCGACTCTACCATCTAATCCCGCAATCCGTCCGTCTTCTTCTTTATCACCTTCTCCTACCAAATTGGCGGGCACCTTTATGGTAGTGGGACCTACCATGTCCGCGATGTCCAACGGTTACCCTTCAACCTGTATCTCAAACGGTCCCGGCTTCTTCGTGTCCAGTATGAAGCACATGCGCTCAAAATGGTTGCAAAATACACAACAGTGAACGCGCCGCAGGTTTTGGATTTCATAGAGTTGCCAGCAAAAAAGGAAGGTTGGCTGTTGACTACTCGCATTGAGGGCGACATTGCTGGGAAATGTCTCCAGACAATGAACACCGACCAACTGCACCAGTTCAGTATCGATTTTGGGAATTACATTGAGCAGATTCGGTCCATCCCAAATCCCTATCCTCCCCTTATCTGCAGCTCACTCGGCAGAGAGTGTCAGGATTGTCGGATCAACAATGAGGACGGCAGCACGGGACCCTATGACAACATCACAGATTTTAACAAGCATCTGATGGATATGTGTGGTCTAATTCCAGACCCTACTAACAGAGCTATGGTCACAGATGTGCATTCCCGCTCATACCGTGTCTTCTTTGCACATGCAGATCTCAACCCGGCAAATGTGTTGATACACAATGGGAGATTATCTGGGTTTGTGGATTGGGAGTTTGCAGGTTGGTATCCTGAGTATTGGGATTTTACCAAGGCCTGTTATATTGTGCGCGTATGGACACTTTGGTTGGAGACAATGAAAAGTGCATTTCCTGAATACCCTGATGAACTGAAAGCTGAACAGATACTCCGAGATCATACCTGTCCCTTCTGACCTGCTTATTGTATGGAGTGTTTCTTTGTCTCTAAAGCCCGTGGCGTGCTTAAGCGACCACCAACCTATGTTTCTTAACAGTTGGTCCACAAGTGGGGATTTAGACTTTGAAAATTCAAAGAGTTTCTTGAGCACGTCATACTCTCTTATCTTTTGTAGCAACCATTTCTTTTGTCTGAATTGCTCAATTTCAGACCAGAAAGAAGAGCCAGCACGAGGTTTTGTTGCATTGAATAAGAGCTTTAGCGCATGAGGTCATAGGCAGGTAAATCTGCAAATCTGGTTGCGAACTTGTTTGAGAGACAAGATACGCACAATAAGATCAGTAAAAAATTCGGTCCGAAATACGCGATATTTTCCAACAGGTTTTCACTCTGTATTTGTAGCTTACTTGTCCGTAAGCTATAGCAGTAGCGGCTACGCCTTGGGGTAAAAGGTGTACAAAACGAGGCAAATCCAAGCTAAGTACATGTACATGCACAACACTACATCACAAAGAAAACTCCAAGGCAATACATCTAGAATGATGCAACAACAAATTCCTTGCTCTATCTTAGATCGATTTGCATTTGCAATTTCATATGCTTTGGTCATCACCTCTGAAACATCTGGTGCATTCACAATGCCTGCATCATGTAGCCGTGCCACAGCATCCATCGCCCAAGCTCTACATCTAAACCCCGAATCCTGCGAAATCATACTCGGATCGCCCAAGATATGGTCGATTTGGGCATGCCCCTGCGGCAGGGGAACGGTTCCGACTCTCAGTGCCAATGCTAACATTTTTGAACGAACAAGATTGTTGGTATATTTGCGCTCGTAAGACCAACCGCCTGTCTTGTTGTTGGCGTGGTGAACGGCAACGCCCTGGCGCAGGTCGTCGCCGGTGACGTAGATCCCCCAATGATACTCCGTCGCGTTGACGGAAAGAGTGACGTAAATTCCGTTGGGTTCCATGATATCTTGAGATCGACGTTGGACCAATCTGTGGAAACCGCCGGTTGAAAAAAGGATTGAATTTAGTAGGTCGGAACTAACGACGTGTATAGGTTATAGACGAAGAAGACGCCTTGAAGGGAGCTTATATGTAGATTAAGATATAACGGTAGCAGTGGAATAGAAACTAGAGAATCGAGGTAAGTTGTTTTAGATTGGAAGACATTCAGGAAGTAGAACAAAGCGGAGTGATCTTATATAGACAATCCTAGAGGTGTTTCTATGGCACGCCGCCGTGAGTCTCACGTAAAGAAGGTGCCTGTGCGCAGACTGGAACATGTATTTCCCTGAGAACTATCGGCGTATACGGTGTCCAGCGTCCAATAAAGCAATAGGAATCAACGCATCGCATTTTTCACCAGTCGCAGGATGCACCATGAATGCATTGAGACCAAGATACTGCACTGCGAATGCTCGGATTGGTGGTGAACATTAGTGCTTGTCGCTCCGGATACATGCTCCGTTGTGCCATATTCGTGTATCGCTTCTCAACAGCCAATGACTTCAGGCCCGATATATGTATGGGTGGGAAGAGTTGTATTTACTTATAAGCTATGCTCGCGTTGGTGGCGAACATTAACGCTTCCAATGAGTTTCAATCTTGTCCTGATTCCGTCGTCTTTCGCAGTTGTAATGGAAGACGGGTGACCACGAAAGACCACCAAGTCGCCCGCCCTCTAGATCCGCTTCAAGGTTCTCCCGTCTTTCCAAGTCGCGCGTTCGTCGGCACGCATATCGAGAAGACGTGGAGTCGTGGAGTCGTGGAGTCGTGGAACTGGCATTTCCACACATGAAAAGTGTTCAGACCAATCAATCTAGAGATAGAATAGTGTAGTGAGAATCTCGGTCTCAGAGCGATCTCGGATTGGAACAACCCATCGCCGGGCTTCTCTGCATATATATATCCGACCTCCGCCGCGCGATCCATCAAGAAAGAGAATACAATCAACATCTCTCCAAGTGTTAAGTGTTCAAGTGATGATTTGTGTGTGTGGTATTTTCCTATGTGCTCAATTAAGTGATTATTCTTGTGTGTATTTCTATTCTTGTGGTTCTTATTTGTGGTTATTATTATTGTGGTTCCGCTGCTCCTGTTCTTGTGCCGCCAGAAGCACATGGAAAAGTTGGTTTTTCTTTGATAAATAGAGAGATTAAATCTGATCATTTTTCACATCATTTCTGAAGAAAATGATTCATTTTCAGATTTTCTTGATGCTAGGTCCTGCAGACGCCACAATTGGTTTGGTTCCGGGGCTCCAGGGGCTAAGAATTTAGCTTTGAAAAATCTCATCGATCCGCATTTCGTGTCGGAACGGTTCGATCTGATAGCAGATTTATGTATTTATTTTATGTATTTATCTGTTTTCAAAGTCATGATCTTGGCAGTTTTAATTCCATTCAACACCATTCTTTAAAGTAACTCAATGCATGCGGCAAGCGACGCAGCCCTGATTGGGGGACTGCTTCCTGTGTACGGTGTAGGGGGGGCTGGGGACCCGGCGGTTAATCGAATAAAATGAAGATGGAAAACATCTTCTGACAGCTGGTGAGATCACCACAGAGTAATTAGTAGTAGTAAACTTATGACCATTTAGTTAGCTCAACAATCTTTTATCCAAGCGATAGATATCCTTCCACCGACTGGCCCCCGACACAGCTGATAGATCCTTTCTCCAACTCAACTTGGAACGTTTCACTCCACTTTTCCTGTCAGATCTGCACAAATATGACCACTCCTCTGTACTCCTCCTGCGTTTATCTCCTGTGCTGAAACAACGCAGGCGCTGTCCCAGAGGGTGATGAATAAATAGTTAATGGCTTTGGGAGCTCTTTGCTATTATATGAATGGCGCTTAACTACAACGTATGGCTCTAATCGTGCTATGTATCCAGAGGATACAAGGCAATCATTTTGTCACTAAAGACGCGATATTGTTCGCATAAGCGATAACTACTTATAAAATAGCGATGCGGTGGAGGAAAAAGTGTTGCCAAAAGGTAAGTGGAAAAGCTCATGCCATATCATCTATAGAGTATGTATTTGAAAATCATGGATATAGACTTGCTCTACAATGTTATTGAATGTTCTAACTGAACGCCCAGTGCAGAAGCGCTGTTAAGCTTAGATAGGGCACACAGTGGACAGAAGATAGCCAAAAGAATTCGACAACGCCTGTAGGTAGCAGCAATGGCAGCAGCAGCAGCAGCAACATTCATGAGTAAGACATCTATCTGATGAACAGCCGCGCTCGTCTAGATCCTAGCCCTGTAACAAATCCACCTTTGGCCAAGACAACTTTGTCCAAACCAATCATGGATGGAATTACTGGCAGAATGAAGTAAAAACACTAACTTAACTACTAGTTTAACTCTGCTAGCAGTGCCTGGCTGTGCCTGGTCTGGATCACCAAACCAGGTTATCTATCATAGTTGAATGTGTCAGTTCTGGTCACAACCCAATTTTGACCTGGATCCATGGCAATACTATTAACTTACCTCATTGAAAAAAAGTAGTTAAGTTACATACATACATCTCTCCACCCCACCCAACACCCAGTTTCTTAGTGTAGAGGTGTGGACTAGAGAGTTAAAAGCTGGAATTAATATTAGAAAGAGCTAGAATGAGTTGGAATCTCAAAAAATATGAAAAATCAATATTATGAGAGAGTTGTAGAGATGATGTGCTGAATATGTCTAAAGCATCTAGTAAAGTTAGTTTAGTCAGGTGTCCCACATTATAGAAACCCTCGCTAGCTAGATTAAGTAAGTTAACTATAGTTATATAATAAACACAATATTGATGGCTGTGAAGGCCTTAGTAGTATTATTTATTATAAGCAACAAGACTGCTGATCAATGTCAATGTTCTAATTACATCTCCGCATTCAATATTACGTGCTTAGACATCTCTTAATTAGTATATTTGAACCTCGTGGTCAATTTACGATCAGGTAGAACCCCTGATTTGACAGAAGAATACATAGCGCAACGCAGGAGGCAGAACCTCCAAACACCAGAAGTGCAGTTGAAATTGGGTTGGAACCACACTGAGTTATTTTCTGGCCTGCGTTGGCACGCACTGCAATCAACTGGAACCCGCCCGCGTAGTAACTATGTCCCCACCAAACCATGCCAGCATCAAAGTGGACTGCTGCGCTTATCCAACCATAACTTCACGTGGGTGGTCGCATGCCAAAGATCTGCTACAAAAGAATGCGCCAAGAGCAGAATTATCACTGCAAACCTGAGATCCTCGCACGTGAACTGCTGCATTTAGCCCTGAATGGGAGCTTTCAGCTCTTTTTTTTTGTTGAAAAGTTGAGTCACTGATCGACAGTATAGTGCATGTCATCTAGCCATGCCTGGTTGGGGTCACAACCTACCTAATTGCCGTTTAACAGCGGCTGAAATATAGGACTCGAATAAGCTACGCAAGCTGTATTTCATCAGTGGGCTTTGACACTTCTTTTTTCCATGTTGTTGTCTTTAACAGGGCTGTGAAGGGGATTGACTCTACAATCCCATTCTTTTCAATTGCAGCGCTCAATAAACCTCATTCTTTGAAAAGGAAAAAATGTTGACGGCTCTTCTATCCCTCCTCGGCTTGCAAATAACATGGATTGCGGCGCCCATTTGGGCCTGCGACTCCTGCTATGGACCCTCGGATTACAATGTCCATAAGAGATTGGTCCGTCGCATGCAGCCAGAAGCGTTGAATGCGATGACGAAGCCCAAGGGTCCTCTCGAATGGGGTCAGATTAATTTCATCCATACGACGGACACCCATGGCTGGTTGGCCGGCCATCTGAAGGAACAGAACTATGGAGCGGACTGGGGGGACTTTGTCTCCTTCATTAGGAACATGCGGAAAAAGGCGCATGACTTGAAAGTTGATTTGTTGGTGGTTGATACTGGTGCGTTTATCTCTGTTGATCCCCTTTCCCTCTGTTCAGTTATTATATAGGTCAATGCTGGTTTTTGTTGCTGTTTGATACGAGTGCTTAGTTGAAAGCGGGATCTAAACGTGGCTCCGATTCTGGTTCTAGGGGACCTGCATGATGGCAATGGATTGAGCGATATAACGACCCCCAACGGCGCCTATTCAACAGATATATTCTCCCAGATCGATTACGATTTGCTCACTGTCGGGAACCATGAGCTCTATGTTACAGAGGTCGCATATGATACATTTGCAAACTTCTCAAGCGTATACGGGCCGAGGTATCTAACCAGCAACGTGCAGATTCTCAACGATGCCACAGGAGAATTTGTAGATTTGGGACACAAGTACCGCCACTTCACCACCACTTACGGGCTGAGAATCATGGCCTTTGGCGTGCTTTTCAATTTTCAGAAGAATTCAAACGTGTCTAGGATTACCAAGGCCGAGGATATGATTAAAGAAAAGTGGTTTACTGAGGCTGTCATGACTAAAGACGTCGACCTGTTCGTAGTGATTGGTCACAATCCTGTCAGAAACACCGAACCCAGCAGCACCCTTACAACCATCCAGCAGGCCATCCGCGGGATGCGACCTGATAAGCCCATCCAAATATTCGGGGGTCATGCACATGTTCGGGACTTTGTTGTGTGGGATGAGACTTCAACTGGCCTTGCGTCGGGTCGATACTGTGAAACCGTCGGCTGGCTCTCCATGTCTGGAATAAAGTCGCCTACTTTCAAGGGCAGCATGAAGCCTCATGGCGTACCAAACCCTTCAAGGAAAGCCATTGTAAAGAAATCGGCATGGAGCCAGGTTCCTAAACATAGTTGCCCGGAAGGAGAGCAAAGCATGCTGTATTCTCGCCGGTATTTAGACTGGAATCGCCTCACATTTGCGTATCACGCGGCTGGTTCGCAAGACCCCAAGTTTGATACTCATCTCGGGAAATGGGTGACAGGCGATATCACTGAATTCCGCAAGGCCAATAACCTATCTACAGTTCTTGCATGTGTGCCCAAGACATACTGTGCCACTTGTAAACCGTTTGGCGAGGATGGAAATATCTTTAAGGTTCTTGAAGAAGCCTTAGCTGCCACTGTTGTCAACCCGTCGCGGGCTGATAAGCCACGTCTGATCCTTACGAACACGGGGTCCATACGATTCGACCTGATCAAAGGCCCGTTTACATTGGATGACGCCTATATAACCAGTCCATTCAAAAATTCGTTCCAGTTCATCCCCGAAGTACCATACACGCAGGCAAAACAGGTCCTGGATATCTTAAATGCAGGGCCCTTCCAGAAAAAGCGCAGCGACAATCCAGAAGTGGACACATACTCGAGCTCGATGCTAGCAGCCCGCGAATCCTGCGTTGATCCCCCGTTGATCACGTCGAGGCAAATGAGAAGAGATCTGCTCAAGCCACGATCCATCACTCGCCATCGACAAGACGAGACTCAAATCTACCCCGGCTATACCACGACCGATGACTTTGGTACGGACGGCGATGACACGCCGCACTCCATGATCCCCCATTTCCCGCAGCCAAATGATGTTCAAGCGAATGCATCATTCCCTACGGACGGCAGTGAGCCTGAGAACGTCGATCTAGTATTTGTCAGTTTTATCGGGAAAAATTACGTGCTACCGGCAGTGAATCAGGCGGGTGGCAGTTATACAGCGGAAGATTTGCAGCTTTATACCCAACCGGATTTTACGGCGGATATGGTTCTGATGAAATATGCGGAGATGGTGTGGAAGGAGGGGGTTCCCGATTGCCCTGTTGCGCTTGAGCCATAGTAAATAATATAGATAGACGTAGATACTCAATAATGAAGAGGACATGGTAAAATAGACTTCAGATGCAATGCCAAGACATTTATCGGACGCGACTAGAATTGCCAAGAAGACACACGTGATTGCTGCCCTAACCTCAGAAATCGCCCACAAATGGCTGACTAACCCTCGCTTAGCCCGCACCTCAAATTCCTCACCAAACACTGACCTTGGAAAAAAAAGGAAGACGAAGAGAACGACGACACACGCCGACACGACGACGACAACGACGACAATTCCACCCGCCCACCCTTTCGTCCCCTTCCCTCGTCCAGGTTGTTCAACGGCGTCCAAACCCACACAACGAAAACATGTCCGACAGCGGGGAAGTCGAGGTCGAAAGCCCCATGGGGTACCAAGTCCTGCCTAAGGAAGTTGCCGCTGAAATCGGCAGCGTCAAGCTCTTCAACAAATGGAGCTATGAGGATATTGAGGTCCGGGATATGTCTTTGACGTATGTGTGCTTTGCATCTGCACTTGTGTGAAGTCTTGTATTTTTTCGGTGATTTCAGTTCTGTTCAAGAGAGCGGGCGGTGTTACAGGTGTGGTGTGGCATGCGCGGTATTGGCTGGGGATGAACAGTATGAAAATGTCAACAATCGATATAGGAGGAAAGCAGGGCGGGGGGAGGGAGGATGACGGATGCGCAGGGCTATCGATTGTTCAAATTGGTTTCTGTTTCTATTTGGTGGTATAGGCGCGCTGACTTCTGGAACTCTCGATACAGCGACTACATCCAAATCCGCCAGCCCGTCTACATCTCCCACTCCGCCGGACGATATGCTGTCAAGCGATTCCGAAAGGCTCAATGCCCCATTATTGAGCGACTCACCAACTCTCTGATGATGAACGGCCGTAACAACGGAAAGAAGCTCATGGCTGTCCGCATTGTTGCCCACACTTTCGAAATCGTACGTGCAAGATATTACATCCTACCCCTAACTCACCTTCTCTGAGTAATTGGAGCAAAAGAAGAACATCAAACAATTGATCGAGGGAGTTATCTGAGTTCTAACCGGGTCCAATTTTTTTGTTTACTCTATAGATCCACATCATGACCGACCAAAACCCCATCCAAGTCGCTGTCGACGCCATCGTCAACTGCGGACCCAGAGAAGACAGCACCAGAATTGGCTCCGCCGGTACCGTCCGTCGCCAGGCCGTCGACGTCTCCCCTCTCCGCCGCGTCAACCAGGCCATTGCCCTCCTGACCATTGGTGCCCGTGAGGCCGCTTTCCGCAACGTCAAGAGCATCGCTGAGTGCCTTGCCGAAGAGCTGATCAACGCCGCCAAGGGAAGCTCGAACTCGTACGCCATCAAGAAGAAGGACGAGCTGGAGCGTGTGGCCAAGAGCAATCGGTAAACGATTTGCAATTGGGGGCCGGGGGGGGTTATTGCTGGTTGTGTTGTGGAGGGGCGTGCCGGGGAGGATGTGGTGTTTCTTGTGTATGTTCCGTGTGTGTGTGCGTTTATTGCCATAATCTGCGGTGTTCGGTGGATTTTATTTCTCACGTTCATCTGCGATTTTTTTTTAACACAAAAGAATTAAAAAAGGGACCCAAATTTTTATATCTGGACTGGGTCTGTTGAAAGAACAGAAATACTCCACAACGGGACAATTTTTCTTTTCTTTTTGCTTATTGTTCCTCTACGTAGTTGAATGAATCATGAAGAAATTTTTCTTTTGTCAATTGAACAGGAAAAAGTCCGCCATTTTCTCGATTAGTCTGTTTACCCTAGGTCAGGCTGTCCTCGTTCACTGGGACGTTTGACAGCATCACATCAACTCCAAATGCAACAAAACCACACGAATGAAGCCAACATGACAGGACAAGGAAATAAAATAGAGAACAGAAAAACGATAGAGAACAGCGGAATAAAATCAAGAACCGAACTAAGTTCTCCTACCTCTTCATATCTGGATTAAGCTGAAAATCAGCTACTATTCATCTCAGGTTCCAGATTCTAACAAAATTTTAATATTCCAGTGACATTTCATGACGACATTTAGAAAGTTATAAGGTGTGAATGTATATTACTATCTCTAAGAAAAGCTCATGATCACGGTACTCTCATATCCTGAAGCCCAATTTATGCATGTGTCCATTGCCAGAAGGCTAAGAGGGCTATTGGATCAGCAACTGAGATCCCGGCAACTAAGAGAAATGGACAAAACCTTTTGTGTATCACATTCAGTAAACGGCACTAAACTCGACAGTACTCCCAAGAAGCAGATCACCGCTCTAATCAACCAAGACACTTCAAACACCGATTCCGGTTCTAGTCACTTGGAAGATGGCCGTAGCCGATCTCTGGTACAGCCTCAAGCTTATTTCCGCTGGCCATACTATCTTTTTGCCCTGTTGCCTTTTGGCCGAGTCAATCTTCTCTCCAGCATGTGTTGCGAGCACAAACACAATGTCGTCTTTCCCGCGAACATAGCCATGGCTAGCGACGTGAGTCCCATGTCGGAGTTGATTCTCGTCTTCGTAGCAAAGAGTCACGTGTGGACCCAAAGGATCTTTCTGGTTGTATGCCATTGATACTGGTTGTATCATGAACCTTCGGACCTGCAAACTTTTATCCAGACATTAGCTAGCATCTAGTAGGAATTCAAGAAAACAAGAACGCGTATAAGTATCGTTTGCTCGAATGCATTGTGTACGCACCTAATAAGAACCGCCTTCGGATAGAGCTTTCTATCTCTGGCTGTCTGATATGCCAAAGCCACAAGCTAGCGCAGGTGGTCTTAGTCTTTCGGGACCATGCCCTTGTAAAAATAATATTTCACCATATTGACCGTAGACATGGTTGCTTAGATGGTCTCTCGGATGGGGTTTGTCGCTGCAGAGGCAATACTTTGGAGCTTTGGGGTAAGGGGGAAAAATTGCAAGATGCAGCTGCATTGTATTTCGTCCAAGGCTGTGTCCGCTTTTATAGCCATGTTGGAAGCCGCAGCCTGCCTCGTGCACCAATTTCGCTTCTGGCAATCGCCAGGCCGTTTCATGGACTTGGATCCCATCGAATAATGCTTTTGATACTTTAGGAACAACTAGATAGGGAAGTCGAGGCACTGGGCCATCTCCTAGAGGTCATGCAGTATGCATATCAACTTGATCATGGTATCAAATCCTGGCGGGTATTTTTGACCATTATTAGGGCTCCTCATATTGGGACAGCAGCGGTGCTTGGTCTTCGACCAAGTATCCCGGTCATTTTGCACTTCAGTGCAGGAGTTCGATTGGACCTTGACGGCGTTGATGAGGCCCTACATAGTATGTTACAGCAGGGGTGGCTTTCTTCTGATTGCTGGTTGTCAGCCAATCGATAAACGCTTTGTATCAAGGTTCAGACTTTCTATTACCCGCTCCACCCGCTCCACCCACTGATCGGTCGCACCTCTCGGGTTGGCTGGCGCGTGTGTGTCAGGACACAATTCATCCAAGTTTGTGTAGGCTACTGGGGCAAAAGAGCTCAATCACCACCAGCGCACTGCTGGTAGAAGGGCCGATCAACCCGGGACCCCCAACAGTTTGAGCTACTATCATGTGCTTGATTTTATCGAACTTCTTTTGGCTTAAATTCTCCGCATGATATGGTGATGGGTCTATTGTCATCATTCGCCATTCGGTTGTCGCGCCCGCATTGTTTTTGCTCATCCAAAGGAAGTGGACATTATAACCGCCCTCGCTGGCCCTCATTGTCCTCTAGTCAACCATCCAGGAAAGATGATGATCCCTGTGATTCTAGATAGGTTCACCATTCACGGCACGAATGGCAACCATGCTTGCTACGTTTCAGCGCCAGCGAGCGCCAGCCTCTCCGGAGCGAAAGATGGCTCATGGATCCGCTTATTTCAGCTAGACGTAGCCAGGTCATTGGCTAGTTACGCAACTCGTTCTTGTGGTTGATTTTGTCCATGCCCAAGGAATCGTCCATGGAGACCTTCACCTTGGCAACATTCTTCTCAAAGTTCCGCGCAATTTTGACCAGCTGTCACTCAATCAATTATATGAGAAATATGGAGCACCGGAACTTGACCCAATTGTTCGTCTAGATGGCAACCCTCTTCCGCCTGGAGTTCCGTCCCACGGCATTGCGCCCATTTGGTTGGGTGAAGCGAGTGAGAAAATCACACTTTCAGAAGCCAGGATCCTGCTTACGGACTTTGGTGAAGCCTTTTCCCGCTCAAAAGAACGGAAATACGAATCCCACACCCCCCTTGCTATCCGTTCCCCCGAGGCGCGGTTTGAACCAAACAACTCTCTATCTTTTCCATCGGACATTTGGACTCTTGCCTGTACCATATGGTCAATCGTCGCCCAACGACCATTGTTTGAAGGGTTTCTCATGACGGAGGACGACATGACCCGTGAGCATGTCGATGCTCTTGGTATTTTGCCGCTTGAATGGTGGAGAAAGTGGGAGGCGCGACGACTGAAATTTACTGAGGACGGTAAGCCAATAAACCGCAACCCTTTCCGATCCTGGGACGATCGGTTTGAGGATAGCGTGCAACAGCCCAGGCAAGAGAGTGGCATACCGTCGTTTGATGCAAGGGAGAGGGAAGCTTTCTTCGACATGCTACGTCCGATGTTCTCATTCAGACCTGAGAATCGCCCTACGACCAAGCAAATTCTCAAGTCAGAATGGATGCGAAAATGGGCTCTCCCTGAATATGGCAAAATTCAAGATGTTGTATAAATTATTCTGGGATGGGACTGCATTATCATTTTTATCCGCCTATGAGCATAAAACGACGTTTTTCCAGCGCGTAAATAGTTGATCCCTCTACTTATGTCACTCTGCGCCGTGCTCCTCCTTCAGCAAGAGCCCCTCCCTTGATTTCTTCACAAATCATCTCCCTAAAAGTAGGGCGTGCGCAGCAGGAAGATTGACCTTGATATTCCATAGGCAAAAGCATCACCTGCGAGAAGAGAAATACGCCCTTAACCACCGAATCAGCCCGTTCTTCTTGTTGGTAAATATCGTGTAGGGATAGCAGCTCCATAAGGGCGTGATTTTCTGAATGTAATTCTCCTTCACCAAGTTTACCGCGGCTGTATAATCTACCTCCGTCTTCCCCGGTAGGGAGGTTATACCGGCGTAGAATGTCTTCCCTATGAATGAAGCACCCACGGTATTTAGCAATGGGGGTGTTTGGGAACCAGTTAGTCCTGTAGGTGCAGTCTATCCACAGCATGCAAGGGTTTTCCCATCACTCGGCGATGTTGGGCGACTTTAGAAGCGGCATCGAAGAAGGCATTTGAAATCGGTCCAGCTTATCGAGGTGGTTCAAGTACAACTGAGCTGACGGGAAGCATTGTTTCCCACGGCCTATGGTCGTATGTGATAGTGATTAGAAAGATGAGTGTTCATATATAGGTAGAACAAGATTACAGAAATGAGCTACATAGCCTTCGAAAACATAGACTTTTCTCTTAAAAAAGAAAGAAAGAAAGAAAGAAAAGAAAAGAAAAGAAAAGAAAAGAAGCCAGATTCCCTCGTCGTTGTATAGTTATAGTGTTGGACTTCGGTGGTTCCGCTCCGCTCGGAGTTATTTAGTTTGCATCAACTAGCAAAAAAAATAATAAGACTTGGCAAGAAAATCCGACAAGCTTCACAACCACCATACAACATATCTTATCATCCATACCCCAGCCAATCCACCAGCCATGGGGAAACGCAAATTAGGAGCCTTGGAAAAGGTGGATGCTGACCTGTAAGGATTGATAAGAAAAAACTGCATTTCCTCTACTCCCTTCTGCTGCGAAAATACGCCGGATGAAAAAGAGCAGAAGCTAACGTCGCAAACACTCTACAGGACAAACCTCCAGCATAAGATTCGGCGAGACCCACAGTCCTACATCGAAGATTTCCGAAGCCAACACTACCAATATGAAAGCCACCGGGAGATATTCATGGCGGCGCCCTCGTCCGCAACGGATACGGGAATAATTTCGTTGCGTGACCTCATTGAATTTATCGCGCATGTCGCCGACTGCTACCGGGACATCACGAAGAATTTCGCCAATGAGTTGACTGAGATTTTGACACTGCACCATGCGGTGCTCGAGCCGGAATTGAGAGAGAAGATTGTGGGTAGTCTAGTATTGTTAAGGAAGAAGGAGATTATTGATTCTGCTACGTATGTGCCTGTTGCTTTTCAACTTCCCTTTTGCGGATTTGATAGATGGACTAATGTTTTGTAGACTCCTACAAACCCTTTTCCCTGTCCTAGTCTCCACCCCAAGCAAGACTCTCCGAGCATTCATATTCCAGAAAATCCTCTCCGACCTACGCACATCGAATTCGAAATCCGTAAACCACAAGCTAAACAGAACCGTCCAAACCGTCCTCTACAATCTCGTGACCTCTGATAGAACATCCGTGAAAGCTCTTTGGGCCATAAAAATCACAAGAGAACTATGGAAGCGGCAAATATGGAACGATACCAAAGCAGTGGAGATCATGAAAGAAGCGGCGCTGGCGGATAATGAGAAAGTGGCAGTTGGTGGCGTTCGGTTTTTCCTTGGCGGCGATAAGGAAAGAGAGGAGTTGGAGGACGAGAGTAGCGATGATGAAATTCCTGACGTATCCCAGGTACGCCATCAGGTTACGATTAACAAGAAGAGCAAGAAGAAGGCACGCCAGATAGACAAGGCTATTGCAGCGGTCAAGAAGAAGGAAAAAAAGAAAAATCAACCCCACCCGCTGAATTTCTCTGCGTTCCACCTTCTATATGACCCTCAGGGCTTTGCGGAGACGTTGTTCTCGAAACACCTGCAAAATACGAAGTCCAAGCTTAATCTGGAGCAGAAATTACTTGTCTTGCAGCTTGTCTCCCGGCTGGTGGGCTTGCATAAGCTTACGATGATCCAGTTATACTCATACTTTCTTAAGTATCTAACGCCAAAGCAACCATCGGTCACTTCATTCCTGGCCTCTCTAGCTCAATCAACACATCCGCTCGTACCGCCCGATGTGCTCGAGCCACTAGTTCAGAAAATCGCAAATGAGTTCGTATCTGAAGCTGCCGCTGCAGAGGTTGCGTCCGCTGGTTTAAACGCGATTAGAGAAATATGTGTCAGACAGCCACTTGCCATGAATGATACATTGCTCCAAGATTTGGTCATGTATCGGAAAAGCAAGGATAAGGGAGTTATGATGGCTGCAAAGGGGTTGTTGAGTCTTTACCGAGAAGTAGGCGCGGAGTTATTGAAGAAAAGGGACCGGGGTAAGAATGCAACAATCCAGCTGAAGGCTGGGGAGCGGAAAGATATCCGCTTTGGAGCGGAGGACGCTGGTGAGATTGAAGGGATTGAGTTACTAGAACAGTGGAAGGAAGAGGAGCGACGCAAGAGAAGGCGCGAGCAGGGCCTGCCGTCTGATGGTGAGGACGGAGATGAGGCAGAAAATGAGGAAGAAGATTGGGGGGCTTGGGATGTAGATGAGGGGGATGAAAGTGATGATTCTGGCGGTTGGATTGATGTTCAGAGTGATGATGAGATCAATATCGAGCTCAGCGACTCCGAGGACGAGGGCCCGGCCGCCAAAAAGGCGAAAATTAATGAAGAGAATGGAGAATCGCGGGCCACGACGGAAGACCCACAAAATGACAAAGGAAAAGAAAAGAAACCTTCCACTCTCGCAACAACCCGTATTCTGACGCCCGCAGATCTTGCCAAACTAGCCGAGCTCCGTGCCAAACAAAGCGTTTCATCTCTCCTACCGCAAAACAAGACCCAGCGTCAAAAGCCAGCTGCTACCTCAAATGCCGCCAGACACATGGATGATCCGCTCACCGCAGCCGAAATCGAAGGACTTGCCGCACTCTCCGCCGGTAAAGCCACACGCGCAGAGAAAATTGCCCGGATGAAGGAAATGAAGACCGATCGCTCGGATCATTTGAGCAAGACTGCAAAGAAGAAGGAGAGGAAGGAGGCTCAGGGTAAGAGTACGACTAATAAGGAGAAGGCGAGAAAGAAGAATTTCCTCATGACGTTGGGGAAGGCGAAGAGTAAAGGGAAGAGGAGTTTGGTGGAGACGAGAAATGTGCTGAAGGCGCATCATGACAGACAGAAGAGGGGAGGGAAGAGAGGGAATTATTCATAAATGGAAGCATTGGCATGAGAGAATCAACGTAAAAAGTGGAATATTTCATGAGATGGGCAGGGCGTTTATTCCGGTTCTATGACGGCTTTCTAGAGTATAGTTGCAGAAGATACCTATTTAACAGACTCCTAGTGAGTTCTGAATAGAGTTAATGTTGGAGGAAATAAACCTTCCATGTCTGCATAATGGTTCATGAGCTACGACAGCCATACTTTTATCCCATATCCTAACCATCCGATCTTCTCTCGTACCCCCGTCCTGTATTCCCCTCCTCTTCCTTGATATTAGGGTTTTTGGCGGCGAATACGCTAGTCCTAAGGAGGATAAATTGCAACTAACCGCGCTAGTCCGCATTCGCAACATACGCGCTCCTTTCGTGAATTTTTCGTGTCGCGTCTATCGCCACACGTGATTGGCCCATCCACTTCCCTTCCCCAAGGTCCAAGCCACCTTCTCTTCTGCTGCGACAAACTGCTTTCTCCAGGTCTTCTTCACACAGCGACAACAACGACCTAGACACCTCCTCCGCTGAATATTGCCCTAGCAACGTCATATAAGCCTTCAACTGGCTCATGACAACTTAATAACAACCAATACCAGCGAAACGTCTTGTTAGCTCTGAACTACCCCGGCATCGCAAAGTCTACCAACAAAATGGCCACCACTAGCTCCTCTGTCTCAAAACGACGGCGCTTCCAAGTCCCCATAACCAAATACTTTTCACCCGACAATGCAGAGTCTCCCTCCTGCGGTTCCTCACATTTTAACTACGCAGCGCCAACCCACTCTCCAGTTCCCTCCCTTCCTCACAAAGTACAGTCCTCGCTTCTAACCGTCGGCATGCGCGTTCGCAAATCAGTACCAGAAGGCTATAAAACAACAACAGCCACAAAGTCTGTTTTCCACATCTCGTATACAGGCTCACCTTCAGCAACGTCGTACGCAGAATTGGCACCTTTCTGCGGGGTGCTGAAAACGGGCAATCTTGCCGTCCAGACCTCCCCGGGGCCTACCTTGGATCGGCATCAGACAATGCACGCACTAGACGTGGAATGGGACAAGGGCTCCATCCCTTCAAGCAGCCAAGAATCGATAGATTCGTCCACAACCCCGAAACCTAACCCACACAAACGACCATTCGAACCCGACCTTGCGGACTCAGACGACGAAGGCAATGAAGACGACGAATATTCCAATATCTTCCCTCGCGGGTTTCATCAGATGTGGAAATCTACGATTCCTCTCACTAGCACAGCACGTGCACTGTCTTCACCCACCTCTCCTCCATCATTATCACGGCCAACCCTACTTCCGAGGCTGGCACAGAAGGTTAGGAGCTATCAAAATGACCAACAGCAACACCAACGATATCATAAAGTGCATGATAGTGGTCAAGAGATCCATGATCCTCTTAGTGGCTGGATGGCACAGGATGTTGATTTCGAAGAAGCTCAATTCTTGCGGCGGAGGGAGGAGGTTGACGATGAGGCTGTGGTTGTTGGTCGTCCTGGCGGAATGGAGGTGGAGATGGGAGGTGTTGAGTGATTTGATTGTTTGTTGTTTGTTCTTTTCGCCATCTTTATCCCCCTCAGTATCATGAGGTAATATCGTGTATATTTTGTATTTTATGATGTCCTGTATTTTCTTGTAATTAATCTGGGATATGGGTTTGACGCCGCCCTGGTTCTGGCGCTGGCGCTGGCGATGAGATAGAGTTTTTGATCCGATTGATCAGGTATGTTTGTATAGTTACTGGATCATCACGTTTATTTTCATGAGACTTAATTGTCTCTTATACGTTTCTTCAACGCAGGAACAACAGCGACCTGCGAACGTTCCGGCATAGTTCGGTCTTTTAATAATGGGTAATCGTGGCTCAGTGCGCTGTCCCACCACATATTGAAGGTCATGACTGCGGGATTTGGATTGACATAATATTTTTTATAGTGTGGTACTGTATATAGTAAAGTCACACTTTTTCATTGACTCCATTAGACTTCCTCCGCTGGTGCCATACTAGCAGAAATAGGGTGTGGCGTGACTGTCTATGTCATTGCTGTCATACGTACAGAGTAGTTGTGCAACTGCTTCCTTGTCAATGTGTTCTATGATTGGCTAAATACCAACAACTGCAACATCAAATCAACAGGTTGTAAGTAGTAAACTCATTAGTTCATACCTCCTTCCCGGGGTCCTCCTTCAGTCACGATCATATTGAGCACAACTTTCTCAGCCGTGCTATCTTTGTCTTCACAAAAGTATGCAACTCGCATGCCCTGGAATCTAACCGACTCAGGGCCATTTGGGCGTAGTGTTCCACTCTCATCTTCCATCTCATTTTCCTTCGTGGCAGGTGTCTGCGGGCCAGGGTGCTCGCTTCTTCACCTCGTTAAACCCGATGTCAATAAGCGAGTTAGGAAATATTTCCTCGGAGTTGGGATTAATATCTGCGAGATAGCCGTCTGGATGCTATAAGGGATTTGTTGAATTGAAAAGTGGGTGAAAAGCGTGTACTTCGGCTTTTATCGGGGAGCCGTGAGCTGGTGAATGGGCAACCCAGTGAATATATCTAAGATCAGCAAGCTAAAAGTAAGGTGATTTGAAGGGAATTGGCGTGCACGAACGATTTGGGCTTTTTGCGTGGAGAGCCTTCTTCTGGAATCTCGTATTTCGCACGCACGACAGTCACGAGCCCTGTTGTTGGATCACTTTCGTAGGAGGTCGCCGTGATGGGAAACGGTACTTTCATGAAGCTAACGGAAACCCCTGGGCTCAAACGGTAAAAATTCTGAAGCGGTTTCCCGGAAATCACTGCGGTCGATATAGACAGTGTTCGTGAATGGAACTGAATGAGTCTGGAGAATATTGTTAGAGCGAGCTTCATCGACAAAGATGAAGTGTACTATACGAAAATGAGGCAGAAGCACAAAGGTACGTACACCGTAGCTAGGGTCCTTTGAAAATGGTATTTCAACCATCTCAACATAATCACTCGGCAGGTTCTCTATGAGAACACGAGTAGGATCCAGCACAAGCATGAGTCGTGGCACAGTGCTTTCCAAGTATACACGCACTGATCTTTCAAAGCGATGAGTTTCGATTGTGGTGTTCGCCTTCGTAACCCCGAGTTCATTGACAAATGATAGAATTGCACCAGGAGGTATGCCGCGACGGCGAAGACCAACAAGCGTGAATAGGCGTGGGTCATCCCAGTCTTTTACATACTTGCCACTGATGAGGATGATAAGTTTACGCTTTGATAAAACTGTCCCGTTCATGTTCAAACGCCCGTATCTTTTAGGAAACAGTCAGTAAAATGTTATGCTGGAATACATATTACAAGGGAGCCATACTCTCGCTGCATCGGTTTGTATACTTCAAGCGCATCGCACAACCATTCGTAAGACTCTCGAGATAGCTCAAACTCCGTTGTGCAAAGAGAATTTGGTGATGTTTTCAAGCTATCACATAAACAGTGAGTGAAATCGTAGCTCGGATAAATCTTCCATTTGTCACCAGTGCGCAGATGTTTACAAAATCCACCTTCATCATCCTCAACAACTCGATACGCGGTGATATCCCACATTTGTGGATTGCCATTGGCGAGATCTTGTTTCATTCGTAAAACAGCTGGCTGGGCACGGTACTTGCCGCCTTGCATTGCGCGGAATTCGGCGAGAGACTCAGCGACAGGGCGGTCACGGTGAGGGCATGCGTATCGAGCTTTTCCCTTCGTTCCAGCGGCAGCGTCCACACCACGTTGGGCCTTTATTTCATTTTCTGTGTTGTAAAACGGAACAAGAAGATACAGAGTTGATTTTTTAGTCCAAAAATTGTACAAGTACGTACAATCTCTCACCTGTGCAATGACACACATATGCCTTATCCCTTTGGATTAATGCCTCTGCTAATTCATATAATCGATCGAAATAGTCGTTAGAGTAGGTAACACGAAGCGGTTTGAAACCAAGCCAGCGGACCAACTCCTCAATGCTCTTATCGTTCTTCTTCGCCTTTGGGGTTTGTGTCATCAAAACGCAAGTAGCAGGCTCCTCCATGGAACCTGGCAAATCCAAAGTTGATAGCGATCGCTTTGGAATGGCCAATATGTAGATAACCATTTGGTTCTGGGGGAAAACGAGTGAAGACTTTATCAACTCCACTAGAACCTCCAACCGGCTTCTCCTAGTACACGTCTACAAGAAATCCTATCTTAAACATCTAGTCAGGATCATTTGAAACCGTTTGTCCACGAGCGGGTTTGGACTGTGGTTTGGACTGTGGTTTTTCCCTTGTGCTTTGAGCGAATTGGAACCTCCGCAGAGGTTGCCATTTTGCAAATTGATGCCGCGGTGTCGTAGAAATAAATCAAGCAGATTCCGTCATCAACAATATGCAGGGAGCTTCTCAACAAGTTTGTGGGCCTGTGGGCATACAGAATATGGTGACTTGGGGATGAACGAGATGTGAAGTCATAACATGTAGCACGTGATAGCTACTCTTGATTAGTCAGAGGTAACTTACGGTTTTTGAAGCGCGTTAAACGCCGGAAAGCGGCCCGGTGCCGAACCACAGTTGAACTACGGAGTAACTAGTGATTTCAGCTCGAAACGATTCTCGATTCAAGGAAGCATCCAGCAATCGTACATCATTAACCAATACATCGCCTTGACAGTAACCCTCCCTGGTGAATAAGAAAATAACTATTTGCAGTATCTCCATGCACAACAAAAACAACGGAATAAAACTAGGAGAACGACCTGGGTTGCGGGAAACAACAAACTCCAACAAACCGTTCAACCGAATCAATACACAACAAGCTACCCAAAGAGAAATCCAAAAGAAATATCACGTCCTTCGAGGAGGCACAATTCAAGCGACCAACTTTATCACGATTTATCTTGGCAAAAGAATGTCGCCAGCAACATTCCTTCCCAAACTCAGCGGTGAAACGGAGTAAACACAACACAGGAAGTACCATTGAAGTCGCCAGCACACAGCTGTAGTCATGTAACCAACTTGCCTCGAACTTATCCGCTGATTATGGCAGGAGATTGATTGTGTATCAAACTTGTTAGCGGTTTCTTGTCAGGACAATGAATTTACTCCAAAGAATTAAAGGTTATTGCGTCACAGCTGAGGATTAATATGATGATAATTTACCACCATGGCACTCTTAAAAGTTCGCCCATTTTAAAGATATTCTGGAAATGACTTCGGGCTAAGTTGTGTTGTTTTACGAGTTGGGTGAAGTATCCGAGGTCGTTGGAAATATTGTGGGACAGCCTTTTTAGAGAATCCTCGTACGAAACATGAAGTACGGCATAATATGATAAATATCATTAAAGGGGTAGTCATATCAAGACCAAATTTATAGAAGTGCGCATACAGATAAACTTTCAGGCTATCCCAGAGTATATTAGAAACAAAGCATCCGTTAATATATAATAGCAGGAGGGATGTATTAAAGATACCAAGCACCAAACCTCAATTCAGGGGGGAAATCAAACGTATATTTAAGATGGTTCGAGATAAACTCCCGAGGATGAGTCAAATATGACAAGTAAGAAGACCAAAAATATGTAGCTAACAAACTGTTTTTCATTAAACCGCCAAAGCCAGTTCCATAATTAATTTACATGAAAATAGATAGCTAAGTCTCCTCCCGGGAGAGGGAAATAGGAACAAGTTACGAGAAGAAAAGAAAGAATTGAATATGGACATGGTTAGTGGCATAATGAAGAGGGTTTCTTTGGGGTATTCCTTCTTCTGGTCGAAACCATTACGCCGCGCGCCAGATCGTACAGAAATCAAAGCTTTGCTAGTGGGACGAACTTCTCTGCCAGAAATGAGTCGAAACCTTGCGAGTGTCGCTATCAAGTTGGGCACAGGGGATCAGTCCTAGCTATCAGATACTAGTTAAGCAAGATCACCTATGAATGATGCCGAGGAGAATCAATAGGTAAATTATGAAACTCACCTTTACAAGCCAAGACCACTGATGGTGGAGAGGACGGGTCCGAGGAGTGGTGCGACACCAGCCATCCCGAGAACCTGGGTCAAGATACTGAGGGGACCAGCGACAACGCTGAGGATGCCGCCGGCACCGCCATTGAGGAGGCCACCAACGATCGGGAGACCACCAATGATAGGGTCACGAGCAGTAAGACCCTGAACTGGGACTTTAATTGCGTCAAGCTTGAGAGCAATGTCCTTCAGGCCGTTCTTAGCCAAGGGGGCGAGCTGGGTGACGAGAGCCTTGAAGGCTCCCAAAAGCTGCTCCTGCTTCTCCTTCGAGAAGCTAGGAACCTCGGGGAGTTTGCCGTCGATGGCCTTGTCAACTTGGAGGGCGGATGCGATTTCATTCATGGACTGGATCATTTGCGCAGCTTGCTCTGGGGTCATGCCGCTAATCTCGGCCTCGACGTCCTGGCGGGCCTTGAGTGGGAGCGGGAGTCCTCCCAGTTCTCCGCCCAGGAGCCCCTGGAGCGGTCCCAAAAACGATCCCAAACCAGCGGCGCTGACGGTCTTTGTGACTGAAGGGACGAGTTGGCCGACCAAAGCATCGGGAATGCCCTGGACAGACGGCAACGACCCGAGACCGGGAAGTTTGGGGAGCCCTGGAATAATTGGAGTTGGGGCGGCAATAGCAGAGCCAGCAAGGGCAAATGCGGCGGAGAGGACGGAGAGCTTCATGGTTTAAGGTGTGATAGTGGATTGAACGAAGTGCTTTCAAAAATCAAAAATGAGTATATACGTATGTTATATTCCGAATGAAGGACTGGTTGCTGTAAAGGAGTGGTATTCTTTTCGAAAGATAAAAAGGAATGTCAGATACGCCACGAAACACTGTATGCCGGATGAACAAGGGAGGAATAAAAAAGAGGACGAATGAAGGGAGAAGTATGTCGAGGGGCTTTCCGGCCGTCTCTTATATACGGAACACTCCCCTGTGTGACAAGAGTGACATCGACGGCGCACCTGAAACAAAGTAAACTTGCAAATTCCAAAAATAAATGGTGATCAACAACCCTTGATCAACGTTATCATGTAAACCGTTGCGGAGCGAAGAGCCCTGCACAGGCATTCCCCTCTCCAACCTCTGATTAGCTGTGATATATTCTGTTCCTGTCCACAGAAAACCGAGGATAATAATAGTCATCCACGAACGGAAAGGGTAAATTTACCCTCACCATCATGAGGACATACTGTTTTTCCAAAAAGAGCGGCAGATTAGTAGTCAAGTAGACTTTCCATCTTATCCATATAAGACGAATCATTGCACACAACGTAACCTCGCACAAAACTGGCGGGATAGCAGAAAAGTAAAAAAAAAGAAAAAAGAAAAAAAAGAAACGAGAAAGAAAAACGCAGGACATGATACATGGAAGTCAAGCATCATATCATGGTTCTTGGGCCAATCATATTGATCCCGAGCTTTGCTTTTTTGAAGGAGAGTGCGGATTTGTTCTTCATACTATGGAATTTTTCATTTTTTTGGGAATAAAAGAAACCCAAGGCCTGCAACGTGCGATTGTGCCTCTTGGACATGAGAGCCAATGATAACAATAATGGAATCAGGCTGTGTGCACGCCGGCGTAGAACAAAAGAATACAAGCTTCTTTGAATCAGAGTTCAAGCGAATGGCCTGCAGCGGCCAAAGAATCCTGTTTCTGTCGCTTGAATGGACAAGGATGCTGATGCCGCATGAGTAGCTCCTGACGATCATAATTCTGAGTACTGGGCTTAGGTTAAGGTTAGCATTTGTGTTAGGCAATTGAATATTAATTAACTTATCACAGTTGTCCTGCCGCTTTCTGCTGAGAATCGGCTTCCCTCACCAGCTCAGGCCAGTCATCTTCCTCCTCCTCGCGATGAGTGTGCACATTGAAAAAGGCTGTTAATGCCGCTGTTTGGTGCATGATGGGGCGGGTCTCTCGTAGTGGTTTGCGGTTGATCCCCTGAGCGTTCAGAGGAATTCACATCCTGGCACCATGTGTGTACATACTTCATTCGGAGAATTATTATTGTTCGAATTCCTCAGCTAGACTCTGAGGCGTCCGACTGGAGGTGGGGCCTCTAGTGTTTGAGGTGGGCGCTTAGCGCGACCCTAACCAGTAGTTACTGCGTAGATACGCCAGTCAGTCATCCCTGTCCATGATATTGAGCAGTTAGCATTCGAGAGGCCATACCTCACCACATTCCACACTCCGTACCTATCCCACTATGCCCAATATCGTCCCTTTGAATTGTTGAGTAGCTATGATTGGGCAACAATCAGCTGTTCACCAGAATTTCCCGACTCCAAATCCCGCCGCGCGGGTTTACTTGGCTTGGTTTCGGCGCCCGCTCAAAACCGCTCTTGGGTCATAATCCCCGGCCCTGAATAGCGAATACTCCGCCATGGGATCCCTCGCTGCCAATGAGCGCCACCCGCCGATCCGGATGCTTACCAGGTACTAGGATCACTCCTTCATGGCAATCTTGCACTCTCCTCGTTGATCTCTTGGGTTAGGTTACATCATACCAGAATTGAGCTTCATGACTGTTCCCCCAAGCATCATCTGTGCGCTGAATGTTGGGCTCTGTTCTCTGTAGAAAGCGTGAGGTGCTCGAACATTGAGATATGCGAATGAGTAGTTGGAGCACAGGATATTGACAGCAGCCAGCTCAGGGGAACTCACCAAGTCCATGACCCATGCCTACAACTCAGGATCCCAGAGCATTCGAAACATGAATTACCCCCTTGCTTTTCGCAGCACACACTAGTACAGTACAGCGCTGATGCTGCAAAATCAGGCACAGGCACCTAAATCCCACTCCCACCAAGTGCAAGCTTGGAACCCTCCAGCAGCGCAATCGAAGGGCAACTTAGGGGAGAAGAAAAGTAGCGCAACCCATTACTCCATTGCAATTGAGCAGCCGGCCGCTAGAAACCGGCCCTATCGAACAAGTAAACCAAATGGCCCGCAGCCTTTCTCTCCTGGGGTGTGAGGGCGGGTACAGCGTAGTTGGCTGGCACAGGGGTCGAGTTAGCCGGTTGTCGATCCCCAAGAACCCGGATTGTCGCATTGGCACAAGTCCAGTACCACATTAATATGAAGTCATTCATGCAACTAAGAAATGCTGAACCTCTATCGTCCCAATCAATATGGGGTGGCTCCTCGATATTCGATTGAGTGCGGAGTAAACGAAAGGATGGCGTGAAAGGGGAGAATTGAACCTGGCTTATTCATCAAAAATATTCATCACTAACTAGATAATTATATAACATGGCCTCCCACTATGGTTCCTGATTTAATTATAGCTATATTTACATATTGTACCTGTATCACAGCCTGAGCTATCCTCAAAGACCGCGGTAACCACCTAAAACCTTACTCTAACTACTCCGTACATTCCTGCTTGTCCTCCCCGCGAAAACAGCCACTTTTATAGGAGCTCCTAACCAACCCACACGTCGGATTAATGTTTAACCAAGCGTTTCAACTTATACAGAGTATGCACACCAGCAATTGTTTATGCGAAAACGTAAACAGTGAGCATCATTATCACGTTGCACCCTTTCCCTTGTTGTTTCATGAACTAACTACCGATAGTCTTGTAGCACCCGGCTACAGTTAGTCAAGAGTAAAGGGTAGCTTATTTTCCTTTCATCCCAGCAACCAGTCGCAGACGACCGCATGAAAGAAGGGAAGTTATGGAGACAATAGATACATTTCACACCTAGCGACTATATAGTACCCATCATTAGAAGAACACCTGCTGGAAATCATCATCAGCGGCCTGAAAAGACGTCCCCGCGTGTGGTGATGTATTAAGCAGCTGTCACAGTTGAGAATTTCACAATCCATAAACTGATACTAGAAATAGTTCTCACCACCGTCCGATAGACCTAATAGGCGCGGCTCCGAATAAGTAAAACAATCCCTTTGTTCATTCTCCAACAACGGCCGACAACATGCATACCTAGGCAACTCTCAGACGCATAGGCATATACATAGTAAAGACCATACGCAGCATACATACGTAGTCTATATAGGAGTCCTGCATATACCATTATTATTATTCCTTATTACATTCACGCCAAACCAACCCGCCCCGTAACTACCCCCCCGGGGGGGGGGCGGGGGGATCGACAGCTTAAAAACGAACAAAGGGCACGAATAGAAATAGAAACCAAGGAAGCAGAGCGAAATAGAGCAAGGGCTTTGTTAAGTGCTTATGTATGTGAGATCTGCTCCTCAGGAACGTTCAGGAATCGCAGGTGCCTCTGTACATTGAGCTGCAGTATTATTTTTCAAAGAAAAAGTTGATTGGGCAAGAGTTCCACATCCATGTAACCTCCACGGGTTGTTGATATGGGGAAAACCCAGGTGGGAGTGTGTCTATGCAGCGGATAGAGAGGGTTTTACTGACGGGATGGTCAGGATAGGACGATTGGAGACTTCTCCTCGGAGGATTGTGAAACTCTGGTGTGAAATATTGAGCGAGAGAAAACGGGGAACAGGTAGGGTAATGCGATGAGAAAGAAAGATGATGAAACTTTGAAACTTTGGGTATGTTTTGCTGATTTTCTCTGTACTGTAATGGAATGGGGCTAAGATGATGTTAGAAAATCAGAGGAAATATGAAAATGAAAAATTGGAAGAAATTCAGAAAAGTAAAATAACAGAAGCCCTTCCTAATATGGAAAAGTTGAAATCAAATTCCCAGCGAAAAATGGGTGGGAGGCAACACGACGGAACATGAGGGAATAAAAGGGTAAAAATAGAAAGATATAGTGAACACCATGACAAAAGGAAATGAAGCCAGAGACTACGCGAAAACCATGATGAAACAAACCCGTGATATCTCAAAACACGCTAATATAATTCCCTATCCGCTCCTTCTGATTCTGCGCAATGCACTCTGCAATCCATGTGATATTTCGAATTTCCTACACAGGGAGAGGAGTCCCAGCACGTCAGAAAGAGCATTCACATGTTGAATATCCGCTACGGAAAGTTCGGATGGGGGGACGGCAATCAGTACGAGAGAGGGAGAGAAAAAAAAAAAGACCATACCTGCTCCCTAAGCTTAACCCATGCATATATGATTGCGGGCGTAAATTGTCGCGTAAAGGTAAGCTTCGAAATCTCCATCTCCTTCTGATAGAACATATCTTCCAAACTCTTTCCGTCACTAGTACCCCCACCAGCCATATTTCCAAGCCCTCCACCAACAATACTGCCACCTCCGCCGGGGCCTCCGACTCCGCCCTGGTTAAGTCCCACCGCGTCAAAGAAGGCCTTGTAGTCTCCAACACCGCTGACAGCCAGCGCAACGCCTTCAACGTCATCAGCCCGTGATAGCATCAGGGAGCCTTCGGGATACAGCTTGCCAAATTCGGGGTATAGCTTCTTCCTCTCCGCCTTGGACAGCTCCGTCCCGAAGGAGTTAAGAGTGATATTAATGGCGCGGCGGTCCGCTTCGAACTCCAGGGCCTCTGACATGACCTCAGCAGTCGGGGTACCCTTCAGTCCCGGCTCGGAATTGACGAATCTATAAAAATCCTCTAGGTAATTCTTGTATAGCATGTTACGGATAATTTCGATATTCAACTCATCCAGGTCTTGGTGGCTCAAGCTGCCCTTGAAGTAAGGGGCGAGCGGCGTTTCGACGAGGACGGAGTTGTAGAGTTCTTCGATGTTTGTGGCGACGCAGAGAACGGGCATAGTCTCGAACCAGCCGAGTGGGTGGCAACGCTCGAGTAGTTCTCGTGTATCGCGCTCGTGTAAGGTTCCTGTGATAAGCAAAGCGACATTATCGATCATGTAGCCGTACGTCAGGTATTCCATGAATTTGGCGATGGAGCCGGTGGCTTGGGCCTGGAGGTAGCGGAATTCCGCCACGAGTTTCTCTGTGGTTTTGCCGGCGAGAGCGGAGGTCGAGGGGTTTGGGGGGAGAGCGGCTAGGAAATCGCCGTAGGCGGGACCGAGTTGGAGCTTGACATCTACACATCATAGCGCTGATGTTAGTCCGGACTCATAAGATATGACTACTAATTCAGGAATAAGATATTTATCTTGCAAAAAGGGAAGCAGGCAGGAATAACATGCCATCGATAGTATCGCATTGGGTCAGATTCCCGTAGTGCTGGGAAGTGAGCAGGCTGTTTCGATAACCGCGGACGAGTCCTTCGATATACCTTTGGATAAGAGGTTAGTACAACAATATTTCGCAAAGAGCAGCGCATGTGAAGAACAAGAAAAAAACCTACCCGCCATTTACGTTAAAATACAAGCCCTCCATCTCGGGCCAGTAGAGCGCATATACCTCTATACACCTGTATATCTCTTTCAATATCGTGCTGATGTAGATGTCGTCGAAGCTGCCAGCCCCGGGTTGTAAGAATTCGGTCTAGCTGTATTAGGCTAGGAGTGCAAGCTCAGTTCCACGTGATTACTTACCTAAGCAGCTAGCTTTCTCCACTGTCCCAAACCGTCCAACCACAGCTCGGAATTCGCTTGTGCCCCGGACACTTCAAAATTTCCTCTTCCAAGCAGCAAAAAAAAAAAGAAAAAGAAAAGCCAAGTCAAAATCGAGGAAAGGACGACCCCAAACCATTACCACCTCCCTTTCCTTCCGTCCTCATTCACTTCCCTCACACCTTCCCCCTCTTTCTCCAGCTCAGCCCTACTAAATAGGGAAACTGCTGTTCCGTCCGGACTGCGCTTTCCTGTGCCTGGTTGTGCGGTCAACTTTGCCTGTGTGGAAGGTATCACTGAGGCCAGCGGCTGCTGCTGAAAACGGCAACAAGGGAATAACAATCACTCTGGAAGCGACGATAGACGACGATACTTACTAATCATACTACGAATAATCTCCTGCCGCCGCCATGACGCTGTTTATCCTCACGGAAACCAGCGCCGGCTATGCGCTGCTCAAGGCCAAGGACAAGAAGCTGCTCAAGCGCGATAATCTAGTGGAAGAAACGCAGACTGCAGAGGGCGTGTCGAATCTGTAAGTTGCTGGCCTACAGCAATGTGGCGTGGAATATATGCTATGTACCTTAAAGGGCTGTGCGGCTGACCGCATTGACTATATAGTATGAAATTGAAGAATTTCCAAAAGTTCGATAGTGCGGCCACGGCCCTGGAAGAGGTCGCGTCTCTGGTGGAGGGAAAAGTCACACCCCGGTTGGCCAATTTACTTGAATCCATTAAAGATGAGAAGAAGGTCTCTTTGGCTGTTGCGGATCCAAAACTTGGTATGTCTGTTTGCTTGTATTCATAAGGAATATATACAGCTCGACACATAGGCTAACACTTTGTTGCTTCAAGGAAACGCCATCGCAAAACTCCCCTTCGCCATTCAGCCCATTGCAGACTCTTCAACTGCGGATCTCTACCGCGCAATCCGAGAGCACCTCCCCACTCTGATCCCAGGCCTCTTGCCAGCTGATATGTCCACGATGTCCCTGGGTTTGTCCCACTCTCTAGCCCGTCACAAACTCAAGTTCTCCCCCGACAAGATCGACACCATGATTGTCCAGGCTATTTCTTTGCTTGACGACCTCGACAAGGAACTCAACACCTATGCCATGCGCGTCAAGGAATGGTACGGCTGGCATTTCCCCGAACTAGCCAAAATCCTCAACGACAACATCGCCTATGCCAAAGTGGTGCTCAAGATGGGCATGCGTTCAAATTCTGACGAAACAGATCTTGCTGAGATCCTGCCAGAGGAAATTGAGGCTGCAGTAAAGGCTGCCGCGGACCGGTCGATGGGTACGGAAATCTCCAACGAAGACCTCGACAATATTCAAGCCTTGGCAGAAGAAGTGGTCGGCTTCTCAGAGTATCGCCAACAGCTTGCAAGCTACCTGACTGCCCGAATGACCGCCATCGCTCCTAATCTTACAGCACTCGTGGGAGAACTGGTTGGTGCTCGATTAATCGCCCATGCTGGCAGCTTGGTAAACCTATCCAAGAGCCCCGCCAGTACCATCCAGATCCTGGGAGCTGAAAAGGCTCTTTTCCGTGCCCTAAAAACCAAGCACGACACTCCCAAATACGGCCTTATCTACCATGCGTCCCTGATCGGCCAGGCTACCGGCAAGAACAAGGGCAAGATGGCTCGTGTCTTGGCCGCCAAGGCAGCTATTGGCCTTCGCGTCGATGCGCTGACTGACTGGCCTGTTGATGCTGATGGAAATGAACCTACTGAGGAAGAGAAGGCTGCCCTCGGTATAGAATCACGGTACTACCTCGAGAAGAAGCTAGCGGCCATGGAAGGCAAACCCATCAAGCCAAGAGGGGTTGGCATTGCACCAAACGGCATCCCTATAACTCAGCCTAAGAAGTGGGAGGTCAACGAAGCTAGGAAGTATAACCCGGATGCGGATGGGCTTGCTGGCGATGAGGACGCAGCCAAATCATTGTTAAAGAAGCAGAAGAAAGAGAAGAAGGACAAGAAGAAGTTGATTGAGGAAGTTAAGGAATCTGAAGATGAAAGTGAGAGTGAGGAAGAGTCTGATGTGGAGATGGAAGATAAGCCCGCTACCAATGGATCGGTGGCTGATGCTGAAGAGTCATCCGAAGGAGAAGAGTCAGATGAGGAAGAGAAATCGAAGAAATCGAAGAGAAAGCCATTCGATAAGAAGTCCAAGAAGAAGGAAGATAAGAAATCGAAGAAAGAGAAGAGTGGCAGTGCAAGTGTGGAGGAGATGGCCGCAAAGGCTGGACTCAGCGTTAGCCGGTACCAGCGCAAACTCGAGCGCGGGGAGATCACCTTTGATAGCGAAGGGAACCCATCGTCGATTAGCAAGAAGGACGTGAAGAAAGCGAAGAAGGAGGCAAAGAAGGCTGCTAAGGCTGCAGAAAAGGAGGCTAGTAAGAAGCGAAAGCGGACCGAGGAGGATGATGTGAAGAATAAGAAGAAGAAGAAGAGCAAGGCGTGAGGGAAATGTATATTTTTCGCATGGTTTTGTTTCGTGATTTTCTTCTTCTTTTCCCTTCTTTTTATTCTGTATGATATCATGCTCTTATCGTGGATTCGCTCTTATTCTTTAGTTTTTGCCTGATATATCTGCTTTTTGTATGGCGAGATCCATTCCTGCTTGGTTTTTTATCTCATCTTATGGTTCTGCTTTTGAGTATATCATTTTGTTTTGATATTTTTGTTTCCATCTTTTTTTTTCTATTTAGGGCGCAGGTTGGTGCTTGGGAGAAAAAATAGGTAGCTTTTTGTGATTTATTCCCTAACTTTGAATTCTTTGAAAAAGTCAATTGAAAAAAGCTGTTCAAGTAATTTCTTTTTCTGTTCCCAGTCTTTCGTTCGATAATTCACGTAGTTACTTATTATACTTCGTGCAAGCTGCCGCTCACCGCCTTGAAGCTCTCCCATTTTCTGCCGCCTCCGCTCCCGACCTCCGCCCCGCTCCAGACGGAGAAAAATGTTTGTTCCTCCCCGCCATCAGCCTGCAACATAGCATATCCATTGCCTCTGTCTCTACATATATATACACATACAAATATCATGAAAGTAAGCTCAATCTAAGTCTTCCCACGCCAAACAAGAGCTACATTGAAATACAAGCAAAAAAGAAAGCTAACCAAAATTGAACGTCCGCATCATAGATCCTCGAGCCGCAGTCCGCCATCCTAACAAATGTGGAGGTACTGGCCCATTTCAGCCTGAACCCGCCGCGCAGACCTCCCAATCCACCACCCAATTCGAGGAATTTTACGCCGAGTCCGGATTTGAGGGATCATAATACTGTTGTTAAGGAGGTAGGTTCATTTTTAGCTTTTCTGAAGTTGTCCGTACCGTTCCGCTCTCAATTTTCCTTCCTCCCCTCTGGCCCCTTCCCCCTCTCGCGCTTCATCTCTCTTCCTACTGTCTGCATATCAATTCCCTTGCGCTAACGGGGAGGGATTTGCAGTTCCACGACTACGTAACCCGTCTCTCTCCGCACCTACTCAATTATCCAAGCTTTACGCCGCCAAAGCCGGAGGCCGACGATAAGAAGAATAAGGATAAGGATAATAATAATGACAATAACGATGATTATAATATAAATACTACATCTACATCTACATCCCTAACGGGACCACCACCACGGCCACAACCTCCCGCACCGCTCCAATCACAAACAACTGACCTCGACAACGCGCTACGGGAAATAATAAGGCGTCTCCGACCCTTCCAACTCACAAAGGCGGAGGTTCTTATGATTGTGAATTTGGGGATTGGGCTTGACGCGAGTGCAGGTGAAGTAGGGGATGCGGAAGGGGAAGGGGAGGAGGAGGGTGAGGAGGGCGCCGCTGCTGGTGCTTCTGCTACAGAGGGGGCAAGGACAGCTGATGAGATGGATGTCGATGGTGAGGTAGATGGGGAACAAAGAGGAGAGGGAGAGGGAGAGGGACATGGGGCTATTGACGAGGAAGCGGACTATGGGGCGCTTGCGTTGCTAGATACGGTTATTGAGGATCGGGAGGAGAGGCTGAGTACTGAGGATGTTGGGGAGATATTGAGGATTGTTAGGGAGACGTTGGGGGGTAAAGGGAGGGGGAAGGGGAAGGGGAAGGGGGAAGAGGGAAGTACTGTTGCGGCTGCTGGGTGATGTTTTATGCTTTGTTTATGTTCACTATATATCCATTTGGTTTATTTATGTCGTGGGGAGTTTTTTTATTTGGTTGGATTATATAGAACATGGGCATTCAGGTGGGATTACTCCCGTTTTTCCGAGAGGATGTATATGTCTTTTTCTATTACTTTGTCTTTGTAGTGGGCGTCATGGCATTTATTAACATATATTTTCTTTGTGAACTCTACATTACCTTCGAAGCTTTAAGCAAAAAGCGACCTTTGCACAGGAAACTTTATAGAAACCGCGGAGGCGAGATTTGAGGACATTATCGGCACCGTCTAATAAGCAAATTCATTTAAGGCAACTTCCGTAACTTTGTAAAATAATAAAATTACATCCCATGAATAGAAACGTCTATTAAAAAATTCCTAAACCCACCGGGAATCAGAGGAAAACAAAAGATAAAAAAATAATAAACTCCCCGCTCCTCTTGACATGAAAGGTAAAATAAAATAAAACACAAATCTAACATAGAAGTCAGTTAAATCCCCCATGTTCTCAACCAACCCCTGCGACCCACTTAACTACCCCTTTATTTGCCCCCATCCACCTCCACCCCCTTCCCCTCCCCTTCCCCCTCTTTCTCCTTATCCCTCAGCTTCTCCGGCAGCTTCTCCGGGCCATTCCCCGATATCAACCTGCCAGATAATCCTCCCCAAGCTCCTCCCCCCACTTCCCCCACCCATCGTTGCCAAAAACTAACCCCTCAGCCCCCTTACATACACTCACCCAATCAGCCCATTCATCATTACCTGTCCACACACCGCCCTGTCCACCGCGCATGTCCCACGCCTCCGCCCCGCCGCTGCGCAGAGCGCGCAGGGATTTCCGGAGGAGGGCGCGGGACCAGGGGTGGAACCACATGTGTCGCCACCAGAGGTGGAGCGGGTCTGGGTCCAAGTCGGGTTTGGGCTTGGGGTCTGAGTTTGTAGGGATGGCGATGTTTGTGTGGAGGAGGGCGGGGATGGAGGTGGAGTGGACGTCTGTGGCGAGGGGGAGGGTGTGCCAGGATTCATTTTGGGGGCTTGGGAGGTAATCGACCGAAGCATCGTAAGGGGGTGGTATCTTTTCGGCTAGTGGATGTGGTGGGGTGAAGGGGTTTTCGCACTTGGCGATATCAGCGGGTAAGTTCAGGCGGGCTTCGCGGGGGACGCCGTGTCTGAGCTGTGCGGAGGAGAGTTGTGAGACGTTGTTGTAATGTAGCCATTCGAGGTTGTGCTGGGAATGGGGAGACATTGAGAAGAAGAGTTGTGATTTGTAGTCGAGGCCGATGGCGAACTCGTGCCGGCGTCCTGGGGCCAGTTTTACGAATATGCGTGATATGTCTATGCGTTGGAGGATTCCAAATAACTCGCCCATGCGGATGTACCAGTTTGGTCGCCTGAGGCGTCTGTCTAGTTCTCGGGTGAATTCCTGCTCGCCAAATATTCGAGAAAGAACTTCCTGTTCGTCGCCTAGCATGATATTTTTGGAGTTAATTTCCGCTGCGCGTTCATAGAGACGCTTCACATCGCCCAATAAACCGATCAGTGAGCCAGAATTCAGCCATCTAGGCCGGTTCTGGGCCACATTTTTGCCGGTATCTGTCAGCGGGCCGTAGATGTCCGGTGGCAGGTTGGAATGAGGAACTGCGAAACAGGAAGCGTCATAAGGGCGATCCGGCCGACAGACTTTATCCGCCGCAAAAATAATGCGCTGCGAGTATCGCTGCGTAGACTTGAGCTCATTTTTAGCGACCTTCTCTGACACGGAGCCATATCTCCACCTTAATTTGTCGTTATTCCTCTTCAACAGGTCATGGAACCTTTGGAGCATAACTTCAGGTGGCAGCTGGAACCAGGTATCATTGCCATCAGTAATCAGGATAACATCGGTATCTTTCATATGCGTGCTCTTTGAGAGGTAGCTATGAATTGCCAGCAGCTTATCCCATTTCCCTTGCTCGGGCTTCCCGTCTTTAGTGATAGGTTCGTTCAAATCCAGAACTGTCGGTGGTGGATAGTTGAGAACCATAGCGGTGAATATCGTCCTACAAATAGCGGGGTTCTTCTTCGATCCGCGGATAATGAGATGAAAGGAAGGATTTGTCTTTGTAACGCCGCTAGCGAACTTGCCATCTTTGCTCAATTTGGGTGGGGGGGAGTTGATGGCGGGAGATATCTCATCCCCCACAAACGATGTAACAGGCTGGGTAAGATAGATCTCGGAGATATCGTGAAGAATTGTAGTCTGTGGAGAAGGTTAACGTATGCCCTCTAGGTAACCTATAGCAACCATCCTTGTCTAAATAGAAAGAATATATATCTGTATATATGTACCTGATATAGCCCGGTCCTAGAGACGACAAGCAAAACCAGCATGACACCAGCAATTACCCAGAGCGTCTTTATCCTCCTCGACCTCCGCAGCGGCCTAGACAGAGTCGAGAGATGTACGCCAGCGCCATCTCTCACGGCGTTATAGTCCAGGAGTTCTAGCAAGCCCATGTTTTACAACGAGCCAACTTTCGTCTCGAGATGCCCTGTTCGACGCAGTTGCAGCAAGTAGCGACGTATAATGGCTACCCGACCCCCGTTCGAGCAAAGGAACAAGAATGCCGCATCTAATTGGCCTATAATAATGGCTTGTCAGAGATGGGACAGTATAGTTAGGGTTGTTTGGCGGGGGAGATGTTGAGTCAATGTCGATTGAGAGATGACGTAAATACACAGCACTTAGTTATTAATAATCTGACCAAAAGCCCGTGGGCTAGCGGCGATTGGTGTTGAACCCGCCAAACCAGTCCGAAATAGAAATATCGAGATGAAAGGGAAGTTTGGTTGAGCGTTTTATTTATTTTTAGCGAGCCAATGCAGATAGATCTACGGAGTATGGGGCATTGACAACGTTTTAAAAATATTCTATGACATTAATATTCAATTATGCATGACTAGCAAAGCACGTTTGACAAATATAAAAATTACTCTAGATAACAAGTAAAAAGAAAGGAGCCATGCAAAGCATATTATGTCTATAGAGTATATAAAAGTGAAAGACGTCAAAGTCCAGCCTATACAGTAAATATTTACAATGGTGGTCTCAGCCACCCCCTCCCCCCCCCTCAAAATCAATCAAGATATATCTCATCCCGCAATCGCTGCAGATTCCGCAACAACCCACCACCACCGCCACCAGAAGCAGGAGCAGTCGTAGTTGTACCAGCACTACCTTTACCTTCCTGACCCCCTCCTCCCCTCCCATCCCGTCCAGCATTACTATCCCCGCGCAGCCCACTCTTAGACCCTCCTCCACCCTTACTCTCCGTCTCACTCTGCACAACCTTCCTCCGCTCCTCAACCAACTTCGCCAATCCATCCACAAACCTCATCCGCGCCTTCTCCTCCGCCGTCCCCTTCCACACGCCCACCAGCTCCCGCAGCGCCTCAACCCGCCGATTAGCCGCTTCCACACCATCTGCGTCAGTGGTACCAGTGTCCTTATCCAGCAACTCTATGATCTCCGCCCGCAACTTCTTCGCGACTTCCTTCCCCTTCTCCTCGCGGCTGTGCTGGCTCTCCGTGCCGGGTTCGGGTGCCGAGACGGAGATGAAAGAGGATGCGAGAGAGGTTTCGGAGGGGGCGAGGGGCCATTCCATGGCTTCGCCGAAAGTGTGGATTACCTGCTCGAGGCGGGCGCGGACGTTGGTTAGGGTGCGGAGGTGGGTGAGGTAGAGGGGCTCGTTTGAGGCGGGTTGTGTTTCCGATTGTGCTTCTTGTCCTGGTTCTTTTGGTTGTGATTGCTGCTGTTGCTCGTCATCTGGTTGTACTTGTGTTTGCGGTTGTTGTGTTTGCGCGGGATTGTCCGCTGGCTCACTAGCTTCCGCTTGTGTCTTTGTCACCGCTTCTTCCTCCGCTCTTGTAGACATAGATATATCCGGCACCTTCCCTCCCGGCACAAACAGCTCTATATCCCCCGCCAGCTCTTCCCTCAACGCATCCGACAAGCCCACCGCCTCCCCCCTCAAAACCTCGACCTCATACGCCAACCGGCCCCCACCACGTAGTATCTCATCTGTCAGCTGCGTCAGGGTATTCGACAGGCGCGCATTTTGCGCACTGAGCTGTGAGATAAGGGATTGGGTTTGCGTTGAGAGCGCCGCGAGGGAGACGGGCGTAGAGGCCGCGGTAGCACTTGCTGCTCTGTCTTTTGTTGTGGGGATTGTTGCGGTTGCCGTCGTTGTTGTTTGGGGTGAAGAGAGGGAAAGGGAGAAGGACGGGAGGATGTTGTTAAGGTAGTCGACAGGGTCAAAGGTGGGATCTGCGAAATGGGAGAGGGTAGAGTCGAGATGGGAGGATGAGGGTTGATGTATCCTTTTGTGGCTTTCCGGGGGCTCATGTAGGCTGCTGGTTACTGGGGTTGTGGAAGGGGAGGAGGTGGTGGCGCGGTCCATGGCTTGTAGAACTGGAGTGTGGAGTATGGGTAGACTGGATAAATAATATGGTTGGCCTTTATCTGGCCTTGCTTTCGTGCGTTCCTTTTGTATTTGATGACGATCGAAGCGCGGTGGTAATTGTGGTGGTGGTTCCGGCGGAGAGGCGATGTCGTAAATAATTCAACGGCTCCTTGCAGAGCAATATCTACCTAGGTATAAATAGAGAAGCGTATAGTATTAAGTTAGACGTATGCATCACGACATTAATTGAGATACGGGATCGTGAGAGAAATCGGCGGTCGAGAGTTGCTATGCTGTCTAAAGCCTCAGATGGCACTTTGCATTAACATTGGGTGGAAGAGGTGGCGGGCGGAGAGAAATAAATATTTAATCGCGGCCCTTACAACTGAGTTAAATATTTAGTTAAATATTTATTTAGTAAATATATAAGTATTTAAGTATTTATTTACGCGCAGGGCAAATGCCAAACATGTCGCATTCTGAACTGCAATGAATCTAATGTCATGTTCATTTTTTTTATTTTTTATTTTTTATTTTTTTTATATATATATTTTATATATTTATAACTATATAATACTTGCAGATAGAATTCCTTTGTTTATTTTCCCCCTCTTGTCTACTCAGTGGGTTTAGAATGTATCCCACAGCGACAACACAACAGCAAGCTATTTTTATATCACCCTTGCCCTCTGTCAAGATGGATGCTAGATGGAGAAGCGCCCGGGGGCCGTGATGGTCAACAGATGTTATTGAGCTTGGAAATGAAGTGCAAGCAGAGGCATCTGCGGTCTTGTTAAAGCGCCTCTTTTCCTCCGAAAGATAACTATCCCTAATGCCAGACACCATGAAAGTATGAGCGTTCAAACAGCGTGTTATCTTAGATAAATACCTGGGTTAGTTGCCAGCAGCAGATCAGGTATAAGCTGCTTGCTGTTGGATCAGGAATCCAACAAGAGCTTGATTTTAGCTTTGTGCGGTGGTTAGCAAGCTTCACGGCGGGAAATCTGGCGTTTAACTGCGCAGACAAGGAGAGTAAAGGCGTTTTGAGATGGTTGAATATATTTATTTATTTAGCTGGCTATTTATTAAAACAGAGCAGAAATATCTTGTTATGCCCACAGGATAAATAAATAACTTAAATATTATAGTGACCTGGATTGTGTTGTTAAATATTAGTTATTTAAATAGTTATAAATAACTCGTATTATAACTCAATAACTTATTTAGTTCTCTCTCTTCCCAACCGCTGAGACTGAGGCTGAAAGCTCTCCTTTGGGGCATCATGTTCTCTCATCTTCAAGCTCATATCCAGAGGAAATACAACCACCCATATTAAATAGATGACCCTGACAGTTTCTTCTGGCTGTGTGTCAACCCACCTCAGCCAATTGATTTCTTACTGACTGAGGAGAGTGAGTCCTCCTTACCCTACCTAACTACTGGGGCTGCTAAATACCTGTCTCTCTGCCGAGCGTCTCTGACGCATCCACAAGGGCTCAGTTGCACCGCAACAAGACACATTTCATCCTCCCTCCTGGTGCCCATCCTCGCCCTCTCCCTCCCTCTCACTGTCTCCCATGTGTAAACATGGCTCAGTGGCAGTGAAATACATCCATACATCCATAACACTGTCTATGGGGACAAGGCGTTTTCCGCTTCTTACTACCAAATTATTGGGGCGCAGAAGAATGCGCTGCTAAAACACTCCTCTCCGGGCTCTTGACTCTCTCTTCCCGCAATTCTATACATACAACCATCCATCCATCCATCCATCCATACATACATACATACATACGTACATACATACATGCGCCTTTACTTGCCTGAGCTAGCTATCTTGCCCCTCCGTTGACTGCCTTGCCCGATCGGCCGCTGTTCTTGTAGCGGCCTTTTGCACCGGAATAAATACTCCGCCTGCAATGAACGGGACCCAGGTGCAACTCATTCATTCACTTGTACCTTCTTTATCCCTTATGAGCTTTCTTCTACTACGTTGCAACTATACCCTTCGGTCTCCCGGCCAAAATACAAAATATCTCTATCTTCACACACTTCAATCTTCAGATATTCCCTCATAGAAAATTCGGGACTACACTCCTAGAATTCTAATGAAGGCCTTCTTTTGGTTCCTTTGCACAATATCCTGAGGCGTTGGGTTTGGGTTTCTTTTTCCCCTTCAGATTCATCTCGACTCTTCTCATCGCTCTCATCGCTCTTTGTCCCATTTCACATATTTAGTTGGATTGATTGTCCCTGCCCACTTCAATTTCATCCCCAGAGCTTCTGCACAACTCGCTTTGCGCAGCGGTAAGAGGAGATTAAGAGCGCCTTTTCCCTCTTTGCCCCAAACATGCCGAGGAGGGACTTCATACGCGATTTACAAGAGGCTTCAAGCCTAGGGAAAAATTCCCGCATGGTGGATGTGAAGGCCGGGGATGACGACGGCGTTATTTCTTGCACATTTTCCCCGGATTCTTCATCTGAAAAACCAGTGGAGATTCAGCTCCTAGTTTCCGGTATATATAATCCCCCCCCCCGTCGTAGAGAAAGAAGACATTGCTAACTGAAACGCGCAGACTTATCTTCATACCCAAAGGAGCATGACTACTTTGTGTATACTACAACTGAAGATGTTCCCCAGGCAGTGACTGAAGCATTGGAGGAGGTGCAATCTTATCTGAGCGGCCTGAGCATCTCTGACATGCTTATGCAAATTACCAGCACCCTGGAGAAAGCATTGTCTCCTGATTCGGGCAGTGATCTTGATATGCTCGATGCACCTGAGGACTCCGATGGTGAATATGGCTGGTCTCCACACTCTCCTATAGTTTCAGTGCAGCATGTTGAAAACCCGGATACTGGCATGCTGACCGGGAACTCTGACGATATCATCCTTGCCAAGCTGGCGGTGGACCTCCGCGAGGCCAAGATGGCCGGCTTCAGAGTGGGATACTTGGGAAATCCCGGGAATCCAATTATCTCCATCTCGTGCCGGCTCTCAAAACTTGCAATATCTGAGGAAGCAATGCAGGCTTGGCATGTGAACGGAAACCAATACCTTGTTTGCCTTATCCGCTACATAGACAGATATCGCTCTCTCGAAGAAATTATGCAAGAGGATTCTGCGTTTGGGAAAGTTCATTTGGAGTTCCAGGCTGACTTGTGCGATTCGTACAAACCTACACTCCAAAGTGCCTTAACCGCATTCAACCGTTACGATTCCAAGGCGGGAGCTACATACGATGAAGCAGATAGCGCTTCCCTGGCGGGCCAACCAAATTCTCGAAAGATGATTCGGTCGTTCATCAGCAAGCCACTAAATGCTCTTTTGAATGAACGTTTTGTTAAGATTCTACAGTACAGACACACTTTCGGTTTTCCTTGGTCTGGAGCAGAAGTCTTTCTCAACGATGTTCAAGGAAAGTCTCTCAACCATGCACACCCATCAGATGATAAATATACCAAAGAAGAAACCCTTGCTTCTTCATCAACCACCCTGCCGGACTTAGTAACCTCTGACCATCTGATAGAGAAATATGGCGATGGTGCATCTTTCCCACTTATTGCAATGCAATTTGTACTCCGTCATTTTGTCCGATGCACGGAGTTTTGTCTTGTTTGTCACTGCAAGACGGAAGATGCATTTGAGGCGCTGAAACCATATGTATGCTCTAAAAGCCTTTGCTTGTATCAGTACATGGCTCTTGGATTCGGGCCTAGTTTGGAATGGGAAGTCATATCGCAGCCTTATGTCGTGGATCTACTTGTTAGTTTCACCTATGCCAGTGCCAAGCAAAGTCGACTGGATGACTTCCCTACTGGACTCGGACTTTTGGTTCCCCCTGTTGTAAGCTTTTCACCAGTTATACCACACGTGGGCTACCAGCGAGGCTCTGCGATTAGCTCATCAAGTGCAAATGCGCATGCTGTTACCAAGTTCGACTATTCAAAGTTAGAACTTCTTTTTCCCAGCGACTGCGGGAACTGCCCTGTTCGTACCGGGGATTGGATTGTGATCTCCGACTGTGAACCCAACAGACAGTTCCACTGTCGGGTGCAGGATATTTTCTTTTTCCCAACGGTTCACTTGTCCAGCCCCGTCTCGCGACAGGTAACACCAACACCAGTTCCAGGCTCTAACAACAACCAGCCCAACATCCAAGCCGAATACTCGGATGTGACTATTTACATCTATAACCATAACTTCGATGACATTAGTGCTGTTGACAAACAGAGTACTATTGCAATGCTCCTCGATACCCTGCCCAGCGTGGACGAGATGAGGAAGTTCCTATTGAATAACTCTGAGAAGGCAGAACCTATGCTTACTGATTGGCGTGTCAGGATCTCTAAATCAGCACTGGATGTGCTACGTTGGATTGTCGCTTCAAATCGTTCCTGTATCATTCAAGATGGCCAAACAGCAGATTCAGCTTACAACGACAGTGACCGCGTCTCTGGCATGGAGAACTACATGCAGTTCAGATTCGCGCAGGGTGCCCCTGACAAAGAGCAACGATTCGTGCAAGCAGTTGCTGCCGTAACTGAAAGACTCAACCTCAAGTACCCTACTATTTTTGCCTGGCATGGAAGTCGCCTTTCTAGTTGGCACGGCATCTTACGCGAAGGTTTGCATTTCCGCGAAACGGTTCACGGTCGTGCGTTTGGAAATGGCGTGTACATGAGCCCTGACTTCACAACCTCGTCTTCTTATACGAGAGGCACCCCCATAGCATGGCCCCAGAGCCAATTGAAAATTCAATCCGCAATATCCCTGAACGAAGTCGTGAATGCCCCCAACGAATTCGTGAGCAAGTCACCTCATCTCGTCGTAGCGCAGCTGGACTGGATACAGCCACGCTATTTGTTTGTTAGCTGCCAATCTCTCGATTTGTGTAACAAAGATCGCGTGGAACAGGGTTCCTCTTCTGCCTGCCATTTACAGGACCCTGAATATACCGCCAAAGGCCCAAGTGGAAATCCGATTAGAATCCCAGTTACGGCGGTCAGCCAAGGGCGCCGTATTGGTGGAAAAATCACCGAGTCCGAGCAAGCAAATACTCTGAACAGCAATTCTGCTTCATCAGCAGCCAAGGGCTCTGCTAATATGCAAGAATCACCCGCGAAAAGAAGACTTCAGATCTTCGGTGACAGATCTTCCTTTTTTCGGCGCGTGTCTGCCGGCATATCAAACATCGAAAAGTCCCTCCCAGGTTCTTCCACAAAGGCATTAGGTCCCAAGGCGCGCCGATCCACAACAGATGGCTATATTAGTGAAGACACAGATGATGAAGATAACCTGATCCTGCTTAAAAACGAACAAGATACCAGCCAGGAGCAGAGTAACAACAAGGGTAAAGCGTCAGTCCACGACACACCAACTATAATGGCAACCACCAACTCCTCCGCCCCGAAAACCGACTTCGTCCCCGGCACCCTCATCGCAGCCGAACTCCCTCTCCTTGAGGAACCGAAAACCTCCACGCTCTGGGCGACCAAAGCCCTTCTACGCGATCTTAACACCACCCTAAAAACCCAAGAAACCCAACCTCTCCACGAACTCGGCTGGTACGTCGACCCCAGCATAACTAGCACAGTCTACCAATGGATCGTCGAACTACACTCCTTCGACCCATCCCTCCCACTAGCCACGGACCTCCAAAACGCAGGTCTCAAATCCGTCGTGCTCGAGCTCCGCTTCCCAAGCGACTATCCCATCTCCCCACCCTTCGTGCGCGTTATCCGCCCACGCTTCCTCAGCTTCTTCGCCGGAGGCGGCGGCCACGTCACTGCCGGCGGCGCGTTGTGTATGGAACTGCTCACTAATTCGGGCTGGTCAGCTGTGTCGAGCATCGAGAGCGTGCTGTTGCAGGTGCGCATGGCAATTTCGAGCACGGAACCGCACCCAGCGCGTCTGGCGGGCGGGCAGACTGTGAGTAAGGGGACTGTGAGGGATTATGGCGTTGGAGAGGCTATGGATGCGTATATACGCGCGTGCCGGATGCATGGGTGGGAGGTGCCAAAGGATTTTGGGAAGATGACGATGGGGGGAGGGAGTGGTGCAACGGGTAGGATCTGAGATTGGCCGAATATCTCTTACCATTTCTCATTTTTCAATTTTCCTTTCTGTTTTTGTCTTATTAATTTTTTTTACTCCATTGCTCTGGGCTTGGGTTTCGGTTGGTGATGATTTGGCATTTGGTTAAGTCAATGAACACATGGGGATATTTTGAGGCAGTGCGATTTCTATTTTCATTACCTCCCCCATAACCCCTCTCCCGTCCGCGACAAACCTTCAAGAATAGTTATGGCATCTCTATTGAATTCTTCTCCTTTCCTTTCTATCTCTCTTTCAAGAATAAATGAATTTAATGTGAAGAGGTGCACTGTAGCTCTGAGATTTGAAGTCTTCTTTTTCCTTCTCTCTTTCTCCCGTATTAGATACCTATCAGTAATGTATGTAATCTGCTCCCATCAAACGTAGTATATTTATTTATATGATCTAACAAATTTTATGTGTACTATTGCTGGTTTCTATATATATATGTACTGTACATATATATCTAATATAGTAAGGCATTGTTGAACAGCAGAGCAGAGCAAGAGGTTTCATCAGTGAGAGCTTTTAGGCGAGTGAAGTGATCATCTACATATGTAAGTAATAACACTGTCAGATTGCATGAAATTCTGATTTTCTTCTGCCCTCTGTGTCATATTTTTTTCTTGCTTATTTATTAATGGTCCACATCCCTTTTCAATTGAAAAAATAAAAAAATAAAAAAAACATTGACCTCTCTTACGAAGTCTCCTGTCTCCTTTAATGCTGGCTGGCATTCGTTTTACATTACAAAGTTATGTTGCAAGGGCTCCGAACTCTTGCTTTCTCCGTGCTGTGACTTGGAACTTTGGAAATAGCCCTAACTGATCATCCCATGGGATGGGATGGGGATAGGATAGGATTGAAGAATATATGATAGATGAAAAGTCAGTAAATAGAGAAAAGTGAAGCAAGCAAGAGAGTATAGTGATTCTTGATTTAATATCAACATCTCAGGAGTGCTTTGCTAGCGCATGCAGCTGAATTATTTAGAGACTAGCAAGAACTGTGTTGTTTTGGTCAAATGTTTCAAGCTTTTGACGAAGCATACATAGCATGGGGGTGTGATGATGATATAGAATAGAAGGTAAGGGAAAAAAAAAAAAAAAAAAAAAAAAGATCTCTGCAAATTGCTTCACATGGTCTTGACACTTCAATAGCCATGGCCCGAACTGATTCATCTTCATCAGGGATATCTCATCCTTCTCATCATTCTCCCCGCGAAGATATTTCACATAGCCATTGTCATACTCTGCGATTGTAAGGTAAATTTCCATATGGTTCTGAGACACTAGGACGCGACTAAATAGGACTTTCGTTCAGTAAACATTAGCGAATGTCAGTGGGAATATACATACCGATAGATGTATTTGTTTTCTTTGTCTGGCTCCTCAAAAATCCATGCCGCCATCTCTGCAGTCTCTTGATATATAATTTGGGGTTGGTTTTCCCTGAGGTTGCGTTTCACCTCCACTATCGCCCTTGACAGTGATCCCTTTCTATCAAAAATGGAAAGATGGCCATCTGTTTCGGCCTCGAAGTGTTGGCCAAATTTGAATGATTTCCGGTGCAAAGACCATTCAGCTTCCACACCATCGCACTCAATTGAGATGGCATTCAAAAATATTATCAAAGCGGTGTTGATAATCTGTTCATCTATCACTGGAGGATAAAGGCCATTGGCTAATTCAGATGAGATCGGTGAGGTGGGTGACATGCGATCGATGGGAGGCTCGGGCGTTGTCTCCTGTTCTCGCTGAATGTCAAGTCTACGTAGTTCTCGCTCTAAGACAGAGACAGAGCAATCACCTTCATGTCTGGTGTCCTTCTGTGAAAGAGTTGAAGGGATGTCACGTTTATCTGTCTTTTGAGCCGAGTGGGATCTTGTTCGTGATGAGACCGGAGTGGAGAGGGCTTCCGAGATGGATGCATTTGCCCTCCCATGGATGATGGATAATCCAATCGTGATAATAAAAGACGAGAGAAAATGACATCAGTTGCGGAATAGGGAATTGCGCGTTTGTCTTTTTACCAACATGATCTAAGTAGAGTGGCCAACCAGATATATTCTCGAGTAGTTTGCGCGCACGAGTAGTCAGGGTGATGCCCCAATTTTTGGAATTAAAATTTGACTAGTATTTGGTTTTCCAGACAGTTCTGAGTGAGAGATAACTCGGCCGGTCAAATTTTGAAGCAGACTTCCAGCCACTGTCCTTCAAATGGAGGGCGTTGTTCTTTCTCGCTTCGGCTACCCACGAACTGAAGTTATCTGGAATTAATTCCATTTTCGAGGCGAGGCGGGGTTGGTGTAGAGCAATCCGGAAATGCACTCAGAAAGAGTCAAGACGAATAGGCATGTTGTTTGCAGTGTAAGAAAATATATAGAATATGTCATCCAATCAAGGATATTTTTGCTGCCTCTTCTGAAAAGGGGGAACCGGAATCACCTGTAGTATATAACCTATGCCAAAGTAATCACAGTAGCCGAAGGAGACAAGTCCAAAAAGTATTCGGTCAACCCCCTGAGCCTGGTGATGACTGATCCCAACCTGGCCCTGTAAACCACCGCTATGTCGTGTTATTAGAAGACTTGAAACTCTGAGGTGATAAGTTTTATGTTATTAATTCAACAACGCGTGCAACTGAAACGACCAGGGATATACCCCGATGGAATTTGTCTTCAAAGGTCATGGCGTGCATGAGAAACGTGCAGTGAGCAAGAATGCCGACAAGGAGACGTCCTTTGTTATCCGCACACTAGACACATCTAGATAGCCTCCAGCATCCGCTCTGCTTGAAAGAAAGAGGAGATTCATATTTAACCCGACCAATGTAAAGCCACAGATTGCAGTGGCAAGAGTCGTACGTAACAGCTAATAAAGGCTCCTGTTACGATCCTTTGATTAGGTATTAGAATACTCAACACCTAACAAGCAAAGCTGAAAGATAACTTCTTGAACCGCCGAGCAGCCAACTGTCTAGTTAGCCGAAACTGACTAGGCCTTTTTAGAGCAGATTCCAAAGAGATCATCCAACATATGGTGAATCCCTGCTGATAATAAAAGAAATCTCCTTTCAATAACTGAGGATGTTTCCTCTGCAGCACTAGTTAGGCATCAAGTACCAGTAGTTCTGCATTAACTGAAAATGAATGGAGTTCATATGCAAGAGTAGTACTACTTCTCAAGCCAAAAAAGCAACAATTATATAACCACTCAAAGGAAATTCCGAGGTTGCCCAGGGATTTGTGTTTGTTTCAGCTTTTAGTGTAGTTAGATAACATGGAGGTTTGCTGAGAGTGATCAGAGAAAAATAGATGAATGATGTTGACTTTGACGTTGAACGCCAATCCACTTCCGGTTAGGCCGCTAACACCCGGCGTCTACAGCGTAATTCGCGCTTGGAAGTGGGCCCCGGCGCAGCTTGGCCCGGGCCGAGGCTCCACCAGCCGGAGCTGACAAAGCTTGTTTCGCTGATGTCTACTCATTGTACTCAGCGCAGTACTCGTACCATCGCAGCAAGACAGAACATCTCAGAGACTGGTTTCAGTTTCAGGCTCGATTGGGCTTCAGGGTGCCAAAGCAAAAACTCCTGGCACCGATGATTATAAATTCAGCATTCTCTTAGTTCTTGTCTTAGAGTCTTATTTTGATTTTCAACCGCTCAAGTCCTATTCGATATGTTTTTCCATTCAACGCAACATGAGTATAGACGACAATTCTGAGTCGATGACTCGCAAGAGGCGTAATGCCTTCCGTCTCAGAAATCGAGTTCTCATTCTAATGACTGAATTCAAAAGTGTCATCTTAGATCCCGAGGATCTGAAGAATTTTCGGGTGAAAATCACGCGTCTAGATCTCCTCGCTCAGGAAAACGCGGTGGCTGGCCAGCAACAATTTTTTACTCCATAACCACTCGAGTCCTACCAAAACCTCGTCCAACCTGAATATAAGCTGGAGCCTTGGGATTATAGTATATGGGGCCCACAGGATGCCGGAAGTGCCTTGGAGAACGATTTGGTCGTGTCATCTTACAGAGGAAATTGCACCTGATAAGAGAACGCCTGAGAGTGGAGATTTTGTGGCTGACAGCCACGGGTTTTTCGTTAGGTTCCAGTACGACCTTGTGATTTACCATTTACCCATTTTATATGTTCCTATCAGAACGCTGTAGTCACTTTGGTCGTATTTACACGCCGACGGGCGTTATGGGAGTGGAGCCACACTTCTGGAGGATGCGAGGTCTTCTTGTCACGGATCCTGAAAAGAAATATTATCCCCGTGCGATGATTTCTGTTGCTCATGATTGCAATCCGGATGAAAACAGAGACAATACCGTAATTCGCGGCGAAATTATTAGTGCTGTCAACGTGATGCAGTGGAGGGTACGTCTAAGCATCTTTGAGCATGAAGAGATATTTCCGGTCTGTTTACTCTTTTCCGAACCATTCATCATCATGCGCCCTCAAATCCCTCATAAGAGACTCGGAACTAACCATCAGGAATAGATAACTATCTTCAGTTACTGGGGTCGCAATGTCCGCATCATCCAAGTCCACTTTGATGGGAAGTATTCGCACATGGCTCTCAGTCCTTTTATAGATTTCGACACTTTGAAACAAGAATATTGGGATCTTTTACTCAGATGGAGACTCTGCAAGCCTGTTGGAGATACGAGAGTTCCAACAAATTCTCCTCCCATTCGATTTCCGCCACCGCCTCTCGCTACCCCTCCAGCCGAAGAGAACCAATCGAACTCTGCTTCCTCTGCTTGAGAGCGATTGCGCTTGGCGATTTGTTGAGTAGTGTGTCGCCATTCCACTCCGCCTTCACTTTTATTCTTCTCATGTAGATATTGAGCTGTGATGTTGACTCTGCAGTGGCGTCGCCGTAACAGGAAGAACCACACTTCCAATTGCAGGCAAATACAGTGCTATACTGCCAATATAAGGGAGAGGGTCTGGTTTTCGCTCTCCCGAGATATTATGATCTAGCTTGGTATATTCAGTGGCCTTCCATCCATCGCGAGCAGGGCTCCATTGCATGAATCCCACTCGGGCTCAGAAAGATTCCACTGTTAGCTGCCTTTCAGTTTTAGCTTTACTTGCTTTGAGTCTCTTTGGTATACTATAATGTTCTGTTGCTACGAAATCCACGACCAGTCAGTATATAAAACCCTTACACTGAGGCGAATAATTCCAAACGCACGTAGTTTTCGTCCGACGACCCTCAACATATTATAAAAATACCGTGGTGTAACTCCATGGATTACAGATATGCTGGATAAATTAAAAATGTCCGAATGGTGCTGTACATGCAGTGCTTTGTCAGTGGGAATCGGGGAATAAGTGCTGCTGCTAGTGATGTCACGTCACTCTGAAACCCGGCGAGCGTCAGAATAATCATTCATTCCATCTTCGTAACGCCCGGGAAAAGTCTACCTATACTTACAATCCGTGTCTTTTTCTTTCGTGTAAACAAATAATTCGAAAGGATCTCTAAACGGCACCCCTGTCCAGAGCGCTCAATTAATTATTTGCTTCACTCATCTCAAACCCTGAAGTCCCCTATGCGACCTACTCCTCCATCGCCAATTCAAGGATTAACAAAATCCCATTCGCAACCTTAATCAGAACCTCAATTCACATTGACTCAAACTGCGTCACCTATCAAAACCATGAACCGGCGCCGCTCCAAATCCTCCTCGCCGTCGCCTTCCTCCACACCCCTTCGCTCAACGACCACTTCCCGCCCAAACCCTCGCTGGATCGATGCCCTAAATCTCGACCTCATCCTCCGCGTCCTGCACAGAACGATCTTCCACCCTTTCATAGCCTGGCTCATCCCCCTCTGCCTCCGCGCCCAAGCGACCCCATACTCCCACACTTCCTTCATCGTCACAACAGCCTATGCCGCGCTCCTTTCATTCGCGCTGTTGTTGAATATCGTGAACAAGCGAGTTGCTTATGGGTTGCCGAGGGAGGTGTCGTTGGAGGATGAGGTTGTGGTTGTGGCGGGAGGTGCGAGTGGGTTAGGCCTGTTGGTTGCGGAGATATATGGGATGCGGGGGGTGGATGTGGCGGTGTTGGATGTGCGGGATCTTGGAGCGGAGGGTCAAGGGGAAGGGAAAGGGGAGGGCGAAGAGCGAGGAATGGAAGAGTGGGAGGAGGTGCATAGCGTTAGGTATTTCAAGTGTGATGTGGGTAATTTGGCGGAGGTGAAGAGGGTTCGGCAAGTGATTGAAAAAGAGGTATGTTGTTCTCCCATGTCTGCTACGTTGACGTTCAACGGGGGTGTTTTGGGGCTCTTGTTCAATTGTGTGCTACTGAAGGGATTGCGATGTATCCATTTGTTTTAAATATACTGGGATTAATGCTAATTTTAAATTGAAAACTACTAGCTTGGAACCCCGACGATTCTCATAAACTGCATTGCTGCCCCCATCAACGGCATGTCGATAACATCCCTCTCCCCCGCCGACATCTCAAGAACCATCCACGCAAACCTTTTCTCCTGCTTCAATACCCTTCAGCAATTCCTCCCGGGAATGCTGACTTCTCCCACCGGCGGTACAATCGTCACTCTAAGTTCCGTGTGCAGCTACCTTACCCCGGCCGGCCTCTCAGACTACTCAGCCACGAAGGCAGCCATTGGCGCCGTGCACAAAACCGTTGAGGCCGAGCTGCGCACCTCAGGCGACAATGAGCGGGTAAAAATGCTTCTAGTCGAGACGGGCCAGATGGCCACGCCACTCTTTGACGACGTGCAGACTCCGAATAATTTCTTTGCGCCTGTCTTGGAACCTGTGCAGGTTGCACGAGACATTGTCGCGGCAGTTGATAGTGGGAACGGTGGGGTTATTAGGCTACCGGCTTATGCGACGCTGGTTAGTTGGTATGCGATATTACCTGTAGCCATTCAACGGCTGGCGAGGTATATGAGTGGGATTGATAGGGCAGTTGACAGGAAGGCTGTCACTTCGTCCATGTCAATTCCGTTGGCGAAGGAGGAGGAGGGGAGGGAGGTGGAAGGATAGAAAGTGGCGATAGGGATGTGAAATAGGTTCTGCATGGGTGTGCTAGCATGCCCCCCCGAGGAAAGGAGCTTCATGCGTACATGCATATGTAGGGTTCGCGGGATAAAGTAACGATAATAATGTCAGTCCGCTCCTGGTGAGCAGGTTTTAATTTCAGCCGATAGACTTTCAATCGTTTCCATAGATGGAGAACAATCGACTCGTTTCAGTTCTTTCTATCCGTAACCCTGCCCTGCCACATCGTGCTAGTGGCCATCGCTCTTTTAAATAATTAATCTTCGTGTCCACAGAGTCATTTCGTTGAACGTAACCTGGTTATTGGCGCGCCGAGGAAAAAAAATAAACAAGAAAGAAAGAAACTAACGAACCAAACACCAAACGCCCAAGTCCCTTGCGCCAGTGCGAGAACCCCGTACGGTTTACTGCTCCTTAGCCAAAATCATCTTTTCTCTTTCACTACGCCTCGGCATTGTGCCTTTCTTCTTAGTATGCTTGCGTAGATTTTCTTCTCTTCTCTTAATAGCAGCAATCTCCTCGGCCTTGATCTCCCCGGCCTTTTTAATAGCCTTGGGTAGGTGGCGGTGACGCTTAATGCGGCGAATCTCTGGCATATGCGCATACCGCTGCTTAAGTGCCTCATCATACGCGAGTTTTTGTCTCTCCCGCGCACTCTTAATGCCGCTTCGCGAAGATGCCTCGGCGCGCCAGAGACGAACGTTGCCGTCGTCTGAGCCAGAAAGAATGTATTTGTTATCTGGTGTGAATTTTGCGGAGAATACCCTATTATGATACGTCAGTGTTGATAAGATAAGCTTCATGTGGTTGATGAATAGCCCACCTTTGCATTCGTTTGGTGTGATAAATATCCCTCGAGTGGCCCTTGCTCCGATCCCACAATCGCACAGTGCGGTCATATGAGGCACTAACTAAGCCTTCTCCCGTCGGACTAAACTCAACATCCATGACAGCTGCAACATGGTCTTTCAGCACGTTCAACGCGCGGTCCATCTTCCTCATATCGAATATATATATGTTATGGTCCTCATTGGCAACGGCAAAGTTAAAAGCTTCCATCGGGTTCCAGGATATCGCATTTGACGCAAGTTTGAGAATCATTTTCGTAACCGGAGATGAGGTGCGGAGATCATACAGTATGATCGATCGGTCAGTGGCCGTGGAGCCGAGAATGGACGTTTCCGTCCGGTTAAAGGCGAGGGCGGTGATTGTGTCAGTGTTCGTGGGCCAGTGGAGGGTTTGAGAGGGTGTGGAGGATGGACGGGATAAATCGTATATGGAAATTACGGACGAGGATGCGGCAAATGAGGGGTGGGTTTCGTGGTGAGAAACACCGGTGAATGCAGATTGCCCAAAATACGTTGCGAGCGGAGGGGTCTCAGATGCAGAACCGTAGGGATCGAATAGTTTGATTGTTTTGTCGGCTGCGCATGAGAGTAGTTTACTATCTGACGTCCAACACATGCCCTTGACGATGTTCTCGTGTGCCGGAGCATGCCATATCTCATCCCGCGTCGCCAGATCCCAGACCTTGACAACTCCATCACCACTTCCGCTGGCGAAACGTTCAAGCGACACTGGGTCTTTCGCTAAGCAATATACACCATCCACATGTCCATTGCCTAATTGTGCCACAAAGGGCGCGGCGAACATGCGTTCAAGCTTTGTGGCATTGAGGGCCCTTGTATACTCCCGAGCTCTCTCGAAGGGATGCTGTGCGGGATCGAGATTTCGAGGGAGCTTAGAGGTATTTGAGCCTGGCTCCTGCAACGCCGCAGCGGATCTAGAAAGTGCTTTTATTTTCTGACACAGAATTAGTATATATTATATATGAATAAACAATATCCATTCCTTTTCTTTTCTTTTTGCTTACCATAATGTGCTACGGGCCAGGTATTTGCTTGCGTTGATCCGCCATCAAATAAAACTGATTCCTGAAATCTTTTTAGAGCTCTCCGGTACAACGTCGGGCCGACGACACTGCGGGGCTGACATAATCCGAACTTGCCCGTCCTAAAGCAGCGCCATATAACGCCCGATGCGTACACCAGCTATCGACCCTGAGCTTCACCTCGCATCAACATCGCAACCTGGAAACTCCGCAGTACCCAGTAACATCCCCAGACCCTTTGCAGCTTCAGCCCTCTCTCTGCTTAGCGGCAATATACCCCCCTATTTAACCTTCGTCTCTCTACAATCCACGGCATATTTTCATCCAATATGGCTGCCGGTCCTGATGACGCAGGCCTTTTGATAGAAGCCAAGAGCCTCGTCAAGACAGATCCGACCAGAGCAGAATCGCTCTACCAGAATATCCTGTCGAAGGGCGTGGGATCCACCGAAGCTTCTTTGCGCGATTATGAAGCTGCGCTCGTGGGGTTGGGGGAACTGTATTGCGACCAGAACAAACCAACAGAACTTGCAGAGCTGCTTAAAACGAGCCGATCAGCGTTCTCATCCTTTGCCAAAGCGAAGTCAGCGAAACTAGGTACGTAGCTTACAGAGGTATGGGGGGAAGAGGAAGCTATATTATGCGTGAATTATTCCGTTGACGTATATTTTCTAGTCCGGCAACTCCTCGATTTCTTCGCTGCTATTCCCAACACCCTTGACATTCAGATCCTTGTCATCAAGTCATGTATAGAGTGGGCAGTATCAGAACGGCGGTCATTCCTCCGTCAGAACCTAGAGACACGGCTTGTGACAATATATATGCAAAAGCAATCCTACTACGATGCCCTCACCTTAATCAATTCCCTCCTCCGCGAACTCAAACGTCTTGACGATAAACTCGTGCTCGTGGAAGTGCAGCTGTTAGAGTCCCGCGTCTACCACGCTCTAGGCAACCAGCCAAAGGCCCGCGCGGCATTGACCTCAGCCAGGACATCAGCAGCGTCTGTCTACACACCGCCACTCCTACAGGCAGGTCTAGACATGCAAAGCGGTATGCTCCACGCGGAAGACAAAGACTTCACCACCGCCTTCTCCTACTTCATCGAGGCGCTGGAAGGCTACCATTCGCAAGACGAAGCCAGCAAAGCCACCTCAGCCCTTCAATATATGCTGCTATGCAAAATCATGCTCAACGCCGTCCACGACGTCAATTCGCTACTCGCCTCCAAGCAGGCGCTCCGATACGCTGGGACAAACCTTGAAGCCATGAAGGCCGTCGCGCGCGCACACTCCAACCGCTCGCTGGAAGAGTATGAGAAGGCGCTAAATGACTATCGATATGAACTCGGCAGCGACGTGTTTATCCGCAACCACCTCCGCCGCCTGTATGATGCGATGTTGGAGCAGAATCTGATCAAAGTCATCGAGCCCTTTAGCCGGGTTGAAATTGATCATATTGCAAAGATGGTTGGGCTGGATACGCAGCAGGTGGAGAGGAAGTTGTCGCAGATGATCCTGGATAAGGTGATTATCGGCGTGCTGGACCAAGGGGCGGGCTGTTTGATTGTCTTTGACGAGGCGGAGAGGGATCAGGGGTATGATGCTGCGCTGGAGACATTGGAGAAACTCGGGAATGTCGTGGATGTTTTGTACACTAATCAGGCATCGATGCTTGAGTAGAGAGGGTCTCGTCGTTTCATTAAACTATTTTAGATAAATGATATGGATTTTATTTTCTTCCTTCTATCCTTCGCCCCCTTTAAATTCGATGCTACCCGCTGGTAAGGATACAGAAACAAACAGTGCAGGAGAGAACAAAAGCGGCGGACTGGGCAAGAACAGGGCCAAAAAAAAAAAAAAAAAAAAAAAAAAAAAAAAAAAAAAGAGCCCGAAAGAGGAAAACAATAGGGAGGTAACACTAATCTGTGGAAGAAAAAGCAAAGAGGGCAGAGCGGAGCTCTCGATATTGCCATTGTCAAAACTATCTCTCGAAGCATCCCAAAAGGCTGGTGGAAGTACCATAGAAAATAATTGCGGGAAATCCATTGCAAACGAAAATAGAATCCTAACCAACACAAGGGCGATGGATAGGTTACAGTCTTCCCAAGCGGAGACAGGGCGTGTAAAACCTCGAGATGAAAACAAAAAGATAACGCCCGTGACAAGAAGGGGATAAATAAATGAGTAGATCGGACAAGATATTCTTCGCAGGAAAAAAAAGCATATGTGCACGCGTATAGGGAAACATTATACTGGCTGAAATTTAAAGAATAAATCATTTGGTATATATCATTTCATTAACTTTGGGGGGATGGGTGGTTTTGGGGGGGGGGACTCTCCATGCTCTTTCCTCTCTGAGAGAAAACAATATAAGATAAAACATGCTCACGAGTACCAGTATCTGGGGTCGACCTAATCGTTCAAACTAAACATAAATGGTAGAGGAAAAGGCATAAAAAAGAAAGAACAAAAGAAAAAATAGAAACATCCTCCACAATCCCTGCGGGACTACGGTTCATAGACTTCAGCATCGAGAGTGGTGGAAATGAAAACGGAACAAAAAGTTATAAATGGGAAATGTTCCACGAGGACCTAAATAGAGATATAGATGGAGAGATCTATTTTGTTCTCTTTCCGCTGCGGTAGCGGCAGCAGCTGAAGTTCAATTCTTGATTTAATTAATCATGAGCGAGGTGGGTAATCCTCAGACCGGCCTGATACACTTTTACCAGAACCGTAATGCTACAGGTAAGACAAAACAGGAAACAGAAGTTGTAAGTAGTTAGCAGGTGTAAAATAGGTTGGGAAGGGACTGGGACAGCAAATGCCGCTACTCAAACGGAAAGTATGTTTTATCAACGTACCTTACGTCTCAATGCCTCCAATCTCTTCTTCTTGGTATGGGCATTGATATATGTACCAATGATGAAGCCGATGACATTGAAGAAGGGGACCCAGGTATGTTCTGGGAGGAATTTCTGGGCAAACGCCAGGGACAGCGGGGAGGTAACCCAGCTGACCTTCATGACGGGCATGAAACCCGACTTCACGGTGGCCTTTACTTGGTGGAATGTTCGCGCACCGGCGATGATCGCCATAGAGGCGAGGTAGACGGAGTTTTGGATTGGAGAGATCTGTTTACATCACGCACGGGAGTTAGGCGACGGATGTCAAGGGGTGGATGGTTTTGACTCGGGAGAAAGAATGTTTCTTTTTAACGTACGATCAGGTTGCTGACGAGAATCTGCAGGATCTTAGCTTTCAAGCTGGTGCGGCCGGCGAACAGCCTTTGGAGGATGCTGATAAGGATATGGCCCAGTGGGGCGCTGATGAGCGAGCCGTACAATGCCATTTTTGGTATTCTGGAGTTTAGATAGTGGCCATGCTTGCTCCGGTCATGCGCGATCCACGAGGCCAGGAATTCTTGAAGCGCAAATAGAGTACCGGAGGTAAGCATTTTGGTGCGCAGCGGATTGGATTGAAGCTGCTTCAGGTATGCCTAGAAGTGGGTAGCAGCGAAAATGTGCGCCGCATCAGGGTCAGTACCAACGTATTGAGGCTGTAATGGATGCAACCTGTTGAAGACTCGGGACATACCGCCAGGTATCCAGTCGTCGACTTCCCTCCTGTCAACCTGTCTCCAACTCTGTGCAAGTCATCCTTGACTTTATCCTTCACCTTCTCCTTCGCATGAGAGATCACATTGTCAAATTTGACAGACATATTTGCGGTGACAGTACGTCTTCGTTCAGGAGAGGAGAGATACTAGATTGGCCTAGAACTGAGGGTATGGACAACCTCAAACGACTTGAAGAAGCAGACTGGATCAAAAGGGAGCCGGAGAATACGGATTAACACAACGTGAGATTGAGAAGAACTCTGCGAAGACTGTAAAGAATGACGGGCAACTTGCAGGCTTGCTTGCAGCTGGAATCGTGGGGAAAGCGACGCAGAGGAGGCTGGAAGATCTGGCGCCGGCTTGTTGTTTATGATTGGCGATTGCCCGTGCCGAGGTTGCATCAACAACGTCCTTAGTCAGCCCCGGCTCCTTCAACTCTGGGAACTTCTACGGAGTAGTTACTTCGACGACCTCGGGATTCTATAAGGTGGTCTTCCAGTATACAGATTTATGTTATTGTCCACTGTCGATTTGCTACCACATCCCCACCTCCTGGGCAGACTGAACTTCTAGATGATAATTGGAATGCAATCAAGGGCGCTTTCATTGAGGTTGACCAATCATTTGCTATGCCTCACTCCAAGTTCTTAAACGTGATATAAACCTTTCGAGAATTCCAAAGTTTTGTTTTCCATGCACTATAATAATTTACTTTGCCGGAACCAATGACCTACTACTAAAGAGCAATAGGCGCGTATTTAGATCATATTATCGGCTGTTATTGTTCAGGTATGAGGTCCAGTACGCTGTCTATGGCTGTGCGCAACACCACCTAGCACAATATACAGCAGCTTCACAGTTATTGTCGAAAACAAGCAGCATGGGCAACTTCAGTGGAATCTAATGACAACTACTTGGATAATATCGAGGCGCACAGTGCCATTGAGGAACATCTCACACTTTTGCATTATCTCCAAGTCCATGTCTATTACTGGTACTCATCCAGGCAAAGATCAGCCAGCCCTTCACTACATTTCATCGGTGGACGCGGAGCCACTTCGTCGCTATCAACCAGGCGGTTACCACCCGGTCATATTGGGAGAATGTCTGAAAGCCGGAAGGTATAAGGTGCTGCATAAATTTGGATGGGGAGGCTTCTCGACTGTTTGGGCAGCTAGAGATCAAAGGTTGTCCCAATTTGATTGAGTTGCAGAGTACCGGCTAACGCAGGAAGCGTATTTGTAGAGACGAAACCTATGTTGCCATCAAGATTTCTGTGGCTGAGAGGGATCATGATGCAGAGACAAGAGAGCTCCAAATTATGAAGCAGTTGTCAACACTGCACCCATGTCTGAAATATGTGATGCGAATGCTGGATGACTTTAGCCTAAAAGGCCCGAATGGGTCCCATCAATGCTTGGTTTATGAGCCTCTGGGGCCTAATATCCCAGACACAATCACTGCGCACTTCCCCAGCGGGAGGCTTCCTGGAAAGGTTGCCAAGGTTATTGCAAAGCAATGTCTGATTGGGTTGGATGGTTTGCATCAACAGAATATTGGACATGGAGGTAGGTCCGTCTAATGAAGAATATGAGGGACAATTCTCACCTGACATAGATCTGCATACCCGCAATCTTGCCTTCACGATACCTGACACGACGAATTTACCCGAAGAGAAGTTCGTAGAGATGTTAGGAGAACCAGAGGTTGGTCGTGTGGAAAGGCGCGATGGGAAAGAACTAGAACCTGGTGTGCCCGAGTATATCGTCAGGCCTAGCCTACATCTGACGCGTCTGTGGAATTCAACTCCTATAGTCAAGATAGTTGACTTTGGAGAATCATTTTTACCTACTACGGTTCCTCAGACACTTCATACCCCTTTATCCGTTCGGGCACCTGAAGTTATATTTCAGGATTGTATTGATTATCGGGTTGACTTGTGGAGCATGGGCTGCATGGTGGGTAGAGGCACTCCTCCAAGACTATGTAAATTATACGCAACAGGTGAACTGACAGGTAGTAACCGGGCGGGGTATGGCAGCTCTTTGAACTTTTCACAGGCCAACCGCCCTTCGATACCTTCATGACAACGCCCACGATTCTTGTGGGCCAAATGCGAGAGATGGCAAGTGACGATCTACCTGAATGGTGGCGGGGAATCTGGGATATGATGAAAACGCGAAACGGTATGGCCGTAGAAGACGCCGGGTCCAACTTGCAGGACTGGTTGGAAGAAGTATACTTTGATGACACAAAGAGTGCCGACCTTACAAGAGAGGATATAGCGAAGCTGGGAGAGATTATTGGAAGATTGTTGTATTTTGAGCCGTCGGCAAGAGCATCTGCAAGAGAAGTTCTAAATGACCCTTGGTTTAATGAGGAGTTAGCATACAACAAAGAGTCATTTACGTCGTGAGGGTGCAGGGGAATAGTGTAGTCATAGCAAGTAGTGGAATGTCCCGGCAAGATGGGGATGACGTTGTGGTGTATGTAACCTTGTATATCTTCTTATAGAAGTCTTCCACCTGGGCATAATCTGCAATCAAGCTAGCTCTCTTCCACCTGCTATTCTATTGAGCTGATGGAGCAAGCTAAGTTTCGGGAGAATATCGCTGTTCAGCCAGGCCATCTGGAAACCTAGTACCCTCCTCACAGACTATCCCTGGCTGAAACCCGTATAATAAATCAAAGAATTAATACTTCCCACTACAACCACAGTTTCAAATCAGAGTATTTTGTTTGTCTCAAGATTCTATCCCTGTTCTCTAGCACCGACTGTAGTATGGAGACATCTATATTTCTTCAATATTGTATACCACCATACATACCTGCCTCAATAATTAATCATACTTGTGCCATTTCAATAGGAATCTGCCCCTCAGGCTCCGCTCAATGGCTTTGAACAGGTTACTGTTGATCTGTATATACCCGGAAGCAGGTAACAAAGAAAACAGTTTGATAGGCTTTCAACAGAGCTTCGATTGCATTTGCTATTCTTAACCATGCATGAACCTAGGGCTAGTTAAATGCAATGCAAAAGATCTCGGCACTTTGCCAATAAAACAGCGCCCTCTCTTTGAGTATGATACGTACCGTACATATTTGGCTATTTCTGTTCTTTTCTTTTCTTTTTGCTCTCCGTGGGATGCTGTGGATGTAAAAGCACCCTTTCTCCGTCTCTAGTCAAAATCGATACTCCGTAGGACTTATCTGCTGTTCGTTTCCTAGGGCATGGTTGTGGTTGCGCGTGTGTGCGACAAAAACAGGAGACAAAAGAAGAAGAAGAAGAAGAAGAAGAAGAAGAAGAGACCTTCCTGCTGTTGTTGAGCCTCACCCGACAACAGAGAGAGAGAAAAACATCTGCCCTGAGATAATATTTTCCTGCTTCAGCAACACCACGCGAATGCATCCGCCACCGTACATGCACGCGTTGTCCATGGGTACAAGTGTTCCCTAGAAACACTCCTTTTCTCCGTTCGTTTACGTCGCTCGTTTCCACCCTGCAACTTCTGAACATTCTCTCGCAAAAGAAAAAGAGAGAGAGAGGGGGGGGGGGAAACTCCGGCGAAGTCCCCAAAACGGGTTGGGCGCAAAATAGATACAGAGTCTATGGTCTCTGGGCAACACGTTCATTCAACAAAATAACCTTCCCATCACCCCTTCGTCTGTGGTAACATTTGAATTTGTCAAATGCCCGGGCTGGATACATTCTCTCTCTCGACCAGATTCGGGATCAGTTAGTTGTTCGTTGTAGTAACACAACAAATAATAAGAAAAGAAGATATGGGTTCCCAAGGTCCTGCAACAAAACCCTCCTCCCACAGCAGGACAACAACAACAACATCCACAACCCTGCACAGTCGTCGAACGCATTGCACCCACTCCAGCTTTACACGTGAATTTAGCAGCTATGACCGCTTTGCAACATGCCAGATGTGCAAGAGAGGACCAGATCTGGGCTGGGTATATGCCTGTACAGAGGATGAGGATAGACTGGATGCAAGAGATGGATACTCGCCCCAAGAAAACCACCAACCGAGTGCTACTGCTATCTCCACCAGCCTCAAGGCAGGAGACGTGGTGCAGTTGAACAACTGGATCGATAACGCTATCAAGAACGGACACTACACGCCTGAACAGGTGGAATTGATCAGGAGCCAGCGAGCAGCCGTCCTAGAGACTCTCAACACGGATAATCGCGTGATGCGCGATCCTATCAACCCCGAAACCCGATCATGTTCATCTACCGAAGACCCAGAACACTCCGAGTCCGCGCCAGCAAATTCCTACGTGAAAGTACCCTTTAGCATCTTGCTTCCAGCTTGTCACAGTGCCCTTGGCCATATCACGATCCCCGCGTGTCGTCTGCGCGTTTGCCCAGGTTGCATGCCGACAGCTACGGAGCGGAGCTGGCAGTGTCTCGATCGGATCTGCAGGGATGACTACATGACGAACGATAGACTGTTGGAGATTCTTGCGGCTATTGCTATCAGAATAGATGCCGCCAGTATGGCCAGGGAGTCCCGCAAGGTACCAACGCCAGACGGCTCATCAAGCTTTGATATTTCAGACGAGCAGGTCGGAGGGGACGGGTGTCCGGCAGACGCTAGCAACGCAATGTGTGACGCTGGTGCGGTTGAAAACAGTGATAATGATACCCGCGGCGCAGATGTGGAAAAAGATGAAATCACACCACCAGATGTTGTTGATAGTAACTTCATCAACAAAACACCCAGGCAGAAAAAAAGTTTAAGAGAGCTGTTGCGTTTGCATAGGAATCATGCAAAAAGGGCGACGGGAGGCAGGATGAAAAATAATCACCGCCACGAACCCCCTCATCACCACCATGGGCAGCAGGAGCTATGTATCTCTTCTATGGATAGCCCCTCCGATACTAGTGGGGATGATTGGGGACGACGTACGGGAATGGAACTCCAGAAACAGCACCGCAGGGCTTCGGAGAATACACGACCACAACCCCAGCAGGCCAGAACCGCGCGGCCTGAGTTTCTTCGAAGAGCCAAGTATGACTCGTCTGTACGACACCATGTAAATGGTGGGATTGCTGATAACACTGGTGCAGATATGAGCGAGCTTGGGTTTGTTCCTATCATTGACAGGCTGACGGATCCGGCAGATAGGGAGGAGGATATGATTATTGCACGTGTTTAAGCAAGGCTTACATCATGGGATGGCGCAGGGGTATATTTGAATTACAACCTTTTTTTTTTTTTTTTCCCTTTTCTCTTGATATCAACATGGAGTTAACAGGGGCATCGGGAATGTGACTCCGGGGTGGACCGTCGGCAATCTTTATGTGTGGTTTTTTTCCGTCAGCTTTTTAACCATGTATGACTTTGCAAGTTGTGGTAATAATATAGTTAGTACGAATCATCTCTCTTAATTAAATCCCACCCTCCAGCCAAAATTTGAATGTTAGTAGAGTAGCTAGCTCATTTAATGAGCCATGTAATAAAAATATATTATATATTTGCAGGGATTATGAATGAATCACGTGATATTCTACCTCGGCACAGAACGGCTGGGTTGATCACTATGTCCTCCGATAATTTAATCCTTGTGTGGGATAGCCTCGTCCGCCGGAGAAGTTCGAGTCGCTGCGGCTACGCTTCACCTGCTCATCATACTACATATCTACTAGTGAAAGACCTCGAGAGAGAAGATGGGGGAGTTATCAAAAACAACTACTACACAGCCCGAGGACGCCAAGGCGCCTCCCGCAGCGGCACAGGCTTCTCCCGCTCCTCCACCGGAAGCAGAATCGCAGCCCAACGATAACCCCAGTAGCGCCCGGAGCAGCCCGCTGCCGAAATCGAAATGCCATTGCGCAGGTACCAAGAGTGCCCTTGCCAGGTCGGATGTGATGATCAGGCGATTGGACCAGTACGTTTTTCCACATTGCTGAATTTTTACATAGTAGTTCCTTTCCTGCGGAGAGAGCCAGGGGAAAAAAAGTACAGTACTAGAGGGAACACACCCAAACTTACTACCCTTGAAAACCAAATGGGTAACAGGTTCATCTCCACCGCATACGGCCAGGAACGCCTCCTCGCCATGGTCCAATATAACTCGCAAATCATCCACTACTTCCTCCTCTCTCCGCCCCTCCGCTCCACCTTCGCGCGGCTACGCTCCATCTTACTCCCAGCAAACCCCGGCGCCGGCGTCGCAAAGCCACCACCACCACCACCACCACAACAACAAACACCACCCCTCCTCGCCCTCTCCGCCCTAATGTCCGAAACCCGCACAACTCTCCGCCTCCTGGGCCTCCTCTCACTCTGGTCATGGGGGTCTGCAACCCTTAGAAACCCCCCCGCCGACCCGCTCCTCCGCACAGTCGCTTACGCACAGGTAGCTGTCAACGTGGCGTATCAGGTGCTGGAGAACGTGGCGCATCTGGCCGGGAAAGGGGTGGTGAGTCGGCGAGCGGTGGAGCGGTGGGGGTCCTTGGGGAGGTGGTGGGTTTGGAGTACGCGGGCGTGGTTGGGGCATGTGCTGTTGGAATTTGTCAGGGTGTGGAGGGAGTACGTATTGGCGCGGGATAGGAGGAAGGGGTTCGTCGGTGAGGATGGGAAAAAGATCGGGGAAGCGGAGAGGGAAAGGGAAATGGAGGTGAGGGGGTGGAAAAAGAGTATTGTGAATAGCCTGGCTTGGTTGCCGTTGTGTGTTCATTGGAGCTTTGAGGATGGAGTGGGGGTTCCGGAAAAGATGGTTGGGGTGCTGAGTATGAATGCGTGTGCTTGGGGGGTGTATGATATGTGGAATGCGACTGCCGGGGTGATTTGAGTTGATGTTGAAGTGGTGTTGAAAGACTGGTCAAGGCGACTTTTATTCTTCTGTTCTGTGTTTTATCTCCATGCTCTTCATTTTTGATAATTGATATCTCAATGGACTCTGTTTTCTTCTACCATCTTCTGGCCAGTTCAATTGGTCCCGTCAACACGCCATTCTTCGGCGTTTTGGGAGGAAGAGAATGCCTTTCGAGCAAGAAATCGTGCGAGGTTTGGCCCTTTTCCCTTTTCTTTCCTTGCTCAGGAACCTTGAAAACGAGTGGCTGTGTCTGCGAGGCAGAAAAAAAAAGTTAAAAGAAAAAGAAAAAGAAAAACGGAAAAAAAAGAAAGAAAAGAAAAAAGAGAAGAAAAAAAAAAAAAAAGAAAAAAAAAAGAAAAAAAAAAAGGGAGAAAGAGAGACCTCCTTTGGTGGAAGATTCCAACGAAACCCATTCCCATCCTTATCTATGATGCGGCCAAGCCTGCAAAGCCAGGCTGCGCAGGAACTTGCCCGAATAATGAACGAAAGCGAGAAAGGCTAGGAAATTTTCTCAAAGGGTTTCTAACTCTTTTAGCTGTTCTTGTCATGGTGTCAGCGGAGTTTCCAGCCGCGTCAACGGGTTCCAAGCCAAGTGCCAAATGACCAAGCTCCTTGGAGCCAAACGGGTGGACCAGTCTGGGCCGCAAAACATTGCAAAAAGTGTGCTTTCTGTATAATTCCACTCCTGGGCTTAAGAGTCCAGCCTCCATGGAATCAGTCCTCCAGGGACACCGGCGAAACTATGTTCCTTCCCTTGACCCTGCGGTGCGTTGGGCTCGCCATCGACTTTCTGTCGGCGCCGAGGGCGGTTCCTTTCGGCGAGCCCCGCGGCCCGTGACGTGGAACAACCAGATACCGGAAGTGGTATAGTAAAGGAAGAGGATGATGATGTTGTGATCCGCTGTAGTTTCGTATCTTTTTTGTTTTGAAAAGACGTACTGCATAGTATAGTAGTCCCGAGTAGATGAGAGAAATTTCATACGTGGATGTTGGGGGATGGGCCCCAGACTGTCCGCATTTAGGCGCGCGCGGCTCAGCCAGCGGTTGCTGTGTCCCGTAGCGCGGCTGACAGTAGTTAGTTACGCGCCTCGAGCTGAGTTCTCCCACACCTTGAAGTGCACCACGCCAGGCTTGTCCGGGTTGGTGAGAAGAAGCTCTGCGAGCATCAGACCAAGGGCCACACACAAAGAGGGGCTCTTACTATCTGCAGCTGTTATGCTATATACTATGGGTTCGTCTACTCAGGTCAAAGACTCCCGAGTGGGGCCCATATAGAAGGGAAATGAAAAAAATAATATTTTATGTTGCGGCTGGCTCTCCATGGCAGAACCCAGAATTCTGGTACACTTGAACCTTCCCTTAACCCGTTTGCTGGCTGCGGCGGATTTTGTTACCTGGAGCGTTTTGAAAACAATTTTCTTATTTCTTTCTCTTTTTCGCCTCCCAACTTCACTTTTCTCTCGAAGTTAGCACCTCACCTGGCTCTGAATCACCTTTCCCCCCCCGGCCACACAACTCAGTTAGATACGTATATAGGGCAAAGGGACCGGCCCTTGATACCTACACGCGATTTTTTCAGCCTTTTTCTTTTTTCCTCCTTATTCTTATTCTTTTCTTTTTTTTCTTTTTCCTTCTCTTTTCTTTTCTTTTCTTTCCCTTTTCTCTCTCTGTTTGTGTACCCCCCCCCCCCCATTGAAAAAAAAGTTATGCCTATTGCACCATATCTTTCGTAACAAGAAATCATATCGAATGAGAAGGCGGAAGAAGAAAACCATGTTCAAGCGGATTATCTTCACGACAGTCACACCTCTCCCTCCCCATATCCCGCGAAATATCGTCATCGAAACCCTACACGCCCACAATGAGATGATAGAGCTGAACCCCCTTGTGATCAGACATGGACGCTGCAAAGCACCCCCTAACGCCCCTCCCGACGAGTTCCATTGCACCTGGTATCAATTGACCGACAAAATCCACTACCTACCCGGCGGCATAATAAGAGGCAACGTCACCTACAAAGCTTGCTTCCACGACCTACCACGCGGCCTGCAAACACACATCTATGCGCCCACGGGCCTAGATATACGGAATCGATGGGCTGTTTGTGGCAACATGCCAGGGGAACCGCGCGAGCCTGTGGAATTGGGTCTAACAAACGTTCCGCGTGAAGGGCTATTTCTCAGAGAAGACGTCGATATGCGCTGCAATATCTTCGCAGCTAGCTTCGTCAAGAAGACGCTGAAGGAAGCACATGCGGTGCTGGTTGAACGGCTGATCATGAAAGCAGACCTGCTAAAGGGGAACTCCGATACGTTGTACTCGCCTCTCCCTTCGCCACAACAACAACATTCGCTCTATCTAAACCAAATTTGTTCGTCCGCCGATGGCTCACACACGTCTGCCCCGTGCCTGTCGTTATGTCCCAGCCCCGTATGTCCACAGCCATCCATGAGTGTGGCCGGCGCAACTACTCCTACAGCCGCCTACCCCAGCCCCGCCTTCCCCCCTGTCCGCCCGGCAACAGCTATCGACACCAGTCCGTCACTGGGATACTTTGGCGGCGGACCCGTTCATTATCCTACCTCCCCACTACTTACGTACTATCCACATAGCCCCGTCTCACCGATTCAAGTGGGGTGCCACCCGTTTGACCAGGGGTTGGCTTCAACGCAACCCGTAGAGCTAGACTCGGCGGAGTTGCAGCCCGCGAGAGCAAAAGCATACGCTGCTGCTACTGCTGCTGCTGCTACTGCTGCTAGACGGGCGGCTGACAGCAATTTCATCATGGTAACGCCACCATCGCCTCCGCCTCATATACATGAATTGGAGTGACAGGGCGTTACAAATGTATCGTCTGCTTTCATTTAAAAAACTGCAGTTGGCTGTCCTAATTTATTTTCAATGGTATGTCGGTTCAAGGTAAATAATAGAGTTGTCTTTTTAGGTAGGAACAGTAGGTCACTGGTCTTTCGATTCCTTAACTTTTTATTTTTAATTCTTTTCAATTGTTATTTTTTTTTTTTTTTTTTCTGGACCGAAACGGATGATTTTCCATTTCCTGTCTGGCATCTCCGTGTAATAATAACATTTAGAGGCGACGCAAATGCATCTTCTCAGGAGTGTTAGGAGTTTTTATGATTTGGTATTGGCTTAACTTAATACTTAATTCTTTAGATTTGTTTTGTACACAGGGAATTTCACTAAACCGTCACTCAACCTACCCATTTTCTATTCAGATGCTATCCGCTTTTCTCATTCCCAGTATGAAACTGATACATATTCATACTTTCACTGTGCACAGGTAGGCATTCATTTCATTCTTCCTCCATGTCCCAGGGATCCATATTTCTCTTCCTCCTGCACATTTACCAAAAAGAACTCCTCAACCTCCCTTTTCCCATCACCCTAACACCAAGCGAGAGCTCCAGCCTGCAAGCCAGAGCAGACGATGAATATCTAGAAGTTGTTGCTCCTCACCAAGATAGATATCGTCAACATCATGCTGCTTCTCATTTACAACAGCCATCCATCGGAAATTCAATTGAATGAAGAACGGACTCGGCGAAGAGCGGGCCCCTCGCGCGGGACTCACATGCGGAGCATAACAAGATACCGCCGCGACTAACTATCCGTACGAGAGCTTGGTTTTTTTTTTTTTTTTTTTTTTTTTTTTTTTTTTTTTTTTTTTTCTGTTTCCATTTCTCTTGTCGAAAAAGAGGTTCCCTATTTTTGATATAGGGAATGTGATAATATTTACATTGAATTTGAATGTTCAATGCTAAAAGTTCCTAGAGATTTTAAGATAGGAATGCATACCCACCACACCCTGCCAAAAGGTTCAATGGCGGCACCACCGACCACCCTATCTATATAAAATAAACGAATCACTCCACCTCCCATTCTCACAAATCCCCAAAACACCTCCGAAACCCTGTCATCCATTTCTCCCACATAGACTCCTCCGCTTGACACCTACCCACACCGACTCCCATACCCACGCGCATACCACCAACCCCAGCCCCAACCCCAGTCGCATTCCCCCATCCCCTCCCCTCCCCCTCAATGCCGCCTTCAATCTCAATCTCATCCCCATCCACCTCCTCCACCTCGTCCCGCTCCCACTCACTATCCACTTCTTCTTCTTCTTCTTCTTCTTCTTCTTCTCCTTCTCCATCAGAAACGATAAGTACCTCTCCTCCTCCCTCCTCGCCCTCATCGTACTCATACAAGTAGTCAAAGCCAAAGTCAAGCTCAGCGTCATCATATCCATACTCATCTCCTCTCTCCTCTTGCCCAACCCCATCCCCAACCGCGGCCCCATTCTCTGCATCCCACACCTCAAATGCCCTACTTACTTGCTTATACAGCGCAGACGCGGTGAAGGCTGCAACGTCCCATGTCTCGCAACGGTATTGCTGCATCGCCTTAGTCAGAAGCCAATTTAAAAGGCGTAGTAGCAGTAGCGGTAGCGGTAGCGGTAGCGGTAGCGGGAGTTATTGTTGTGGTTGCAGGTACATACGCCCCGGCCTCCTCCGTCGTTCTGATGACCTCGACAAAGGCGCCCGCATCGATAGTCACGCACTTACCAGTCGAGAGACAGATGGTGATGCACACAGGGACCAGCCGTTTAAAGGGCGCCGACTCGAATTGGCGCAGATAGGCGCGTTGGAGGTCTGTTAGGTTGAAGACTGCCAGGCCGGTGACGGTGGTTAGGGTGCCGGTGGGGCTGGGGGTGGGGGTGAGGGTTCCAGCGCAGCAGCGCTGCACGGGTACGATGTACGGCATATCAGGGGCTGCTGCTGCTGTTGAGTTTGAGAGGGGCCGCACACAATAGAGGGTGTGGGCGTGTAGGGTTGCTGCGGCCATGTCTTGGGCTACGTCGAGGGCTGGGTGAGCGGAGATGATGTGCTTTAGCACGTTGGGGATCATGGCGGGTCCGATGAGAAAGATCGGGGGCCCATTTTGAAGGCTACGGGAGAGCTTTTTGGGGGTGAACCTGTTGGCTATGGCCCGTAGGTAGGAGGGTGGGCAGGGGGTGGTATCTGGATGGGATATTGGGCGTGGAAGATGGGCGATAACTTCCTCTATGGTGTAATCATTTTCTTCATCTGGTGATGCCATGGGTTTTCTTGTGGGGAGTTGGCGAAAAGAAAGATGACATCTGGGCAGAGGTAGTTCATGTTCAATCTCCCGTGAAGGATCCTTGAGGATTAATCCGTTATATATATGCTAATAGAAACATGAATAGATAGGGGAAAGTCGTGCGGGTGAAGGAAGCAATTAGAAGAAAAGAAATCGTAGAGAAAACCGACGACGATGATAACACATCCTTCATCGTCGAAGGCTTAGCCCGTTTTCCTCTTCGAGTTTGTCTTTTTCTTCCTTTTCCTTCTAGTTCAACCGAGTCCTTCCAGCTGCAGTTGGTATGAAGCAAACAACAAATGATACATCGTGACAGAATCATGCATTCCATCACAATGATCCGGGATGCGTTCCCCGTGCGAAGGACTGCGCAGAGCAACTCCATACCTTCACCCCTGAGCCGTCATATGCGTTTGCGTTTCTCCGCCATCCTCATAGCTCCGGAAGTAAAGTTTGCAGCGTTAGGGGAAACCCTGACGCAATGCGGTGAATTTATACGAGAGTCATATTGAAACATCGTTCTTGAGGGTATCTATGCCCCGACTCCGTGCCGTAGAAGACAGATATAAAATTGGAGAAACATATCAAATCATTAGCTCTCTCATCAGCAGATATCCCCTGGAGAGAGCGGATTCGGGAACATGATTTAGAAGTTATGACTATATCATAAAAACAATTTCAAATCAAGAACTATGTTGTCGATCTTGGATATATAACCGTGAATCTTAGTCCACAGGTTGTTTGCAAGTTGGTGTTAAAAGTTATAACCGTGCCATCTACACTCACTTTCACTTACCTCCCATTCGAAATCATTTCAAGATTCATTTGATCATTATAAATCTGACTATTTTTAAGTCTTTTCAGTGCAGCTTGACTGTCTGAAAATATTCATATCTCTTTTACATCAGCTCTTTTATAAGATTTCATCTCAATCAATTTGAAAGCTTTCATTATTGCAGATAATTCAGCATCAAAAACCTCAGATTCACTGTCTAAATTTCATGAATCTGGAGTAAACTTGATATTATGATATTACAGTATAAACAATTTATCACTATAACAAAAAATTGAAAAAAAATTGAAAATGAAAAGAGGTATCTTGTATGTGATTCTCATATAAAAGCCTATTAGAAGGTACGTATGTACTTGAATTCCCACTTCATTCTGTTGATTGAAAAGGTTTCATATAATCTCAGTTTCCATTTTATCCAGTCAGAGTCTCATTTGCCAAATGAGATCATAGCATGTCTTCAATTTCTCTTCTTTTTTATTTTTATTTTTTTATTGCTTTAAATTACTTTTAAAACAAGTTTCTAGAAATAGGAATATATGCCAAGAAATGTATAAAACTTAAGAACCACTTTCTCATTTTACTCAGTCATCGACTCATCGTCATATTCTGAGCTTTTGACTTCTTGGCGGGATTCACGCCAAGAAATGTATGAGACCAAATTCATGGTCCCGCTGGCCAGTCTAAGAAAATTTATAATTTTCGTAAAGTAATGAATATTATTAGACTTACTTTAGAATATGATCATTCAAGTTGAATTGCTGAAGATATTCATACTTTTCAATAAGTACCTTGGTATGGTGAACTCTTACAAAAGATACCTTTTTCTTCATGGTGATATTTTCTTTACACTAGTTACCCTACCACCGCGCACCACAGTTGGGCTCAAACGCCACAGCAGAGCGCGCCAGGTTGTCACAGAAATCTCAAATATAAACTCTTCACAGAGTATCTGGTTCTGTTAATGGATATTAGCACCTGGGCATACTGCCAGCGTAATATTTAAGCAAGGAATCCAGCTAGCTTGCCCCACTACTACAACTTTCCATGAGATAATACCATGTCCATTGACCTGGCGGCGTACATCACCTTACACACCCCTCAACTTACTTCAGAGTGTGTTCAGTTGCCTGTCTATTATTGATCTAATTACACCGTTGAAGTCTAAAATACATTATAAATGTAAGTGGAGAAAAAAAAAAAGGGGGGGGGGGATATAAGGATGACAAGACTGAACACAACGCCTTTTTCATGTAGGAAGCTTGAATACAGCTCTTTTATAAGAGCTTGCTTGCCTACACGGGCAACCGAACACGTCCCTAGGATGATAGTATATAGTTATACGCAGCGTATTATCATTTAATACTGCCACGGGCCCCGGGCCCCCGAGCGGCCGTGCCAAGGAAACCTCCACGGATCGGTTCGATCGGTTATCCTCGCAATCCCTATGACATCACACTCCACTCCACGGCATCGGCCGGGAGGGGGGATCCCTCTTTCATTATTTGCAGACAATATCAATGATCCGCAAGACATCACCACGGCGCCGCTGTGGGCATTGTGGGACCCCCGATTGAATAGGATTGGCATCCCGAGTGGGAAGCCACTGAGTGGGGGGGGGGGAAACCTCAGAGGAAGTTCCATATAACCTGCTGGCTGCTGGCCTTGGCATTCTAGGGGCCTACTCTACTCACTCCTTGTAACTACGGAGTAGACAAGGCCTAAAGCACCCGAACGAGCTCCCCTTATATAATCAACCCTCAACGTGCCGACTCCGTGGTCTTATCCGCCACGTACCAAATACTGACAATTTTGAAAGCTTTTAAGTTAATTGAAATGAAAAATAAAGAGATTTAAAATATACTCTGATAGTCAAACTGCTTTCTTTGATAAGAATTGAAAATCGTGATATTTATAATGAGTAGATGATAATTAAACAGATAATCAATCTACTTGAAAAATCAATAAAAAAGCAGAGTAATTCTGTTTATAATATTCATTTATAACTGAGCTTCGGCATAGATAAATATTAGTTAAAAAAGACTTGTCATTATTATTCAATTATAGATATATACAGTTAGAGACTATAACATCTGTCTGAGAACTTTTAATCCTCAGGATTTCTCTTGTAAAATGTGAGACCCAAAACCTCACCATGAGACTGCAGAGCTAGATGTAGCAGAGCAGCGGGCAAAGTTGTGGGAACCACCGGAGTTATATCCTCCTTTATGTTCCCATTATCTTCAATCCTCAATCGTTCCATAACCTCGAAGGGACTCCCAGTCCTTACATAACATAACCATTGAGGCCCTTTTGCACTTCTACAAAGCATTATATCATGCAAAAATAATCTGTTCAAAATAACTACTTCTTTCATTATGAACTTCTTCTTCAAATGCCTGTCACCAGCTCATCACGAAGAAACACTGGATAACCAGACCACTGCAATGGGATCCGGACATCGCGCTTCATGAGAGAGAACCCCCTTTGCCTCCTAGATGGAGAGAGCCCCGCGATATCACCATTGCAAGAGAATCCTTTTTACCTTTTAGATTTGCAAGAGAACCTCTTCTGCCTTCTACAATGGAGAGAGCCCCCATGAATCCAGGGGCTTAAAAGAAAAAAATATCATCAAAATCTTTCAAATTAACTATAAAATAAAATAAAATAAAACACAGAAAATAGTTTTTAGGCCTTGGCTTTCCACCTCTAATTCTCCGCTTCGCCCTCCAACCTTCCGCTCCACCCCCTGCCCCATTCCTTCCTTCTTCCTCCCACACTTAGGGCCCTATTATCTTCTTTTCCTATTGTAGCCCCGCGATCGCTCCTTGCATGTTAGGGCGCGTTCGGTTGCGCCTTTATTATTTGTATAGAACAGAGGGCGTACGCCCCCCCCATCTTAGAAAAATCAGACATGAATATATTCACTTGTTCCACACACCCAGGTGCACACCACATATAAATGAAATAAATATAAGATTTTATTATAAATAATGAAATAAAATTAATGTATATGTAGGCTACTGGTAGAAGGGCCGACAGTACCTAGGTATATAATGCGACGACTGGATTTGTAATGCTATCATGTGACTTCCCGTTGGCTCTAGCGCGTTCCAGCAGCTTCCACTCCCACGCCGGCATCTGATTGGCTGGCGCTGGATTTTTCCAGAGGCAACCATGACTAAGCAGCCTGCCACCAAGCTCCCAAGTCAACAGGACAACACGCAATATCTCAGTTGTCTTCCGCCGGCTTCTTCTGTCTGTTTTTCTGTTCTTCCGTTCTGGCCACCATTTTGTCGTTGACCTCAGCTCCGGATTTCTCATATAATATTCCACAAAACAAATAGACCTGCCTGTGTGTGTGTTGTTGTTCTGTTGCCTTTCTGACTTGGTGTTGTCCGTGCGGGTGCCTGGATCGTCGTATCTTTCTTCCGAGTTCCTCATAGCTCCAGCCGCATTACTTCACCTCGCTCATCTCTTCTCATCATCTGCTCCTCCTCAACCACCACCCTCTTCCTCTCCAACACCCCCCAGAACAGCATATAGATACCTCTTCACAGCAACCTCCTATCTCTTCTCCGTTATTATCTACCTACTCTCTCCCGTAATCTTCTTTCCACTAGCCTTCTTTCATCCGCGTTCTTTATTTTCTATCGTTCCAACATGTCTGCAGAGCCGGATCACGCTAAACACCACAAGGTCAACCTGACGTGAGTACCTCATCTGCTACCAGGCCCTATCTCTCATATTGCCTGCTTCCACCTCCTCTACGAGTGCCATAAATGCTAATATTCACATCCAGCGATCCTTCAGGTGCTGAAAAACATGAGGTAAGCCTGTCTTCGATCTCTTACCAACCTGGCTGCTACGTGCTGGTGGCGCTAACCGGTCCCCCCTCCAGGAGCTTGACACAGCTACAGCCATTCTGAAAAAGAAAAAGAAGCCAAACACCTTAATGTGAGTATCTCTAGAACGAACAGCCGGAAAAAGGATCATCGTGCTGATTTTGTTGTTACCAACAGTGTCACTGATGCTGTTAACGATGACAACTCCATCATTGCCCTTTCCAACAACACCATGGAGACGCTCCAGCTGTTCCGTGGCGACACTGTGCTAGTCAAGGGCAAAATGCGAAGAGATACTGTCCTGATTGTCTTGGCTGATGACGATCTGGATGATGGGAGCGCTCGCATAAACCGTGTCGTCAGACATAACCTACGGGTTAAGCACGGCGATGTCATCACCGTCCACCCATGCCCGGATATCAAATACGTATGTTCAACTAACCCAACCTAACCTAGAGTGCTACCTTTACCGGATACGAAAACTGATCATGAATATAACAGGCCAAACGGATTGCCGTCTTGCCCATTGCAGATACCGTTGAAGGCCTAACCGGTTCCCTCTTCGACGTTTTCCTTGCTCCATATTTCCGCGAAGCCTATCGACCTGTTCGACAAGGTGACCTTTTCACTGTAAGAGCTAGTATGCGTCAGGTAGAATTCAAGGTCGTCGAAGTGGATCCCCCGGAGTACGGCATTGTGGCCCAAGACACAGTCATCCACTGCGAGGGTGAGCCCATCCAGCGTGAGGACGAGGAGGGTAGTCTGAACGACGTTGGCTACGACGATATTGGGGGCTGCCGGAAACAAATGGCTCAGATCCGTGAGTTGGTTGAGCTGCCTCTCCGCCACCCTCAACTCTTCAAATCTATCGGAATCAAACCCCCTCGTGGTATTCTCATGTTTGGTCCACCTGGTACGGGTAAGACCCTGATGGCTCGTGCTGTCGCCAACGAAACTGGTGCTTTCTTCTTCCTCATCAATGGTCCCGAAATCATGTCCAAGATGGCTGGTGAATCGGAATCGAACCTGCGAAAAGCATTCGAAGAAGCTGAAAAGAACTCTCCCGCAATTATCTTCATTGATGAAATCGATTCCATTGCACCAAAGCGTGACAAGACCAACGGAGAGGTCGAGCGTCGTGTTGTCTCACAGCTACTCACTTTGATGGATGGCATGAAGGCGCGCTCGAATGTCGTTGTCATGGCTGCTACCAACCGCCCCAACTCCGTAGATCCCGCTCTGCGTCGTTTCGGTCGTTTCGATCGTGAGGTTGATATTGGCATCCCGGACCCCACTGGCCGTCTTGAGATTCTCCAGATTCACACCAAGAACATGAAGCTCGGTGATGACGTGGATTTGGAGTCTATTGCTGCAGAAACCCATGGTTATGTCGGCTCAGATATCGCATCTCTTTGCTCAGAAGCGGCCATGCAACAGATTCGTGAGAAGATGGATCTTATTGATCTGGACGAAGACACCATCGACGCAGAGGTTCTGGACTCACTAGGAGTAACCATGGAAAACTTCCGCTTTGCCCTTGGTGTCTCCAACCCATCCGCTCTTCGCGAAGTTGCTGTTGTCGAAGTCCCCAACGTCCGCTGGGAAGATATCGGAGGTCTGCACGAGGTCAAGCGCGAACTCATCGAGAGCGTCCAATACCCCGTCGACCATCCAGAAAAATTCCTCAAGTTCGGTCTTTCACCATCCAAGGGTGTTTTGTTCTATGGTCCTCCTGGAACTGGTAAGACATTGCTTGCGAAGGCTGTTGCCAACGAGTGTGCGGCCAATTTCATCTCTGTCAAGGGCCCCGAACTGTTGAGTATGTGGTTCGGTGAGTCTGAGAGCAACATCCGTGACATCTTCGACAAAGCCCGCGCTGCCGCCCCCTGCGTTGTCTTCTTGGATGAGTTGGATTCTATTGCCAAGTCTCGAGGTGGATCTGTTGGTGATGCTGGTGGTGCTTCTGACCGCGTTGTCAATCAGCTTTTGACAGGTATGTTCTTATTCCCTACTCCAGTTTTATACCTTAGAAATATTTATCATACTAACACCTCGGTACAGAAATGGACGGCATGACTTCGAAGAAGAACGTCTTCGTCATCGGCGCAACTAACCGTCCTGAGCAGCTCGACAACGCCCTCTGCCGCCCAGGCCGTCTCGACACATTAGTCTACGTCCCCCTCCCCAACGAGGAAGAGCGCATTGACATCCTCAAGGCCCAACTCCGCAAGACCCCAGTCGCTGCTGACGTCGACCTCAAGTTCATCGCTAGCAAAACTCACGGCTTCTCCGGCGCCGACTTGGGCTTCGTCACCCAGCGCGCCGTCAAGCTGGCTATCAAGCAGTCCATCGCGATCGATATCGAACGAACCAAGGAGCGTGAGGCAGCTGGTGAAGACGTGAAGATGGATGAGGACATTGATGCCGATGACCCCGTTCCAGAACTTACCCGCGCGCACTTCGAGGAGGCCATGCAGATGGCGCGACGATCTGTAAGTGACGTGGAGATTCGGCGGTATGAGGCGTTTGCGCAGAGCATGAAGAACTCCAGCGGAAGCAACTTCTTCCGTTTCCCGAGTGCGGAGGAAGCGGAGTCTGCAGCAGGTGGTCAGAGCGGGTTTGGCGATGCGGGCAACGATGACAGCCTCTATGACTAACTCAATAGGGAAAGAAAGGGATTGAGTCTGGTTTTCTTTCGTTTTTCTTGTTTCCCTTTTTTGTTGTCAGTTAGTTAGACTTGGCTTGCCTGCTTGCTCTTACGCCCCTCTCTAAATTACGTTTGTGTACTCACCGATCCCCATATTTGACAGTTTCTTTGTTTCCTTTTGTGGCCTATTTTCTGTTCTTTGCTACAGCAACAAAAAGAATATTATCGTGGGACATCATAGTTTAGTATTCTTTTACTTTTTAAATTGTTTCTTTTGTTTTGTTGAACACTTTGTTAAATTTAAAGATAAAGTGATGCGTGATGGATGGATGGATGATGGATGGATGAATGGGTGAATGGGTGAATGGGTGGGATGACATGAAATGAAATGAAATGAATTAAATCAATTATTGGCTTATTTTTTTCTATTTTTCTATTTTTTCTATCTGTAGTTCTACGTTAGTGTTATCCTTTACATTCGTTTTGTTTAAAACATTTCAAAAATTCTAACTACTGCGCATAGCTTTTGAAATTGGTATAATAATTAATGCTCATTGGCATTCTTCCCATCTGTAGCGAAATCTCTCACCCATGCATATTTACATATCTTCTTCTGCTGGTTTTTCTGCTGTGCGATGGATAGCGGGCTATGGATGGCATTAGACGTTATATGCGCGGATATGTAAATATAATAACAGAACAAGGTGGAGTTGATCGGGGGGCGGGGGGAAGGGCGCTTGGGTGGGGATGTAAATATCGTAGGTGATTTTGTAGACTTGCAGATGAAAGAAATCTATTTAGGTTTTTCTTTTCTTTTCTTTTCCCCCTCGTTTTGACGGTTTTCTTTTGTTTTGGGATAGTAGTTGTTGTGTCGTGAAGGGGGGAGGGGAAGAGCATCGCGGAATTAAGAGAGTTAATTAGAAATACGGCGCGCCCTAAGGCTATGTATGTATGATACAAGAGAGGGAAGAAAGGAATATGGTGATGAATGAAATTGAAATGAAAAAAAAAAATAAATAAATAAAATAAAATAAGCCGTGAGAAAGAGAAGAAAAGAGGAATCATAATGAAATGTTCAGTAATAGTGTACTTGAATCCAGGGAACGGATGCAAGGAAGGGTAGGTAGGAGAATGATAAATGGGAAATCGTAGGAAATAATATATTTACCTCCAAAAAAAAAAAAAAAAAAAAAAAAAGTGAAATGAAATGGAAAGGGATCCGATCCTCCTGCCTCCTTTAAATAGCAACATTCTTACTTATGACATTGATGAACCATCATGATGAAAATGATGAGCGCAAAACAGATGGGAAAGAAAAGAGAAGGCAGTAGTTAGCGATGAAGAAACGAATATAATATAATATACAGGAATGTATTCGAGACGGTATAACGGAGAATGCACCATACATAAAGATATATCTGACTGTGTGTTTCGTGTGTATGGCATGACAAAAGTGTCGTCTATAAAATGGATAGAGAGGGAAAAACGGAATAGGAAGAAAAACAAGACGGGGACCGGGCTTGGAGGGAGAGGATGGCTAGGACATGGGGATGTATTGTTTCTTGAGAGTAAAGCCATTTCCTTTTCATCCGATGTTTAGCTCCGTTCCGTTCCAAGCTGAGGTGCATGGATTTTTAAAGCGGGATATGCACGAGCGGTTGGAGTAGGTAGGGTATGGTAAGGAGGTAAGGATAATAAGGCTAGAGGAGCAAGTATTGGGGGAATACAAAAGAGGGAGAGGAGGAGATGTTGTTGTTGGGTGTTGTTCAAGTACCTAGGTATGTAGAGGGAATATTGCTTCCCCACCAAGGCGAGCGATTCTGCCCCGAGAATCTTTATAATCTCTCACCCTTTCTTCGTCTTCTTCGCCGCTCTTCCATCCCCATTTTCCTGCAGTTTTCCCTTGGCCGCAGACTTGAGTTTAGTAGTACTCTTGCTACTAGTGCTGCTGCTGCTGGTGGTGCTGGTTGTTTTTAAGGAAGATAGCGAGGATGAGGATGATAAGGAAACGGGCGGCTTTTTCGGGAGTGTGGCGACGCCATTGGTGTTAGCAACACCATTCGTTATCGATGTTGGTCCTGATTTATTTTTGTGGTTATCCTGCTGCTGCTGCTGGTGGTGGTGCTGGCCCTTGTTACTGTCAGTTTCACCGGTGGTGGTGATATTCGAACAAGTTGACTCCGCTGCCCCACCTCCTTCCACCACAAACACCCCTTCTAGAGCTTCATGTAGCATCTTAACACCCTCCGCAACAGCCGTCTGCGGGATGCGAATATCCGGAAACTCATCCAAAGTTCCGTTTCCAGAATAGTCCTCCTCAGTATTACCACCATCACCATAATCGGCACCATCAGCATCCGCGTCAGCGTCAGCATCGTCGTCACTCTGCCCATGCCCAGGCCCCTTCCCAACCTCTCCATTCTCTTGAATCACACCACCATCCCCCTCCTCAATCTTCGCCCTCTTCAATCTTGCCCGCATCATCATCTGTGACCTCCTCTTCCGTTTCCGGCCCCTCGCTATCGCTAACGACGACGGTGTCACATCATCACCACCCGTCGCAAGCGCAACGACAGTGTCGACGACTTCTTCGAAGCGGTCACAGTGTCCGCCGCGGAGAAGGTCAAGTGCGAGCCCGCGCACCTGTTCTGTCCAGCCGCAACGCTGGAGGGAGCTGAGGAGGGAGGCGTGGAGGTCGTCGAGGACGGTGGTTGTGGAGGACGGGGAAGAGAGGTAGGTGAGGAGGACAGTGGTGGGGTCGGTGGATTCTGGGGGGGAGGCGGGTTGTTGGTTTGAGGTTGATGGTGCCGTTGTGGAGAGGGTTGTGGTGGACATTATGTGAGTTGTATATACGTATGTGTATATATGTTTGGGTGAGTTGGGGGTGTTGGCATTCGTATAAGTTCGTGTGGGGGAGGAAATAAGCCGGCGGTAACGCGGATGGTGTAGAAACGCCGTTAACAGGAAAGGGCTCGAGGATTGGCCAACTTTTGGCGGGTAAAGATGTATGCTCCCAATCCAACTCCTATAAAAATACTATCGAAGACGGGAGGCCGGCGCCCGTCTATTGCGGTCTTAAATTATTGGACGAGTTGCGCCGGGGGTCTTTAGGGACCGGAAAAACGAGCAGCCTGTTTTTGAGCAAAAAACACCTTGTGTTAGAAAGCTGTAGGGCAATCTAGTACACAATAAATGATTAGAGGGAGACAAAATATTTTACCACCCAAAAGTATTGTAGATAGTAACTCCCGTCGTCGCAAATTGTATGATGGCGGAAAGGAAAAAGGGCTGGCCAGATGGGGAGGTCTAGGCTAGTAGCTGCTAGGTTTCGAGTTTTGGCGCTCTTTATCTTTTTTGCCAGCTTAATCAAGAGGAACATTGCATAGCATACAAAGTCATGGTGTGAGGAAATGGCAGATAAACAAGGCACAAGACAGAGAGGAGCGGACAAATGATATCATTCCACCGCGGGAGAATTGAAGCCAGCGAAGTTCCCGGGAGAAGCGCAGCGGGCGGAGGCCAGGCGGAGATTGGGCGGCGGAAATCCAAAATCGACTTTCCCGGGACGTCATTTCTTGGCGCCAGGGCCGCAGCTGTGCTTAGTCATGCTGTCTCCTCCGCTACGCACTTGGAGTAAGTAAGGTAGACATCCTATTCTATTTCCTGATGCCATGCGATTAAAGGGGTTGTCTACACTATGAGAGCCATGTTCAGGAGTTTCATTCTACCAATTGATCCTTTCTAACCCGCCAAGGAACATAAAATAAAGAGGCACAGATGGGTCTAGCAAGCTCTTTAAATACCTTGGTCAAGCAAGGCTACCCGCCTCAGGGGCATTATCAGGCTGACACCCTCCCTCTAGCACGATAGTGGTCCGAGGGGAAAAGTTCCAACGAGCTTCTTTCGGGGCAGGGCTACTACCAAGAAAGGCAATGTTCCGAAGTAAGACAGGAGGAACAGGAGCAAAAGCAGTGCAGTGGATCGAACGATGCAACACAGGAAGAAAGCCGAGAGAGGAGAGAGATCCATTGGACAGACTCTGTTCTACTTTTTTTTTTTTTTTTTCTTAACATCAGCCGGTAGGGATTTAGCCTCTGGAGCTCCCCCCCCTGGCAACGAATAGAGCTGCCTCTCTCCGTCGAGTTATTTCTCCCTCTAGTTCTTCTTCCTGGAGCTGGACTTTAGAATTGGCGGGAGAGAGTTTGCGATTCGAAGCGGATAGGTTCGAACATACATACATCATGGGCGCGGTTCTAGTTGAGATTATTCCTAACTCGCGACACATATGTGAAAGTCCTGTTGGAGTCTGGACGGTACATGTCGAGCATAGCCCAGGGGCCCCAGGACTGAAAGCCAAGGAACCCCTGTATAACTGGTGGTTCTGAAGCCCTGGAGGGGTACTTACATACCTGGGGCCTGGGCGGTGTTGCAGATCATAGGGCGGCTAATGGGCCCAGTATGGAGAAACAGTTCGTTTTGGAATCTGCGTTCTATAAGATATTGTTCCCCAAACAGATGTTGTGCTTTGAATATTCGCAGGCATTTATATCATTAGCATCAAATTAGTTTATTCTCTTTTTCCTCTTTCCTGCCACAACGAGTTCTTGGCAGATAGGGCGTGGCGGTCAGGTGACTGAGGCTATTAAGGTTGGATTCAGCGAAATTTCAGGAAATCTTCCACTAATATTATTTCAGACTAGTGCATATTTTGCCAAGCCAACCAGTCATGTAAATCGGAGACACTATTCCGCATTGGGACGGTTGCCAGGGGACAGTGTCCCCTTTTAGGACTAGTGCAGCCGAGATTTCAAAAGCCCAGACCAAGTCACGTGGAAGTCGATGGTAGTCTGAATCACGTGAATGTGGTGTCTTGGCGTCCCGTTCCTTCCCAATCCGATCCATCCCCCAGCGCAGTCCAAGTCCTCGCTATGTATCTCCATCCGCGGGCAACGAACGACTTCTATAAATATAGCAACGAACGCCAACGACATCTCTGACGCAATTATTCTTGCTCGCTGTTTGTCTTCCGCCGTGTTGACTGTATCTCTCCGTTGTTCCCTCCCATCAATACATCGCCCCCGTCTCTGCAGCAGTATTTACTCCCCTGTCGACAGTTCCCCCCCATATCTACCTGCCCGCCGTGTTGTATAGTAGTATTCGATTCCCGTCGTTTTAACTTAACATCTTACACCCCCCTCCCCCCAACTTCGTCCAACCAATCCTGGCTGTATATTCATCTACTCACATCTAGACCTATCCCGGACTCTTCCTTTTTGACCCGCTTATACCTTGAGCCTTTCATTTGCTATCTCTGTCGTCGAATTTCCCCGCATCAGGCTTCGTCTTTGTCTCCATCGTCCCATATCAACAAAGCTCTCGCCCGAACTCCAAAGCTTCCAGATTAAGAACACCGCCACCTCGTCGTCTAGTCTTTGTCTCGAGCCAATCGAACCCTGTCGCTTTGTTCATTGCAAGCGTCGCAGGACCTTCGATCATCCTGTGTGTTTCGAGAACAAGAGCACATCTATTTGATACGCTTCCCTTTCGCGCTTCTTGAGGGGTGGCGGGCTTACTTGGCCCCGGACACTCTTCTTAGCCATCATCGTCTTCATCCACCACTGTCATCCTTCCATAACTCAGCGTCACACTTGATTGCTCTTCAAAAATGGCCTTCCAGCCTCCATATCACGCAGACTCGGACGCTGATGATGAATATGAACGAAGTGTGGTCACCTCCCCGCATATAGAAGACTCTGAAGCATCTCCCACAGACTCAGAGCTTCCGTCTGCAGAACATACGCCAACAACTTTTGGCAATACAATTGATGATAGAAGTTCACCCAGAACAATCATTACGGAATGGACTGCTGAGGAGTGCGCGGACTTTGCGGCGTCGCTAGGTCTAAGCCAGTACTGTGATGCGTTTCTAGGTATGCATAGGAACTTTGGGAATACGTTTCCCGTGGGACAAAAACAAAGTAGACTAGCCTTACTAACAGCTTGCGTCTGTGTGTTTCTTGCAGAAAACGAGATAGTTGGCGAAGCTCTCATCGCTTTAAAACACGAGGAGTTGAAGGAAATGGGGATCTCGAGTGTTGGTCATCGATTAACGATTCTTAAGAGTGTTTATGAGACCAAAGTTAAGCAAGGAATACCATTGGATGCGGATCATTACGTCCCTCTGTGTACGTTTTCGAAGCCCTAAAGCCCCTTACCCTGGTTATACGAGCAGGAAGATAGTGTCTAACATGTAGTTTGTCTATAGCTGCGGAGCAGAGTAATGGAGCTGAAGCCGCGACTCAGGACGATATATCTCGTATTATTCAATCGATTAGACTGCGAGATGAGAGGATCATAGCTGCAGAAGCGGAACTCCGGAAACTGGCAGATGACTATCGCAAGCTTCGTGAGGAATTATTGCCAGTTGTTAAAATCGCCAAAGACAGATCACAGCCCTTGCCTTATCAACCGAATTCAACATACTCCGGCACCACTATGAACTCGGAATATTATCATGATCAACCCACAGCAACTCCTGTTATCACACAGCAACCTGAGAAAACCGGAAATAGCCTTACCAGGACATTGTCTAAGAAATTATTTGCAGGAGGGTCAACTCCCAAAAACAATTCTCCTACCCACATCCCTCAATATATACCTGAGGGAAGGACAGTCAATGATAACTCATTAGATCCGTCAGCTGCTGCCATGGCGGCTTCATCACATTTAACTGCTTCAATGAATGGAGGTCAACCTTCTCCAAAGGGAATGCCCTCCCCTACCTCTCCAGGCAGCTTCTACCCGCAGCAAACATTAGCCTCCCGGTCATATGCTAGGGAAACGTCAAACACTTCAAATCGCGGAATTCACGAGCACTCCGATGAAACTCAACAACGGCCTGACCGATCCATTGGCCCCACCCCCTCTGGACAACCGAGCCGACAAGACCCTCAAAGCTTTGCTACGGGTAACCAACCTGTTTCACGAAATCCAGGCGAATCCCCTGCCCCTAGCGTGGAAATATTCAAATCCTTCCGAGTATCCATGGACGATCCCTGCCACAAGGTTCTCCCAGCTGCCCTTAAAAAATACAATATCAACGAAGATTGGAGGCTTTATGCATTATACATTGTCTTTGGTGATCAGGAACGATGTCTTGGCCTCGAGGAACGACCATTAATTCTATTCAAACAACTAGAGAAGGAAGGACGAAAGCCCATGTTTATGCTTCGAAAGCAAGCGCAATTAGTAGATGGGCAGATGGTTAGTGGATATCAAGGTCCGCCAGGTACTGCTGGTGCTGGAGGGATTGGCATCATGCCTGGCAGTGCGGGTTTCGATGGTGGAACCGGCGGGGCTGGCCTAGCAAGCGCGGGCATTGGAAGATCCAACCACACAAGTTCAATACAGCTCCCAGGCGGTGTTCTTTAACTGCCTGAAATGCACACGTTTAAATCTTTTCTCATTTTAATTTTTTTTTTTTTTTATCTTCTCGTCCTTGTTTACAATCTTCTGCGAGTTGGCGGGTTTCGTGTTTATTTCCCTTCTAATGTCAGATGGCCACATCATATTGTTTTGATACCTTTGACGTGTCTATATTACTTTTCTACTTCGTATTTGGCTTTCGATTTTTCGCTTCTCATTGCCACCAGGCGTTTTACGGGTTGATCATTCTCGCAGGAAGAAAAATCTGACATATCGGCAACGTTTACTGACTTCCACATTATAATCATCATTCATAGCTTTGGTGTTTAGTTTTGGTTTTGACTGTCATGCCTGATTGACCCCAATTTTCATTTCTTTTCTAACCCTCCATTGCCACCACTTTTACTTGCCTTGGATATTCTTTTCTTTGAAGGTCTTTTATGGTTTCCATGTCTCGCATTCCGCTGCAGATCAGGCTGATGACGATGATAAAAACGGGAGTTTCTGGAACGTTTCTATGCCTTCCCTTCTCAGGGGCGTGTCCCTCTTCTTCTGTCCACGACGGCTTCGAGCCTACCTAACGTTTGAAATTTCTTTGTTGTTCTTGGTTTTACAAATTCTTCGCCGTTTCAAACACCTTTGCTGTACCTCTTAACTCCCTCCATCGATTTCAGCTTTAAGCTAGTCTTTTATTTGCATCTACCAAAGGTACCCTTCTGTGTTCTTTTCTCTCTTCTTCTCACCCCACATGTGTTGAATTTCCTTTTGGCGCCGAACGGAGATTTGGTTTGGTTTTGATTTGTCGCTATATGTATTATGAAAGCAGTACTTTGAAGCTACATGCCTGCTATTATATATATTTAGTCACCCGCATTTTCTTGCGTTAGAGGTTCTAACGGTTACATCGCTAACAGTGGCTGTTCATAAGTGCCTTTAGTTGCTTCGTGGACTCTTGTCCCGCATCCCTTTTTGAGACCGCACTGCCTGTTTCTCCGTAGAAGCCCGTCTAGATCTGCATCTTGGTAATTAGCCTGCGTCTAGGTCGGGTTTTTTTTTCCAACCTGCTTGTGGGATCAAAAATGGAAAGGCTTCTGTCATTTCACTGCGGATGAATATCGTGATACTATTTCTCAACCGCATGAGTTTCTGTCAGGTTTCACTCCATAAAACTATATAAGCTACCAGAATCCTCTTGAGGAACAAGCTGTAGGATATAATTTTAACCCATGCCTCCCACTCAGTAAGCTTCTACAGAGATCTATCTATCTATATGTTTATCATGCCGACGAACTGGAAGCTGCTGCCTACTATTGTTCTCGCCCTTTGCCACTAGGTTTACTCTTACTCCAACCCTCCTCACCATAGGAATAATCCTTAAGATCTCAAGCACTTTAAAACCCTCATATCTTTCGGCGATAGTCTTACCGGTCCTCAACAACAATGAAATCTTTACCCCAGTCGGGTGGGTAGAGCTAGATGCAAGCAATTTTTTTGATGTGCATCCCTCTTCTCAGCTCGGCAACTCTAGCAACAGTACTTAATATAAATAAGTCTATTACACAAAAAATAAATATAAAATTCAAACTTCAAATATTAAAATGAAAAGCCCTGACACGCCAACCGGCGGCTACAACTGGCTGCACTACATCGCCAACCCAAGCCATGCTTCCTCCTCCTCCCCATCCCCCTCCACCACACACGCCGGCCCAACCGTCTCCAACTACGCTGGCTGCTCCCAAAAAATAACCCCCCTCCTCCTAGACACCCTCATCCCCTCCTTTCTCGAATATGAAATTCCCTCCTAAATAGCCGACTCCAGCTCCCCAGACACCCCCATCCCTCGCCGCAGACGACGCCGTCTACGCAATCTGGATCGGCACAAACGATCTCGCCAACCACGGCTTCCTCACCGACATGCAGGAGCCCAACAGGACAATCGCAGACTCCATGGACTTCATATACGCCGGGCTCGACGGGGTGTATGCGCGGGGCACGCTCTCTTTTGTGCTCATGAACATTCCGCCGATGCAGCTGACGCCGCTGTCTGAGACGCCGGAGCGCGGCGGGGTGGGCGAGACCTGGGCGTGGCCGGACAAGCTGGGGAATATTACACGGGTTAGTTATCGGATGTGGCAGCAGGTGGCGATGGTGGATGGGGTGTTGAGGCATCGGACGGGGTATGAGGTGTTGGTTGCTGGGAGGTATGCGGGAGCAGGGTTTGCGCTTATGGATGTTAATGGTTTGGAGAGTTTTGGGGGTTTTTTTTTTCCGGCTCCCTTCTTCTTCTTCTTTCTTTTATATTTGCGGGGCAAACTGTTTTGTTGACAATTTCTTGCCGTTCGTGTTTCCTCCCCTTTCCTCAGATGACGCACCTCTACAACCATCCATATGAGTACCTGGCTGCCCTAGCCAACGTAACCGGATATAACTACCACTGCAACCTCGACATGTCCGAGTGCCAGGGGTTAGGAAACCCAGAGTCATTCATGTGGTTTGACTATTCGCATCCGTCGCAGCGGACCGAGCAGATCATTGGAGAGCAGTTCTTGGATGTGGTTAGCGGGGAGAGTAAGTGGGCGGTGTATTTTGGCGGTTAAAAACCACTAACTTACTAGTATATATACAGATTACATGAAAAGGAAACGTTGGGCGGGGTGAGGGAGGGAGTAATTGAAGTTTAAATTCGGGGGAAAAGGGAGTATTCCCTGGAAACATTTTGCATATGGAAGAAGGGTGGGAAAACGCATGAGGGAACCAAGCTGTGGGTGAGCTTCCTAAATTAAGCTTTAAGGTTACGGGAAGATAAACTTTATTTTCAAGTAGATATTATAGGCTTAAATTACAATGCATGTACAGACACATATATTATTGACATACACAACCCATCATATACCATCATCATCATCACACGTAACGACTAAAGGCCACGGGAATAATAAATTTAGCATAAGAAAAGGTCAAAAGGAAAACGAGTGCATACAATTTCTGCACAAAACGTCGCTTGATAGTAAAAATTAAGAGCTGAATCGCAAAAGGAGACGAAACCAAACAGAGACAGATAAGGGAAAAAAATATCATAAAAGTCATAGCAAAAAACTAGCCGTACAACTCTAATGAAGAAAATGACAAAGAGCATCAGGTATCTAACATAAGACAAAGACAAAAAAAGTAGGCAGTGCTCATCAAATCATAGCCAACCAAACCATTTAATTTGTACTCAGAACATATCTTTCCCGGCTTCATCCCCCACCCCGACCAAGCCTTTGTCTACAAATGCCTGCCCCTCTCCCCACCCCACGACACTCTTGGAGTGTGTCCTCTCCCTCCATTCCCATTCCCACTCCTCTCACTCAAACCTCCAGTATCAGAATTTCCGCCACCACCATTACCCTCTCCCTCGTCCCCATCGCGAGCAGTAGACCGCGTACTAGCTCCATACGCTCTTGACGGAGCGATAGCCACCTCCCCCGCCGCACCTCTTTTCCTCGCGGGTCTCGTCCCATCCGCAAACTGCACGTTCCCCTTCACAGCCCGCGGTTCGCCATCATCCTCACTATCAGGCTCGTGGGTGATGGCCACAGGCTGACATTTCTGTCGTCCGCGCCCACGAGTTCCTCCGGGGGATTCCGTGCCATCCCAGCCATCATCGACCTCGTCATCGTCATCGTCATTAGCCAATTCGCCCAACGCTGCTAGCCGGCGCTTGCGCTCAGCAGGCGTTTCGGCGCTGTCGTGTATCGCTAGTTGGGAGGGTGTGGGCGGGGAGGGCAGGGGTATGCCGGCTAGTTGGCGGAGTTGGGAGGGTGGGATGCGCTCGGTACCGTCGTCTTCGGAATCGCCACGGTTGCCGGTGGAGGATGCGGACGTGGAGCTGCTCGGTTCACTTGCATCGCTGGAAGTGGCTATGAGGTCCCGTCGACGGGTTCTGGCGTTCGTGGTCGTGCGGTCGGAGAATCGTGTGATGGTGGTGGTGATGTCGTCCTGCTGTGGTTCTTGTCCTGTTACTCCAGGAGATTGGAAGTCGTGGGTGGGTTGCGGGAATAGGTGTGATTGTGATTGTGCTGATTGATGTTGACGGTAAGATGGGCGAGCAGGCTCCTTTTGGAGGGCGGCTTTCACCTGTTCCGGGGTGGAGGAGTGGTGAAGCAGTTCCGTACGGGTTTTGGGGTCCAACGTGCGAATCTGTTTGATAAAATCTTGCTTGCTCATTCTGCGCCCCATGTCGGGCCTTGTCATCAGGTCTGGCCTTGTTACGGTGAATCGCAGTCGTTCGTCGTCGGACGATTCACCTTCGACTTGTTGCGTTTTCTTAGAGGAAGATTCGCCTCCTTCTTTCTGGTCTCCAAGGCCAATCCAGTTTCCTACGCGGGATAGCTTTCGGCGTATAGGCTCAAGCTCGATGGAAGATGGAGGGTTAGCCTCCGCAGAACTACTAGGGCCAGCCTCCTCGACGTCCTTCGAACGCATCTCATCAGGAGGAATGGTAAATTTCTTGATCACTTCGCCATCTTCATCTTCGACAATGACCGTGCTTCCAAATTGATATGCCTTTGCCGGTCGACGACGTCCCTGGTCCGGTTTTTTATTGGATGGGGCGTCCTTAGATTCTTTCTCTCTTCCCCGTCCTCCACGGATCCATGAAGGGAGGCGTGCTCTAATTTGTTCACGAGTATGTCCCGCTTTCTCGCCAACGGCAGTGCCTGCGGATTCACTGTCGGATTTTTCTTCTTCTTGAGCCTTGGATGTTGGAAGCTCCCCGATTCGATTTTGGCGAAGCTCATTATGATCCTGAAGGAAGTGTTCCTGGTCCTTAGGGCTCATTTGACTGAAGTTGGAAGTATCCATAGCATTACCTTCCTCGTCTTCAACGATTATCTTGTCGCTTTCACGGTAAACTTCCATATTAGGTTCCTGGGTTGCCGGCTCGGGTGGTTCCAAGGGAGGCTTGTTCTCCTTTGTGATTTCACCTTGTATAGAAACAGCCGCTTCCTCCACCCTCCTCCGTGGCATAATTGCAGATTGACTAATCGGTCCACCGGCGATTCTTTTCCGTCTTCTCGAAGGCCTGCGACTAGATGCGCGACTATTTGGTTCGCTCTCGGCATCTTCTCTCTGGCGTCGTAGTAGATTTCCTGGAAACCCAATAGGGGGAAGAGTACCAGGCGGGAATTCAGGAAGTCTCCCGTTCGCGTCCGACTCCATTGATTCTTTGCGTAACGACAGGGACGCTTTTGATTGCGTTTGGATGCGAGGAAGTCGGTTCATCCACGACGGTCCATCATCGTTGGTTTGAGTGTAGGACATCGTGATGGTCAAGGTATTGATATGCTTTCCGAGGGTGAAGACAGCAATCGAAGATCCGTGCACAATGATGGATGAAATCACCAAGAACGTCGTAATCGGCCAAATAACAGTGACAATCACGTAGTTGTGCTCGCCAGGCTTTGGCAGGACTGCAAGAGGCTGGGTTGTTCCATTTTCCAACTCGGCCCTGGTGAGGATAGCAGCGAAAATAGCCCCAACACCAATTGGACCAAAATGGCCTGCAAACATCGCCTCTCGCCATGATTTGATATCCGGTATAAAAGGTTTCAACATTAACATGATGGGTAGTCGCCTGAAAAATATCACGAAAATCGCAATTATAACCAACCTCCACGGCACCAGCCCAATTTCGGGCGCATTGAACTGCTGCCATGGTATAATTGCCCCAAAATAGACAAAATACGCCAAGTTGAGCAGTAGATCGATAACGTTGGAAACGTGGGATTCTTCCGTCTTTTCTGTAAACCATCCATCGTTACTGAATCCCACGCCAGCAGAGAAACCGATAAGCAAATCGTCCATACCCAATAGACTGCCTGCACCTGCACAGAACAGGGCCAATACAAAATAGAACACAAGAAAACTCTCTCGATCGATGAGACTCTTCCGTTCGGCGAATTTGATAGCGTGACGTCCGATGTATCCAATCACAAAACCGAAAATGGCTCCGAAAATGCATTCGTAGAGGAGAGTGAAGCAGATCCAATGATAGGCCACCTGCTTCGAATCTGGCCGGTACCGAATAAGATAGATAGCAAGGTAGATGAACGGGAAAGCCATGCCGTCGTTACAGCCTGACTCTGCAGAGAGTAAATCTCGAAGATGTTTGGGCACACGTTTTGCGAATTTTCCCTTCCCGACAACTGACGAAGCTAGGACGGGATCGGTGGCAGTAACACATGCAGCGCAGGCCAAACTTTCCAGCCATGACAAGGGTGGTACCATCCACCATATGAAAAGGCTCGTTATGAGCCATCCCCAGGTCATGACGGGAAGTAAAAGCAAGACGACCGACCTCCAATGCCTTTCCATATACGACTTGGGCAGTTCGACACCGACGGCAAAGCACTGGACGACAAGAACAATGCGCGAACATTCTAGTGTGATCTTATCTACATTCCCCCATGATATCGGGTCGAAGAGGTCGGCAGCGTGAGGACCGAATATGACACCGCATAATGTTGCCACTGTCGCTTCGCCAATGTATAGTTTTTCCTTGACGAATAGTGAACACAGCATAAACAAGCTCGTAAACCCGCCTAGGATCATGTAGGCCACGTGAGGCTTATCGATGGAAAGATGCTCCCACGCCATGATTGCATAACCCTCTTATACTCGACACGGACAATGATGGAGCGTGAAAAGGAGGTCCTGGTTTTTCCTTGAAGCTTAATATCCGCGGCCAATGGAGTAGAGAGAGAGGAGAGGAATTGGCAATGTTCAAGTGCAAGCGGGAACCATAAGCACCCAAATTTTTCTCTTTTTTCCTCGCTGGGCTTCCTGGGAACTTCAAATATTTTCTTCCTCTTCTTCTTTTCTTTTTCTTTTCTTTCCCTTTAACTACAGCCGTAACGCCTCAAACGAACGCAACCAACCAGAGCAAAAGCCAGCACGGGATCTCGTGGCGGTGTACCAACTCTTCCCGCAATATTTTTCACCAAAGAAATCCCGCCTCAATCAATCTTCAACAAGCCACTGCTGGGCATAGTCCTCCTCTAGAAAAGTAATCGCCGTAAACTCATACAACGAAAACGACAGTTTGAGTTTCGCTTTGTCGGTGGCGCTGTCACGAGGACGTACACGGTGAAACGATGAAATGCGAAATCTAGGACACTCTGCGGAGCAGCCAGTCAGTAAGTTCAGATACCGTTTAAAAAGAAATGTTTAGAGAGCGGTTTCCAATTCCACTCTGTTTCCATGCCGCGCAAAGGTATTTATTTACCTTGCGAAATGTTTATGAAGGAGGAGAAGGAAAAGGAGTGAATATTTTTCTTTTTTTTTCCCGACGGCGGAGGGAGCGGAGAAGCTTCAACCGACGGCATGAAACAAGGGACGCTGGCGGTATTCAGGGAGCCAGTAAGATGTGTAGTGGCGCTGGAGAATAGAGGAGCTATGTACTGTACTAAGAGCCCCCCTCGCGATGGTTTTTAGTGCATGGGGAACGTCTGTGCCTTGGTTTGTTGCTCATCTGTGTCATGACGAGCCTATCCTCTTCTCATAGATCCTTCTAGCGCGCGGTTTTTGTCAGCGCTTATCTCTCTATCCCTTGCATAGATTGGAGAGATCAATTAGATTAATTGGAGATACAGGCAGCTTCCCAGTTAGATCAGATTAGCAGACCCGAGTCCGAGAGCTGGTGGTGCTGGTGGTGGTAGTTGAGATGTTCTCCTTCGGCCCTGGAAACAGACGATGGCGATGCTTGATGCCAAGGATTATCGCCGCTGATGAATAATCAGCCAATGAGAGAGAGAAGAAGTTGGATATATCTATTTCACTGTCTTTGACGTCTCAGCGACATCGTTGTCTATGAACACTCTCTTCCACGTTCCGATATCACGACGTTTGGAAATCTGTATGCAAAGACCCTCCGTCACAGATCGACGGCTTGGAAGTCTCTTGGCTGCAGCCCGCTCATGTGGGTTCTAGTCCCACTGCGTTGAGCTTGGCAATTGCTTGATTTCATTTTCTTGGGCGGCTATCTGCTAGATATGATGATGCAAGACTTGGTTTGTGAGGTGTTTTGGGACAAAGTGTAAAGATTCGTATCAATCAAATAACTGTATAAATGTGTACAGGGCAGCCACAGAGCCTAGCCAATTCCCTGATAAATACGCTATCAATCGACAGGCGAACTGGACTTCGGAAAATGACGAAATATATTTCCAATTGGAATAGGAGGGAGTGAAATGGTTATAGCTAACCAACTTCTCGATATACAGAGTTAAAATCATCTTATATACAGCACGAAAGAAAGAGCGTGCGGACGAATTTGTGACACATTGGAGGAAATGGGTCGGTTGGGTAGAATGGGTATAAAAAGAATGGGAGCTCAAAAGAGGGAAATTGAATCTCAAAACTTGACACCAGCGAAGGCAGACTCAGAACTAGTAGAAGTGGTAAATACCAAGAAATTAACCGGCTATCCAAGCAATCATAAAAGGGCTTCATCATCAAAGAGAAATATTGGAAATAGGGATTGGATACAGAAAAACACCCACTTGATGTCATCAAAATCAGACTATGCGAACAGGGGAATTTGGGATAAGTGAAAAAAAGTAAGAATATCGTCGGGGAGAGAGGCAAGGTGAAGATAAAAACGAAGACGGGAAGAGTTCAAATAAATAACACGTTCGACAGGAAAGTTAAACCTTTTCCATTTATCATATTCACATCCACACCTTTCGACCAACATCCTCGAAACGCAACCGGGTTGCTTGTTCGTTGCCGTATCCACAATCAATCCAACCCTCTATTCTGTAGTAGGCATCGCCTCAACTTCCTCGCATAGAGCACGCCAGTTATCGGCCTGCAGCTCTGCATACTTCACTCTCTCCTGGCTCCAGTCCTGATGCAGCCGGCTGATACGATACTGGCTCATTTGGAAATAGAGCAACTCGTCGCGGATGCATTCCTTGATGAACACACCTCTCGCATGTTGTTGGACGATAGACTCCTTGTCCTGCAGAGAACGACAGAGAAAATTTCATATTAGTTGAGTGATGACACAAAACTGGTTTATAGTTTATTTTCATTTCACGTGTCGTAGCGTGAGAGTGTATGCCAAGTACGAAGCAGGCCGTTTCTTTTCTTACCTTGATAATCGCATCTTCAACTTTCTCCACCTCTCCAGGCTTAACAGTCCCCTCGGGCTTAGTCCGCAAATCTTGCAATTTCCTCTCATTGCTCTCAATCCGCCGCTCGAGTTGTGGAATGTTGTCCTTGGCATAGCGGTCCCTCCGATCAAAGAGTTCGCGCATAGCCACGAGACAATCTCGCTGGATCTTGAAGTCTTCCAGGACACCATCATTCCACGCCCGGGCTTCATCATCCAGCAATCCCTGGCTCGCGACAAGGTGTTTGGCTGTAGAGTTTATGCCGTTGTTCAACAGCGGCACGTCGTTCGTGTCGACAGCATACATATCTGATGTGCAATCGGTTAGAGCGCCCAGGGCTCTGGCAAATCGGAATTGGTCTGCGGCAAGGCCTTGGTTGCGTTTCGCAAGACGGTCAAGTAGATTACAAAGGTTGATATAAATGTCAGCTGAACGCTTGATGCCTGAACGAACCCTGTCAAAAGTCTCATTCAAAGTCGGAGGGAGTGAGTCTTCGAGATCCGGAGGTAGTGGTTTGCCGGTAAATTCCTCCTGAACGGAAATAGTAGCTTGTTTTCGCCAGACGGACAACTCCTAGTAGTTGGGTTTAGCATTATTTAACTGCAAAATATCTCGGGTTAGAATGTCTGTATTTTTCTCTACGTACTGTGGGAACGGTAAGGAACATCACCACCAGTTGCTCCTGGTTCAAAACCGGATGGCGAACAAGCGAATTTGCGAATCGTACTAAACCCTTTCGTCGTTTGTCGAGAAAGGAGTTTGAATCCGCTGCGAGGTGAGTGCCATTGACTTGAAAGACGCATTTGTGAGTATTTTTTAAGCTTGATATCAAGCTTCCAACGTACCTGCGACCCTCTTTGGAGGGAGAAGTGGTATCTGCCGGAACGGATACCGTTTTTGTAGACAGTCCACTAACCATACAAAATCACTATATCTCCGGATTACAGAGCTTCCTCGACGTGAGGATTTGACTTCGTAGTTTCTGTGCTGGAAAAAGAACATGCCCTCTTTTTCGGGTAGCATGTTGATCGTGATCACTTCTTCTACACCGTGGGAGGTGATTCTGCCACCGCCAATGGTCCTAGATGTATTATTAGAATTATTATTCCCTTGATCATCTCCTGATTGTCCGAATCCGCCCCCAAGACCGGCGTTTCCGCCGGGTCCAAAGCCGGTACCGGCTGGGTTAGGGAAATTATCCCCCCAACCAGACGCGACACTCCCGGGAGTATTATCGCTAGGTGGTTGTCCAGCAGATCGATCACCCTCAGTGGCGGAATCGGCCTGGGCATTATATCCACTTGAAATTCTGTGAGCGAAACCACTTGTAGCAGAATGTGAAGAGGCGACGAACCCATTGACTCCTTGGCTAGCTCCAATACCATTCTCTATGGAATGGTTATGACCATGATGTAGTGCCGGACTTCCCCATGGGTCGGAGTCCCCAAAAGACCCCTGCGTCATCCGTCGCGGTGGAGATTGGTGCGGGACAGGGACTGCATTTTCGGGTGGCGCTATCGCTGTGCCGTTGCGGGACTTCAGCCGATCGACAAAAGGTATGTTAGGTCTGGGCAGTCCTAAAATTTTGTAGAGAAAACTGATTAGAAATGACTTTAAATTTGCAATCCCGCAATTTATGGGAAATCAAGACGAAAACGCGCAAAATAAAAGACATCTTACTCTTCCTTCTTTCGTCAATCGTATCAAAAGTGAGATCTTCACCTTCCTGAGCCAAACCTATCAAAGCCAACAAAACGTTGAATTCACCTCTCCCTAGCCCATTTGGCAAATCACGGCCACCAGGCACCACCATATTGAGAATTGTCGCCTGTTCCTCGGCGCTCAGACCGGTATCTCGCAGGACCTTCCTTGCTCCCTCAACTGAAATGCCAGCACCAAGCTTATCTCCCGAATGCAACACTGCATCATATGCATCAATGTACCCTTCTGGTACCTCAGAAGCTGGCAATAGCATTTTGACAAGTTCATGGCGCGCTGCCCTTTTCGGGTTTGGCGAGTTCCATGCTGAGGAATCACCGTGGGGATCGTCCGCGAATAGAGAAGAGGATGAAGTTGCACCCAGGCCCGGCTGGTCTGAAAATAAGGAGGATTTGGAGCGGGATGTGGAATTGGCCTTGGTCACGGGAGAGTCTTCGGGAGAGCTACCGAAGAGAGACATGTTGAGTGGAGCAAGGAGACGAAGCTGGGTTCGTGGTGGGAGGAGGGGGGTATGGGTTGTGATTTAGGTCCTATTCAGATCACACTGGAATCATGGAGCTACTACGCTAGAGTAGCGAAACACGGCAATTGCAAATGCTCACCACTCAGGTCGATCGTGAGGGAAGAGTTGAGATAGCTTCAAGGTGTGTTTATCAGGTTGCCTGGCGGAGGCTGGGTTGGGTGCTGCGATGTCGCCGGAGTGGAGAACTCGCTGCTCGGCGCTAAGTGACATCTAGATAAGCCACATCACGGGGTTGGCACCAAGCACACCACTCAGGATCGATTTACGACAAGACGTTGAAATTGGGACTTATGTCCTAGAAGAAGTTATATTATTTATCACGATAAAACACTTCAAACTTATTTAATAACTACCTTACCTGCTTTTGCTACGAAGAAACCTTTTAGTCACGTGCTAATTACATCATTGCCTGACTCTGCTTCTTGTATGACCAGTTCCAAAAAAAATGCTTGGGTTTGCTACTCAAAAGGGAAAGTGTCAAGAACCTCTATTAACAGAGGAAAAAAAGAGCCATTAAACTCGTAATCTATCCTTTCACATAGAGCAATTTCAAAAATATGGATAAATTATATTCCTCCCTCACTAGAGCTCCCAGCGCCCTGCTCATCCATAGACCGGTTTCCCTCCTTGTCCCCCAGAACTTGGCCCCCAGAGGCCCTATGAATCGCCCATCCGAGTGCGTCTTGCCATTCCGGACATCCCGTAGCAAGGACACTTTTAGCATCGAGTTTCCCCGTAAACCATTTATCCTTGCGTACACTTGCTTTATCACCTCCTTCAAGTGCCGCTCGACTAGCCCTTGTCGTCCGGACCCGTTTGTTGCTTTTTGAGTCAAGAGAAATGGGACCGCTAAGCGCTAACCGGCGTTGTTCGAGCCGTAAATCAAAAGCGACAATTGCTCGGATATACGGTGCCAGATCTTCGGAAATGGGTGCTGTGCCGCTGTCAAATGAAAAAGATTGACGCCCAGGTGGCGGATTAAAGGGATCGGGATTACCCATTACTGGTTCAAACGTGTCGCGTAGATCGGACTGTTTTAGGTATGTAGGTTTATGAGAAGTGAATTTCTCTAGAGCCTGTTGAATAATGGTGTTTTCGTCGGAAGATGGCAAGGAGTCGTAGAAAAAGTCGTCCAATAGAACGGTCATTGAGACGCCGATCTTTGTTGATAGACATGCATAGTCGGTCAGTAGGTCTGTTTGTAGCAATTGATGCCCTTCTGTGTACGTGGATCGCTGTTTACTAGTCAAATCGGGCCAGGAAAAGTCAAGGACATCCTGTGGATGCAGTTAGCATTAATCATGTGGTAGCTAATCTTCGAAAAAACATGGACTTACATCGCTAAACGCATCAGGAGAGCCCCGGCAAATAATATCGAGGTTAGCCCTCATATCAGCCTCTCGACTTTCCTGGGCCAGTGCTTCGAGGCGGCTCTGACCATCGTGACCTCGCAACTTGCCCCGACATATTTTCGATTCATGCCAGTCCATAAGCCCCATTTGCCATTGGCATAAGCACTCATACATAAGTTGACTCCTTCGTTGGTAAGGATCTTCATCGCACGCAAGATCCTGGCAGACCAAACCCATCCCATGGACATAAGTGTCCGTGCTCACGACTCTAGGAAGATTGGCCTGTTGTATGTAGCCACCGCGCCAAACAGATGGCGAAGTCAGCCAGTCTAGTCCTGACTTCTTACTCCCAACAGCCATCTGGCACCAAAAATTCAGCTGCATGATAGTTGCCCGAAGATCCCCGCGCATGACAGTGTAAAGTTCGGAAATCCATTCACGGTCCAGAATATGCCCTTCGTTGGCAGCAAGGAGGAGAAGGTAGTCAACAGCAAGATCAAAAGGAGGCTGCCGAAACCGAAGAATCGCATAGAGTTTCAACAGCTCCAGGGGGAGCAAGCTTTCATCATTGCAAGTCATAATAATTGGTCTCCTGGATTGGCTAATGAGTGTTAGAACACCGCTCCAGAATTGCTTGTCTTCTTCGAAAAGGATATCCACCTCCTCAAAGAGTATAAGAGACTGCTTCTGGCTCGGTTGCGTTTTCGGTACCGGAGCTTTTCCGTCCGGAGCAGGCGCACCATCCTTGCCCGTTGCCCTCGGCCCTGAATTTTTCGTATCCTGCTTAAAAAAGTTTTGCATGGTGCTTTGCTTTCCAGTATCAGTGTTGGGCGTGGAAAACAACGACTTAAGCGAAGACGCGGCAGGTGAGTTATCATCGACCTGTCCAAGGAGCTGAACCAGATGGTTTTGGGCCATATCTCCAACACGTTCAACAACATCCCTTGCACTCCTACGACTTCCAGCATTTATTTCGAAAATTTCAAACCCAAGCTCTTTAGCAACACCATAAACAGCAGCAGTTTTGCCACAACCCGAAGGCCCGCTGATAAGTATCAAATTAGGTACTGGACGCTTTTCAGGGGCCGATCTGCTGCTGCGTGCAATTGGATTATCCGATCGAACGACCGTCCGTTTGTTAGATATAGTCACTCCGCCAGCCAGTTCGTCATCATCGCTAGGGCTATCGATTTCATCCATTCGGGGCTCTTCATCATCACTGGAAACAATAAAACCATCAAGATCTTTAGGTCTTTTCCGCCTTTTCCGTTTTGCACTGTCGTCTGGAATCTGTTTAGGCTGCTTCCCATCACTGGGGGAAGTGCCGCTATTTACTGTAGATACGGTGAGACTTTGTAGCCACTTTTTTAGAACCAAGGCCTCAGTACCCAACTGCAGCACGAAATCAGCTCCACTAGGAGCATACTTCTGCGTCCATGGGGAGTCATCGAATTCCCCTCGTTCGAAGGGGGTCATTGAGGATCGTACAGAAGATAGCAGTTGAGCTACTGCAGGGTGAGATGTGTACGGCATTGAGGTTCGCTGATGTGGAAAGTGTTCGCCGATCGTATCCGTGGGTGTCGCAGTTAAACCAAGTCGATTCATAGCTATTTCCAAAAGGGTGTCACGACTGCATGTTCTTTTGTTAGGACATCTTAACACTGCAGATTTTGCATCGCGTTTATTAATATGCCGCAATAATCGTGATTGAACACAAAGGATATTTTCATATTCTGATATTGAGGCGACCAAGCCTTTTGCTTTTCTCTCTTCGAAATCTATAAACGAACTGTTGTTATCGTCATTAGGTGAAAGCCCACGTACATGGATAGCCCCTCGAGGTGGCCAAATCGGATCGATGGGATCTTGAATTTTTGGGAAATGCGAACGTGGTCTCACTGCTGGAGTCTTCGAATTATCAGGTCCCCCAGAAGAGAAGGTCGAAGGGGGTTGAGAATTTTGGGGGCTATGTTCCGATAGTTTGCTTGCAGTGGCTGTTCTGTCTTTTTGAGCGCATGCTAGGTGATCCGTTGATGAATCCTTACTCTGTTCAGCTTTCTCTTCCGTCCTCTGAGCGGCCTTGCCAAGGAAAAAAGGATGCGTAGGCTTCGAAGGTTCTTGAGGTGTAGGGATGGAGACCGCTTCCCTTAATAAGGAATGCCTTTTCCGACCACCAATTATTTCGTTTATTTGTCGGCCTATCAAGGAACGGGACTCTTCATTGACTCCATATCTTAAAGTTACGATCGCAGATTGTTTTTTGCTTCGTTTCTGAGAAGTAGGCTTCCTCTTTTTGCTCCGTTCTTCAAGACTCCGGGATTCACTTTCAGATCGAAAGGGAGAATTCAATAATTTGCCATTCGGGTTTAACCTTAACGTTTTGACAGGAAGATCATCAGGTTTCGGGCTTGTATTGACAGATTTTACACATGGTTGGCAAGATTCTAATAAAGAGGAAGAAGGTTGATTCTGTGATTTCTCTGAAGCTGTACCCGTTGCGGGCAAGTCGACTCCCCGAGCCACAGAATATTTTTCTGTCGCATTCACGTCGCCTTGGGCAGCGGACTCGAGCTGTTCACCCAACGAAGGGACCGGATTGTGCTGAACCAAATGTTGCCGTACTAGTCCCTCTGTCACCCGCCCAGCAGGTTCTGGAGTCTCTGTTTTTCGGCGCTTTTTCCGGTTGGCATTGACATCCTCGTCTTTCAGGATAGGTTCGCGGTGCTGTACAGCACTTGTGAGCTGGAGCTGCAGTCGCCCGTCCCTCTTCCTGCTGCTACGAGACGAACGTCTCATACAGCTCCGATCAGGACTGTCTGAACCAGACGTAGGATCTATTGGTATGTTGACAGCGTCTTTCCTGACTGCCGTTCTAGCTTCAGGTTCCACGGGTCGTAAAGGCGGGGATTCAGACGACGATGAAGGGTCGGTATCGTTTGGGCCTTTCGCGATGGTTAACAAACTATCATAAGTAACAAAGAATTCCACAAACCTTTCCCAAAGAACGGGTGCAAGGTCCGTTGGACATGCTGCCCCATGGCCCTTTCAAGAGCAATAGCAGCCATTCAATTCCCTAGGGAATCGTCGCATTGTGAAGCTGATCCCGAAGAGTAAAGTCGGGAATTCTACAGCCTCCCATAAATGGGGAGTTTGTATAGACCCAGAGACAATCCAAATAACCCAGTTCGCAGAGGTTCGAGCCGGAACTAGCGTCCTGCAATGAGAGTTATCATATCTGAACAGATGGAGTTGAAAATAGTCCCTTCATTGTCTTTTTGTCGCGCTTTCTTCGCCGCGTCTCGCCAAATCACGCGTCCTGCCCGGCCGATGACGTTGCCGGATTCGGCTAGTGTGGCGTAAGTTAGTTAACTATCTCGGAAGATTATTTCCCCGATAGCCGCCCAAAAAGTTACAATATTTTTGACAAAGACGGAGTTCATGTCTCAAGGTCTATACTATACCCCGTTGCGCTTCCGTCAAAAGGACGCTACATTTCGCAATATGGAGCTACAAGCGCCGTTTGTGCTGGCCCAATTGCCACGGCCGCTGGGAGCTTCAGCTGGTAAATGCCAACTAGGGAAAGTTTACGGCGTGGAAGGCTCTAAGAAACGAAAGCGGTATGAAGTTGCAGCTGCTATTGACGGGGAGAGCGTGAACATTTACAATGTAAGGCCCTTATCCCTTTGCCTGCTATTCATTTCCATGCATTGCTGATCTATTGGGACCAGGTTCAATTCCCAAAACTGGTCACCTCCTATGCAGTTCCACCGCAGTCTTCGTTTTCCTGCCCGCCCTGCTCCGTCCGCCAAAAGTCGAGCCCGAAACAAAATGCAGTTGCAAGAAGGCACACTTATTGTTCCATAGAACAGCCAGAGAATCAAGTGCAGTGTTTCCTGGATCAGTCGACTACCGGTGCTCACAATGCGCTAAACGTTTCCAACACCTCTTTCAAGCTAGAAGATGCCCGGAGCCCTGTTGTTTTCCTTGGCATTATCCCGACAGCCCCAGAGGCAGAGAAACAACAGGATCCCTTCGACGTCCTTGTAGTCCATAAAGATGGACGAGTCCGCAGACTCTCGCCGGACCTCAAGACTCAGAAGTGGAATATCCTGCCAACCACTGATGACAAATCAGCTTCACATGAAATCCAGACCGGATTCCTTGTGGCCTTCGACGACGCGCGCAAGTCACTATTCAAGAAAAGGCAGGATATCGTAGCGACGGTATTAGGTGATGAGATTGGAGCAGAATCGGGCACTTCCTCAGTGCTGATACTTGTTTCCCGGCCACATCACAAGGAGCAATTGCTCCCCAGCGACTTCGACCTGATTGTTTTCTCTCTATCCACCCAGGCTACAGATGATGGTTTCTCAATAAGTCATGCAAAACGATTACGACACCTAATGACTATTAGTCTACCGAACTTGGAAGAGGAACAGACACCAGTCGACCCCAAATCACTCCAATGGAACTTCCATCCCAGTACTAGCGGATTGTCATTGTCTTTTACAAACGGGTTTATAATTTACGATATATCTCAATACTCACCTGAAATATTGTCCTACATGGTTTTTCCCAACGAAAATTTCTCATCCATCATGCGGATATCGCCGCAGTCTGTTATTGGTGCCGGCAAATCATCGGTTGCGATTTACAACGCACGATATCAATCAATTCAGGCGGACCTTTCGTTAAAAGATATTTCTACCGTAATCGCCACAAAATCAGATGCTGATAAGGCACCTGTAGTGTTTATCTCCTATTTTTCGAAGCTTGGAATCGCCATTGCGACACGTGGAGCTACACTTCTTGGTTTCGATCTTTCATCATCTCTTGACCGCTACGACGGGTCTCTGAAACAGTCCGGTGATGGACTTTTGATTAATGCAATTGGCAAAGGAATTCAATTGGCATCAGATTCCGTACTAAAGACGGGCACCAAGCCAGCAAATCACATGCGGCCTGTGGGACTCTGCGAGCCGGAGGAAGCTGCTCGGTGGGCTGAAATAAAGAAGCAGCTTGACGCCCTAGCCGAAGTCAAAGATACTGCAAATTTTGACAAACTTATGAAAGATGCAGTTTGCAAACCCTCAGTATCAGGTGAAGACGACAAACCCAAACATCTACCATCAGCGGCGGCGTTTGTGGATCCAGAAAAGATATCCTTCCTGCTCGGGAAGATATTTTCTTTAAGGATCAGCGACACAGATCCTAAGACCTCGAAGCTAGTCATGTCTTTTATGCCACCCAAAACCTTCCGTTGGCTTATAAACTCTCATCACCTCAGCCTAAACAACATTCGGACCGCTCTTTGTCAGTCCATGCGCCCGCGGATGGTGCCACCAATTCCAAACGGTTCACTAGTACGGGCTCTTACTGAGCCTGGAATTTCTATCAAGTTATTGTTGCAGGTGTTACGGACCCCGATAAATCTTGACCCAACCGAACTTGCTCATGCACTAAAAGTCCTCCTTGACTTCGCGCGCTCTCATCGGCCCAGGCCAGAGGAGGAATTACCAAGAACCATTACCGAAGCCGCTCACCCAGCCAAAGAAAGCAGCTCCCAAGAAATGACCACTGAAAACCAGATTAAAAGCTCCCCTGCCCATCGCGGTATCGACGCCATCATAACGGACGCCACCACTGGCCTAAATCTAACCCTCACAAAACTACACTTCTACCCCATCGACAAAGTAACCCAAGCGATCCGCTCCGCCCTCTCCAACTCCGACACCCTTTCGATAATCCACCACCTCCGCCACTCCCTAGCTACGGGCGGCTACACCTCGCGGTTCATAGAACAGTCTGAGGCGCCCCTTCCGCCCGACCCCAAGATTCCCACCCTCAGCCTATCCACCCTGGTCAACCTTCTGACCGCCTGCATTGACGCCATAGGACCAAGCGGCTGGATTTCTGCCGCCACCTTCGCAGGCGCAACAGACAGCGAAGCTAGCCTAATCGCAGATATGAAATCCGAAATCTCAGCTGCACTGGTCGGCGTCGAAGAAGCAACGTATCTCAAGGGCATACTTCGCGAATTTGTCAGATATGCTGAAACGGCTGCCGCTGGTGCCAACAGTAACAGGGCCGGTAGCGGGAATAGCAATAAGAACAAGAAAGAAGATCAGGCTGATCAAGCGGCCCCAGCCCTGCCGCGCGGCAGCCGTCTGAAGCGCAAGGAGCGACACAACGGCGCTGAAATTCTCATATATGACACTGATAACATCGATGGTGCTGAAGGGGCGCTAAATCGCGATACCCAGATGCTTCCTCTGTCGCTTAAGCGGGTGGAAGTTGGAGGGGGTCCGGGACAGGATGTTGTTGGTACATCTGCGTCGGGTGAGGAAGTGAGCAGGACTAAGATCCGGAAGACAGGTGAAGTGGTGGCAAGGACTGAGCGTGAGATCGGGTATTTGAGGGCGAAAGCTGTGGGGAAGTATTCGTTCGAGAGGATTATTGTGTAGTAGGCGGCATTGCGGAACCGTGTCCTTCGCTGTAAGGAAGGAACGGCGGTGTTACTCGATGGCTTTATGTGTGTTTGTATGTTGATAATGGTAAATTAAACCTTGGGAATGAGTTGGAGATTACAACTCCTGCTTTATGTAGAGGTGTGGTTTCTCCAAAACATTATTGACTCAATGCCAATGAAATGATGATCTCCACATGGCTTGTGTGCATTCAGATATTGTAGTTTTTATATGTATTATCATGCTGTTGTTCTCTTGGAAATATTTTGCCTTTTCACATGTCATTGGATTTCATAACATACCTCACATATCTCAGCACGTTGGAAGCGCGATTTAATTTTGAGCTTTGTTTCTATAATTGAACATCTAACGGCGTGAGACATTGTCTACCAGAGTTTTTCTCATACATTCTCATTCTATATTTCACTTTCTTCATGTCATTCTCCATCTTTCATTGATAGCTCTAGTATCAGTGAATATACAGTAATCACAAATACCTCATAATATCTCCGATTGCTTACTAGATAGAAGATCAAATCTTCAAAAACTACCTACATAACATGATCTGTATTATCTTGAAATTCCTGAACCTATTTTGAAAAAAGGGGGGTATCTACATAAACATGATGACATGATGAAATCTCTGATACAAAAAAGGAAATTCAGAAGGTAAATGAGGGGAGAAGTATGAAGCTAGCAGAGCTCATGTGAAATCAAATTGTAGATGTAGATGAGAGAAAAGATTGAAGGAGAAAGCTAAATGAAAGAGAGGGGGAGAGCAAGAAGGCAAATCAATAGCAGTCGCCAAGGCAACCAGTTCGACTCAACATAGTAGCACTGGTAACAAGTGTAAAAGTGGGAACGAGATATTAAATGAATGAATTGTGGGAGTGATGAATAATGTATGCAAGCATTGCATCCATTATTGAATCCCAGAAGTGGAGTTCCAAGGACCCTGAGCTTAAAAAAAGGGGTTTTCTAGCATAAAAATCAAGAACGGTAAATGGGCGGGGTAGTTAATTCAGCATTAAAAATCACAGGGTGAGAATAAAAGAAAGAGAACCAAACATAAAAAGAAGTCAACAAGTATATCATCAGTTCGTGACATTAAAACACCGAGTCCTCCTGTAGACAAAAACCATGCATGCATAAATTACTCATTCTGACTGTGTGTGTGTGCGTGTGTGTGTGTGTGTGTGTGTGTGTCGAGATTCGAACAATATAACAGCGGGGAGACTTGAGCGTGGGGCATAAAAAAGAAGAAGATCAAAAATAGATTCGCCAGGTCCACATTGTCAGAAAGAAAAAGGCAACTGAAGCATGGGTAATATATCGACAAGAGTATGTAATCGCGCATTGGGGGTACTTTAAAAGCACATGTAAAGCGGAAAGACGAAAGAAATAAGAAAACACCCACAAAAGAACAGAAAGTTTACCCAGCCCCCACCAGCAAGCACTAAATCTTCAGAAACTGGATCCCGATGTATAAATGTAAGTTGTGTGTATGTATGTATGCATGTATGCAATGCAAAGCAAGGCGCCCATAAGTGATTGGAAATGAACTCCTGCTTTCCCGGCGTTTTTTCGATTCCTTTTTTTCCTGTTTCCCTTTTTCTTCTCTTCTTTTTTTAATGTTCCCGCATCCGAAAAATACAATAAATGAAAAAGCCCAGCCTTATTTTTCTTGGAATAAGTAATATATCAAATCGTGTTGTTTTTATATGAATCCCAAACTGTGTCCATTTGTGATGTGATGGATAAGACCGAACCCTGTACCACTGACATGACAATTGTGAAACTTTCGTGATCGTTAATCCGGAAGGCGGGGGGAAAAAAAAAAGAAAAAGGAGATTTTTTCATGTTATGGGCGTTCGAAATCGAGTATCTCCGGTAGACTTTTCAGAGCGTGAAAGGAAATTTTTATCGGATCTTAGATATGAAATCACCCCGCAGCAGCAGCAGGTGGGCGGCGGATATGTGTGAAGCGCCAAAACTGCCCGTGTACAGACTGGCGAGGATGCGTTCACACGCCAACGTGTGATTAGATGCAGAAATGTCCTGAGGGACGACGCGGATAGTTTCATTGGCCGGGATCAATCCGCGTGGTGGCCTTAGTCAGGAACTCAGAGCCGATATGCGAGAAGCAGGCATGTACATGGTCCTGATGTTCTTCTCCTAATTATCCAGCAAGGACTGAGTTCCTCGCCCTCTCTCTCATCCGGAGCCCTTGGGCTTCGAGCGACCGAGCCATTAACTTTGTAACTATATAACGCAGAAAATAAATTGATCAGTCAAAAGAAAAATTCAAGGACATCGCATACGAAACCTAGTGGTTATTCTCACCTGGCCAAACAGCTGCCCTATCCAGAAGATACGCCGTCGAGAACAAGATCTTTGTACCAAAACCGCCATCAACCAAGCTGGGCAAACAATTCGATGGTTCATTTCCAGAATTACCGGGATGATGCAAAGCATCTTTCATTTTCACTTCAATATTGTGGAGTATTTCTTGTATCTTTTGAATAAGCTTGTAATCCTCGTCTTCCAAGAGCATTATTCCAGGAACCTGGGTCAAATCCATCGCATCCTGTCCCAAAATCCCTAGATATGGACCAATTCGTTCTTGAATTGTGGTTACCCATTCAGCCAAAACTTGAGCACAGTCAAACGCACACATTGCGCTTTGGATAGGAAGCTCTCGCGACGTGAACTCAGCATAGGTATTTCCTAGCTTATCAGACATGGATATCGAGTCTGCAGCGTAAAATGCTGCCTTTCGAAGATGACGTTCGCGTCTTGATGCTGCCATTTGCTGCTGAGAAATATTGTTCTGCATGTTGCGTTCTTGATTCGCGTTGCCAGTGAGCGTTAAGTCTGCCACGCCGTATTCAGCCATGGAAGCTCGCCTGCCGCCACCTTGGTTTGCTCCCTCAAGTTGGTTCGGGGAGGGATAGTCAGCTCTAGGATCATCTGCATGCTGAATAATGTCGGCTCCTCTTGCCAGTTCGTCCGCCATGCCGTTCCAATCTCTTTGCCAGAATGCTTCCTTGGATCGACCCAAGTTAACGAATAATCTAACATATGCAAGATCCAAAAGAGGTATGCTATCCGCCGATAGAGGTCCCAACCCATACGGGTTTGGCCGCTCAAGGCTATGTCTAGGGTTGGCACTCCATGCCGACTGCCAAGCCCGAAGAGCAGGTTCAGTGTGTGCATGCATTGCTTCCGTCTCCTGTGGAGTCCAAGGGCGGCCAATGTGTCGCTGTCGAGTTTCCCAAATATAATTATGCAAGGCGTGTATCAGTACCAAACAGCCAAACGTACTCGGTTTCAGATCACTTTGAGGAAGATCTTCGCTGGGCGCGCCAGCGCCAGCGCCAAAATGCGACTGTGGTGGGGAGCCCGATTGCCTTCGGTGACTAGCTGTAAGAAGTGTTGTCAGTGCCACAGAAAACGGAATTCCCCTATGATGAGCTGTAGTGCCACCCAATGACGTCCAAGCTTGGGCGGATTCCGCAGCCCAAAGTTGTTCGTCGCAAGGCAAATCGAGCCGAATTTCCGAATTCATCAGCGCTGGAGCATGGTTGTAAGCAGAAACCAAAAGGCTGGACAAAGTAAAAATGGCATAAAGCGTTCTTTTTCGCTCCTCTACTATTTTCCACCGCATCCATTCTCTATGGTCATGCCACGCTTGAGAATTTATCCCATCCATATGCATATCACTCCCTCCAATGGGATATCCAAGTTGATCGGGAGGGAGGTTTTCGGCTGGCAAGGGGTGGATCAATTCTGCGGCTCTTGCTAAGCTAACTAAAGCCGCACAATGTGTACTCGCAATGTCAGCAGAGGTTTTGTCACCGCTATTATGTCCATATATGACATTCAGCAGCATTGCCTGAACTAGCCACAGAGGTGTATTCTGAACGGAATTATCGCGCGGGGAGCTTGATCGGTTAAGTGCCGCAGACATATCTGCTTTTCTCCGCTCCTCAAGGTATACCTGAATCATTTTCTTCGCAGACTCGAAAAGCTCCTTGGATGTCGCGGTTTCGAATTCGTACAAGGCACCGATGGCTGCCATGGAGAGAATCAAACACCCACCCCCACCAGCAATAGTAGACGTGCCAGAATTTACTTGTCCATTAGGATTCTTTAGGCTGCCAGCGTATTCGGGAGCATCAAAATCCAAAGTCGATATATGCAGGAAAGGCATGTGGGGGTGGAAATAGTTCACATATGCTGCAATGTAACGTTGGAGGTCGATCGTGCTTGGGAGAACATATGAATTACTGCTAAAGGAGTGTTGATGGGGGAGTGCGCCGGGGCTGGTCAGTTGTGTGCTAGATGACTGGGAGAATCGACGATGGGTAATACCAGAGGGCTGATGTAGACTGGCTAAGAGAGCTTGGCGAGTGGAATCGGTAATGGTTTCCGTGGATATCGACGGCGCGGAATTTGGTACAAAGCTGTTAAGTCTAACGGTACCGGAAGAATCCCCTATATCTCCGTTAGTAACCATTGGGGGATGGAATATATTATTTGGTGGTCCAGACAATCCAGGCTGAACCCTCGGAGGGGGAGTCGAGAACGACTGGTCGGAAAAATGGTGCTGTGCAAGCAGGGACTTAGGTGAGACAGTATCAGGCTGCATGTCTGCAAAAGGGGACGTAAAATCGATGTTGAATTGATTTGTCGGAGTTTGGGTTTGGACAAGGAGAGGATTGGACCACGGTCCCGAGGAGCTCGTCACAGCCTGGTTCGATCCATCTAACATAACTTCGCTGATTCCACTCTGGCTCCCTGTGCTCATAGCCGAAGGTGACGAACCATCAATCGCGGACTCATTTGCATTGGCGAATGTCATTGTACTCTCAAATCCATGCAGCCATTCCGGGTTGAGGTCATCGTCGATCAAGCTCTGTGATGTTGGCATGCCCGCAAACGTTGGGTGGAATGGCGAGGTCGGAGTGTCACCACCAAAAGGATGAGGCGATCCGAAATGCAGCTGGGCGGGGTTGATGGTATTACTCCCCTGATTTAACATCATGTCGCCAAAGTTCACCTCATTGAAGCTACCAAAAACGGGTGCAGTACGAAGCCCATTAGTCAAGTCCATAGGAATGCCAGTATCTAGTTTTGTCAAGCCATTGGTATTTGGCTGCTCGGAAGGGAGACCCCGGAACCCGTATTCTGGAAGTCCAGGTATCGAACTTAAACTCGGATGGCTGGTGTGAGTAGGGTAAGGTGGCCTTGAACCAGCTGGATTTCCAACACCTATAATCCCAATTGACGAACGATCAAGATGGCTGATGGTATTCGCTCGCGGCCTCATACTATTACCGGTGTTTCCATTATTCGCAATGGAATTTTTGCGGACCCGAGTTGCTCCAGGCCCGACACCGCTGGTGCTTTCTCGCCGCGCATTTTTAGGCCGGGATGAGGGCGTGGTTGTCATATGGAGCTTCTGTTGATGCCGCAAAAGGAGGTCTCTTCGCGCAAAGCACCTGGCACATTCCGGGCATTCAAACGGCTTTTCTTTGGTATGAGACCGCTCATGACGCTTTAAGTGCTCTAGCCGGGCAAAGTTTCTGCCGCACGTTGTGCAACCATGAGGTCTAGGCTTGTCGGTTTTTGGTGGAGGAATATCGGGATTTTCAGTCTGCTGCTTCTCATTGTCAACAGCTGTACTGGATGTTGATGGAGGTGGTGCTGCAAAATGGGTCAGTAGCTATATATGCTAAGCAATTATTACCGAGCGAACGGCTCATTTACGGCTTACCAGTAGTGGCAGGCGCGACTTCACTTATAGAAACAAGCTCCTGTCCAGGCTGAGTATCGACAGAGTTTTGACGTGCCATGACATCTGACAACATTGTGCTTGAACTTGAAAACTCCCCAAGAGACGTTTTCTGTCTTATCCGGTCCGCCGTGACCAGATTCAAGGAACGTAGGGGGTAAGTGGTTACCGTTCCGTAAGGGGGAGGGGGCGTATTTCACAGCCTTTATGCTAATAGCTCGAACGAGGAGCTCAGTGATCAACACCAATTTGAGCGCAAGGCTATATCGATTAACAGGATAAGAATATAAAACTGCGAGAGACAGGGGATTAGTTAACGGCGTTCACCAGGACTTTAGAAATCAATTCCGAAGAGACTCTTGGGAATTGAGAGTGTGGTACGCCTTCAGTAATTAAAATAGAGCTTGTATTATGAAGGAAGCTATCCGTGTCCGCAAAGGAATAGAACATGGCAAGCTTACCAGCACGGGCCTAAGTAGCTTTATTCAAGGATTGAAAGGTAAAAATACGAATGTATTATGATGCGAACGGATTACCAGAGGCGCACTGGGCATCTGTGGCGAGCAAGTGTTCAAATCAATCCCTCCAAACATGTATATCGATTGGGAATAACGCTGCTTATTCCTCGTGGATGGTAGGGGGCCGTTGGCCGATGGAATGGCCAACCTTATACTTCCGTAGCTATGACAAGTTCGGGCCAAAGCAGAGAGGGACTTTTGCAGGCAACTCTTACAACACTCCCTTGCACCACCAGCGTCTTGGAGCGTTGGTGTCCCTGGTAAAAAATCAAATGTATCCTTCTGTTATTTCCGTTGTCCTTCCCACTTCTCAGCTCAGATCTAGGAATGGGCTGCTCTTGGCGATCATTAAGGGATAATAGTGGCAAGAGAAACAGCAAACGGACAAGCCAGGTAAGCAGGGACCAGGAGGATGGGCGGCAATTATGAGCGACGATAGTTGGATAAGATAAGGAGAGGAGAGGGTATGGAGGTTGGAGCTGATTTCCAATTGCGCCAGCGAACACATGAAGCCAGGGCAGTTTGGCAGTTCGTCGTTTGAGCACGGGCGACAATTTGAGCCCAGAACTGTTTCAAGAAGCCAGCAGAGAAGCGAAACCACCATAAGAAAGGATTTGCTCTCGAACGAAGGCTCTGAGAAATGCGAACGCAGCTGGAAGAGAGAAGAAGGAAGATGAGGTGAGGTTGTGGTTGGTCGGTCCAACATCAGAGGGACTCGGCGGCAACTCCAGATTGGAACTGGGGGAGGCTTTGGACTTTGGGGCGGCTGCGGCTTATGGGGGTGTGGCTAGCTATTAGGTACGACGGATACGCTGGTATGTACCGTACCGAGTACCGCCGAAAACACATTCTCATACCCCACAAAACGGTACTAGCTCTCATCGGCTCCACTTCCTGAGAAATTACAGTACAAGATTTGTCTTTTTACGCCACAGAACCTACGATACAAGTAACATCTTGGACCTTTGACGCAGATTAAGTGCTTGGTCCGTCCCCAGACCCAAATAAATACAGACCTCGGCGCGGGACCAACCGATTTTGTTATGCATAAGTATGTAATGTATGTACTGTACAATGCATCACGTTACCTAGGTAGAACCTAAGGGCAGACCTTGCACCAATACGGGCTACTCGTTCCATTCAAAGTTTCGCTCTGTACGAATCTCCCCGTTTTGGCAAGTCACCAATCCGCCGGTCTGTAATAAAATAACTACTAAATACAGGAGCTCTCTGGTCCGTTGTTGCATGAGATGGGATGGAATGTGTCTTGGTCTCCACAGGCGTGGAGAGAGAGAGGGAGCTAGCTGCAGGAAACCCACGGCTATCGCCTGCGCACAATCAAGCATGTTCAAGCATGGTGATAAATAACCAGGGGCAAGAAAGGAAATCCTCAACGCTTTCCAAGCCTCCAGGATCGAAATATATACATTTCCCGCGAACCAGGAAAGAAAGTTGCTGGGAGCCAACCTTCTCGACTCAAGGGAACATAATTTCAGACCATGGTGCCTGGCACCGCGTATCGTACTGCCGCCGTACCCTCCTGACAAGTAACATCTTGTACTCCGTACTCCGGTACCAGTTACCAACGACCCTGGACCCAGGCCTCTCCCAAAATGGCCACCTGCAGGTCACTTCAACGCCTGGTGGGAACTCTTGGGAACTCTCCTCCCTGGTACTCGGTACTCTGTACGGAGTACCAGGACTGTAAAATACCCCCCCATCCATGGCAGTGACCTGGGGCCTCGAGCTAATCGTATGACACCCAACGCCCGCCGTCGTTACCTGGTAATTTCGCATTTTTGAAATCTCGAAGCTTTTCGGCAACAACCTCTTCGTCACATTTGGACGAACGCAACCGAGATGGCTCTCTCAAAGTCAAAGCGTTTATGAAATATTTTCACTCATGTGTGTGTGTGTGTGTGTGTGTGTGTGTTATGTGTGTGTAGCTGGTGATTCCATTTGCTCTGCATAGCTTGCATTATTAGTTATTATTTGCTGACAACTTGCGTAACGCAGAGACCGCGCTTGGACCTTCCCCAGCCCGGCCAGGGAGGGATGGGATTGCACGCGCATCCTCATCATCGTCATCATCATCACCTACGCATAGTAGAAAGAAAGCCCCACTGGCGCTCAAGGTATCAACTTGAGCCATGCTCCGAGCAAAGGCGTGGGGACAGGACAAAGCTATCCTGGGCTAGTTTAACTGCGCGTGGCCTGTTTCTGATGCGTTTTCTTTCTTCTTTTGGCGCCTCTGTCGCAACAGAGCGTCACAGTTGATGAGAGATTGGTTAACTAGCAGATCGATCGATAACAAGAAAGCAAACTTACCACGCGAACTTGATCCAGAAATTAACGATGTTTTACAAAAAGTCTGTTTCATTATTCGCCTCATATATTTTATTCATTCTTTGCAGAAGATTGTCAATAACTTACAACGCAGCCGCCAATTACCAACAAAAGAGCGCCAGATGAGTCCGATTCAGGCACATCCACACCCTCCTGGACGGCGGCTGGAGGCGCATATCCTCGTTGCAGGAGCATGCGGGAGTCCAAAGCCCTACATGGACACAAGCAAAGCGCGAGAGCCAATCAATCGCCCCTGTTGCAGTCGCCATCAGTGGCGCTGCTCTCCAATCCCATCTTGCCGCCGAGGCCTCCTCTGCTGATGCCATGCCATGATGCCAACATGCAAACAATATTCTATTCTCGTCCGCTGGTTGGGTAGTTTCAAACCTGGGTTGGTTTCAGGAGCGTCAGCGGCAAAAAAAAGATGTATGTACTTGGTTCTATTATTCTCTTCTGTCTGTTTTTCCAACGCGGAATGGACAAACGAAAAAGACTCTCTAGGAAGCAAACATGGGCGCATGGAAATGCTTTGTAGGATTTCAAGCCCAATCAATCTATGTGTAGGTTCCTTCCTGAGATGCAGGGAAGTCTCAAACTGATGGATGAAACTGCCCGCAATTGAAAACTACATGCGAGTCATGGAATCATGCAGGGTTGACTAGGTTAAGGCACCACCTGCTTCCCCCTAGCCGCCTGAGTCTCCCTTATTTCCTGTCAGGAACACGCATCATTGGGCTGCTTGGTTGAACTGTATATAGTAGGGTGAGTGGAAGTTTCTTTCTATTCCCTTGGCCAAATGTACAGAAAGCGGTCCTATTGTTGATTAGAGGAAGAGCACGAGCAAGGAATTCTGCAACGTACTCATGGCCAAGTTTGGCTACAAGGAAAACATGATACGATTTGTTAGGGTTCTGTTCGAACCATTGTTGTTTGTCAATATATATATCCCAGGAGCCCATCATACATGTAGTTACTGTACGGGTACACCTTCGATGTCCAGAATTGGTTCGCCAATGATGGTCATGTGTATGGATTATGTACTAAGAGGACATCAATGTCTCCGGCCGCCGCCACAGTGTGCTCTGGTCAAGATGATTCGGCGACATATACTCCGTACATGGGCCATCCAACCATGCGACGCGATCTGGTTAACAAACGACATCATCATGCATGCAATGTACTATCATTGCATACATCCTGGTTTCCTGGTTTCCTGGTGTGCAGAACGTTTGATCCAACCAACCCTCGGTATGGTATGTAGTCCAGTTGTCCAGTTGACGCGCTCCGCAGGCTGAGACGCCGAGATGCTCAGATGGTGCAATAACCCGAATATTTTTAGAATTGAAGGGGGGACTTCTTTTGCTCCAATGTTTCTTTGAAAATATCAAATGAGTCGCATGTAGAGCGAGCTTATCATAGCCACACTAACCCACGGAATAACCAAGTATCTCTTGAAAAAGCACCTGGGTTAAGGAAGGCCCTTGAGACAACATCATCATTGAATGTGAGCAGGTGAGTAGGTGTAGGGGAGCTTTTTCCTGAAAACTTTCCCTGAACACTTTCCCTGAATCCGCCACCCTTGCATGTCCAAGAATGGCTCCAGTCCCTAACCCCCGTACAGTGGCTGGTGATTATCATCGACTTCTGCCTGAAGCCAAGCAGCGTAAGCTCGTTTACGAAAGAGCCAAGGCGGGAAATCTCTGATCGCCTGGGGCCGGAGATGGGTGAAGAAGACGCATGCATGACATGTAACTATCCACAGAGAGGAGCTCAGCGTTTACTTGTTTGTTTCATGTTTTTTGGAGAACAGAATGTGCTGGGACATTACATGGAAATGACTCTCCGCGTCTATATAAGTTATTGTTGTAGTTAATCGCATTCCACATTTCTATCAAAGCTGCTTAGCATCCGCGGGGGTTCTGGATGGGACAGCCCGTTACTTGGACACTCGCATCTCCCAACATACAGTACGACGATACCTCTGTCCCCAAATCCAACCTTCCCGAGGTCTCCGAGGCAAACGTGTCTGGTAACGACGAACGTTATCCATATTTAAGTTACCGCTAGAAAACGTTTTCTAGAAGGGCCGTCCGTGGACCAGTACCATACCCATAACTACACCATACACGAAGCGCCAACTTGCATAGTCTAGTGGAGAGGCCGCTAGGTCAAAATGAAGAAGCGAGTATGGTATGGGTAACTAATTTTCTTTTCTTCTAGGGAAAATATTCGAAAAAAAAAAAAAAAAAAAAAAAAAAAAAAAAAAGGCACATACAACAAGCGCACGAATTCAAGACGGACGAGGAACCTGATCCTTTTGTAACAAAAATGCAGGTGGAAAGTACTGTACGCTGTACATACCTAGGTGCTATTCTTAGAACCCCTGTCTACATCACCATCCATCCCATCCCATCACCTTCAAACGTCCAAGTTCAGGGTTTTCCATGATAATCCAATCATGTGAACGAATTGTTTCCCCTGGGCCGTCCCGGCCGTTGCTGTCAGGGAGAGAAAAGAAAAGAAACTGGAGAGCTAAAAATGGCCAGGTTCCAAATATTTCCGGGCCTCTGATCTAAATGGATTTCGCTAGAACAAACAAACCATGAAGCCTACAGGCAGTTGAGTTGGCAGACCTTGCCTCGAGACTTCCACATTTTAGCCTTGCAGTTGGCCCAGATCCAGATTCTCTGGGGAGAAAAGAACATATATTACATATTTTCCTTTGGCTCTGGGTTTGGTAAGTTCGAGTGTTATTTCTGGCTGGGATGGGTTTTTCCACTCTTCACTCTCTGTACAGAGTACAGAGTACAGAGTAGTTACGGTGGTTGTCCATTATTTCTTTAACTGTACGGATCCTCTCAAAAGGCTTTGATTGGCGCTAAGAATTTAAGCTGTAAACCCTCGTGACCTACCTTCCCACGGATCATTCTTCAAACACCCTGAAATTTAGGCTAGCATTAGTTAAGGTGTCCCTGTTTATTCAGGCATTTACCGCCTAGAACTCTAGTTAAGACAGGGAATGGTAATATTTTATGCTGGTAACAGTATTACAGCTTAAATTCTTAGCGCTAATCAAAACTTTTGTCTAAAAGAAGTTGAACCAAGACATCGTTTTCCAATATTGTCCATTAGACAGATGATAACTATGCGTAGTTAGTTGTAACTATTGTCCGTGGTACTGTACCTACTCTGTACAGTTTCCTTCTGATAATTGTTGCTTGCCCGTAGTTACAGAAGAAAGTTATGTTACTCCTTTCAGATCATTTCTTTCCTTTCCCCAATTTTTTCCGAAAATCCAGTTCCTATTATTCAAGCCCAACCCCCCGCGCCAGGTCCCAAATATGAATCCACCGATTGATAGACCAAGCGGCCAATGCCCAGCCAACAAAGCGGCGTTAGTCGATAACATACAAGCGTGCTTGCCTAGGTATGTAGTGTAGTGGCTGGCCCCCCAAGCAGCATCAGTGGCATCCATGGCAGCCCGTCACTCCCGCTGCATAGTTACGATGGATGTGTGCAGCGGCGCAGGCGGGAGAACGGCTGGTGACATGGTTATCCTTGCACGATTTTGCTTTCATCCCGTTGCTTTTTTTTTTTTGTTTTTTTTTTGTTTTTTTTTTTTTTTTTTTTCTGCTTTGTTGCTTAACTTTTCTTGTGCAGCGCCAGGGGCGGCCGTGCACGGGCATGGTTAGGTTTGTTTGAGCCTAATAAAAAGGACGGACTAAGTAGGGAGTTGGTAGAGAGCTTGTATCAAATGGTTAGAGCTTCTGAAAAGTGTTGTGTAGGTACTTACTCCGTAAGCAGGCAGGTAGGAAATATTCTAGAGGAATGCTTGCTTGGCTATTATTTACTCGCCTACCTACCTACTCCGTACAGAGCTACAGAGTACGTATGTACAGTCCATACCGACTATCCCTTTTCCAATATTAATAATAGCAGCGTACGGATCAATCGTCGATACATGGCTGCTAAATTAAAGGTTTAGATAGGGTTAGGAAGATTCTGGTTCAGCCACCATTGCTCAAAAAGCAGTCATGAGTTGGGGGGGGCTTATCAACCAACCCTTTTTCTTTTCTTTTATTTTCTTTCATATTTATTTATTTATTTATTTTTAAAAGATATACACCAGCCTTCGCCATCTCTCCGCGCATACTCCGTATACCCAGGGGATCTCTATATCTAGAGGATTTCTATAGCTGGGGATCTCTATACCTGGGGATCTCTATACCTAGGGGACTCTATACCTGGGGGGCTCTATACCTGGGGGGCTCTATACCTGGGGGGCTCTATACCTGGGGGGCTCCGTACTATACGCCTATTTCCAAGGCGTGGAGAAATTTCTCAATCATGCAGAAACGCAGATACTTTATTATTGTATTTTGTTTTTAATTTTGTGGTTAATACAGCGTAGTGATATTAAAATGATCTTAGACTGAAGGGTCTTATAGTTACACTCTGATTGGCTGAAGCTCACATCTAAGTAGCTGAACTCATTTAAAGAAGAGGAGGGCTCTGTTTTGCGTCACCATGCTACCATCTCCTTGAGCTGCGTATTTACTTGCTATAGTTACCTTCCTTCTTCTCTTTTTTGGGAACCTGCGCTGTTTGCCATCATTGCCCAAGGCCTGTTTAAACATCTTTCCAAGTGGAAACTCGGCTTTCGGAGCTTATACCTCAGCACACACACAGAGAAAGAGGGAGAGGTGCAGAGAGATTCTGTGAAGATGGTGGGTGCGGAGTTCGATGAAAAGCGCCTTTCGCGGTACGACACTGCGACGCTGGTCAGCCACATTGTCGAATCATGCAAGCTCTCATGGAGTGTGTTTCTACTATCCCAAAACCTAGTAGCAAAACACTTCTCGCGGGGGAAGGAAGTGAACGTGCTTGCGGCGATGGCGCGGGCAGGTCGACTTTGGGATCAGGGTGCCTTGCATCAGACGGACGGTCGAGAGGGACAACGATCTTTACATCATCCTGGAGCGGATTCATGGGCAGACTTTGGAGGAAGCCTGGACGCACCTTGGCTGGCTTACAGCTCTGGGTCTGGCATATCAGCTTCGCCGGTTCGTGCATCGGATGAGAGAGGTGACGTCTTCCACTGCCGGATCTCTCTCCACTGGGATGCGTCGGGCGTTCTGGCTGGAGGATTTTTATCAGCTTCCTTGCCATGCTTGTCCAGAAGCTATTCCAGCGTTCATCCGTTTTTGTCTTAATTTTGTTCCATTGTCACGACGAAAAGCAGGCGTACAGAGCAAGAAAGAATTTCCATCACATCAAACTCCATTGGTGTTCACATATCATGATCTCGCTCCAAGAAACGTGATTCTCGATGACAGACGCCGCCTTTGGCTACTAGATTGGGACTACTCAGGTTTCTATCCGGTTTACTTCGAATACGCGTCCATGCATAACTTCTCTGTACCAGAAAATTGGGGCTGGGCAGATAGGCTGCGCTGGGAAATATTCTCCTGGATCTCAGTTGGACGGTTCTCCAAACAGCGCGAAGCCCTTGAAGAAATCAGGCCGCGGTTCACTCGATTCCCTCTTGGCCGGAAAAACGAGGTTCTCTTGGACGGAGCACCCTCCAACGCGGTCCATTTGAGAAAGCCGGGGATGTGATTTACATCTCGCCTCCAAGGGTTCGGCTCTTCTCAAGCAGGAGGTCGGGGGCAAGCAAATTTACTCGAGCAGTCCATTGTGACAGGCTCCCAGAGGCGCGCGAAGATGAAATTCACCCCATGCAGGGGACGCAATGCAAGGAGGAGCAGAAGCAGCAGACATATCCGATTGACTGACGTGATAGCTCAGGTGCTTCAACGGGACTCTGGGCATGTCAAATTATCACCACTGTTGGGCTGTGAACATGCCTGTCTTAAGCGCCCACGTCTGCGCACAAATGCTCCCTGGCGATGAAATACATAGGAACTCCGGGTGATCACCAGAAACATGTCTGCTGTGTAAAGATGTAATTAGTCTTGGCGTAAATAAATCGGCGCCGTGAGATTTCAAAAATTATAGACGAAAGGGATTGGTGATTTGACAGCGAGTCCAGGATCTAACGGGGAGTACACTGCTCACAGAACAGACTCTTTTTCACCTCAAAGTACTCTCTGACCTAGTCATCAAATCGCAGGATCAAGAGTTAAGGTGGTGCATAAGGCTATTAATTCGGTAAACTCTTCGACGGCGCTTCTTCGCATCCAGCCAGGCGAGACATATTGATCTTGAGATGAGAATGAGTATTCATAGATTGTGAACACATCATCATGATGATCATCACTGAATGAAATTTGTATAAAACATTGAGATTGATGATGATGATGAATGTGATCTTGTCAGAGCATGTAAAGTTATCATTTGAGCTCAAAAAAGGCCGCTCTGGGTGGCCGCACCCCCAACATGCAGGCTATGGAGGTATATAGATGGCCGTGGAATGCCTAATGATCCATATCACATCACAACCTGCGATGTAGTAGAGTATTGTTGCTTAACTACATCTTACATGTATTCTTTTTTTCTTCAGCTTGATCAGTTACATAGTTACCCCTCCATCGATATCAATAAAGAACACTTTGAAACTACATACATCCATGTACCCCCACCACCAAACAAACAAAATGACAGCAAGGCACGAAAAAAAGAACGCCACTGACTGACTGCTAGTTACCCTTGTCCGAGCTTCCAGGTTTAGTTCCGCCTCTCTATGCTCTATACTCTGTTACTGGTCAAGATGTTGGTATACACAGTATACATACACACCACACACACCACACACACACCCATCTTCGCCCGTTCCTATGATCCTGGGATAACTAGCGGATAGCGTGCATTAACGCATCAACGAAACTCGGCGTTGGTTCCTTTTTCAGCATGGGAGCAGAAGGCGGAGGATGATGGAACGCCGGATTTATCTAATTATATTCCGATCAAATCCCGGTGTGTCCTTTCTTTGGTGAGAATCTGCTTCGATTCCCATACTATTACTATCTCTCAGTTGTTTGAGGATCGAACTTGAGAGTTTGATACGCCCTGGGTTGAGATCCTCTCTCTCTCTCTCTCTCTCATCCAGCAGGTTTTGTAATGCGCTCACTGACCACAACGCAATAAGGAACGGGGCCGGGATCAAGTTACGAATCCAAACCGGACCACAACAAGGGAGCCGGCGTTGAGAGCCCATCCACTAGCTTCTAAAGAGTTTTAAAAACAGTTTGTTTCTGTTAGAACAAACTTTCTATATTTTTAGGGAAGCTATCCGTTCCAGGGTAGTTGGGAGCTCCCACCCCAGTTTTATTCATGTAGGTTACGTTACGTGCCTGTCCCAAGCCACCAACCAAGTCCATAGAGATGAGCTTTGATATATTATTTCCTGAAACGGTTGTGCAAAATGCGTTTCACTCACTACATCTCATTATTCGCGGCAACGCGCGCGCTTGCGCCCTGTCTCCGTTTATCAACTGGACAATTTGGGAGCTGGATTGATTGCTGGCTCAAGAATCCAATACTAGACTCTCTGTTCAAATCATATCTATTGATGTTCTGCTATCTGTTGTGTGGGGTTGATACCAACTAGGTAGGCTGCAATATCTCAAACTACAAAAACATTTTTCCTCTCCTGACCTAGAGAAGACGAAGAGGACGAGGAAGCGGAAAAAAAAGGAAATAAGTGCGAATGAAGGCGGTGAACAACAACATCGCCATACAATTCAAGTCTGGGATCTCCAACGGTTACCTCGGGAATCATCCTCGTCTACATGGCGAAATGGCCCATTGCTACGAAGAGTAATGATGGTAGTGATAGATGAAATGCGTATCAGAGGACCAACACAAGAGCACTGAACATGTGGAGGCAACGGCTCAAAATTGGGCTCTGACGGTGCACGACCGTGAAGACTGTGAACCCGCACCACAGGAGGAATCGGGGACCGCCTAAGGACGAGGCGGGTAGAAGGCCGGCACCAGTTCATCCGGAGGCTCCCACTCAGGCTCCTGCCTACGTCTCTGAAAGCAACGGCCACAAGTTAGAATATACCCGATTGTCTTGCAGAAGCCCCTCCCCCTTTCCTTCGGCGGCGCATATTGGGGCATATTCTCACTTTCAGGCACATGACCTCCATAACTGCTACGACCATCGCTGTTACTCCGTTGCATAGTCCGCGCTCGCCTGATTTCGCCAAATGTTGGTCTCCTCCCGGTGCCGGTTGAGACGTACCAGAGAACCCTAGAGGGACGCTGGTCATCATCTGGATAGGGATCCGGCACAATGACGCTCGCTATGGCCCCGCCGCCGCGGAGGTGGAGCACGGGCTCTGATGCGCTGCTGGCTTGCGTAGAGGCGGATACGGTGCTGTTGCTTATATCCTCCGCCTTGAGGGCTGTTGGGTCGATCTGGGGAGGGGGGGACCTGGTATCGTTGGCTAGCGGAGCCTTGTTATTGGCAGTATATTTGTCGTGGGGTCCGGGGATCAAGTCGTGATGGTTGTCCGAAGCATCATTGTTACCGGCAGATGGAGAGTTGCGCACCATTGTTTCTAGATCCCTTTTTTTTTGGTTTAGAGGCTGCTCTATCTCTATACGAGTACATGCTCCATTGATTCGTTTTGGTTAATGGCTCACTTGCTTGCTACAATTTTCTAAAAGAAGAACTGACCCGTTTCGGGATTCGGAAATGCTATTTCGCAATTTCTTTAACCTTTGCCCTGTCCAAAGAGGGAGTTATAAGGATTGTTTCTCCCTTTCTCCTAAACAGGGTACAGGCGTGACCTTCCAAGTTCAACCTGCTTCTCGAGAAATATGCGGTCGTATTAGTCCTCTTTGACAACTCAATACTCCTTCGATACTCCGTTTCTGGTTCTATATCCCTTTGAAAGAGGAATAGAACAGCGATGGTTCAAGAAATCCACCTGTCCCTTGGACACGTCTTCAGGGGTAGAATAGAGGGTGGAAGGGGGGAGGTAACTAACGATGCGATAAGTATACGATAAGTATACTTTTCTCTTTAATGTTAGAGATCCCACGCGGGGTGAACAAAGGGGTGTTTAAAGAAAGGATTCTAAAATCCATGACTGGATCCTGGAGAATCAAGAAATATATATACTCACACCATCCATTCCCTCTCCTTTGCAAAGCGACAACTGACTTCATCTGTTTGCTGTGCCTGGATTCCCTTTTTTTAAGCTGCTTATATAACCGTGGCCTTTTCGCGATGACCATTGATGGGGGAGAAGGGGAGAGCCGTTGTGAAGTCATGCTTAACCTCCTTTGGTATACATCACTCTTAGGCATGTACCAGTCAGTGCAAAGCGGAATGAAGGACTGTGACAAATGCATGAATTCAACTATAACTAGGATATATTTCTTGATATCTATGGCCGAGCTAGTATCCTAGCAGTGATGCTAAATGAGTGAGAGCTTCCCCAATTTGTGGCATTTGATTCTGCCGGGATCGATCCTCAATTCACACACACACACATACACACACAACACACACACATATATATATATATACATTAACCCTATTTGTAGAAATTACTTTTTCGGTCTCTGCGGGTTGTATCGGAAATAGAAAAGGAATAGTTAGCAGTATATCTTTTTTCCTTTAGGTTGGTTGATTTAAGGTGTTGTTCAGTCCCGCACGGATAAGCTAGCATGGATATATATACCTTTTGGACAATGGAAAATTGTAGTTATAGGGGCAGGCCTAAAGTGTATCAATATATATCATAAAGTTTCATTCATTATTCATTAATGGCTCATTTAATGGGGAAAAGGAGAAAGAGATCTACGGGAAATAAACAATGGATTATACTTTGTGTGTGACCCGATGATATATGCAATTTTCATTTTGTGTGTAGTTTCCGGTGCCAATATATGTCCCAAGAACCTTTCCCCAAAGCCTAAATCACCTAAACACTGATGGTTTTGAATACACTGTTTCCACGAAGGCTGGTTAGCATCATATTTACGGATAGGAATGGAGTGGAGTGGATGTAGTTGAAAATATAAAAAGGAAATGAAAACAGAAAATTCCGACACTTACCCGAATCCACCACTCCCAGTCGCCATAATGGTCCCGGGCATTTGCGCCTGCCAATGCAGTTCCTTCACTGATTCCATGTAATGCACAAAGAGTAGCTGAGGCGGGACATCAGCAAGGCCAGCAGGATCGCGGCTTTCCTCATCATCGAGCTCGACAGCAAGATCCCACAGCGTCAGCGTATTATCCGCAGACGAAACCGCAATTACACTGTCATCTGACGGGTGCCATTCTATACTCGTCACAGGCTCCTTGTGGAAGTCAAAGGACGCCACAGCCTTCGGTTTGAGCTGGGAGGCGCCGCCTGATGTATTGGGCTTCCAATGTCGCAGATCCCATACCCCCCACTGCCCATCGTCGGCGCCCGTGGCCAGGAGATGGAACGTCTGCCGCGACCAACTCATCACGTTCACGTCTGTGTTGGATATCTTGACGTCTACGGCTGGTTTGCGCGACTTGGATCGGACGTCCCATACCTTGACGCTTCCATCGCTGCTGGCGGATGCGAACACGTTGCGCTCGTTTGGAGACCATTGGAGCTCTTCGACAGCGGAGGTATGTCCGATGAACGGACGTGTGTCAGTCACCCAGCCGCCTCCCTCGGTGCGAGTTGTGGCGTATATTAACCCGTCATTATCACCGGTAAGGAGTTTGCCTAGGGGGTGGAGGGAGGACCAGTCTACGCCGTAACCCTCCGATTTGTGCATTCGTAGAGTAGATAGGGGTTTTGAGGCAGAGGGAGGGATGATTGAGCCGGGGTTATCAAATGTGGAAAGATAAGGTGTGACGTCGTGGATGACAACATGAGCATTCTCAAGCATCGATGCGGTAATGGTCTGCGGTGGTTTGGAGTAGTCTCCGGAGGGAGAGGGAGTCTGATGGGCGCGGATTCTGTTCGTTGTGTGGCTCAGGGGAATGGATTTTGATTCGAGAATGGGCTCTGAAGATTCGTCGTCAGACTCGTCGTCGCTGCCCGAGTCGTTTTCTCGCTCCATCCTGCTGAGCCCGCTCAATTTGAGAACCATCAATTCGTTCTCTTTCGAACGAAGCCTGTCTGCTTGTGTCCCAGCTACAGCATATACTGTGGCCGGGTATGTTTTCCGGTTATCACCCAATCCATCTTTTATTATATCGAATGAGAGGCACGGCCACGGCGTGCTGAGGGTGTGAAGCATTTCATAAGTGGTAGGGTCTGGATATAATGTCTCCCCGGGAGCCAGTTTTGTTCGCCCCGGTATAAACGTCTGCTTATCGACATCCATGGCATCTGGTTTGATTTATTCCTCAGTAAACATTTGTGATCCGTTGGGGGGGGCTTCAATTGCGACGAAACGGAGTTGCCCACCGCAATGCCGTTTTTTACTTCATGGGCAGCCACATACCCCTTTGCTCCTCTGCTTCTCTTTCTGCATCTGGGCGCCCGTCAACGCCAGCCTCGAGGATCTCATCTTCACTCTCGAACTCATCCTCAAACTCGTCCTCGAATTCCCCCACTTCATCAGGCGGGGCATCTGCCACAGGGCGCTCGCCAGCTTTCAATGGCGCGGACAGATCGTCTGTCGCATCCACCCCGCGTTTCGACATTTTGCGGGTGTTCACAAGTTTGAGATTAAGTATTTATTAGGTATAAAAAAAGGCGTTGTTGGTGGGGTTTGTTGGCGGAGGTGTAGCTTGTTTCTTAGAAGATTTTAAATATTTTTTTGTTCCTGTCGATTTTCTGATTTGATAAGAAACTTTTTCTTGGGCGGGACGCGGGCCACGCTAGTCCGTTCTGGGAACACAGCCCAAACCCGCTCCCAACCTTGTATGAGAGAGAATCTCCAGCCATTGTTGACGACATCCTGGCTGCGTTGATCGCTCGTTGCGAACTTGCGAGAGACCCCCGTTGGTTAGAAATTTTCCGTCATTTCCAGCTGTGGCCGCCTACGGATCTCTATTTCGCTTTTCGATCGTTTTGGCACTGTTCGGCTCAGGCCTGGTCGCGTTTAATTACCCGTCGGCTCAACGACCCACGAGCTTTGTCTCCAAGCTTCCAATCCGAACTACTAACCTCCCCGGATTTCGTATATATAGCTCCCAGCAACCACTAGTACTCTCATTTGACGGGAACTCTGACGGACCTGCTCAACTGCTTCATGCAGGCTTAGATCAGCGGAATTGCAATCGCACTCCATGAAGATATTCGACAATTTTCTTTGAAGTTTTAGAGATTCAAGCTCATCGCTTATTCAATTCCAGCCCTGCCTCGTTCACCGTTTACGCTCTTTGAGATTGCTCTGACTGAGACTGATATTTGGTACTGGCCGTTGGGGAACAATGGACAACCTACCGATGGAGGTGGATAAATTGCGTGTGCAGGAGCAGGAGGTCCCTGTCGAACAGGAACCGAATCGAGTTCCGGCTCAGGATCCTGTTGCTGACAAGACCACCGAGCTGTCCCCTCAGCCGGTTCCTGATCAATTCCCGGAACAAACCGTCCAACAAGAACAGAACATGCCAGCAGCCGCAGAAGAAGCAGTAGCCAGCTCACCCTCGTACAATAATAACAATGGCTACAGCAACGGTCACCGAGCCGACGACCATTCCTCAAACTCTCTCGACTACCCCACTTCCAGCCAAACGTTCGTACCACAAGATATCGAGTCCCCCCAGCAGCATCACTCTCCAACCATGCCTTTTCAACAGCCTGCCCAAACTGTCCAATCTTCCCAGCCGAGTTCGCGACCTAGCTCAGGGCTGTCAGGTGGAGGTGACCGATACGGATACTCGCAGTCCTACCACGACCAAAGTCGGGAGCAGAGACAGCCGCAGCAACAACAGTCTACTCCCAATAAGAATAGCGTCGTTATAAAAGTTGGAATGGTTGGAGATGCGCAGATCGGGAAAACCAGCCTAATGGTTAAATACGTTGAAGGAAGCTGGGATGAAGACTACATCCAAACACTTGGTAAGAAAAGGAATATATACGATGCTCCGTTCCTGGGGATGACATGAGTTGCTGATATTTATCGTCTGTTTGGCACAACAGGTGTTAATTTTATGGAGAAGACCATTTCGATTCGGAATACTGAAATTACATTTTCCATTTGGGACCTGGGTGGACAGCGTGAATTCGTCAATATGTTACCTCTGGTGTGCAACGATGCCGTTGCTATATTATTCATGTTTGACCTGACCCGAAAGAGCACCTTGAATTCCATCAAGGAATGGTACCGCCAGGGTCGCGGGTTCAATAAAACCGCGATCCCATTCCTTATCGGCACAAAGTATGACCATTTCGTTAACTTCCCACGGGAGGATCAGGAAGAAATATCGATACAGGTCAGTGACGGAATTATTTTTCTTCCTTTATTTTCTTTTTATGGTATTGTTTGTTGTTCTTCTGTATATAAGCTGGCTGACAAGGAGTGCACAGGCCAAACGCTTTGCCAGGGCTATGAGAGCCAGTTTGATTTTCAGCAGCACGAGCCATAGCATAAATGTCCAGAAGGTATTATGGCTAGCATATGTCTCTCTCCCATTTTATTTCGAGTTAACATCATATCTAACAATTCGTGCCCTAGATCTTCAAAATTGTGCTGAGCAAGGCATTTGACCTCAAATGCACTATTCCCGAAATCGAGAACATCGGAGAGCCGCTGTTGCTTTATCAATCTGTCGGCTAAGTGGAAAGATACGCGTGAAGCCTGCTGAACAGATAAGATGCTAGAAGTTTGTGACGAGAAGAAATTTTTTGTACGCTGGATGAAGCCATGGTTTGTTACGATTATAATCTTCGTTTTATTTTTTTGCCTCTCCTACTTTGAAGTGGTGGGATAGGTGGAAGGAGGAGGAGGAGAGATGGAGGGATGGGAGGCAGAGAGGACCCACGATGCTCCTCGTGTGTGTGCTTCTTATCTACATCGGGTGGATGTGGTAGAAACACTGCTTTTTATGCGCCTGCGAGGGAATCCCTTGTTCCCGGCTTCCTTCTTTTACTCGTTTTTCTTTTCCTCTTTTTTTTTGGCATTGGGATGCGTTGAGGCATTTGTTTTGATTATTTTCGATTTCCTTTTTCCTCCCTCCTGACTGTTTCCCCCTCCTTTCCTTCTTTTCATCTCCTTTGCTCCTACCTGCTTCTCCTTACCTTTCGCTTCAATTCTCATCTGTATTTGCTATTTCTGCTTTGGCAGGGCTCGGCCCCGTCCACACCCCTCTCTTACGTACTACTAGAGTTTCCTTTGTGTCTTTTGTGTTATTCATATCAACCAAGCTTTTCCTTTTTCCTTTTCCCTTTCCTTCTCCTTATTTGTGTCTCTCTTCCTCTTCTTTTAACAAGCCCGCCTCGCTCTGCAAAAGAGAATTATATATCGGCGTCATAAATAACTCACCGAAGAAGAAGCAAAAAAAAAGAAAAAAAAAAAGAAAAAAAAGAAAAAAAAAAACGGCGCTACAGAGCATAATTAAAATAATTAACATATCCGTTCCAAAGCAACACCAACCTTCCATATCTCTTTTTGTCGATTGCGCAGGATAATTTTTGTGAGTTTTACCAAAAGGCCAAAGCCAGTCAGTTCTCGACATGTCGGATTCAATTAGATAGGAGAGGATGAGGAGGAGGAATGAAGGCGGTTTCAACCTGAAACACAAGCTAGGCCAAAAACCCCGTTATTTACGTAGTTATGACTTCCTGCTGCTGTTACTTGAACTTGAACCCAGTCAGTATTGATTCTCGTGTTTGTTGCCGCTACTTGCTCCAAGATCGACGGGGGGGGCGCTGATTTCTTTCGCTTCGGCAACTTTGTAAGGCTGAATGGGTGGATGGATTAATTAATATGGTTTGCCAACTTTCCAGCTTTTCTGATGCCTGTTTTGCTGGCCTGTTTCCTCCTGGTTGTGCGTAAATGAATGAGTGGGCTATGTTTGTGCAGATATACGGAGTTAGAGCAACTGGCGGTTTGCGCTGAACCAGGTTATGTTGTAACTTATTATTAGTACGAGTTCAAGATCAAATAACTGATATAAGTTCAATCTTTCATTTTGTTGCTGGATGAGACATCGATCGCTCTCACGGTGCCGGGAATATTTCATATTTTATTCATTCTCTCTTCTCAGCTGGGAGATTATATCATAGATTCGTACGGAATAACCACTCTTTAGGGGCGAGTGGGAGGGAAAGGAAACCTTGGAATAAATAAATATTAAATATTAACAAACACGTAACTAACTACTCCAGAAATTCGAAACCTCAACAAACCAAAGCTTGTTTTATTCCCCCTGCTATTTTAGTTATCGAATAAAGACTTGGCTTTGCTTTTACATTTCTTCCCCCGGACACCATCTGCTGCATCGCCGGGCCTAGACACATTATTATTACATAGAGGAGAACTGGCATTTTTGCTTGCGCCTTATTTCCTCTTCTTTTTTTCTGGGGCTGCTGCTTGCTGAGGGTAAGTTACATGCATAGCATAGCATAGTAGCTTATTTAGCTATAGCTAGTTATTGAACTCACTAGTTATAGTTATTTCACTGTCTAAAAATAAACCCTCAGTAGTGAAGCTGCTTGTCCGTTGAGCCGCATCACGGGGGGTGTGTTAGGGCTCAGCTTAAATCGCAGGGGGCGAGGGAGCCAGTGTATTTGCTATTCTCATTCTTCTTCTTCTTCTTCTTCTCATTCTTCTTCTTCTTCTTCTTCTTCTTCTTCTTCTTCTTCTTCTTCTTCTTCTTCTTCTTCTTCTTCTTCTTCTTGCTGTTGGTTCCCTTTGTGAGACGATCGTTCCATCCTTCCCGTCTTCCGTCGCATCTCAGCCTCGTCGCATCCCGTTTTATTCTGGGCCAAAGCCAAAGACTCCCGAGTAGTCAGTCCCATGTATTCCTCCGTTGCTTCCTCTCCCCCGACAATTCCCAGATGAACCGGACATCTGGCCTCCAAAATTGATAATATATCTGTTTCCCGCCGTCAATCGTTGTGGTTCTTTCGTTTTGCTATCAGCTGCTGGTTGGTGGCATTTCTATACATCATCATATCATCATATCCTCATATCATCATGGCGACAATCCAGGAGCGAATTGCGGCCTTGAACCAGGCGCATGTTGAACGAGCACCAGCTACTTCTCCTCCCCTCGAGATAAAACCAGATCTACCGGGCCCAAGACCCTCGATGACCGGCAGATACGTAGACCCCGACAACGAGTTGCGTTCCCCCTCATTCTCAATCCCGATCAGAGAGCAGGAAATACTACCTCCGCCATCCATTACAAGGACCGGCCAGAAGCCATTATCATCTCCTACCCCGCCAACTAAACCAATTAAACCTAAGAAATCGCCACCCCCTCTCCCTACGAGAAAACCTCAGGGTCAACCATCGCCTGCTCTACCCCAGCGCAAATTGTCCAATACGCATCTTCGCAGAAACTCGGGGGATTCTTCGTTGTCGACCACGTCGATATCAGGCAGATCGACGACAAGTTCGACGGGGAATGGCAAATCGCCTTCTATCCACTCAACCTCTACTGAAAAGTCGACAACTCGCAACCTCCCCCCAGCGTGGGGTGAAACTACACTTCCGCCGTTGCCTCCAAAGAGAAGTGGGAATACAAATGGGCATCAAACGCTGAAATCTCGGCCATCTCTGGGTGTGCTCGGTGGCGGCCGCAAGACATCATCCTCCTCCATCTCTCCTCTAACACAGAAACTTCCTCTTCGTTCAAATACATCTAATGCCAATGATGTGCCTGCAATCCCACCCCGGAAATCTACCCATAAGGACTTGCATAATCCTCCCCAATTGCCCCAGCGCAAGCTTCCCCCGCCAGCCCCGTCATCCAAGACACTTGAAAAGATCAGAGAATCCTCCTTCGCCACCATTAAAAATAGCTCAATAAATCACGAGCCAGTTTCGAATGGCGATGTCCATGTACAACAAGCCAATGGCTCACCACCTCCAGTTCCGGTGGGGTCCCGTCCAGATCTGTCCAAAATACAGGCAACTAAACCACGCATGCCTTCCTCCTCCCATTCTCCGCCCAATACTGAGTCAACGGCTATTTGTATATGTCGCGACTTCTCCGGACCGGATTCTCATGCAGCTCGATTTCCCAGACAATCTCTTCCCACACACGACCTTTCCTGGCTGGCTAACCAACTTACAGCCCCCTTCCCGTCTCTTACAGATAAAGCTCGAGCCATATTCACCTGGCTCCACCACAACATCGATTATAATGTTGATGCATTTTTTAATAGTAATGTGAAATCTTCAACGCCGGATAGTACATTCAACACCGGTCTTGCTGTTTGTGAAGGGTACGCTGCCCTCTTCGAACGGCTGGCAACGCTTGCCGGATTAGAGGCACGCATAATCACAGGCCACGGCAAAGGGTACGGCTATACTCCTCTTGCTCCAGGTTCACCAATTCCACCGTACGACGGCAACCATGCCTGGAACGCGGTGCGAATTGATAATGGACGGTGGAAACTGATCGACAGCTGCTGGGGTGCCGGGAACGTCCGCGGTAAAGGCGAGCCATACAACAAGGAATTCACGCCCGAGTGGTTCACCATGTCCAACGATGAATTCGGCAACAAGCATTTCCCAGCCAACCCCAAAGACTTCTACCGAGACGATGGCCGTCCGAGTATATCCTGGGAGGAATATATGAGCATCAACCCCTCGTGTCCAAGCGGCGTTGAACCCCCAATCTTATACACCGGTGTAAAACAACAGCACGGGATTGGCGAGCGGTCACTTCAGCCACGATCGAGGAAGCTCTCCGTCTACCAACCGGGCCCAATCCGATTCCAATTCGGCCTCCTCTGCGAACACTGGACGCTTGCACGCAGTAACATCCGCACGCCGTATCTCTTTGTTTTATGCGCCAATGGCAACGACAGGAGTGAAAAGGAGTATATCCCCTTCCACTATGTCCGTGGGTCTGGCCCGGGTGGCGCGGGTGACATTTGGTACGTCGATGTGCCCGATCCTCGAGTGTTGGGTGCGCCAGGGCAGAAACTGCACATCTACAGCGTAACGAGCTTTGCGGATATGCATGATAGTCGTGGTCTTGGTAGAGAGGAGTTCCTTCGTGGCGTTGGTAGGGTGGGCATGGCATTTGGTGGTATCGCGGAGTGGGAGCTTGTATGATCAGGACGGGTGCCTTATCTTCTCCTCTTCTCTCTCTCTCTCTCTCTCTCTCTCTCTCTTTCCTCTTTTATTTTATTTTATTTTATTATTTTATGTTTTTATTTTTGTTATTTTATTTTTATTTTTATATTTTGACCCATTCAGGCATTCGGTCTTCTCCAGGTTTCCTCTCTCCAGCTGCCTTTCAGCACCATATTTTTATTTTCTTTTCCCATCAGTTTTATAACCATCAGTTTTATAATATTCCTTTCTGTGTTGCCATTTTTAACCTTTCATTGTCCCTTCTCTCTCTCTTCCGGTTTATTTCGTTACAACCTTTTCTCCTTTCTTGAAAAGTCTGCTGAGCAGAGAAAGAACTTTTTTTCCACCCGCAGTTCAATACTAGAAGCCTAGAATCGCTTCACCCTTGTTTCCCATTTCTACACCATCCATATTAATCCGCAGACTTTCTTTCTTTCTTATGGCTTCTGAGTTTTCGCTCGGTCAGGAGTACGAATAATCTATTTATTTGTTCATTCAATTCATTCATCTGTATGCCTTCCCCTATTGCCATTTACCACTTACCATCACGATCTCGGTAAACAACAAGCCTTCTGACGACTACTCACTCATGTATGCGCCAACGACACTAGACTGTCTTGGTTTAAAATGCATAGTTTGATCACATCACTACCTTGTTTCTTTAGGCCTTGGTTGAGGTCCGTCGTTAGGTCTGTGCCTTGGCTCCCCCCCCACTGTATGTATAGTATGGGGCTTCAGGTCAACCATACAAAAACTTCTCCTGATGTGGTTGGTACATGTACATGTACACAATATTGGATCTATTGGCACTTTACCTTATGAACCTCGTGCACGGTTATCATATCAACCTCAACCTCAACATCAACATCAACCCTCCACCCGCCATAGATGTATAGTACATGTACATCCTGTTTTCAATCCCATCCCCCCCCGCCCCCCCGCGCTTGTTGCTGCATGTAATCGAATGCAGTTTGTTCATGGAGTAGATTCAGAGAGGGGGGTTTGGGGGGCTTCCTTGCCGGAAATCTTCGAATCGGCCTCAGCTTCTGTAGCCCCTATTGCCTTGCACATCTCTATGGAGAAAAGAGAACTGAGCCTGCGGAAGTTGTTGGGTGACAGGGGCAAGATTCTGGCAACCCAATCTGCTTGGCCCCTGATGATCCTCGCACCTCGTCTCTGCCGTCTTGAGTTCGGACTGATGCAAATGTTAAACCCTTGGAACTTGAACTTGAACTTGCAATCTCAAGATCGTAGACCTGAACTGAGGCCTATTTCTCAAACATCAGGGAAGGTTAAGTAAATTCAATTTGTCAAACTCTCCGCATGAGACAGACGTATTCGTCATCCGCCAACCCTCACTACCGCAACCTATATCCTACCTACTGTAACCCTGTAGTTGCACTTGCTGTTGTTGAACTGTTGGCTGTGATGAGTCGTTCCCGGTTATTTTATCTCCTATATTTGTTTATTTCGGTGTATCTTTGTATTTGCTCAAGAGGCTGAATGAATGAGATGACTGGATGGGGGGATAGATATTTGGAGAAAAAAAAAGACGAGTTTAGAAATGGCTCAGGGAATTCTGCGGCAGAAGCAGTCAGAATCGACGCGGTGAAATGTACTGTGCGCAGATATCCCCTCCGCTCATATAATATGACGCTTCGTCAATCAGCGAATAAAAAGGAAAATAAGGAAAGGAACAGTATATAAAATGAAAAGGAGCAGGGACATCCCTTGCAATGTATATGGAATACACCACTTATCCGACCAAAAACGGATATATAAGGATCCCTCCCAACTTACCTGGTCGTGGATGGTCACCTTAATTCTAATGAGCAAACCTCTCCGCTGGCCCTAACTTACCCCTAAAATAATTTACATGGCTCCATAGAACAGGACGTAACTAACACACTAAACTGTGGTCAAGTCACACTGGAGCTGTTATCATCTTCTTGTTCCTCCTTTTGTGCTACTTACCTCTGTTCCCCCTAACAACCTTCCCTCACCGAGATTTCCACAGAGGTGACACGAGAATATCATTGCATGATTGCATGATTGCATGCGTCGCCCGTTCACACTTTTATTTGTCAATTTTTTAGCTCTCGTATCACCCTTTTGAGGGGCTGCGCAGCGCAGCGCCGGCTTAGCTGGTTCAGCTGTATTTTCTTACCGAGGAGTGATTAAGGGGGCTGGGAGAAGAATGGGGTTGAAGGTAGTGGGGAAGGTTATATCATTGTTATCTTAATAGGACGCTGCAAACCGGTTCATGTCTTGTCTATATCTTTTGAAATCAATTGGGAAAAACTAAAAGGGGGTTAGAAAGGGGGGGGGGGGGTTGGTTAGTCGTCCCTGTGAGGATCTCTCAAGAAAAGTACAGGGATTCGGGGGATCCGGCATCCTGAGCAAGGTGCTAGAGATAGAGGGGACTAATAAAAAAGGTAACCAAAGACATTGGAACAACTTGGGGCCATAAGTGCCGATGAACGCAGACCAGTCACGGTCATTATTGTTGGTTTTATTTCCAAACACGTTCGTCTCGACCCGGCGACCTTAGGACTTAGTCGAGGTTAACATGGTCATCTTGCCAGGATGGCCCGGTGTTCTCTTTCCTTTAGCTCATTCCTTTATGTACGGAGGCATACAGCTCGCTGAAGCTATGCTGCACCGGGTTGTCAGCCAGTTCTGGTCCATGGGTTCGTTCAGAAGACCGGGTTTTGAACTTACATGTGAAAAGTGTTCATGTGTTTTTGCGCTGCACAAGTATGTACTGTACATACATATGCCGGACAAAATGACAACGGACTCAAGGCTTTGCCTTCCATGTTTCTGTTTCCCTCATCTTGATTTGTATTTTTTTTGTGCGTGCATGGCAGGTTTTGAACGGTGCCACGAGGGCCAGGGGGACAGGGGTATCGGGCCAAATTACCAGCTTTTTGGAGATCTATCTCGGCGGACTGGTGTCTCAGCGTCATAGAAAATATTAAGTATGAGATTCCCAGTCAGGGTGGCTGCATTCGTCTCATGATGATTACTATGATGGTTTTGGTAACATTTTTCGCTGCAATCGCTGATCTTGTTTAAAAATAGCGCAGGGAGACTTGCGGAAGAGGAGGTTGCTGCACTAGCTTGTGACTGGTGAGGGGGGAAATACCTCTGAGGGAAGGTGATGTCATGCCCTTTGTAAAATCTTCACGGAACATGTTCAAGCGGGATGTTTTCTTGGCTGGTTTCCTGAAATAACCAGGTATTTTCATACATCGCTTGAATAGTGTATAGTTTGATTCTGAATGCCATGAAAAGTACTCCGTAGCACTACTTCAAACTGCTACAGGGAACTGTTAAATTTGGGGAGTGTTTTTCGCACGAAGCAAACTGAAGTAGTTAAAGCCCAGTCACTGAAGTTCACCTAATTAGCAGAAGGGGACCACTCTGTCATGATTGTCACTGTGGTTGGTGAAGCTCATCCTTCCCCGCATCGGCCAAGGCGGCGCTTTTTCTGGCATGCCTTTTTGTATTTGGATATGATGTGGAGCTTAAGTGCTAGTTTATTAAGCATCCGTCATCCCGATCCAGCTCGCTCGATTGACGACGGGCCAAAGAAGATCAAGCAATTGCCCAGGGGTTGGAGAAAATTTTCTGATGCCAAGGCAGACTATCAAAACCAGATAAAAGGGTCTCAGTGAGTGGTTTTCCTGCGTCAGGGTGACGCGCCAAAGGTCAACATCATATTAAGGGTTTAGTGAATAGGGGAGCTAGTGCTTCAAACGCTGAGGGACGTCGTTTGTAGAAATGGTTGATTAAATATATCAAGGATGAAATCGAAAAAAAGATCCTTTACGGTGGTTACATTGCCTGTCAAGTGGGCCTCAACCGCCTGATGGGTTCTTGATTCCGGACACGCCATTTTGCTGAGGGGCAGCCTGAACGGAACGCGAAGTACACAGCGTCCATATGCAGTCATGCCGCGTTTCTTCGGCTCCTTGGTCTCCTCTTGTCACTAGGTTGTTGCTTTAGAGAATCCCGGGTCTCGGCTTCAATCTTTCTATCATTACCGCCATATATCGGGATGCTATCCCATACCCACCTCATCAATTGTCATCAAGATAAGGCTGGGAGTCCTGCAGGCTGCAGGGTCCGGAAGGATCATTAGCCACAAGAAGATCTCCAGTAGAGGATAAGGGCGACTATGGCGGCTTCTTCCAGTCTGTCTCCATTCTGGCCAAGGTTCCACTGCAAGATTTTGGAAGCGCCAGTTACGGGGGCGAATTAGCCCAAGTGAACCCTGTAAACTGTTCAGCCGTACGAGTTCTTATTATGGGATGTTCTGAAGGACTACCAGCTCTGATGCACAATATTTCGGCTGTAGTAGCTGGCTTTGGTTTAAAGAGAGAAGTTCTCCATGCCCGAAAAGTTAGAACCTTAAGCGCAGAGGATTGGCTCTATGGCTGCCTTGGGTGTAGTTTAGGTTTTTAGAGGCGCTTCTGGGGGGTGGGCGCCAGTGGCGGGCGACTATCAAAGTGACTAGTAGCTAGCGCCAGTTTTGGGCACCCCTAGCTGATGCTTGGATTTTTAGGCGCTTGGCTGGAAAATCCAACGTGTGGGAAGGGAAATATCCGATTCGAACATGACTCTGGCTTGATCCTGTCTTCCTTCAAAACTCGGCACAGCTGTGTTCACTCGGCCAATAAGATACCGAACCTGTGCGGTCCGACCAGAAAATCTGCAGGCCAGGGTAACAGCACTAAACAACCTTGTTCTGTGGTTTCCATCGGTACATGTACCAAGACAGCGTCGTCCTCAACCATGTAGAAAGGAGTGAGTACTGGTGATTCGGATTATTATCCTCGGCACCTCAGGTATGACAGCCTATCAAATTTAATCTACAAGAACAGCCAGTTAGTAAACGGAAGAGGATAAAGATAATTAAGCCACAAGCAACACAGAGCAGCAACGTCAGGAAAGTTGAAAAGCCTCAAAAAGCCTGGCTGTTTCATCCAGAATTCCGGGATGGGCTGAAGGTTGTCGCAACAAGATACAGCAGACACAACCACACACACACCATATTCAATTCACACAGCACACAGCACACAGCACACAGCACTCAGCATTTCTCCACAGTCCAAAATCAAACGAAGATAGAAGTTACCGTTGTAGCAACGTTGTAGCCATCCACATGTGGCGGGGGCAGCAGTTAAAAAGAGAAGCCGGAGACTGGCCACCCGAGCACATGAAGAATCCCTTTTGGCGCTTATCTCCGAGATACTTTTGGCACATGCGAGAAAACATGGGGAAAACTAGCTCGCAAGGGTCTTTCTCACAAGGACTCAAGGAGGGAGAATTTGATCCTGCGTGGGCCAATGTTAGTTCGCGTTGGCGGAGTCGCTAACTCGCTAGTCACGGTGGTCAGAAAACAGCTGGATGCTAACCTGTAAGTAGCCTAAGGGGATGTCGATCCAAATAAGATAGGCTAGACGATCCATCCTAGCTTAACTCAAGGAAAAAGAAGGGAAAGGATCCCTGGTTGGGTGTTTTGGATAGGGATTTGGTGGAGGAGCGAGTACGCTGTAACTACTCAGCGTAGATACTTGACTCCCGCCATGTGTAAATCGGTACAGGAGGACAGAGAGATATCGACTGGCAGAACATGTACCGATGCATGTCCCAGAGTATGCCTTGCCTAGGTACTCTCTATCTCATGAATGCCTTGTTAGCACAGTACATTGTTTTTGTGTACATACTTTGTATTGTGCTGGCGAGTGTCACATCACGGCGATCACATTTGCTGCTGTTGCCCCCCGCACCTTTTGTTTGCGGCTGGAACTGATTCAGTCATATAAACACCCGCTGTCCCCCCCCCTTCTCAGCTGAGCTTGTTCGAGCTCTTTGGTCTGCTTTCTTTTCTTTTCTTTTTTCTTTCTGTGGTTCGATATTTCTTCAAGTGCCCGGACACTCGATTGATTGCAACTCGAAACACGATCGCCGTCTCAGATTCGGGGGAGGTATATACAAGAAATAGACCCGAAGAAATCATCCCTTTCCAGGGAGAGAGATAGAGAGAGCGAGAGACGGGGAGGAAAATTACAATACAACACGACACAACATGGCTTCTCTCGCTGGCAATATCTACCTGATTGCCGCCGTGGCGGTGATTGGAGGTGGCTTGTTCGGTTTCGACATCTCGTCCATGTCTGCTATCATCGGCACCCAAAACTACCTTTGCTACTTCGACCAGGCAGAACCGGGTGAGACAAAATGCAAGGGCCCAAGGGCAGATGTCCAAGGCGGTATCACGGCCTCCATGGCTGGTGGCTCATGGCTGGGAGCGCTGGTATCGGGCTTTTTGTCTGATATCCTTGGTCGCAAGAAGTCCATCATGGTTGGCGCAATTATCTGGTGTGTTGTTTATTGTCCCCGTTTCTACCATTCCTTATTTGCATATATATTTCTCGTCGATTTAGACGCAAATTAACTTACACGCCCTTGGGTGTAAAACTGTATGGCCATCGTTAGCTAACCAGAGTTTTTCTTGCTACCAGGATCATCGGTTCTATCATCACCTGTGCAGCGCAGAATATTGGTATGTTGATTGTTGGCCGCATCATCAACGGCTTCAGTGTCGGTATCTGTTCCGCACAGGTCCCTGTTTATATTGCAGAGCTGGCTCCTCCTTCCAAGCGTGGCCGTCTAATCGGTGCGCAACAATGGGCAATCACTTGGGGGATTATGATTATGTTCTAGTAAGTCTCATGTCACTCCACATACCACCAAGTGTATGTGATCTACATGTGCTGCTCTACGCGCCTATGATTACCATGCGCGAAAATACTGACAACTGGATATAGCATCTCCTATGGAAGCAGCAAAGTCGATGGGCCAGCTGGTTTCCGGATCGCGTGGGGTCTGCAAATGATCCCAGCTGTCTTGCTCTTCTTTGGCCTCATTCCTCTACCTGAATCACCACGCTGGCTTGCTCGCAAGGACCGCTGGGAGGACTGCCTTGCTGTGTTGATCCTGGTGCACGGCAGAGGCGACCCAAACTCCCCCTTCGTCCAACGCGAATACGAAGAGATCAAGGAGATGTGCGAATTCGAACGACGAAATGCCGATGTGACTTATCTTGAGCTGCTCAAACCGAACATGATCAACCGCACTCACGTTGGTGTGTTCACCCAGATTTGGAGCCAGTTGACTGGTATGAATGTTATGATGTATTATATCACGTGAGTTGATCTCCTATATAGCTGCAACTTTCGCTTTATTTAGTACTGCTGGTGGATTTGATGAGCTAAGTGTCCTGCTTAGATATGTCTTCGGAATGGCTGGTCTCACAGGGGACACCCTTATGGTTTCGAGCAGTATCCAATACGTGATCAACGTCCTAATGACGATTCCCGCTCTCCTGTGGGTTGACCGCTGGGGTCGCCGTAACACCCTCTTAGTTGGCGCTTTCTTCATGATGGTTTGGCTCTTTACCAACGCGGGACTTCTTGCATCTTACGGGTATCCTGCTCCAGCAGACAGAGCCGTTGAAGCCGAATCCTGGCTGATCAGTGGACCCCCAAGCAAGGCTGTCATCGCATGCTCCTATCTGTTTGTCGCTTCATTCGCTCCAACATGGGGCCCTGTTTCCTGGATTTATCCGCCAGAACTATTCCCCCTACGCGTGCGTGGAAAGGCTGTTGCCCTCTCCACCTCCTCCAATTGGGCTTTTAACTTTGCGCTCGGCTACTTCGTTCCGCCTTCCTTTGTCAGTATCCAGTGGAAGACCTATATTATCTTCGCCGTTTTCTGCGCAGCCATGTTCGTCCATGTCTTTTTCATGTTCCCCGAGACGGCGGGTAAGACTCTCGAGGAGGTTGAGCTGATCTTCACTGATCCCAATGGCATCAAGTACATCGGCACCCCCGCCTGGAAAACACGGGTTGACTTCCACCGTGCAGCGCTGCTTGAGAAGACCGGTGTCAAGGATGAGGAGAAGCTTGCGACCGACTTCCAGCACGAGGAAAGTCCCAAGGAAGGAACTGTCTAGATTCCTGGTGATAGTTAATGGAGATTAACAAATAAACGAGGGCGCGCAGACGATATCTCTCCTTTGTCATTCTCGTTCGTTTGATCTATGTATCTGTTATTCCCCTCACATGCTGTATTACAGTGCCTATTCATTCATATCCCTCCCCCCTTGAACTTGCTTGTAGCTGTGGGAACCCCCTAAAACTTTCAAATCCCTAGAAATTTTTTTCGAAAAGGAAATAATAAAGCTTGCTGGAAACGGGGATAATAGTTCAATGCAATACAGTGTGAAAATTCAGTCCTTTGTCCACTTACCTACCTTTTATTATCTTTACTAGTTAAGTATAATAGTCTGACACTATATATTTTTATTCCCCGCTTCTTAGCCTGGCTGTTTTTATGGCAGGCGCCTACTTTTAAGATATTCTTAGAAAACAACAAAAAAGAAAGAAGGGCTCAATTCATCTCGCAACGGACTCTCAACCGTTTTGAACAATGGTACGTAGGGAATATCTATCTTGAAGATCTTCAGATGGCCGCTGGAAGCCTCGTGAGGATTAGGGTTCTCTTGTCTGGTAGTTAGTTAATTGAAATTCTGGAACGCACCATTCAGCTTATTTACCTAGTTACACATTCTCATCAGGATTCTCAAATCGGAACTTGTAACCAGTTATAGCCCACGGAGTACTCTGTACTCTTTTTAGGAAAATGGAACTGAATGAGCAGAATCGGTCCATCTCGTTTAAGTTTTAACCCACCCATGATTGAATAGAGTTACGGGCGGCTTAACGTGGATTGCCAACTCTCCATATTTTGCCTACAGTACTCCGTACCTAGGGCCGATATGTGAGAGAGTCTAGAACGCTGAAACAAGAAAATGGTCTGTCGTAGGGGCTTCAGGAGGGCGAATAGCAACCTGCGTCTTCAGCCCTCCCTGCGTCAGCCGCAATGTTATTCCGTGGGGATTACGCTGAGCCGGCGATATATTATTATGTTGGGATGCATCCGTATCTGCCAACAAAGAAAGCTACGAACCTGCTTAATCCATGCCAACAACATATAAATACTCCTGACACATTTTAATTCCAGCCTCCATCTACAGGATAGGAGAGGAGGTGATTACACTGTGGTGCCGTGAGAGGAATATATATACCGACCTACCAATCTTAATCTACCCGATTTCCCCAGACGCAAAACTCCCCGAAAAATAATGCAGCCTGCCTTATTACTCCTCCTGTCTTTGGCTGCTCTCAGCAATGCCATCGCTGTACCCGGAAGGTATGCAAAGTACAGTACATCTTTTCTTAAAAAATCAAAACCCACCCCTCCTCCCTCTCTTAGCAAACACGATCCACAATCAGCTCACAGCTTCAAAAAAATTCAATCCCCTAGTGACGGTACCTGCGCCAGAAAAGTAGACGCCCGATACGCCTGCATGACCGATTCTGACTGCGTCATGGTCAAGCACGGCAACTGCTGTGGCGCCACGGATGTCTGCGCCCTTGCCCATGCCAAATTCACCAAGGACGAAATATGCCCCGCCGGAAGCGGTGGGGTGGGCGTGTGTGGCTTTGAAAGTATTGATGGCTGTGCGTGTCGCGATGGTGCTTGCTATGGGTTGCGGGGCGGGAAGGTGACTTCGTCGCCAAAGGAGTGGGGGGTGTGAACGGGGATGAACGGGGCCAGAGGGAGGGACGGGGTGAAATGTGTGTGGGTTTAAGAAGGCAGTCTGTGTGAGGTTCTGAAACAGATCTGCGAAAGAGTAAAGGCGGGAATGAGGGACTCTGATTTTGAGGAAAGGTTTTTCTTTTACTAGTTATACCAGAACTTTGAAACGGTCAATTATAAAGGGACTTGTTTGATATTCCTTGAAATCGAGATCTGAATTTGGATGAGAGCAGACACGCATGGATCAGCGAGTGACATTTTGGCTGATGCTGGGCTGCGTACACGCTGCCTAGGAGCTACGAAGTTTCTAGACTTCATTTTTTTTGTTCTTCTCGACATGAAGAAAAACTACGTGTATGTGCGCGCGCTGTCCTACTGCAGAGAATAGTTTATGCATCATGACAGTTAAGGAAATGAATACGGAAACGGCTTGTTATCACGGGACGTACAGTGTTGTACAAACCAACAAACTCTCCGCCCCCCTCCCACAAAGCTGCCGCCCTCCACCTCTCCCGTTCAGCCCCGGCGGCGCCTGGTTCCAAAACACGGTGGCCGTCAACAATCTCATGCAGTAAGCGTGCAGAAGGGCCTTATCCGCTGAGGGGGGGACATGGTCCTTATGTTTTGGAGCGCTTGGGAGTTTATTGACAAGAAGCTTCATCCGGTTTGGGTTCATATGGGGGAGCATGTGGTGTGCGGTTCTGAGATTATTGATAGAGCTATCGATACACTCCATACATGCAGTCAAAAAGTGGAGACATGTGGTGTTGACATCATCTTTGGAAGTTGAGCCAGGAGACATCAACAAATTTTTGCTTCCCTTCTCCACATAGTTCATATTCACCATAGCCTAGGTTCCGAATACTTGTTCTTGTCTGCGAACCGACAAGAGTGACAAGCGAAGGGGTTGGATTAACCTCGGGTTATTGGGGACGTGGATCCAGGTTAAACACGACAAATGCTATAATAAAGGGCCAAACTAAGCTATATCTCCATCCCATAGTTCATGTCGGCCTGCTGTATGAACTTGGGGTAGCCTTCAATATCCAAAGGAATGGTATCAATAGACCTTGAAGACGGCGTCTCATATCCCAGACAGTCAACATGCAAGAAAGGAAGGTATCAATGACGAGGCGGATTCGTTATGAGAGTGTCCAATTGCTGTAGCTGTCGTATCATTGTGCCGGGAAGGTCAATATCCTGTCTGCAACGACGTGTCCATTGTCGAAGGCCATGATATCGTCTGCCCCTTGGTAACTCTAGCTCTATCCATCGACCGGCAAAGGATCTCTCCATTTTTTTTTGAATTCCTGTCCGCATCTGTCCACCGCTTGAAAGCGTCCTCGATGTCACTCCAAGCGTGATCTACTAGTTCACAGCGGCTCGTTCGATGACACAATCCAGTGAGAAGGGACCCCAATGGCAAGAACTGTAGGTATCCTTTGAGAAGCCATTTCCAGGTCTCAGCGTGTGGGGCTCGTTCAAGCGTTTTGGAGTATCAAATGTCCATAGCAAGAAGGAAAAGTTGGCCTCGGATGGTCCGGGCCCGGGGCGATGAGCTTGCCGTAAAACACTCCTGCCCGTAAAATTTGAACCACATTTCTGTATTTTGCACGTGGGCGACATGCTTCGCAAGCTAGGGGACAGGTTGCCTATCATCTCAGTGGGCCAAATAACCAGATCTTATATTGGACCAACACCCTTTTATGATTACGTTCTTCCGAGGTTGAGAAGCTGCAGCGTCGAGCTTGCTGCTTGTTCTTGCAATTTCCAAGCGGATCAGGTAGAATGACATCTCTGTCCAGCCGTTGCGCTGACGGGGAGCTTCTACCATATTTGGATCAATATCGGAGTCATTGATATTCAGTAGAAGTCCCGGGTTCACGACCGCTTCGCACGAACTGGGAATCTCCCATGATCCTCGACTGCCCTCCGACCGAGATACCAAAGTTGCTTCCAAAGACGTCTATGTACTTCTTTGGCGAATGGTGAGAGCTCTGCTGACATGGAGCAGACTAGTCGCCTAGCCAATGCCGTCAATGCCCACGCGAACTTTGTTTCATCCATGAATATGCCAATGGACAAAAATACCATGATAGCCTGGAGGGTATCAAAATGTTTCCGGTCCTCAGAAAATTCGCTCTTGCTAGAGCGAGCTCCGCGACAGCGCGATAGGTTCTCAGAACCTCAGTCTTGGGCGCATTGTAACAACTCTCGACGTCCTCGTGTGGCATGCTAAGGATGGCAGACAAGTAGATCGTAAATACGAGCGCATAATGACGATTGGCAAGGCTGGTATTGCCACTTTTGGCCTTTGGGGGTATCTCTTCTGAGTTAGGTGCGTTTAACACGTTCTCTATCTTGTCGACGTTGTTTAAATATTCCTGCCAGCAAAAATCGATTTGATGTGACGAGGGGTGCAAGAAAGCTAACTCAACTGCGGACGAACTAAAGGGCGAGGGATGACAAGAAAAGAGAGAGTCGTTTCCGGCTCGGTATGGCCCGGGATACAACCGAATGGTATGATTTAATGGCATCGACATCGCTGGGGGTAGTAATGTTCCAGGACCTGCATCTAGGGCCCCAATTCGCCAAAGCTCACAGTCTAGTAATGAGCATTTCATTCGTTATCATATTCCCACTCGGGGCTCTTATTTGCGAACACAGAAGATCAAAATCAAATGGGGAGTATGGATACACGCTGCTTGTTAGTTAATTGGCTAGGTTCTCACGATCGCCGGATTGCCATTGGGATCCGTGTGGGGAAAATATTAGACAGGGTATGTATTCCGTATACATATATATATTAATGACAGACAAAAACAGATCCCCCTTCCAATCTCATGTTTTTTCTGTTTGTGTTTCTGATTCTGGGGGTCAAAATAAAACTCCTGTGCATACAGCTTCATGCCAAGGCACACACGATCCTCCGCACGGCGATTATTGCTCTGCTACTTCTGCAACCGCTCATAGGCTTCGTAAATCATCACAAGTTCACGAGGACGCAGCGACCAGGGCTGTGGACTCGTTTTCACGTTTGGTATGGCCGGGTCCTCATTCTTCTGGGAATGATCAACGGGGGACTCCTGGTGCAGCTCGCGGATAACACCAGGGCGGGAACAGTAGCATATGTGGTGGTTGCAGGGCTTGTTGGAGTTGTTTATTACACAACGGTGGCATTCTTTGAGGATAGGAAATGGAGGCATCGAGACGATGTGGCGTCTGATGTTGAGTTGGAGGAGAGGTCCAAATCACCTACGCCCTGCCCTGAGAGGGGATGTAGAGTTTTGAATCTGGGAATCTGGCGGCATTTTTGATAGCCATTTGTTTGAAGTTATCACGCAATCCCAGCTGTATGATAGAGGTATAGTCTCCGGAAACTTGATAATAGCAAGAGGAATTGGAAAATGATTCATCGAAAAACACTATATTGAGCCACGTTTGTCTTGGAGCGCGAAATTAGGAATTGTTCGCAGAAAGGCACTCAGCTTCCATTCATCCACATGATCAGAAGGGATGTGATATAGTAGATCCCATTGCCCAATTTGATAACAGCATGTCGATATCTGCATATCGTTTGAGCAGCCAAATGCGCTCATACTGCGTCGACTGTGATGAGGTTGAATATTTGAAAGAGAAGCTAACTCAGCACATTTACAGAGCTAGTATTACTTGGGACTAGTGTGATCTGATACAAAGCCAATCTTATCAATCGGATTTGGCACCTTCCTTCCAGAAAAACTTTCTACAGTAACTACCAGAAACAGCAAAGTAAATTTTGTTTCCGTCTAAAAAAGGGGCGCAAAATCTATAAACAATCATGATATATACATAATAACTCCTCTATATTTCCCAATGGATTCATTCAATAACGTAAAAAAGAAGAAAAATAAAAAATAAAAAATAAAATAAAAAATAAAAAAGATTTTAGACCCGCCTCCTCTAAGACTTCCACCCCTTCTGCCTCCATAACCAATCGTCGAAATCTGCTTCACTCAAATCCCTCGGTATCGCCTCGACAGATTGCTTCCACTCTTTCGTCGACTCAAACAAGCCATGACTATACGGCTTCTCCGCTATGGCTTTTAACCTCATCGTCTCAGGACTATCTTCCCCTTCCAACAGAACCCGCCCCTCATACGCCCGCTGCGCAAACACCTTCGCTCTCGCCTGGTCACTATGCGCAATCGAAATCTGCAGCGCATCATTGTGCACGCGCGCAATCCTCGAGCCAGCAATGCCCTCATCAACAAGCATACGGAAAAGTGTATACGCGTCCTGAAGGCAAGCATCCGGCTTGGTCATCAACCGCCGCCCGTCGCCCAGAACATTATCAAGGCGCGCAATCTCCTGCAGCCGCGCATCTCGCTCCCGCGACTCTTCCGCCGGCACGGCGCAGACCTCGCACGCACATCTGAAGCCAAACGCCTCTCCAAAACAAGACTGGCGCGCGTCGAACAATTCCGTCCCGTCGACGTAGGCGATGGTGATCTCCTCGCCGGCCTCGATGTCTTTAAATGTGTGGATGGTAAGTCTTTCCAAGTTACGGTTCCACGTGTTTTGGGAGTTCGGTTTGCACGAGTGATTAATGCGCGCTGTGCGGGGGAAAATGGCGCCCTCTGCGCCCCTGGCGCCAAACGGCATTGCATTCGTCTTGATGGTGCCGATCACTGGACTGCATTTACCCTTGTGTGCATTGTGTAGTGAGAAAAACATATGCTGCTGCTCTTTACTTAGGGCTTTGAGGTCCTTGAGAAAGCCCTTTTCCAGGGATTGCAGATTCGTCGCCATGCTGGGCACGGTGAAGAGGGGTTCCTCGGTTATTATCCGTGTGCCTTTTGGGATCTTTGAGGTTGCGAAGCAACCCAATCCCCTGCCGGGTATGGCTTTGATGGTGTATAATTCATTATTACTAACAGGCAAATCGCCGCCTGTTGCGTGGATCGTTCCGATCGTGTTTTCCGTTTTGGATTTCGTTACCCCATCCACCACCTTCTGTCGCTCTCCGTAGGAGAACCCTTCGTTGAACCCCATTCTCCCGTTTTTAAGGGTGTTCTCAGTGTAAAAGAATGTATGATCTGATAAGGAATAAATACCTTTCTCTGCTCAAGAAATTTAAAATGTAAAATCTGGCCCAGGGTTTATTATATGCATAAAAGGGGCCGGTGTTAAATGTCCTTTATGGAATTAATGTGGTAAATTTATATTTTTTCGGCGGGATTTATATTAACGAAGAAAAGCCAGAACGTCTTTTCAAATAGATTATCCAAAGGGCACAAAGCGATAGAAAAAGAGGAATTTATATATCTGAAGTGTGAGATAAAAAAAAAAAAACGTTTTTTGTGGCCCGCAGATCGGAAGTGAGCATCTTGCTTCTATATTGTTCTTGGCATTGGCAAAATAAAATATTTTCTGTGTTCTCAAAAGCGAGATGTGTGTTGCGTGTGGGGAGGTTAGGAAGCAATGTGACTGTGAGCATTTTCACGTTTTCTCATCTTATACTAGGTAAATCTTTGATCTCCTCCATGGAATGTGTTGGTAAAACTCCGCGGTAGGAGGAACTGGTGCTGGCATATGCATTTTTTTTGTTGTCGACTTCGATATTGAAGTTCGTCGATGATGTCACCGACTCACTAAGCCAGTGGGGCTTATATCTGTTGATTACCAGCTCTAGGCTATATACACTTGAAGCTATTATCGTGAATCCGTTGCTATCACCAACATCTTGCCGCCAACTTTGGATGAGGTTAAGGGCTTGAGATCCCATGTGACGAACGATTGATTTGGCCGCAAGGGGCAACCTTTTTACACGATACTGAAAAGCAAGGCGTTGAATGCTTAACTGAAGAGGCGAAGGACCGACTATGAACCTAGACGCAGAAAGCCGAAAAAGCTTTAAAAAGTCCTCAATTTTGATGATGTCGTTTTTGTATGGAGGAATGAATGGCAATGAACAAACGACGCGGAGCTACTTCCAATCAGTGTGGCCAAATTACACTGTGGATTAAGTGGGATTTTGAAGGGTTCAGGAAGCGTGTCGATGATCTCGTGTCTGTCTGTCTGGCAATTGTCGCTCTAGGTCCTAGCTAGAGAATCCCCTGCGTTGTGGTGCCGATTTAGGCCGGCTTTTCAGTTTTTTCATCCCCCCAATCTTAAAATCTACGTGATAAAGACCGTGAATCATGGGCAAGTTCCGTCCTCCATGTTGCAGAATTGGAATTGCATGGTTGGCGATTACAGTCCAGCCCTTATTCTCACAATTGATCAGGGCGAAATATCTGACTGGGGATTGACATATCCATCAGCAATTTCCCTATACTGGTAACCTGTTCAGATATCCCACAGGCGCGAGTCAATATATCATGGCGACTCTTGTCTACAAGGTCAATACGTGGTGTAGCTTCTGCATTCGTATAGCAGTAGTAGCCTTGTGGAATATCGGCGTGCCGACCTCGGTAGCTGTCGTCCCCGAACGGCCGCGTACAATATCCGTCTGTCCCGTCTCTAAGAACATTCATGCCCCGTTCTCGTTCCTGCCCCTCTCTCCCGGCTGCAGTGGTGGTGGTGGCGGTGGTTTTGGACTCGTGTGCCCCCAAAACGGTCCGCAGCTGCACGAGAAGTTGACGTGCCATGGTATGGAAGAGGAACATTTTCATGGCAACCGCGGACGAAATGGGGGGTTTGTAGGATCCGATTCTGAGTTCTGGTAACTGCGCAACCTGTGCTTCAGTTCCCATGGGTGTAGCGAGGTTTTTGATGCAGCATTCGATATGAATAAAAAGACACTGGCAGATGTCCATCACGCGATCGTAGCAGGACAATATGAGGAGAAAGGTGGCTCGATCTGGAACGTAGCTATCTGGGCTGGTGCCTGCTGATGGGCTCGTGGCGGCGGATGGTTGATCCTTTTGGTTGTTGTGAGAAAATAAAGACGATGACGAGGGGGTTGGCAAGATCCCTTCTGCGGGAGGTCGTTTTTCGGATGGCAAGATACTATGCGAATAAATGTCACTTGTGACATCTAGCAAGGTTTGGATGAGACCAAAGGTTTCGTCAATCTCAAAAATGCGGTTGGCAACCAAGATTTGTACCTCGGATAGGTTAGCAGAGACAAGTGGCATTTTTGCGACATGCTCACACAGCTTTACATTTAAATCTGCCAACTTTCGAACGTGCTGAAGCGTCACGCTTGGTCTATCCTCCAGAATGCGAGGTATGGCCTGACTCCTGTCTGTCAAAGTTTGGCTAGGGATGGGCAGGATGGGTTCAACAAAACTGTTGCTGAAGTCCGGAAGTGACAACTGATCACACACTGGAACTGATATGTCTTGAGGCAACTGGAGAGTTTCAGGCCATTGGCCAAATGTAGGGTCGAAAGCTGCCGGGTATGTGCCATCGGGCGCTGGTAATATTATCTATTAGCTTGCTCTAAAACGGTAATAAAGAACGTAGGCGCACACAGCTAGAATAGCATTGCGGTAGGAACAGTTTTGCATGGAAGTATTTAATTGTTCAGTGTAGGACAAGAAATTGTGAATGCACACTTACTCTCTTCAGCAACCGCACTGCCAAAGGGGTTCTCGAGTTGAGTGTTCATATTTAGTTCCCGGCTGCCATCTCCATCCTCAACACGATCCTGTGTTCTTCGCCTTTTTGAACGAGGGCGGGGCGGTCGAAATACAGTCCTCGGCTGCCGTACGCTGTAGACACACGGGGCCTCAGTCCGAGAGCATCTCAAACAGCTGTGGCCGCCTTGCTGTCTCTCGCATCGAAGCTTCTGCGAGTGGCACCGGTCACAGGCAGACCGAATCTGGCGAGTGCTGGCACGATCCATAGTTGCAAAACCACCCCCGAAGAACTCCTTGACCGCAATATATCTGTAGTATGGTTAGGGGAAAGTTGGGGATGTTTGACACGCTCCACTCCTAACTACGGATATGGTCACACATTGTGGCTTTAATCCCCTGGGCTAGTTATGGGCAGCGTAACTAGTTATTGTATAGGCATTCTTGAAAATGAGGTTGCAGTTTAGCCGTTGCTTTGATAAATAATGGGGCTCAAACAAACTATTTTAGCGCCCACATATTTAACTCCCCGCTGCATCCTCACCTCTAATCAACAATAAAGATGTTCTAAGGCAGCTCATAGAGTCATCTACGGAGCATTATAGTCAGATTGCCGAACATGTCCCATTTTTTAGACTCATTAGTCAAGCCTGAATGTAGCCTGCAGACCATAAGGAATAAAAAATAATAATTGCATGAGGGGTTTCAAGGTAGAACAAACTCATTCAAGTTGTACAACATCAAAGCAGGTTGTTACTAGATTGTTTATAGCATGAAAGGTAGTTAACTTATTATACTCAAACAAAACAATATGTTCTTGGATGTCTTTTCAATTACATCAGCTTCTCTCTTTAAGAACTCTCCTACTAAAGTGCAATTTGAAAAAATACTCCTGATTATGAAAACTCACTTAGTTACCTGACAAGAAAGCACCAAAACAATATCAATGGATCAACAGACCAATGTGCTTCTCATGCCTTTGACTTGTCATAGTTGGTTTTATCGTTTCTGGTTAAAGAATGATCAAGGACCAAGCTATATTTTCTATTCAGGGCTTGTAGTACTCATCCAAAAGTCTTCAAAAGATACGCTATAAAACACCCTCAACGAGCTGCACATGTGCTCTGTGTAAAATAAAGTTGGCATTCTATCTCATCTTAATCCTAGTAATAGTAATAGTGGTGTAGGCAGAGAGGGTGGGATTGATTAGGGAATGGCGGCTTATCGACTGCTATAAAATGTATGTGTACAGTAACTACCAATTATGCCGATCCATCTCGTCTGATCAACTTCAAGGTAGGCTACATATGTTGTGCCTCTACAAGTATAATAGTCAGAATGACCCTATATATACTTGTATTCATTATATGTGCAGCAAGGTTTCATCTTATTATGCACAAAGTTCACCCACACCCTCCAGGAAACTGGTTTAAGAAGCATCCATGATGGGATGGATGTATGTATGTATGGAACATGTACATGTACTCCATTTTAGAAGGGAAGTAACCAAGCAACACATGATGATGAAACCTGGTCCCAATATACTCCGAATGTACGGAGTATATATATGTACATACATATAAATCGTCACTTGAATGGCCGAAACCAACCTTGGAACTAAAGCAACTATGTAACATGCCAAGCCGGCCAAAGTTATTTAGTTATTTACGAGTAACTTAGACCTTCCCCGGATGTTCCAAGGTTCCCCCGCAGACCTCCTCTTCCTGCCTCCAGTCCCAGCCAGACAAACGCATTGAATCACTGGGATGTGTTTATTTATCTAGATCTCCTCTGTCGTTCTTCTGGATTGGGGCTTTGAGTGTTTGATACGAGATCTACCCGTTTCCCCGCGCCTCGTTCGGCAACACACACGTCTCATCGCTGTCCGAGTCCAACTACGGCTGGGGGGGGCACGGCACTTTGGTTGCTGATTCGGCGAAAAGGTTAAAACTGAACCATATAAGCTTTGCGCTGTTTAGACCAAGCAGGACGGGGGGAGGAAGAGAAGAGGAGGAATAGGAAGAGGGAGAAGACTAAGGAGAAAGACAAGAGCAGAGATAAACACAGAGTGACCAGAAAGCGACATGGCCTCTAATTCAACGGCTTTTCCATTATTTTTCAAATACCTATATATTCCCCATGTCTTGCTGCTCTTGTTTTCTCTCCTGGTAACTGGGGAAGTAGATTACAGGCCGAGTGTGGACATCGCTAGGTCTGAGGACCAGAGAATCATCATGGATAGCGACGGGAATAACAACATGGGTAATCAAAATGAAACATGCGGTGCGTTCCAGCGACTCATGTTATGTATCATGGCTCTTAGGATAGGCTTCCCTACTAATATTGTTTACAGGTCTGCTACCTTTTGTCTTCGAACCGCTCCCGCTGGGTGCAATCAAGCCGCTAGGCTGGCTGAGTGATCAGTTGACGCTGATGGCCAACGGCCTCGCAGGCCATGAGTTTGAATTTTACCAAATTGTCCGCGACAATCCCTGGCTGGGCGGGACCCGCGAGTACAGCAACCTCAACGAGGCTATGCCCTACTGGTTCAACGGACTGGTTCCGCTCGCCTACCAGACCCAGGATAAGCGACTGCTCGAGCAGGTCCGGAAGGCAGCAGACTACATACTCACCAACCAACAGCCGGATGGCTGGCTGGGGCCCGAAACTACAGTGCCCCGAAGGAACTTTTGGGCTAGGTATCCTATCTTCTTGGGGTTTGCGCAAATGGTAGAAGCGCAGGCTGGCACTCCTGAGGCAGAAAGGATTTTGAATGCGATGCACAAGTTTGTTCAGTTGATGCATTCGATGCTGTCTAACAATTTGCAAGGGTTGGTTTGGCACGAGGGTGATGATTTCAATGAGCAGTGGGGCCGATCTCGGGCGGCGGATATGATATTAGCTCTGCAGTGGCTTTATGAGACCGATCCCAGGGAGAATGCCGGCAAATTGTTTGAATGTATGGAGTTTTTCAGGAAAGGAGGACATGACTGGTCTTGGTGGTTCTCTGAGGAAAATTATATCAAGGTAGATCTTGATACTATGCCTCGAAAGGAGACTGACAGGTTATATCATTTCGTGCATGGGGTCAATGCTGGACAGGGCTTAAAGGCTGGTGCAGTTATCAGGAGGTTTACACATGACGACGCTCTGTTGGAGTCTGCTCGGAGGGGCGTTAATTGGACGTTCCTTTATCATGGTGGCCCGTCTGGGGGTATCATTGCGGATGAGCGACTCGTAGGTTTAAGCCCAGTGCGAGGCACGGAGTTGTGCTCTGTTGTCGAGTCAATGTACTCGCTCAGTTACCTCTACCAGTCTATTGGAGATCGGGACTTTGCAGACAGATGCGAACTAGCAGCCTTCAACGCGCTTCCTGTCATGGTGACCCCGGACTGGTGGGCTCACCAGTACATAGCTCAGATCAACCAGCCCGTCTCCCACGAAGTCAACCCTACACCGTGGTTTAACGTTGGATCTCGAGCGCAAACGTTTGGCCTACAGCCTAATTACCCCTGCTGTACTGTCAACCACCATCAAGGATATCCCAAATTCGTGTCCGGCATGTTCGTGCGGAACGGCGAGGTTGGCATTGCGCATGCGCTACTTGGGCCAGCTGAGGTTCAAACCAGAACAAGGTCGGGGACTAAAGCAAATATCAGATGCGAAACAAACTATCCATTCGAGAATGTATTGTACTACAGGGTCGACGCAGGGGGGCAGTTTACATTTTCTTTCAGGGTTCCTCTGTGGGCAAACAACGTCGAGTCCTCGGTGTCCATTGATGGCGCTCCAGGTTCTCTGTTGCAGCCAAACCCAGCGACAGGAATGCACGACGTCGACTTAACTCCAGGGAAACATGTAGTCATCGTCTCCTTTGCGACCGCAGTCCGCGTCGAGCCGCGTGCCAACGACACTGTCGCAATTTACCACGGAGCGCTCCTCTACTCCCTCCCAATCGACGCACAAATCAACAGCGTGAAGACCAATTACCCCGGCGCACCGAACAATGCTCAGGAATACACGATGAAACCAACCTCGAAATGGGGGCTGGCGATTGATCCATCGACAGTCCGCTTCAACGGGCTGGCACCCGCTTCTGATGCACCCAACAACGTAAGTCGTCTACCTAACCCTCTCTGGGCGGAAAAGGAGACACCGACTTCGATTTCGGCGATGGTGTGCGAGATCAAGTGGGAGTTGACAGAGCCCAAGGAGCGTGGGTATGCGCCGGAGCCCCCCTTGGTAGGGCAGCGGGAGTGTATTGGGAGGCCTTTCGAGATCAATTTAGTGCCATATGGAGGAGCGAGGTTGCATATGGCAGAACTCCCTACTGTTAAGCTGGTGTAGCGTGGGGCAGGGGACTGGAGTGAAGCTCGCTTTCGTTTTCAGTTTTGTTGTTGTTTTGGTTTCTTTGTCCAGATATTATCTCATTCGAATGTATAGAAACTTCATATACATACATAGAGTTTAGTTAAAGCCATTTCCACGTGACGGCCAACGGCCGGACACGGAACAACTTTGTCTCCGAAAGCCCCTGAACCACCGCGAAAATGGACAAGGATATAATTAGGGATATAACTAATTATTTGATTGACCGAGCAAGATAGACAGGTAGGTACAGGAAGCAGTTATACTCTCATTGCTCTACACGAGCATCTTCCGATCCCTTCTCGACGTTCTAGTCAATCAAATTCGCCTCTGTCTACCCTCGCCGCTGTCTCCCGCTGTCTGTGGACATCTGCGCCCGTGTTTGTGTGTTCTGCTGGGGGAAGGGCTGATCTCGGGAACTAAAAAACAAAAGTCAAAAGATCAAAAACGAGCCCGAAAAAAACAAAGGCCAAGAACGCCCCGAGGAAGTTCCAAGACGTTAGCGGCTTCTTGTGGGTCGTGACGGGCCAAAAAACAGAGGGAACGGGATTTTCGATCCTTTGGTCAATCCGCCTCCACATTCCACACGTCCTTTCTCCGTTTCCCCTTCTTCCCCTTTTTTCCTATTTCTTTTTCTTTTTTCTTCCTTGGAAGTAGTCGGCTTCGATGACGCGACCACGGAAATCCAGTAATCTCGGTGCAGATATCAGAGGAGATACCGGAGCCCCGGCCATGTCAACCATGAATTCTTTCACTTCCCCTGAGCCTCCTTCGGTATGTGTGTCCACGGATTCCCCGCAAAGCATTTTCTCTTCATCGCCCCCTTGTTCAACATTGAAAAATGCCCCCCCAATTGAAAATTCTCTATCGTCCGCTTCGTGTTTTACTAATCTAATGACAGGCGCGGCAAACACAGCGTGGAGCGTCCGAGAAGAGCGGAAAATCACACTCGAAGCGACGTCGGGCGCGGTCCTTCTTCCGACGATGGAAAGACATCTCCCTCAAACACACCTGGCTGACACCGCTCGTCCTAATCCTCATCATCCTCGCCGTATACATAGTGAACCCGACGGAATCCAACCCAGCCCATGCCGCTATCCTCCTCTCATACCCGAACTCCCCTGAAACCCCCGATGGACCCATCATGTACGGCAAGGGCAAAAAGGATCTGGCCTTCGTCGGCTTCTACACGATCGTTCTGTCATTCACGCGCGAATTCATCATGCAGCGCATCATTCGGCCGTGGGGTGTATACTGCGGGATCAAGGGCAAGGGCAAGATGGCGCGCTTCATGGAGCAGGTGTACACGGCGATCTATTTTGCGTTTTTCGGCCCGTTTGGGCTCTACGTCATGAGCAAGACGGATCTCTGGTACTTTAACACGACGGCGATGTTTGAAGGGTTCCCGCATAAGATGCACACGGCGGATTTCAAGGCGTACTACCTGCTCGAGGCGAGTTACTGGGCGCAGCAGGCGATTGTGCTGCTTCTGATGCTGGAGAAGCCCAGGAAGGATTTCAGGGAGCTGGTCGCGCATCATATTATTACCCTGGCGCTTATTGGGCTCAGTTACCGCTTCCATTTCACTCATATTGGCTTGGCCGTGTATATCACTCATGATGTTTCGGACTTCTTCATTGCGGTATGTCCTTATTTCTTTTTTGTTCTAACTTTTATATATATATTTTATATCTTTTTGGACTAACAATTTTCACCACTATTTTAGACCTCCAAAACTCTCAATTACCTGGACTCCGCCATCATCGGCCCATACTTCCTTACCTTCATCTGCATCTGGATATACATGCGCCATTACCTCAATCTCCGCATCCTCTGGGCCGTTCTCACTGAATTTCAAACCGTCGGGCCCTTCGAGCTCAATTGGGAAACCCAACAGTATAAATGCCGTCTTAGTCAAGTTATTACCTTTGGCCTGCTAAGCGCACTCCAAGCCATCAACCTACTGTGGCTGTTCCTGATCCTCCGCATCGCGAAGAACTACGTCCTCAGCGATGTGAAGAAGGACGAACGGAGTGACGATGAGGACGAGGAGGAGCTGGAGGAACAGTCCACGCCTCCCAAAGATGCTCAAATTGGAGACAAAATTGCTGCAACTGGAGCTGGAGATGGAGCTGTCAGCTCGGCTATGACGAATAAGAATGGCACCGCTGTCGCGGAGGGAGTACGTGTTACGAGGAGGACGGCGAAGCAGAAGGAGAACGATGCGGCTAATGGAGATTCGTCGCAATTATAAGTAGTGGGGTTGTGAGATGGGCCTTGTCTCTACCTCCCACAAAACCTCTCCCGTATGCATTGTTGAAAGAGTGCGGTTTTTCGGCTTGGCCATGGTAACCGATCTGGATATGCAGTGATGATTGTCATGCATTCCCCAGGGGATACGATATGTTGTTCTGCAGGATAAATCAAAGAGAAGAAATACCCCTTTCGCGCCCCTGCTGAACGAATGTGTTTTGTTTTCCGCGATTATGCTTGTTACTTTTTTGCATTTGCATTGGTGACGGTAGATTTTTCTTTTCTTTTTCGTCTTCTTCTTTTCTTTCCTTTCTGTCTTTGTTTAACCCATACACATATTTATTAATGTCTGTTTTCCTATTAAATATTTGTGAGAAAGGCAGGTAATGAACAGGTGTGAAATGGAGGGAGCGCGGTGGGGAAAACCCCAGGTTGGGTATACAGGATGAAGTCTGGCATTCTAACTATATCATGTAATTATTTAATGATTCGTCTTCTCTTCCCCTTCCCATCCCTTCTCTATCCCCCATATCCCTCCCTCCCTTGTTATGATTTCCGTCAACTTAGCGTTTTTGCTTTTGTCTATTGCTCTCCTTCCTTTCTTTCTCTGTGGTGAGAGGGAGAGTTTCCTTTCTTTTTTTTCCTCTTTCGGTTCGGAATACTGTTTTACTACTAACCATGTATCTGTATATATGTATAATGTAAACAGGGGACCTGTGAATTACTTGATGCAGTTAGTTTTGCCTGTCTAGGTTTGACACTCTGATACACTGTCATGTAATCTCCTCTCACTGCTCTTCAATATAAAAGACTCATCTTTGCTGCTCTTTCTCTCTCTCTCTCACTTTTTCATCATTCTGTCTTGCTATACTGTGTTTGTTGCTGTGTCACTGCAATTTCACACACTCAATTGAACTCACTGACAGTCTTGTTTGCTCATTCATTCTCTATTGCTTTTCAGTTGTAAACAGTAGCTGAGTTCTTGTTGCCTTTACAATTGACTCTTGATATTCACTGAATCTTCATAATTTACTTGTTTTTCAAATGAATTATTCTCTGTCTGTTCTTCTTGATCATTCTCTCATTCTTGATTTAATAATTTATTATCTCATCAATGATATCTTACACTATTGTATCAAGATATAAAAATTTTCTTCTTATTGCTTTATAATACTGACTATTTTTCTCTCTTTTCTCAGCATTATAATGCAAGGCCAGTTCAATTTCTCTTCTGTTACAGTTACATGTGTTGACTGCTCGTGCTTATACTGAATTTCATTTAAAACAACTCTTTCTCTTATTGTGCTGCACTGCTGACAGTGTTTCTTTTTTCTTTCAGATATTATTAATGATTAATAAGAGTGAAAACACATTATATACACATTTATAATATATTCATCAATAATATATTACTTTCTAATTTAAAGAATAAATAAATGTAATCACTACTCAGTATTTATTCAGATTTTAGTACTGTGAAAATAAAATAAATAAAATATTCTATTCAGCTGATTTAACTGATTGAGTAAATATTTCTTTCCTTATAAAAAATGAGTAATTTTAAAATAATATATTTCTCAGTGAAATTATTACTTTTATTTCTTAAATTATAGTGTGAGCGAGTTGAAGTTACATTGTAGTGTGTGGAGGGATTAGATACATAGGTGCTTTATGAGCATATACAGAATGGGAGAGACATTTCTACATATTTGTACATATATTGGAATTGCCTATGGAAACTATAACAGAGACAATAAGATTAACATTTTAATGTACTTCTTTCTTCTCAGACTCAATATCCTCCGCAGGAGCTGACGATGCAGACTCGCCCTGCTCAGCAGTCTTCACGGACTCGGAAGCAGTGGATTTCTCCTCAGGTTCCTCAGGTTCCGCCTCGCTGCCGCGTACGGATTGATCCGATTCTCTTTGCGAAGGAGCAGAGTCGTGTTCTGGCTCAGTCTTGCCCGTTTCTTCCTCTTCTTCAGCTTCCTTTGTAGCCTGCTTTTCTGATACATGGGGCTCTTCGGAGCCCTTGGGAGTGGGCACATATACTTCAGCGTGGGCGGGGTTCTTTGGGGTGTCGGCAAGGAGGTAGTAGGCGGCAGGCACTGTGATTCCAACGGAGCCAATTATCCTAAAATAATGGTAATGATCTCGCGCGGCACATGGTTAGCGCTTCTGTGTACCGGCGAAATAGATGCAGTCCGTATATGAGAGCAGGGACTGGATTTAAGATTTTCCCCCCTCCCCGAAATTGAATGGCCATTTGCTTTGCTTTTTGGCCATTCAATTGTAGAAGATATACATATAGGACATACCATGGCAAGTCGCTGTTTTTCTTGAATTCACTACCGCCAGACGCGTATCTTCTTGTGGCCTGTTGCCAAACCCGGGACGAAGCTCGGGACCCGGCTATTCTCGTAGACTGCTGGGCAGTGAACAGTGTGCGGAAGAGGGTGGAGCGAGGGAGAACCATGATGGGCAACTGGAGGAGAGACGTTGTTGGAGTGGTTCGACTGCAATTGAGATGCAATTGGGTATATAATTGGGGGTGCAATTGGGGGTGCAATTGGGATGTTTCTTGCGGGCTTGATTGATACGAGCAAGACCGACGGAGTGAGAAAATGGAAGCGGCTGGAGGTGGAAAGTTCCCCGTTTGGTAAATAAACAAGTCTTGGCGATTCTGACGTTACCTTGGGCTGTGAGGTTCCGATCATGGGAACACGTGACTGGAAAGGTATTTCCAGGTATTTTTGAGCGAGGGAGGCTGGGAGGTTGAGAGGGATGGTTGAAGAAACGAGGGGATTCGGACTGTTTGTTGGCAAGATGTTGTTATTTTGGATAAGATTAAGATAGAAAAGTAGAACCTGGATAATAAAAATTAACTGTGTCTAGTTAATTAAATAAGGCTTACAACCAGTTACAGACGTGTTACTTCTGTATACTTCTCTCCGCCGCCCTAGTCAACCGCGGGGACTCTTTGATCTACATACAATCTAAAAGACTCCCCATCCCAACAACACATACAACTCCAACGCAGAAAGAGAAGACTTCTCTTTGTACACAGTCATCCGCGCGGTTCTTTTGCTGATTTTCTAGTCTGGTCAGCAGCGTCTGGCAACCTTGCCATACCGGTTCCTTTCCCCCACTTTGCTGCCTGACATTATGTGGATTTGCATATAGCTCCAGAGCTAACTTGGTAACCCTCGTTGCCTCCACCCAACGCAACACAGCTTTCAATCTGTATGTTCTCTCGCTCCAATTCTGGATCCAGGTAGATCTCAGTACTCAAGCGACCGTACTGTGAGGATATTAACACATTCCTTCACTGATAGCATCTACTACTTACATCAATCCGGCCGACTACCAGAGTGATTGATTACCCCACCCTCCCCCCTTACCGCAGGGAACAGAACACCATGGCATATGATAGACAAACGATCCAGCAGAGTTTGAACGCTCTGCTTGGAAAGCTGACAGATCCTGACCCGGATATCCGCTACATGTCCCTCAACGACTTGTTGACCACCATCGAACAAGCCAACTCCGCCTACCTGTCCCAGGATGTCCATTCATGTTCAAGGCTAGTGGAGGGTCTGCTGAAAGCCCTCGAGGATCAACATGGCGAGGTGCAAAACCAGGCATTGAAATGGTATGTCTAATTGAACTAGAAAGGAAGCGGGGGAGAACAAAACCACCCTACATGCTATTTCTTTTTTGGAGTGCAGCTTTGGTGACTAAAAATGACTCTCTTCTTCCTACCTCTTTACGCAGCCTAAAACCACTTGTCACTCGCCTTCCTCCGGAAATAGTAACACCCCTAATCGACAAACTCACTTACATGACGGCCTCTCAGACCATTGATACCTCCGTACCCAATACCGCACTTAGAATCATCCTGGCAGCTTTGCCTCGTCCGGATCCCGGCGCCCCTCCTTCTCGAGAATCCCAGGCAGGATACATGGCAGTATCCAAGGTTTTGATTCCAAGGCTTGTAGAAGAAACCGTGGCAGCTAATGGGCAATCTACGGTGAAGGGAATGTTGGCAAATGATCCTGAAAAGGGATACAGCAGCGAAGCCCTCGATGTGTTGATCGAAGTTGTGAAGAATTTTGGCCCGATGCTCAACGAGAGGGAGCTAGTTTCTCTGGAGGAGACAGTGATGGCTATTGTTGAAAATGATAACGCGGGAACGGTGGTAATAAAACGGGCGTTGACGGCCATCTCAGGTCTCTTGGCACACTTCTCCGATGCGCAGCTCAGCAAGTTCGTTTCAACACTGATAGAAAGCTTTCGATCATCACACCTCACATCAATCCACCGTCGACATCTCATTGGGACAATAGCAGCGTTGGCTAGATCAATCCCTGCCAAATTCGGCCCTTATTTGAAGACATTGGCCCCCTTTGTGCTCTCAGCTGTCAGCGAACAAGAACTGAATGAAATGCGAGACGGTGAGTCGGATACAGGAGAGCACGACCCGGAAGAAGACGAATTACGCGAAACGGCCCTAGTAACGCTGGAGGCTTTACTTGGATCTTGTAGCAATGAAATGCAGCCGTACATCGGTGATGCCATAGACGCTGCGTTGCGTTACCTCAAGTATGACCCCAATGTAGCTGAAGTTGAAGACGAGGAAATGGGTGGGACGCAGGATGAGGGTAGTGATGATGGGGCAACTGAGGAGCCCGATGACGACAATGATGCCTTTGATGACTTTGAAGAGGAAGAGGGATACAGTGACATAGATGATATGAGCTGGAAGGTCCGTCGATGCGCTGCCAAGGTGTTATACACAATCATCGCAACTCAGGCGAATAGTGTGAAAGTCCTAGAGGGCGGCCCTATATATCAACGAATTGCACCTGCTCTCCTCGCGAGGTTCACTAGGGAAAGAGAGGAATCAGTCAAACTAGAAGTTGTTGCTAGCATGACTTGCCTTGTCAGGAAAACCGGCGAGATCTCAGCCGCGATCAATCCTGACATACTCTTTTCCGATGCTTTTGGAAAGGGAAAAACATCTAGAAAGAGAAGAAGACAGGACAGCGATGCTAACTTGTTTGATTTGGAGTCGGAGGTCGCATCTTCATCTGTCATGAGTTCACCAATTACTATTCCCTCGACACCAAATTCGGTTCCTCAGGCAGAAATTGCAAAGTTGACTCCTAGTATCATCCAGAATATTGTCAAGCTATGGAAACGGGCGTCAATACCATTGAAGCAGGCCGCGATATCACTATTGAAAAGTCTTGCCCTTGTTCGGTACGGTGGACTTAACGATTTCCTACAGCAGATTGAAGACCCGATCGCAGACGCCTTAAAGACCTCTGCGTTATCAGGAGGCTTTTCTGTCTCTGCTGGTACATCATCCGTCAGCGCTGGCAGCTTGCAGATAGAAACTCTTAGTCTAATTGCTGCGATCTCGGAGACCCATGCGTCCAATGCGCTCCTGCCGTTCCTCATTGCGCTAATCCCTGGAGTTGTTAGCGCGGCGAATGACAAGAATTACAGGGTTGCAAGTGAAGCTCTAGGAGCCGTGGAACAAATCGAGAAGGCCTTGACGCCACCTCGCGTATCTGCCACTGAACATGACCTTGGGCCGCAGTTAGAGAAGTTGTTCGACATCATCGTTGAGAGAATTGCGGACAACAGCTCTGATCTAGAAGTTCGTCAGCGAGCGATCCACGTCCTTGGCGTATTGCTAGGTCGCACTTCCGGAGCACAGGGGTCCAAGTTCATCTCACCCGTTCAGCGCGCTGCGGGCTTGTCACTGCTAGTCGAACGCCTGCGAAACGAAACAACAAGGCTTGCAACAGCTCGTGCCATTGATGATATTACTTTGCTTGCTAGTGGCCCTGACGATGTCACATCTCCCTGGGTCCGTGACGTGACACTGGAGCTTGGAACCCAGCTTCGGAAATCCGACCGCGCGCTACGGGGCTCTTGTTTAGAGGCGCTCAAAAGTCTTGCAATGAACCCACATACCCGGGCCCTCTACGACCAAAAGACAATACAAGAACTGGCCAGCTTTCTCCTACCTCTTCTCAATACTGAAGACCTTCATCTGCTCACTCCAACCCTCATTATCCTCGGCAAAGTAATTCCTGGCAATGCGCAACAACTTATCAACAGCAGAATCGTCGCTGCTTTGTGTTCTGTTGTGCAGGCACCTTTGGTGGGAACAGTTCTAAAGGCATTTTTGCTTTTAGTCCGAGTGATCGGGGAGCAAGGAGTGGGAACTCCACTTATGCAGGCGTTTTTACGGGATGTCGGTGTCAATGGAGACCCTGCTGTTGTCGGAAGAACCATTGGAACACTACTTGTATATGGCGGTCCAAAGATTGGAGTCAAAATGGAAGACTTCCTGACAGAACTTCAAACGGCGCAAGACACTCAACGCAAATGTCTTGCTCTCGCTGTCTTGGGAGAAGTTGGCCTTCGTATGGGATCTGCGTGTCCCTTAGTTCCCGAAACTTTTATCTCGAATTTCAATTCCAAGTCTGACAAAGTACGGCTCTCCGCTGCCATCGCCCTTGGAAATGCTGGCGCGAGCAATATCAAAACATATCTCCCAGTTATCCTAGAAGGTCTGGAGAAGTCCACATCGTCAAAGTATCTCCTTCTCCATTCTCTAAAGGAGATCCTACAACATCCTGAAAGTGTCCGGCCTGACGTCGCACCATTTGCCACACGCCTTTGGCAGCGACTCCTCACAGCTTCTGATGACGAAGATAACCGCGCAGTGGGCGCGGAGTGTATTGGAAGATTGGCTCTCATCGAGCCGACCTCCTATATCCCCTTACTTCAGGTAAAGCAACCAGCAGAACGCAGTTGATGCACGCGATTGTCACTAACCAAATACTCTTCTTAGGAATACCTGTCAAATGAAAACCCTGCTATCAGAGGCACAGTCATATCAGCTTTCCGGTACACCCTTGCCGACGCTAGCGATGCCTACAATGACGTCCTGCGCCCACTGATCATTCCAGTGTTGGTCTCCATGCTGAACGATACGGATCTTGGAAATCATCGTCTAGCCCTAACTACCGTGAATTCCGCCATCCACAACAAGACTAACCTCATCGTCCCACATCTCAACAAAATCTTACCCGCAGTTATCAACGATACCCTAATCAACCCTACACTTGTCAGGGAAGTTCAAATGGGCCCCTTTAGACATAGAGTCGATGATGGTCTAGAAGTTCGAAAGGTGAGCGGAATCACCCCAGGAGCAAAAATTACTTTATATCCCAACTTACTCTGCTAACAACTTCGAACCACAAAAATAGAGCGCCTACGAAACGCTCTACGCATGTCTAGAAATAGCCTTCAACACCATGAACATCTCCGAAATCTTCGACCGAATCATCACCGGCATCGGAGACGAGCAGGACATCCGCACCATATCCAACCTAATGATCTCTAAACTAATTACGCTCGCACCGGATGAGACTCGCGCCCGCCTCGACGACCTCAGTGCACCATTGCGCAAGGTCCTCTCAACTAAACCGAAGGAAAACGCAGTTAAGCAGGAACTTGAGAAGGCGCAGGGTGCGTCGCTGGGGGTATTGAAGATTACGCGGGAGTTGCAGAAGGCGTTCCCGACCGCGGAGACATCTGGGGATCACCGTGCATGGAAGTCGTATGTGGAGTGGGTAGGGAAGGAGTTTGCGCTATTGATTAGGTCTTTGGCGAATGATGGGTAGGATAGGTTGAATTTGCCTGGCTAGGTTTTGTTTGCGATGCGTCCATTGTCTCTTTGCGAGACTTTCTTTTTTTGCCTCATGAGATTGGGGGAGGTAGAGGGGGGTGAATGACCACCTGCTGGAACAAGACGAAAAATATTGGGCTTGATGAAGGCTACCAAGGTCTTTCCGTCACCCGATCCCATTATTCGTTTTCTCGCCTCTTCTAGCCGTTGAGAGATACAATTATACGTGAACTGAACAGGAAATGAGGGTATGCACGTAATGAACTATTGCTGTCGCGGTTTTTGGTTTCTGCTTTCCACTCCGTGTTTTTAACTAGAAAAATCAAACTTCTCCACCCCACCCTGAACACTCTGAACACTCTCTCTCTGGCGGTTAATTTCAGCACTTATCACTCATACTTGAAGCACGCCTCCATTGAAGATTCAGAATTGGGGTATCATCCCTTAGCAGCCAGTGACCGTGTCGCCAAAGAATCTCAGCAGGACGACTGGTATTCATAGGGATATGTTTCCAAAAGAAAGGAAACGCGAACGGTCAAGTCATGGAATTAGGGAACTAACCGCTTACCATTGGATAGTTTAAAACACTTCGTACAGTAAAAATACGGATCAGAAGAGATAGCCTCTGTATAGGGTATTGGTTTGAAATACCCGTCCAACTTACAAGTTCAACAGGATATTGAGGGAACAATCTTTTCCATCGTCTCCAGCCCAAAGTCGCCATTTGAACACCATGTAGTTAGTTAACATGCCTTGGTATATTCCTAATACTTAGGGTGCCAACCCGCGAACCCCCAATTAAGCAAAACCCAGATAACCTACCATTGTGTATCAACACATTTATTAGCCAGGTTGAGGTCTGCATGGATGGTATCGTTGTCAATCTGGACAAACTGACATGTTTCAATTTGGTATGTTTTGCCGCAAAATCGAGCGCACGTACTCCATGTTGGAGGCGAGAAGACACAACCCTTTTGACGTACACATTTGAAAGGCAATCACTGGACATTGTGGGCGCTAAAGGGCGCCGCAGCCATAAGAGATATTCGCCAATTGGTATGAGAAGACGTTAAAAGAAGTGACAGACTTGTGGTGGTAGACGGTACAGTTGGAGTATCATTATGGGTTACTCTGATGCCTCCTGGAAATCATGTAGCAAAAACGACGATGATAAGAGGAATGATGGTTTGTTTGTAGTGAGCACAGAACGCATGCATGGACTTCATTCAGAACCAAATGAAAAATGCAGCAAATCCTTAAAGTGCAAGCGGGGCGCTTCCCCTGGCTGGCAGGTAGGTTGATGATTGAAAACTTGTTTATTTTGTCAAAGGGGTTCCCAGGTTGCTCCAGTTATATATATTTCCTGGGGTCAGATTGTCTACTAGTCGGTAGAGAAGAGCCGTAGATATAGTCTCACGGTGGACGAGATATTGAGATTCAGTGTGTGTGTGTGTGTCTAGGGCTGTGGAAGGTGACAAGAAGTATGTCTTACGGTAAACCATTTTCAACGGGAGGCCCCCCTTGGCTTTGTGATGCGATGACAGTTCGCCCGTGTGCCGGGAGTATGGGCAGGGCAATCATAGGCACGAATGAAGCTTTGAATAAAGCGTGAAAGAACCGCGTTAGTTCTGCCTTAGTTCTTCTGCCTTAGTTCTGACTTCAATCACCAAAACACCCTCAAAGCACACGCGCGCATTATCGAATCATCGCCGGACGGGGATCGCATGACCCCCCTGTCATTGTTCTGTTTCCTCTGTACGGAGTAGGGAGTAGGGAGAGCATCTCTCCCCCTAGCTCCCGCCATCGTGGTTCACCCAGGTTTGCCACCCTTGTTTAAATAATCCGGTCTCTAAGGTCTCTTGATTTCCTTTGAAAGGCCGGGCGGGGAGCGGTTTACCAAGACATTGTGATAAACACCACAGCTCCCCCTCGTCAGTTGCTGGAGAAGCCATGTCTCGGAGATTCTTCTGTTTATATCGGGAATATGCACAATATTTCGCCATCCGTGCGGGCCCCATGGTTCTTTGATGGTGATGAATCGAATGTTCGTCGCTTGGCAGGCGGTTAACAAGAATTATTCTTTGAGAGATGAGATGCCGATTTAAGGCGCTCCTGTATTTAGGCCTTTGGGCGCATAAGAGCCAGCAGCAAAGGACTCACCACTTGAATAGATAGGATAGGCGATCATTCGAGCCTGTGGATTCAGGCTCTGGTGATGGGGTTTTTATATATTTTACCACTGCTTGCCATATGCCATGCCTAGATATTAGCTTACGAAGGTATCTGTTCAAAACTCTTCGCACAACACCCCTCCCCTCCAATATATGAGGCACAGGAACTTCGTCGCATCCTTGCTTGGGGCGTACCAAACTGCGAGGGGCCAGGAGAGCCAACCACAGCGGCTAAACTTATAACTAACTGGCTGAGGCGTCACCGTTTTTGCTGTGACTGTTGTGGCCGCAAGTGGCCACCCCACAGCCAGCACCAACAGATGGCTTGCAGGCGGCGATTCGTCAAATAATAATGGCTCGCTCACGAATCTCCAAGCCGGGGGTTGCTTGCTCCTCTGCAGAGGGGAGGGGGGTGGGTGGCTCGGGAGAAGCCGTCCATTCCCCGGACAGAGCCATGTCTACAAGACTCGTCTTGTGCAGAGTGCCCCAGGCCAATAAACCAACCATTGGTGCAAGTTTCTTGACAAGGAGAATGGAGCGGAGAAAGACAGATAATTATTAATGGTAAATTGAAGCCGGACTCCCGATTCTTTTCAAAGCTTTCAAAAGCGCCCCCAACTTGACCACTTGAGACATCGAACCCTTTTGATACCGTGTGCATGTGTTCCCTTCATGTTTTCCCTCTCGTGCAGTGTTGTTATTATTTTTAACTCAGCCCCCATCAGACCCAAACCGATCGGACAAACACAGCGAGCCTCGTTCTGCTGTCGAGAGCTGTTGATCCCGATCCTTGTTAGGCTGTTGATCTACTCCGTAGACGTAGCGTAGGAGAGAGCGAGCTAACTAGCAACTGCCAACCCTTTTCGAGGCCGTGGCGGTTGTTCGAGCTTCTGTTGCTTGATTTTCTGTTCCAGCTCTTGATCAGCCTTTCCATCATTCGCAATTGCCACAGGGTCGCGGATATCGAGATTTTGAGTATGTATATAACCGCCATTCCACATCTGTATCACGAAGCGCTGACGATGCCCCTTGCAACCACCAGAGACTGACCTCTTCCAGGGCTATCGTAGCTGAATGCATGTATATCTCCTGGGGTACCGCCAGTGAAACAGCAAGTTCAGCGAATACCACGGAGGCCCCCCTGCTTCCAGGTGTCGCTGGTGAACATATCCTTGTTCTTTTGTGCCGTGATTGTTGTGATCGTTGTTGTTTCTTCTTGACAAACCAGCGCCGTACAGCATGAGGCCGCAAGTGCAGGTTCTTATTGCGGATAATAATAATTATGAGCCTCAGAACGCCCGCAACCGGTATTCGTACCTAAACACTCCAGCTGAGTTCCATGCGCCGACATTTCCCCCACAAGATCAGCAGCAGAGACATCCCTCGCTGCCTGTGAATGTGGCAGACCAGCCTCTACCGCCACCGCTCGATCACTACGCTCATACCCGCTCATCGTCGAATATGCCGACGATTGTGCATCACGATGTGCCCGAGAAATCCGCCTCCCTGCACGCTCACACACAAACAGCTCCGCCATTATCAGAGCACCCGGCACAGTTTGCTCCATACGCAGATAGTAATCCAGAGCATACGACAATTGCCCCTCGCGACTCGAAAGTCGCGCCGTTTCCTCAGCCCCCTCCCAGCATCGCCGTCTTACCGTCACACGACCAGTTCGCAAACAAGCCCCTTTCAGCCGCCCAGGAACAAGAACGACGGGAAAAGGACATGGCTATCCTGCCCGACACCAATCCACTGGAATCACATACTTCTTTCACCAAACCCGGACCTAAATCTATCAAGCCTTCTTACCCCATGACCCCAATTACAATACCGGACACCTACGATTTGAGCCATTTCCCTGGCCAAGTGCCGCATCCAACTCAACGATTGAAAGGCGATACATGGAACTATGGGCTTTGCGACTGCTCGGATATAGGCACCTGCTGCTTGGGACTCTTTTGTCCATGTATTCTGTATGGCCGAACACAGTACCGACTGAACAGAAAGTCAGACCGAAAGGATCCTACGAATTTACTTGGCTATGAAACATGCAATGCGTCTTGTACTGCGATGGCTCTGCTCTGTGGATGCCAATGTATGTATCTGCTCCACTCTGCGCTTCTCTCACAGTTCCTTTTTATGACCTCTCATACCATACCCTCAAATTCCCCGTTATACCCCAGCCATCCCATAGAACTAACCAGAGAAAAACATCAAACAGGGTTGTTAGCATCAGTTCAACACTCCCGCATACGCCGTGCGTACGGAATCCCTGGCAGCATTCCATCAGACTGCGTTCGAGCGACATGCTGTACATGCTGCACACTCATCCAAGACGAGAGAGAAATCAAGACGAGAGAAGAAGGCGTCCGAGAGAGCGTGTCAACACCATACCTTCCGCCTAGCCATATGACCTTCAGTCCGCCGCCGCGGTGATTGACTTCTCCATCTTTAGCGCTTCGAAATCTAAGATCGCGTACCATACCGATAGTCCTTGATATCACGATTGTTCCTCTCCTATTCCCCCATCCAAGGCCCGATCGATACCAGCCTATCATAGAAACCAAAAATTTTATATAACGGCCGACTTTTTGCTACAGTTTATCCCCGTCACCTCGTGTCTCTTTACGCTGGCCCATTTATCCGACACATCTTCTCAATTTTCCTAGATCTTTCCGGCACTTAAATTAATTACTAACTACCATACCCACCCCAGATGATTGAAACGAACACAAGTTTGAATTTATTGATCTCCATCAGATACCCCCTTATTCCAGTTTGGAACTACTTTTCAACAGATTATTCTTCCCCCTTTTATTGGCTTTTTTCCTTTTAAACAATTTTTGGTTCATGTATAATGTTTTATTTAGCTTCCACCCGTACCCCTGGTCGAGTAATAACCACGGATCCACGCTGAAGGCTATTCTATTCTTTTTCGCTTTTCCTCATATTCCTTACTTTAGACGAGAGTATATTTTCACCCTTTTATGGTCATCGGTCGCCAAGTCCCTTTTTCCTTACAATATTGTTTATCCGGGGGACCCAGATTTTGCACCATTGCATATTTCAAAGGCTATTCTCATTCCTAACTCCTAATGGAACCAGTTCTTTACTTACTTTGGCATTAACACATGCACTCTTTATCTAATGACTGTATGTTCCTTTCCTTTTTTCTTTTATCTCTTTCTCTCCTCCTCGTTATCAAAGTTACCATCATCTTGGTCTCTGTACCACTTCTTGGCTACGTGGAAATATGTATAATAGATTTGTCTATTAGGACACTTTGGCAATCATCGTCACCCTTTTTCAGTTGCAGCGCCAACTCAGCTTTGAAGCGCACTAGGCCAATTTAGTTCTCAGCATTGGTCCATTTATCAAATAATAATGGCCAGGCCTGTAGCTATCCGCGCCTGGAGAGCAAAATGGCCTTAAGAAATGCCAAGATCCTGGACACTATGTCTTGGCATTATAAGCTTTGTAAACCTTAAATTATCGAAGGATCCACTGGCGGGCGACTTTTGCGACATTCTATTGGCTGTACTGGGTTTCTATTGATGGCACTAACCTAAACTGGCGATTACTCGGTGATCCCGTGTACCCAAGGCTGACTAAACACCCATGAGCCGCAGGATCCACAGATGCCTATTCGGGACTAGAACATCGACCTGGGGACATCTCCGTCTAACCCCCCCCCCTGCTGCCCACCAGGTAAACCCATATCTGCTGCGAACTACAGAGACTCCTCCTAACTTTCTCCCGTTCTTTGCTCTCGCGCCTTTTTCTTTTTCTCTGATGAATGTTTATTCCTTATCTTACACATGTGAACCAACAGATTATTTCGTTTCGGCTGGCCGCAATAGTTTCACTACCGCTACGCTACCTAAAACGCTCATTTCTAGTGGCTACCAGCGTATCGCCTTATCTTGCTTTGCCCCTACAGGCGGTTGGAATACCAAGTCGCACCTGTGTTCCCCAGATATACACAGACGCGCGAGAACAAGCCTGGTCGTGGCTGTTGGTCCTAATCCAAAACCTCCTCATCCTCCCATCCAGCCCCAACGGCATTGGAATCAGCGCTGCGCGAACGATCCCTTTCCACCATCACTGGCATAAAAGACTTTTGGCGGAGACGGGAAATTGGTATATAACAGAGCGCTGGGTGGGATTGGAAGGGCTATAAACCGCGGGATACCGATAAACCCCTCGCTTTCACCAACCATCGCCTGATCTGCTCTTTGCACCAAAAGCCATCCCGGATGTGTGGATGGCACTCGAGAACAACGCCGCGGACTGCGGGCACTGGACGTTATGAGTTTTGTAGGGTGGTTGCTGGCTCGCAATGAGTCAGACCGCTCTGACCCGGTTTGCCCGTCTACCAAATTGGGCAAAGGAGGTAGGTGAAAGAGAGCAGACCAACCTTCCTTATTTACCAGCTCAGATGATGATATTTTCACGTATTGGTTCTCATGGTCTTGCTTGTATTTATAGGAACCATCATCATTAACGATACACTCACTATTACCTTAACGGAAAATGCCATCTTCAAACAGTCATGCACGGATGTGCCGATCATCACCCTCGACAATCCAACCTCAATTGCTGACATGGATGAACCATTCTACGCCTCCACCTCTCCGCAGATGTATGTCATTGCTACAGCCACAGTTATCAGTTACCTTCTCGTCATCATCCTGTTCATAACCCCTCGCACGTTCTTCATCGGTGGTCGAGGTGGTGGGAGCTTCCTGGGCCGGCGTAGACGGTTAAGTGGCTCGTATGGAAGCTCGTCCGTAATCGGGGTTGGTGGTCGGCCGTGGTTACAGAAAGTGGCTGCCATTACCACTGCAATATCCCTTACCATTGCGACGGCGGACTCCTTCCGTGTTGCCAAAGAGCAATATGATCGAGGATACATGGACTCGAGCGCACTGACGGAAGAAGTTGTTGGCGGTGTTGAGATTCGCGTCGTCCGCGTTATTTCGAGCACTTTTCTTTGGCTTGCGCAGGTCCAGACTTTGATTCGCTTGTTTCCACGCCATAAGGAAAAGGTAATCATCAAATGGACAGGTTTTGCGTTGATAGTGCTGGATGTAATATTCAGTATTCTCAACAGCTTTCTCGGCCGTCCATCCGCTGCGATCCGACCTAGTCATATTGTTGAGGCCATACCAGCTCTCAATTACCTCTTCGATCTATCTTTAAGTTTATTGTACGCTGCCTGGGTTATTTTTTACGGCCTCTCTAAACATCGCTTTGCTTTCTTCCATCCCAAAATGCGCAACATTTGCCTGGTGGCTCTGTTATCTCTCGTTTCAGTTGTTATCCCTATTGTTTTCTTTGTATTAGATCTTTCGAAACCTAACGTTGCCGGCTGGGGTGAGTATATTCGCTGGGTTGGGGCAGCAGCGGCGAGTGTGGTTGTTTGGGAGTGGGTCGAACGCATTGAGGCACTTGAAAGAGACGAGAGGAAAGATGGGATTCTAGGGCGAGAGATTTTTGACGGCGACGAAATGCTGGAGGTTACTCCATCCCAGGAGGTCGATTGGCCCGGTTCGCATAACGATAAATATGATGATGGAGGAAGTGCAAGTTCTGGTTCAAGATGGGGAGGCGTTATGGGTCTAACCCATCGACCGCTGAAGACTCGAGTAACGTTCCAGAGCCGCTTACCTAAAGCCCGGAGAAGGACCAGGAAGTCAAAGGTCACGGCAGCTACAGCACCAAATGGCGTATCTGCTAATAGGAGTGACGATGTCCATCCCACGCCTCCCCCAAATACGGCAACCCCTGTCAGTCGAACGGATACTGTCAGTGCTGCAAGCACAGTTTACCGAGTCCGGTACCACTCCGTTGGAAGCCTTACTTCAGCAGGAATGGATTGTTCGCCAGATGAAGATCGTTCAAAGGCGTTTTCGGCCCCTGCTAACCCACCAGCTCCTATCAATAGAGATCTCCATAACTATTCCCCGACAATACCGGTAGTGAACTCAGGATTCAGGTGGATAGTGCTAAATAACCCATTTAAGGAAAGACGCGCTTCTCCACCGACGCAAGTAGCAACAGCTCAGGCAAAAGTGACGGACACTTTGCAATCGGGCTCGCGTACGGCTAGCTCCGCAAACGATAGTAGTGCGAATGATAAAACGTGGAATCTGAAATCTAGGTTTGACACGATCCTAGCCTACCGGCCCTGGGACAAAGGTAAATTGTCGAGCGAGAAGGACCCTGAAGCACCCCTGCCCGTCACCGTCATTCCTGCACCACCAAGGGGGTCCCAGGACCAGTCACCTAGCAGGTCCGATGGAGAACAAGAGACATCAGCCGATGATGACCAGCACGATATGCGAAACAACTCTAATCTCCCAGTCATGGTAATTCCAGCACCATCGAGATTATCAAGGACATGGTCACGACCTACTATAGAGTCATCAACGCAGGCTAGAGACTTGGTCAATGGGCGAAGCATCGAGCCGTTGGACAGGTCATCAACTGGAGATGGCCCGTCAAGTCGACCCGGACCAATGACAGAAACACCCCAAGTTGGACCTTCGAACGAGCATCGTAGATCCACTACTACATTGGCATTAGACGCGACGTCCCCATTGTCTGTTCCGACGGATGCCACTTTGCTAAACTTACTATCTTCAGCACAAGGACTTCGGTCGCATTCCTCCCCTCATTCGCACGACTGGGCTGGCGGGCTCGGACGACGGGTCTTTTCGACGCCCGAAGTGTCCATGGTGACAGAAGAGGAAGATGCAATTATTCAGACGGTACGGGAGCAGTGGTCGTCTTCGTCGTCCCCAGATGGTGGCGGTGATGTTGCTTCTTCTGAGTCCACCTCTTCCTCTCAACATGCTCCCTCTCTTGCGTTACCACCACAGGATGGTGAGGAACTTCATACGCCTGCTGCGACAGAGCCAATGGCTCCATCGTCATCTTCTGTCCGCCCCGTGACTCGTCGAAATATTTCCTTTTCAGGCCCTAGTCACGACCGAGATGGGCATTGTAACCCCAGCGATCCGGATCTTGGAACCCAGAGCTGACATTGACACTATGTGCTACACATAGGTTCTTGGGAAGCAGAGAATTAAAAACAAACCAAACAAAAAAAGAAAAAATATATATATTAAAATTCGGGCCAATATATAATATGGCCCGCCCTCGTTCGTACCTAGCCGTGTGAAATTTCGCTCTTCGGCCGGAGTTTACTTCTGAGGTTAGCGAGCGCCTTTCTGTTGTTGTCTTATGACGCTTTATCTGCTTTTGCACTTTAGCGCGGAGTTTTCGTTTTGGATGTGAACTTCTTGGTGGGCAAATCTTTACAACAATTGGGGTATATACATGTGCGGTGTACGGCATTTTTGGGGGGTGTCTTGGGCTTCTCTTTTAGGGATTGGGTTAAGGGCTGGCCTCTGCTGGATACTTTTGGATGGATAATTTATCATTAGATCTTGGGTCATTAGGTTATTTTTTGCTATATATATATGCACATATATTTATTTTCTCCATGATATTTATTTAGCACCACTCAATAGGCATAGGGTTTTATTTGTATTTGTATTTGTATTTTGTATTTTTTATTTTTATTTTTGTTTTTGTTTATTTACTTTCATTTTTCAATTTTAATTTCAATTTTTGGAATAGACTGAAAAGGCATTAACTTCCTGCGAAGTGTTTAAGACAGGCGCACGAAGAACGAGACCCTCATGCGATGGTATGAAATATAATTCTGATCGTGCTACCTACTGGATGAACGCCGCGCGATCCCAGCCGGGGTGTGAGACCGGGTCCGGTTGGCCTCCATTACATCATCCATTGCAGCCTGCCTTTTTGACCGCAAAATATCGGCCAACCAAATCTCTCCGAAACCAAGGCAAACATCGAACGACCACAGCATCAACCACCATTTCCCATCACCTCCTCCAGCTGTGAGTGAGAAGGCGGGATTTGGTGCACGCGTCCATCTCGACCCACTGACTGCGAACGATCTCCATGAGCTCCGTCGCTAGAAGATGTCGAACGTCCATGCAAACATGTTTGCAGCTGCTGGGGGGGACCTCGCCCTTGCCCGTCAGCGAGCTGGGCTTTTGACACTGCCTTTGAATATTATTGCCATGCTCCTGGCGAATGTAAGTACCTATATGCTGTTGTTCTTTGGTTGCGAATTTCCCTTCCCACCTTCTTTTAGCCATCGAGGCCTATTCTTTGCTAAATCTGAAAAATATCTTTAATCTCACCCCCAGCTAGACGATGTTGCAGACCTCGCACGCCTCTGTTGTACATGTCGAGTTTTGAACTACATGGCGCTCCCACAACTTTACAAAGACCTCACGCTCACTTCGTACGATAAAATCCGGTACCGCGACGAATATGTGGAGGGATGCGGCAGTGCTAGCCCATTTTCCATGGCCCTCAATGCGGCTATGAGTCGAAATGTGGGTGGGCTAGTCCGGTCTCTGACCCTGCGGGGTGAGTGGAGGGAGAATGAGTTGGAGGAGCATGCGAGAGTAGGGAGAGTGCCGGATTCTTCGATGATGCTCAGTATCGTGGTGAGGGCGGCGGTGGATAAGATGCCTGGGTTAGAATCAGTCAGGTATGCTGTCCTATCCGGCGTCGAACGCCAAAAGGAGGAACAGGGAATGTCGATAGGCTGATTGGGAAAAATAGCTGGGAGCTAAATACGAAAATGTTGGAGACGGTTTATCAGGGTCTTGCTCAGCTTCCTAAGCTGAAGTCTTTAACAGTACGGTTTCCATCGAGCCGGCATCCTCGGCCAACTGCTATTCTTCCTGCGATGCCTCATCTACGTTCTCTGAAGGTTACGGATATTGATCCCCTTTGTTACCCCGACGACATATCTACTTTGCTACATCAAAGCAAAAAGCTGCGGGAGCTGAGGCTACACTGGTCTCCCCGGATGCGGGAGGCGCAGGAGGCGAGCGTCCAGCTTTCTGACTATTTTCGCAAGTGCATTGTTGCTAAATCGCCACTGAAGCTCAGAAAGATTGCATTCCATAACCTATACGCGCTCCATAGGGAGGAAATCATGTCTGGCGTTGATTATTCCATGCTCGAAGAAATTACTGTGCTGACAACACCTACCAGCGGGGCTGATACAATGTCCTTCGTGGAATATAGCTGGCCGACGCCGAATTTCGCGCTGAATATAAAGTCCATGCGACTTGACCGTATGGACAAAAGAGTTTGCGAATACCTCAGCTACCTCAAAGCCTTGGAAAGGTTATATCTGGTGAATGGTATCCGGAGCCCAGGGGATTACATTAACAGCCCACGAAACTCCTCGCAGTCTTCCTCGATTCTGACGCCGGATTCTTCGTCTGTCGGGCGGAGGAGATCAGGTTCAGCTAATAGCGGAACCCCCAGCGCTATGGTACATATCATCAACTTCAGACCGGACTCAGCACAGACTAGATCTAATTTTCCACCCCACCTTCGCGACCCATTTATTCAAGAAATAACAACTAGCCTTGGGTCCTCGCTTAGACACCTCCTCCTCCCTTCCAGATGGATTCTAACTCCTCCCCAAATTGCACGCCTTGTACGCGCAAGTCCGCAGTTAGAACAGCTTGCTCTAGCAACTGAGATGTCCAGCATGGAAACGCTCAGCTTACTCCTCCCATTTTTACGAAAACTTGTTGCACTTAGACTGCTTATCCCGACTCCTTACTCCGCTTCAGACTCAAATGGCAACCATACCTCACCGTCAAATGGGGCTGTCAACGCCAATGCGCCACAAACGCCAGAAATTAATCCACGCACCATCGCTGAAGTGGTTGATATGGATGACCGCATCCATAACGAAGCAATGGGCGTGACACTCGCAGACATGGAAGTTTTCGGAACACTACAAATAATCGGCCTTGGCTGGAAAGCATGGGAGTTGGGTGAATTGTATACCATTCCTGCATCCGAGGCTACCCAAGCAATCCTCTTGATAGACGAAAATGCAATTGAATTGAAATACCATTATGCGGTAGATGCTATTTCAAATAATCAACCGCTGGGTGTGAAAATCTCTCCGCCTGATGGCGTTGTGCGACCTCAGCAGGCATCAAATATATACCATCCAACTCCTTCTCCTGTATCCCCGCTAGGAAAGCGGAAACGGCTATCAGATAGCGACGGCCACAGTAGCGATAATAACGATAAAATTCCCAAACACACTCTCAATCCGCATATCAATATCAATCCCAATCCCAATCAAAATACGCTCTCATCCCCTTCTACTCCAATCATCTCCACCTCCACCTCCACCTCCACAACAACAACAATAACCTCAAATCCACAATTCCCAACCACCCCATCCAGAGCCTCCTCCGTCTCGACAATGGCAACAACAGCCGCCACCCCGCCCACCGACTCCCACGTCCAAGCCCAGCTCCAGGGCTACTACAGCTCCAAACCTCCGCACCCTCCCCCGGTACCAGCCAATGGAGTACAGCAACCCGCACCTCCATCCCAGCCCAGCCACGCATATACATTCCCAGGCAAAGACAACGCGGTTTCAGGTATTGCCCTCGGGAACGTGGTAAATTGCATAAACAAGGGGCAAGTCGGAGAGGGAGATGTGCTCTACCGGCGTCGGCTCAAGCGGGTTGGGTGGGATGTGCTGAAACATTGGGAAATTTGGGGGCTGGATGTTCAGGAAATCTGATGGATATATATATATGTTGACGTATATATATATATATAAGTATACTGGAGGAAGGGAATTGTATGAGTTTTATCTTGTCCCGGTTTTATTATCTGATGGGATTTTGGGATTTGGGTTGCTGGTGTTTTTGAGATGGCGAACAGGTATATATATATATCCACGGTGTCAGTTTGACTTTTTCTTTTTCTTCAAAAATAATAAAATTTCTTTCTCCCTTAACAGTTGAGCCTTCAACGCGCTGTTCAGAGATAAATAGCTTGATTTATCCACAAAACAAAAGAATACAGGATACATAGCCAGTCCAAAACTTGAAAACAGGCAATTGATAATTTTATTTTAATTCAAGAAAATTACCATCATACATAGAGTCCATGTGCCATACCAGCCGGATCTTGATTCACTTTTTCGGATTGGATGAAGTGTGGCCTCTGTCATACCTGCCAGACCATCCATCCCATCCTGTTACGAGAATGAGGACGAATAGAGCTGATGTGAAACCCAATTGAAATTAAAGCTGAATGCAATAGTGGTTATTATACATATGCATATATATATATATATATATATATGTAGATATATAGATGGATAGATGGATGAAGGCGGAGATCGTCAGTATATATATGCATCTACCTGAACTAATTTGCCGATTCGCCGATCAATGAACAAGAATCAAACGACAATAGCAAGATCATTCTTCGCCAAAATGAAGGGGGAAAAAATAGAAAAATAGAAAAATAAAAAAAATAAAAAAAATAAAAAATAAAAATAAAAGGAAAGGAGAAGAAACAAAAAGCTATGCTCTGAGGAGGTAAACAATTAAGATTAGGGAGGGCTGGGGAGTAGTAGAATGTAATAAGCATAGTTAAGTACTGTTTGTTATATGTCAAGAAAGTATATAATAGATAGAGAATAATATCAATGTACAGAAATCCAATTCGGGAACCAGAATCAGAATCACTCAAAGAAAAACAAAAAAAGGGGGACAAATACACCACCAGATCCCTCACCCGTAATATCGAAACCCCAATCAACGCCTAGATATATACTCCCATAACCTTCCAAAGATACCGATAAGAAAAAAAAAAAAAAAAAAAAAAAAAGACCAAACATCTACATAAACCCACCTCCCATATCATCCTGCTCCTTCAACAACACCTCCAGCATATCAAACTCACCCACCATCGGCCCTGTCCCGCCCAGTCCCTGATCAACCCCCATCGTCGAACTGTTGAAGAACTGATCGAGCGGTAGCGCGAACCAGTCGGATTGGGCGCCGGGACCGGCACCGCTGGTGTTGTTGTTATTGGTGTTGTTAGTGCTGGAGGGCCCATTAGCGCCGCTGGCAGTGGTGGTGCCGTTGGCGAGCGAGGAGGCGGAACCGTCGTTGTTTCCAGTGTGGTTGTGGCTGTTGATGATGTCGGGGGAGATAGTGTTGTTGTTGGTGTCGTTGGTGTTGCTGGCGTTGGCCGTGGCCGTGGTGGTGGGGTCTGCGCCGTCGAGATCTATCTTCAGAGAAGCGGTGCTCGGGTCGTAGTAGTTGTAATAGACGGAGGCGGGCGGGGGCATGAAGGAGACGGTTAGATTGGAGGAGTTGAGGGGTTGGGCGGGGATGTTGGCGAGGGGGTCTGCATGGGTTGTTGAAGGGGCCGATGAGGATTGGGGGTGACTGTGACTGTGACTATGGCTGTGGCTGTGCTGGTTGGTTTGCTGGTGGTGATGGTGGCTGTTTGGATCATAATGGAAGGGCGTGTTGGTGGAGAGCTGATGCTGCTGGTGTTGTTGCTGCCAGCGCGCGGGGTTTTGGAAGTCATTTTGGTTCTGATCGAGTTGTTGAGAGGTGTGGTTGAGGTGGTCTGGCGGGTGTGGTGACTGCCGTGTTGACATTGGCGAGGACATGAGAGCCTGTGGTTGCGATTGTAGCTGCGGTGTTCGCTCACGGCTGCTGCATTCGCCTGTGCCGCGGTCTGGGGGTGCAAAGCGGAGGAATCTGTTGCGAATGTTGGACGTTAGGAGCTGAAGGAGGTCGGCGATGGTGACGCTCAGGTGGACATCGTCGACTACGCAGGTGCGCAGAGACTCGACGGTACGGTCTTGCAGGTCGAGGGAGATGCGGACTTCATCTTCTTTGGCACCTAGCGTAAAGGTCTATTATCATAAAAATGTTGTTAGCAGTGACGATTAACAAAGGGGAACACGGAAATAGCTCGATATATCGCATCGCACCTTAAGAATGAATATCATTCCCGATAAGATTCGGAAAAACGTGCGGACAGGCGCATGTTTCAGAGAGTCGCCAGGGACAAGGCCGTCAAGGACAGTTTTCAAAATGCGCCGCGAAGCGTCGACAACCTCTTGAATATACGGTTCGTTGACCTGGTATTGCTCCATGAGGACACGCCAAGAAGCCGTTGTATTCGCGGCGGAGGATGAAGCTGTCTGGCCCGTTGCTGAATTGCGCCGTGTAGATGCCGTCGCCGACAAATGTTGCGCTTCATTGCCCATTGTGGTCCATCTGTCGACGACGGCTTGAAGGGCGAGGCAGTTGACATATAAGCCTTTTGTCCGCCGAGTTAGTAGGAATGTGCATAATGGATGCAAATTGGGGGGAAATTACTCACGGGTATACTCATATTCAATAGCTAGAATATGTCGCATATGGCCAGACACTATTAAATCGCAGTTTAGCAACACAGCATATCCAAAAAGGAAATAAACGCATAAACTCACTAGAAACCCTATCAAACTTCATCCTAAACTCCTTCAACGACGGTATGAACTTATCAATCTGTTCTCTGTATCTCCCACTCTTAATCAAATTCGTCGTCTGCTCCTTACTCTGGAACAACACCTGGTTACTCGTGTACATGATCTTCGAAATATCCATCCAGCAATCCTGCATCAGGTCAATCGAGCGGTCCTCGTTGGGATCTAAGAATCGACAATCCTCCGACGACACCGGATCCATGTTAATCCCCCACTGAGGCAGCGGGAGCATGGACGGGATTCCTAACCGCCCGCTACTCTGCGACACATAGACGAGAATCAGTTTGCGCACGCGCCGTTTCCGGATACGCTCGGTTGAAGATTCTGTGTTTGCGTTGGACACTTGGTCGTTTTTCGGGTCGAAGACGCCGAGTTCGAAGGCGAGGGCTTGCGCTGTGCTGAGTAGCATCCAGGACATACGATCGGAGCGCCAGACGGGTTCGAGCCATTTGTAGAACGCGAGACGCCCCTCTGAACCACCGCCACCACCACCGCTTCCACCGCCGCTAGTACTCTGCGCCTTGTTCATGATTATAGGATCGTAGTCATGATCGTTATTCCCCTTGTTGTCAAGGGACTGCGTCTGAATCTGCGTCAGGAGCTGTGGGTCAATATCCAACAGAGTATTCTCATCATCGCCAGGTGGGAAATGCAAGGCGCGCGGGTGCCAGTCCGTCAGGAGAAGGAGAGCTTCGATAGTACCGAGCGATCGCAGATGACCGTTGCTCGCATTTGATTGGCCAGGCGCGAAGGAGAATTTGGGCATTTGGGAAGGTAGAGTGCCGCCGTCGAATTTCTCCTGGCCCCAGAATAGGCGCTCGATCATGCCGCGTAGATAGGACCATAGTTTTTCGTGAATGGAGTAGGCGCGGGAATTCGCTCCGTTGCCTGTTAAAGGCATGTGGCGGGAAGCGATGGTGAGCATTGTGACGGTCAGGACGGGCTCTTCGGTTAGGAGGGTTAGATGCATTGATGGAGAGCTGTAGTTTGGTATAACGATGGGACTCAACGGCGCGAGGTGCTCGTAATAGCTGTAAGAAAAAGGGGGTAGTAAATGTTAGTAGGCAACAGATATAACACGGGATGAAAATGACTGTCTGCACTTACTATGCAATATACCCCATGGCCTCATCAACACTGAACCAACCAGCCCTGATGAAGCGAAACCTCGACCACACCCTCACCGCATTCACATAATCCACATCCTCCACAAATCCACCTTTCAACGAAGGAGGAGCGTTCATCAACCCAGCCCCTGACCCACCCGTATCGCTAGCCCCAACAACCCCGTCCCCAGCACGATGTTCGACAACGCCAGCTGCAGTCGAGCCCGCTGTCCGCGGTTGGTAGCGATGGATAGACTGCTGGCCGTTGGACATGGATCTTCCCGATTTCTCGGAGATGCTGCCCCTCGCAATGGGGTCGTTTGGCGACGCAAAGGTCGACGAGGATGCGGCATAGCGATAGTCCATCTGCTGCTGGCGATTTAAATCCTCCGTCCTCCCCGCAGCTTCAGATAGGAGATGGAGTGCATCGTGAGTGTTGCTGATGGCTGGGGAGAGCAGTTCAGCCGCGGTGCGGTTCATGACTTGCTGACCGCTGGCGCCGGTGAGGTTTTCCGCGTAACCACCTGATCCTGGGCCTGCACCGGGGCCGCCCACGCTTCGCGCCGGTAACCGATGGCTGGTGCCTACGCTGGCGCTAACGTTGTTACTATTACTGTGATACTGGCTAGACGGGATAGGGTTTGCCGGCGGGATGGGAAAGCGATTGATGGGCGGGTGTCCAGGCTCAGTCCATCGACGGTGGGAGGCGGCGGACATGCTGATATCGGTATCTATCGCGGAGGGAGGAGCGGGGGGAAAGGGCGAGACGTCGTTGCTATTCGTGTCATCATCATTATCATTATCATTTACGTTATTATTGGTGCCGCTATTGAGGCTCTCCGCGGAATCGAGGCGAGAGGCATCTGCAGACATCATGCGCTTGTCTCTGCGCAGAGTGGTATCTTCCTCGGCATCGCCATTGGCAGCTTCTGGTACCTTGCGCTTGCGACGGGTAGCAGAGAACTCGCAGCGTTTGCTTTCGCGGCGGCAGCGGACGCAGGGGGGAGGGCGGGGGTTGTCGACGCCTGTATCCGTCAGTTAAATGTTTCATAACTATTTCATCAAACTAGTAATCAATCGACGATTGTAACGGGCAAATAGTATATATATAAAATGGAATAATATATAATATATATATATATATATATATATAGAAGACTACATACTTCCTAAATCACAGCGCACCTTTCTCTTGCGGCACGGATCGCAAGCCTGATAGCCGCGGCGGTGCTGGGGAGCGGGTGAGGGCGATCTGCGGGGAGAGAATCCGGGGTTGGTACCGGTGTTGGCGCCCTTGCCGGCGGCTGTATTATTGGGGTTTGCAGCAGCAGCATCGTGGGGTTGCACAGGCTGGACGGGCTGGTGGCGATGGGAGTGGTGAAGAGTCTGCGAGGCGGCGGATGGAGCAACCCTCGTGGCCATCCTAGGCACAAACGGAAGGCGAACAATGTGGGGAGACGGGGAAACGGGGAGACGGGGAGACAGTGGCGGCTAGGAGGGATGAGCCACAGGATACACAACTCAAGACACAAGACAAGACACCACCGCAAGGGCGCGGGTGGAGATAGGATGTGTTCCTGTGCCTGAGTCAGTCTGGGGCTGTGGCCAGTGGTTATCGCCTATCCCGTTGGTTGGATGGATGTTTGTGTGGATTCGGCCGATGCAAAGCGGCCACGGATGGGAATGGGGAATGAGACGGGACAATGGAACCGACCAAAGAAAAAAGTGGTGGATACAACAAAGAGATATAAAGACAGACAGAATAGAAGAGCAAAGAAGGGGGAAGAGCAGAGCAGAGCGGAGAGTTGAGTTGAGCTGGGCAGAGAGTAGTGAGTGGAGTGGTGTAAGAGAGGAGAGGATGAGAGAGAGAGAGAGTAGAGACTCTTGAGAGGATGAGAGGATGAGTGAGGCTCAAGTCAAACCTGCAGATTCGAAACACATAAAAAGAGGACAACAACAACCCAACGGGCCAACAACGACGACGACGACGACGACGACGACGACGACTGGAGCAGAATCATTGCTAATAATTGCTGGCTTAATTGCGGCAACAAAAAAGACGGGGTCAGCATAACCGGCGGTCCACCCTCTGCTTTTTCTCGGGCCAAATCAATCACCAAGACCCTTTAGCTGATGCTAGCTACCCCGCCGAGTTATTAACTATTATTATTATTCTTATTAAGCCCGGAAGCGGGTTGGGTTCATGTTCGGGGGACTCGTTTAGCGGGTTTCGTTTATTTCCCCCCTGAAAATTAATAGCGAAACACTGGCCGAATAGTTAGCCAGAATATCCACATTAATTAATTCTCTAATCATTCAAATATCATTCAAATGCAAACCCATAACTATACATCAACTCTTCTTTTTGATATGTCTTGCAATGCCAACTGTTCTACTGGCCCCGGTGACGTAAGGGTTAAACTGCTCCAACCACGGGCCCCCTATTATTATTATTATTATTATTATTATTATTATTATTTATTGAACAGGCTTCCCCTCAGACAATTGACGGCCAAGAAGGGGCAGGCTTGAACCCTGCAAGAAGAACCCGTTAACGCTGCGTATTACTCACAGTTTTCAATAAAAAATAGTATTAGAGATCTCTGAATACAACTACGTAGTATATAATAAATCATAAGATATTCATTCACTCAGAGAGATTTTGAGCACTAATAATTTTCACTGAATTTAGAGCTAAAAGTCACTCAACTTCAGTGGCTCATTATCTTGAGTACGTACTGAGCAGAAAGGATATTTTAAATGAATTGTAATAAAGAAGATGAAGTAAGCAACTAAAGATTATATAAATATCTTGGATTTTGTCGTGCAAGTATAATCCAAAAAAAAAAAAAAAATAATAATAAAAAATAAAATAATAAAATAAAAAAAGGCAACTAAAGATGGGGGAGAGATAAAGTCCATCTTATCTTATCATATTTAAGCTATCAACGCCAACAACCATCTACTGTCTAGAGGTTGTATAAAGACCCTCCACCACGACCTCGTTTATTACATTCTGTTGTTGTACTGTACATGTACATGTATCAACTTCCCATCATTTAGGCCTTTCTCTCTTCAATTTCTGCACTCATCAACCACCATGCGTCACAACTTCCCCAACAACTAACTGGATTGGTAGCCTCTGGGACGGCTATGAGTTGCACTGTGGTGAGAAAACCATATGGCGAATCGGCGAGAAAATGTCCGAACACTCTATCCTGATACCTGGTTCATCCTAAAACTGGTCCAGGTGGGCTGGAAGCCCAGGCTGTCTATCACTGTGAGCAGATTGTCCAGGGCAGACCCAGTAACAAGAAGGTCATTATCAAGGTCCGAATGCAGTATGTTCATGCAGCAAATCAAAACTTAAAAGAATAGCAAATCAGGTCTAGAAAGGGACATGGACATGTACATTACATGTACTTACTGGTAACAAACAGGGTACCCCCCGAATATCCCGCCAGCAACGACTCCAGCATCCGCGCAAGCCTCGCACAGCAGCAGCCCTCAGGCTGGATGCTCCAGGAGCTCCAGTCACTGAGATATTTTAACAAGAATGAATGCACTGTGGTTCCGAAGCTTCTGGATGTCGTGAGGTCATGGCAAGGCGAATCAGATATGCCCGTCCCGCAAGGCTATCTGGTGTTTATTGTGATGGAGAAAGTCCCAGCTGTATGTATCACTTGTCAAATTTTGGGAGTACAATCTTGTCCAGCGCAACAAGATCAGGGCCTCAGGGCCTCATTTCGTCGGAGCCTGACGTAAGGAGTAATACTAAGTTACCATTTATTGTTTGATCACCGATTAGCATGACTACTGACGAAAGTGGATGCATTTGCATTGGATAGGGCGCCGCTGCTCGAATTAGGTGCACGACCGAGTGATTGCCAGCTTGATAATCTCGTCTATGACGAGAGAACTGATACGTTACGTGGTACGCTGCCTGATATAAAATATCTCATCCTCCTCATATAGCAACCGTGCTGACATCGGTTCCCTTCACAGCTACTTTGTTGATTTCGAGGATATCAAGGTGGAGAAGACGAAACCGGCAGTGCAGTTTTCATCCGATCATTTCTTCATCTGGGGTTTGGCCAGAGATGAGAACTGTCAGGATGTTTATTAGCGGCCTGGTGCTGATCCTGGCCAAGATTTTCCCCCAGATGGTGTGCTAAGACTTTCGTAAGGTCGAGTGGAATTGCAAAATAAAACTCGTTATCCATACGTAGTGCGAATGATGTAAGAGGTCTTTTCTATTTTACAAGAGAGAGAAGGGGGGGGGAGGAGATGAAGTTGGTTGAGATTGCGAACTTCCTTGCGTATGGAATTAGAGCTATGGTATTTCCGCATATTCTAGAAGACAATATGGATGTTCTCCTCACACGCCTTCTCCTGTGTAATAGTCTCTTCGTATAACGGCGATTTGTTGAGCTCGAGGGTGTAATGCTCAATGGTGAGAAAGTAACTATCATCACATTTGCCATCACAGTTAGTTCTATCTAAGCTGAAATTTCCGCTCGAGCCTTTTCAACAATGCATTGCGCTTCTCCAATAACTCATAGATAAGTCCACACCTTTAACCACTCTTTTAACTTAATCAAACTCATCCAAGCAATCGCAGACTTGAGCATAGCTGCCACAACTAAGAGTGCAGGGCCTCGATCATTTCTCGTTCCAATTCTCTACCTTCTCTCCATGAAGGGATCCAGCAAGACACAGATAGAGAAGCACTTTACAAGCATTCAGACGCTTCCTTTCAGTGAGTGCGCCACACCGTAAAGGAGTTCACACCGCAACGGAATTTTTGAAAATAAGTATCTTTTATATGAGAATCATTTTTATGAAAAACATGAATATTTTCAACATCATAATAGATATGAGTTTTATATTATAATAGAAGTGTATATATCATATTCTGAGTGTATTACAACGTCTTTTTCTCAATAAAAATGTATTATCTATTTTTCTAGAATGAAATTTGCTCAATTCAATAATATTTTCAATTGCTTCTTTACAAATTCACTCAAAATTCTTTTTTAAAAAAGCTCACTGCTAGATTCATTAGAAATATCTCAATTCTATGAGTATTTTAATCGCAGTTTCAATCTCATAGACTCTCTAACTGCTGAGTTATTTAATCAAAATATGGTTGAAAGCTCATCGTAAGAAGAATTTTTATTCGCTTTCGTGCTGTAGTTATCTGCTGCCTCACAGACACTTATTTAAATACACTAAAAAAATATGTTGAGCAGCTCTTAGGTGGTTGTATTCTTGAAACCACACAAGAGTCTTCACACAGGCGACAGGTCCGTCTCACATAACGTCTAAAACAATATACAACGGACAGAAATTTAAAACATGGCAGGTCTTCATCACTTTTGTTTCCTTACCCATGACACGATCCATCTTTCCATCTTTCCGTCATGCCGTCATAGCTGAAGGTCCCCGCGCCCTCGATATGTCCACTGGGCCGGTCGGTTTATATATATAGCATAGCGTAGGCGTCGACAAAGGTTCTGACAACGTCAAAAACTCGAACGGGTGAACCCTATAATGAAACTGAAGAGTAAAAAAAGGTGTCAAAGCCTTTCCAATCACTCAACAAAAATATAAGAGATAAAAGTAACAGGTGGAATCATAGAGGTAAAAGTCTGTGTTTGTTTTGTTCATTTGCGAGAATTTCAACGGCTAAGTGATCAGTCTGATATCAATTTAACAATTTCCGATATCATTTCCCCCGCCCAGGTTAAGGTACTTGACATGCCCCGAAAATAAATAACAGATAAAAGAAAGTGACAGGTGTATAGGTAAAGACTGTGTGTGCTCATTGCGAGAATTTCAAGCGGGTAAGTGATCAGTCTGATATCAATTTAACAGTGTCTGATATCATTTCCGCCGCCCAGGTTAAGGTGCCTGACATGGCCGAAAACATAATTCAGACCCACGCCTGAATTGAATTTACAAGCTGAGCCCGATCCGGGGCTGGCATTCTTTGCAACATTTCGTACCCCGGATTTCTCTGTTTGACCATACGCGGCGCTGTTGCAAACTCCGAAATAGTGATCGTAGCATTTCACGACATAGCACTGCCTTCCCGCCATCCTGAGTCTCGGGTTCCCAAATTTCCTATTGAACTGGCTATGAGTCCGTCTGAGCGTATCGTGGCCACCGCCGCCACGGAAATCACAGCGCCAGCCCGCAGCTGCGGCGTCAATGGATGCTTCAACAGGTGAAGCAACGGGTGTAGCGGTTGAAGTGGCTGCTAGAAGAGCAACAAGGCCGACAAGGGATAGTTTCTGAGTAACATTAGCAAAAGGATCTCAGGATCATGCATTAGTGCGCAGGTGTTGTTACCATCTTGAATGTTTTATAGCTGTGAGGTTTGAGAGGCTTGTGTGTAGGTATGTATATTCAAAACGCACGTTTGATGAGGCTGGATCGTCCGAATCTAATAATATTGAAAACACATGAGTTAATCTGACTGAGTAAAAAATCATGAATAGAAGGAATATGTACCTTAATCTCTAACTATTGCCTTGAGAGAAAGAAAGAAAAGCTCAAAAGCAAGAGGGAGTCTTCACAGCTTTATACTCCTATTCCCCTTGTATTGTCCATATCTCCAGCATCGATTACTAGAGTTAATCTCCGAAATTAAAATGAAATCCACAGCTAGTCCTCATTTTTAGACTGAGTATTCTTCTGTAAGCGACGCTCTAACCCATGACGAAACGCATATACCGCGCATAAGAATATTCTCCGGATGCATATATAGCAAGCTAGATAAACTACCTGTGCATGGTCGGTATATATGTACGTAAGATGAATAGCCATTCAGTCAAAAGTGACTCTCATTGGCCGTATGGTCTTAACGTTGAGGCATGAGATCCGGAGTTCAACCTGGCGTCACCTTGCCACAATGATATATCAGCAGATTGTAACCGATCACACCCAAGAATACCCCCGGGATTGTCTGGTATCCTATCAAAGTGGGGTGTACTCCGCCAAAGCCATGAAGGGAGAGCAAGAGACAGGGTTAGGATCAAGAATCCGGAGCTTTCTGCTCAAGTAGATGCAGGAGCTCGGGCCCCGTTCAGTTCTAGAATGCAGAAGTTGATTCAGATCATGTCGTGCTCAAATCTTACATCCGCAACTGCTCCTGGTAGCTAGAGAGATAGATACCTGTGGCAGAACATGACTCTCAAGAAAATCTAAGTTTCAATCTCGGGTATAGAAATGAATTGAAACTGAAACGCTTAGAAAAGAATGAGAGCATAGAATGAATCTCAGGGATTGTGGGAGGGAGTCTGGGGAGTTCAGCTGGCAGACCCAACATTGGCTATTCACTCGAGTTGAGGCGAGAGACTTTTTGCAGGTTGTTTCTGCCTTTCGAATTTCAGACCTCGGGAAAACCGGAGAATGAATATAGACCAGCGATTGGTCAAGTCAAGGCGGCTTAGATTGACGACGCTCAAGGTGCCATTGCCTCCAGATGAGGAGATAGCATACCGTCTGCTAGCTTGATGATGCTCTCGTCCTGCTAGTCCACGGCGATATGACCTTTTCTGTAGTTAGTATATACCAGTTAGTTGCCGTCTCAGGTCCTTATCATGGATGGGATGGGTATAACTTTGAACTCAGAGGTTGCGCCGATAAGTTAATTGACCACGACATTGATTGAACCTCTATATCCTGAGGTCTCAGCTTGTGTATGAGACATAGCTTCAGGGAGGAATTGCTCACTGGAATAAATCTACCTGATATAGGCTCTTGTTGTAGGTAGACACACTAGAATGCGGGATCCTTTGTTCAAATCTTCGAGTTGAACTCCTTGGAGGTTACAGAGTAATCTCTACAGATTCAATACGCAGTATGTTCTCCAGTCGTTCCGCCGGTGGTGCCAATCCCGCCAAGCAACTAGTTAACTAACTTACACAGTTCCTCAAACCACCAAGCACCAACAAGCACGATCACACCCCAGAAAGATATAAAGGTAATAGTGAGGAAAACGGAAGGAAACGAATTTCCGTTCCCCGTCACCTCAACCCCGTATTAAAGACATTATAGAACTTCTCAAAATTCTATAGATTCTTTAAAATGACCCGGATCAATTAGTCCAAATAGACATCAAGTATGTTATCTGAGTAGGCAGCTCGTCGTTCCTAGGATTTTGCCGTGTCAGGTTGCAGCCTTTTTAGTACGCACGCCACAGTTAAGTTACGCTGTAACTACTTACCGGAGTGTGGATAGTAGTGCTTATATATGTTCAGATGGCATGGCTTTAGAAAAGAATAGTAAACCTATGTTGTTCAAACAGAGAAGAGTACAGCGGAAGATATCTCTATTCCATTCGGTTTGATTGGGTGGAGCGCGGTGTCTAGCCTCTTATGATGAACCAATATCTCATGAAGGAGATAGTTAACCGCCTGTTACATGTACATGTACATGTACAATAATAATATCTCCTGTAACTACGACCATAGAACGACGTGAGCCGCCGATCCCCAAAGCTGTGTCGCCGGCATCGGAGATGTCGGTCTCGTGCTGGCAGAGTTCAGGGAGGCTGACATATTCCTGTTTATCATTTGGGATGGCGGAGGGTACAACTTCTCCTGTCTTTAGCAAGGTGTCTTTCCACGGCTGTAAATGACACTCACAATATCTTTATCCAGCAGTGGAGAATGGCTGTTTATCTTTGTTAAAAAGGTAGACTGTCTACCTCTACAGTGACAAGTCATCAAATTACCTACACAGCATGCACCACAGTGTCCCTTTCCCATTGGTAATTAATTCATCTGGACAAGATTATTGCACTTGCTCCATGTCTTTTTGACCCTCTTCAAGCTTGATGGCTGCATCTTGTGTCACTGGAACAACAACAGAAAATAAAGGCTCTGAGACTTGACTGTTCTCACATACTGCATCACAATGAGAAGAGCTTTCATTGTATAGCTCACGGGCGAGGGTCCAGAAAAAGCGTGGCTTTGAGCCAATGGAGCATTTCAAAATGTCCCTTCTGTCAAAGAGGTTATTTCGAGCGTGCTGTTGTGAGGTCTTGGTTCCCGAACTACTAGAGATGTTGGTCCGGGAGGACATGGGAGTCGATGCCAGAGGGGCCCGCCGGATTCTGAAGGAGAGCAACAAGATTGGGAAGTTGCTCAATCTTGAGCGAATCGAGTACGGCTGCGATCCCGGGGAAGATGCTGAAGAGTTTCGTCTGACATTTGCCCCAGCCGCTGTGCTGACCTAGATCCAGTTGTGATACGCTTCGCCGCTGGCAACGGAGCACTGCTTCGGATTTCACCCTCGATCACAACCAGACTGTGACATTGTTCCTTACTAATCATCACAATTTCCTAGAAACCTATACTGCCCCAATGGCGCAACCTGTCTCCCTTGCTTCCGGTATCATCACCCTGGCAGGGTTTGCTTTTGCCTCAAATCACTGTATCAGGCGGTCGAGAGCTTTCGCAATACCAAACGAGCGGTTAGGGAGCTGAAGGAGGAGTTTGAGTCTCTTGGTAGGGTTTTACAATCCCTTCAACAGGCGGTCGTGGCCTATGGGGAATGAACAGGGAATTCGAAGACGTGATCAACACATTCGTGACGCATCCGGCAGGTTCTAGGGCCAGCTTTCGAGATTGGGCAAAGTTGACATCCATGGGAGAAGGCATAGGCCGATTTAGATTGATGCTGGCAGGATACCAATATACCATGAATATTGCACTCGGGGATGCGACGTTGTATGCCTCTCTAAGGTGTATCTTCCCAATCAAGCTGACGATATGGCTTATAGCCGCAGAACAATATACCAACTAATTCATATCTGCGTAATGTATTAATCTATCCCCACGTCTGGCCGCGAGGCACAATCAGCGTGGTTTTTTAGCGTGTACATTAGTGTATTAAATACACGAAAACTACTAGATTATATGGGGGATCGGCCGTATTGACGTTTTTTAGTGGAATTTATGTAATCTATTTCCATCTGCTATGCCGTTGGGTGCGCCTCACTACAACACGTCCCCAGTCAACTTTGTCAAAACATTCTCTTACATCCTCCTCGCTCTAGCTCCAGCTCCAGATGCATATCCAGATGCATTGCCCATAATATTCCCCGACCCTCCAACCCCAACTCCAACGCCAGAAGCAACACTATCCTCGCTCCCTCTCCGCGACATACTTGGACTCGTAAACCCGCTCCTAATAATATGATTCCCTCCCCTCCCCAATCCCCTAGCCCCTAGCAAGAGCCCACGCACAAACCCACCCCCTTGCCTGGCAGGTAACTCACTCTTCCCTGCCGTCAAAACGTACAGCAAATACTTCAAATTCGGCAACGTATGCCGAACATCAATAACCCTCAGCCCCATCCGATTCATCAAATACTCAATATTTTTATTAAGTAAAAACACCCCGTACTCAAACCGATAATGCGCATTGACAGGGTAGAGCGGGAACGTGCGCTGCGGCAGGCCCACGGAGATCGGGTCTTGAATGAACGAGTGTGATAGATATGGTTGGACGGGGTACGGGAGTGGGACGGAGAGGTAGAAGGAGAGCAGGTAGACGAGGTGCGCCGTGTAGCCCAGGGCGGCCGCGATGCACTCCTTATCCATGTCTTCGAAGGTCGAGTTGGGCAGTGCGCGGCTGCAGATGGTGAACGCCAGTGGTTTCTCTGGGATCGGCTCGATCGGGTATATAGCCTGCAGGTCCTCGCATATCCGCCGTATCTGGCCCATGGAGTCCTCTGTTGTCTTCTGTAGCAGGTCTTCGCTGGAGGACATGCTCGACTGTGCTTCAGAGAGGTAGGATTTTGTCTTTTCTTGAGACGCGCGGCCGCGAGCCATGGCGTCACGTCGCGCTTCTAGGCTCCGTTGGATTTCCTCCTTGTGTTGTTTGCTCTGGCGTAGTTGTTTCCTTGCAGATGTTGTGGCGCGTTTTACGGAGGAGAGCTTCTCGATGGCTTGAGATTTGCGGTTTAGGGTATTGATGGCGCTGTGGCTTTTCTCGAGTACCATGTTGATTTGAGTTTCGAGTTTCTCACGCGTCGCAAGGGCATCTTGTATGCAATCGTCGAGGTTGGCAAGGCGCATGAGCGCATCGTATGATGACGTAGATTGCAGGTTGCTATCATCACTAAACCTACCAGCAGCAGTAGTAGTTACAGATGCTGGCAGCTGCTGCACAGGCGGTATATCCATCAAACTCGTATAAACACCATCCTGAAAATGGAACACAATGCAATTCATCGGTAACGGGTGATGGAAACTCTCCAAGGTTTTCCCGATATATTGCAACGAGCGCAGATTCACCTCCAGGCTTAGCAGCAGGATATACTCCGTCATATTCCCCGTCTTCGCCCATAGCTTGTACGTTACCTGATCCAGCCGCGATACCAGCGGCCCGCAGATGTTCAGATCGAAGTATTTAAAATTCGGATTCATCGCCCTCTCCACCACCTCGCTCACGTAGACCGGCTGGTCCATGCCCGCACAGTGCAGCGAGAACCAGGAATCCGCCATCCGGTTGCCGGCAATGTTCTCCAACCGATGCTGTCGAATGAATGGGGCGGCACCCGCCCAGGGTAAGGTATTTCTCCTGCGATGTATCTGAATATCTCTATTCCGCTCCTTTTCATTGTCACTCCCAGTAGGTCCGAAAGGGGAGGCAGTAGTAGCAGCAGCGCTCGTGGAGGGAAGCTGGCCACTGCGCTTAAGATCCGTGAATGAGCGCGACTGGTGGATTGATGATCGGGATTCATGTTCATGCATCGCCAGTTGTTTCGCTGGGGACCGAAGGGCGTTGGGAGCATTGTCGTCGTCTATGGTCTTGTGGCGAGATGGCGTACTGTAATTGACGACGAGATTGCGCACGGAGATACCCTGAAGATGGCGAAGCTTGCGATTCTACAAAATAAATTGTTATTATTCGTATATATAATGAAATAAACTTGAGATATTAAAAGCGGGTTAAGAAACAAAGTAGACAATGGGGTGTCCTACCGAAAACCGCGGCTTCCGACGTTGGCTATCCGCAGTGCTGAGCTGTTGTAATCGCTGGGCGAGGTCATCTGTCGATGTGAATAGAGTCATTGCTAGAAAGCATGCGATATGTGAGGCATAGTAAGTGTGGTTGTACACTCGGAGCTGTCATTCTCCTTGAAGTATTTATATATATAGTGAGGTATGGTATGGGGGCGCTCGAGATGAGAATACACTGCGAAGTTTTAAACCAAACAATGCTGTCTAGGTCATGCTATCCCACCACCACAGCGAGTAGACACTGTCTTTAGCAGTCAGCTCGTAGACCTCGATGCTGCTTTGTCTTTGTTGGTTGTTGGTGGTGGTGGTGTTGTTCTTGTTGACTTGGAAGCTGAGCTTTGTCGTTGTCTTTTGCCGACGATTGTCTGACTGTTCCCAATTGGGCAATTCTGCTGGGTCGGACCGCAAACTCCAAAAAAACTTCTTCAACAACCACAACGACATCCGCATCCACCACCACTAGACTCCTCCCCCTCCTCGCACTCAAGGAGGCCTTCGACTACATCTCACTTCCAGCAGGCGCCACAATGTCCTAGAAATTCACCAATTGACTCCGCAGAAAGATTGATAAAACGCACCCGCATCAATGGTCGCCGCGAGCATGGCCGCCAGAGCGGCCGTCAGAACAGCCCCCAGAACAAGAGCGGCTATTAAAGCGGCTAGGAGAGCGGAAGCAGGGGCTGAAGCGGGTGCCGGCTCTCAGGCGAAGAAGCACTTTGCGAGAAAGGTTAAACACCATTCCTCAGACCTCCAGTTACCCAAGACGGTCAGCCCTGTGGTTGTCACCACCTTGGACGCCCTTCGGTTCCCACGAACGACAAAACCCATCCAGGGCAAGGTTAGAGAAACTGGGTCCCGTGCTGCTCTACTATGGCGGAGACAGGAAAGGGACAGACTACGCAAGGCGCTGCACCGACTGACGCATGGGAAAAATATATTCGCCTACAATAATATCCGAACGAACCAGGTTGTATATTCGTTTACAAGAGAGCTTGAGGTGAGTGGATTCTTCTTCCTTCCCGGATATATAAAAAGCAAACCTCAACCAGCCCTCCCAGAATGAAATAATATCATTTCTAACGCTGCACTGCTTGCTAGGAAAACAACGTCCTCTCCCAACTCGTCTACCACGGCAAAAAGACTGTACCCGCAACCTTGCGCAAGGATATGTGGACCCCTTATTTCTCTCTGCATTTCGCCTCCAATTCCCAGGGCCTTGAGGCCTACCGTCTCCTCCGCGAGTTTTCCATGCAGCGCCAGCTCGCTCCGCCTGCAGATATGATTACCGCCTCGGAAGAATGCGAAATCCTCACCCGCCAACGCCCGCGTGATCTCACTGAAGCTAAGAAATGGGACGAGGAATGGAAGATTCGCATGGAAAAACACCACATCCTGAGCAAACGATTGCGCGCCCGTGTGCTCATGGACCAAAAGGCTACGAGTGTCGCGGATGTGGCGGCGGTGTTGGCGCTGCAGGAGCAGAAGATGAAGGAGGAGCAGGAGCGGGAGGCGAGAGAGAGTGAGCTAGAAAATGAAGAGGAAGATGGGGGAGATGTAGAAGGCGGGGAGGAAGGGAAGGGGAAGGAGAGCGTACAGATTGGGGACAGGGATAAATCGGGGAAGAAAATTAGCAAAAAGAGACGGAAGCGGATGCGGGCGGCTATAAGAGCGCAGCAGGAGCTGGAGAAGGAAACCATGGAGAAAATCAGCGACTTGGAACGCATGCTTGGAGTTAAGATTGACCCGTCGCGGGCACCGTCGAAGTACCACATTGTCAATGAGGGCGAGGTCAAGATGTTCTGGACGGATCTGCATAATCTGCAGTATGCGGAGTCGTGGCCGAAGAATGTCATTCACGCTCAATTGAAAGGTGGCCGTGACCATATTATGGGTACCGGGATTGACCTCGCCGCAGGCGAGTCATTGGCGCTTGCTGGTGCTCCTGCTTCCAACGAGGGAGAGGGCGAGGTCGCGGAACAAGCTGGGGGCGCTGGTGTCGGTGGATTGGCTGAAGCCGAGACTAGGGCCCAGGAAGCGCAGGGGAAGGAGGAGGCTCCTAAGGAAGAGAAACCGAAGTCGGGTCTTGGGAAGTTGAAGTTCTGGTAGAAAGGATCCAGGGGCATGCCTGCCATGGTTTTATTCTCTTCTATTGAATACATTTAAATGGCTGTGTTGATAAAAAATGGGTGTATTATTTTTGCCTCCCTGTTTACCACGCCCCCCGTTTTGTTGAACACCTTGTACCATTTCCATTTCCTCTTATCTTCTCCTTTATGGTCAGGCCTTGGATCGTTGGCCATTATTTCCCCCCCCTTTTCTCTAGTTTTGTATACTATAAATTTTGGCGCAATCCTTGTTTTAAATAGACAAAACAACCTTATGGACATGAATATTTCCCTGACGTGATGATCTGACGGACCCGGGAAAGGACTGATATACGATAGAAAGGGCTAATATACGGCAGAAGCATGTTTGATAGGCAAAGTAAACTATGTCAAACTTCTATAAATATCTAAATGAAGATTGAAATAGCTGCAGCTGATCTTAAATGATGACAATGGAGACTCGAAATGTAGAATTTTGTACCCGTTCGAAACAAAACAAGCTTAATAGATAAGTTTCATATCGTATATGATATCTCATACTGTTCCCTAGTTTATTTTCGCCTGTCTTTCTCTCTTTACCCACCCCCCCCCCCCCCCCCCCGCCCCATTGGGACACCCCCCCCCCCCTATAGTATTGGAGCGCCCCATTCTTAGCCGTGGACCACTTGGAAAGAATTGGGTCAAATTCCCTTGCCAGCTTCAAAAAAAAAACCAAGACTAGCATTACTGGTGTTTTGTCAAAAACATACTTATGGGTTAAAGAGAGTTAGACGAGCTCATGGGCATTGTAATATCTTCTATGCATGTTCGTGAGAGTCTCTTCTGAACTCATCATTGTAGATGAGACCATCATTGATATATACAGATACAAATTCATCAAGAAGATCTAGAAGAGCTCGGGTAATATACTTCTGAAA